CCTGCGCCAGTGGGCTTGTCTGTGCATCAGCCAGCTGTGGCAGGATTTGCCCGAGGCCAAATGGCGTGGTATTCGAGAGAATGCATATGCCAAGCTGGCATTCCTCACCAAAGATCCGTGCTGCGAAGTACGGGCGGCCATGATTCATGCGCTTACCACTTTCCTCGGGATCCCTGATCTCACTGAGGAGGTTGCGCGGATCGAGGAGTCGATTGCTTGGACGATCCTCGACATGGGTAATGACGGTAGCCCGATTGTGCGCAAAGAATTTCTGGTCTTCTTGTCGCACTTCATCGTTCGCTTTGAGAGCAAGTTTTTGGTTGCGGCCTATGAACAGCTCCTCGAAGAGAAGGAGTATCTGGTGTTCCCTCCACAAGACGACGGCCAGGATCATAAAATGGGCTTACACTATGCCAGACCAGATAACCGACAGAGAGACGGAACCATCAAACCAACTGCCCATGGTCTTTCTCACAACACGGTTTACATGGCCTTCTGGAAGCATGCATTGATTCTGAGCGTTGACCCTCACCCAGAGGTACAGAAGGAGGCCACAACAGTCATCGATTACGTACACAACGCCTTGATCAACTCTACACTCGGTGAGGCAGCCCAAGCCGTGATGGGAGAGATCCAGAGACGGGCAAACAGGGTAGCTCGCAGCAAAAGCTCAGCTAGCTTGGGCCCGAGGAGCAATGGTGCCCTCAGCCCCCAGCCGCTGCAATCTCCCGGACTGCTTCGACGGACGGCTAGTCTCCTCTTCCAGTCTTTCATCAACAGCGAGGACAAGTCGAGGCCTACCACCCCCAATAGCCCATTTCCGCCGAAATCACCTTCATCCAATATATCGCCTGATCGGGTATCCGCACCCCCTGAACAGAACGACAAACCCGGATCTTCGGCGACATACCACAGCGCGCGAGAGCCAGTTTCCGGCACATTTGAAGAGCGCGATCTGACCAAAGAGCCAAGCCTGCCACTCACAAGCAAGTTCCTCGAGTGGTCCATTGAATATTTCCGCGAGCCCCAGATGAAGAACACCGAGGCGGACGAGCCCGGAAGCACGGACTATAATGAGAGGCTATGGCGGAGAGCCAGAAATGAGAATATAATGAGAGAAACTCAGCCGCTGAAGCAGCTTGCAGGGGCTCACAAGTGGAATAACCAGCTAGGAATTATAAACAACGGCGCACAGCCTGCCAAGATGACATTCCACCAATTTGAGGATCATTTGGCTGTAGCAGACGATGCCAACTCCGTCTACATCTGGGATTGGAAGAAGCAAGGACGCTTGAACAGATTCTCCAACGGAAACCCCGATGGCTCCAAAATTAGCGATATGAAATTCATCAACGAGGATGACCAGGCCATCTTGATGACTGGATCGTCAGATGGTGTCATCCGAGTATATCGCAACTATGATTCAGAACAAGACATTGAGCTGGCGACGTCTTGGCGAGCGCTTACACACATGGTGCCCAGCAATGTCAATTCTGGAATGGTGTTTGACTGGCAACAGGCAACAGGACGAGTTCTTGTTGCCGGCGACGTGCGGGTTATCCGAGTATGGTTTGCCGGACATGAGACTTGCACAATGGATATACCAGCCCGATCTGGCTCCTGTGTCACATCCCTCACATCGGATCAAATGACGGGCAACATCTTTGTGGCTGGATTTGGCGACGGCGCGGTCCGAGTCTTTGATACGCGACTGAAGCCACAGGAATCCATGGTGCGCAAATGGAAAGACGAGACAGACCGCCAATGGATCAAGAGCGTGCACATGCAGCGTGGAGGAAAGCGAGAACTTGTAAGTGCCAGCCGAAATGGTAAAATCAAGATTTGGGATATCCGCATGGACAAGGCCTTGCATTCCTTCCAGACGACGCAAGACTCCCTCCGGACGGCAAGCGTGCACGAGCATTTGCCAGTATTCTCTGTGTAAGTTGTTCTCTTCCACGCCTCTCATACGTGTAAGCTTTGGAAGCGATGTATGTGGCTAACATTGTTCTTCTTTTTCTATTTGTAGCGGCACCTCTTCACACGCCGTCAAGGTGTTTAATTTGAATGGCAACGAACTTTCTCGCCTAGAGCCATATTCAAGCTTCTTGCAACAAACCCGAGGAACTCCTATTTCCGCTACAGCGTTCCACCCACATCACCCAATTCTTGGATGCGCAGCTCGAGGGGATTACCACATTAATCTGTTTACTTGTGAGAAGACTGAACCGACGCAGCTTTCTTAGAGAGCATATATGCCCCAGGTACTAGAATTTTGATATTCCTTTCTCTCATTTTTTGTGGAGGACGTCTGCCCAACTGGAAGATGTTGCCTTCCATTGGCTGGATTACTGGATTATAACCAATTGTCCTTTCTATTTTTTCTTCTTATCCTTTTCTCATTGATGATATGAAGCGCTCGACAGCGAATGGTAGAAACTCTGTTGCTAGGTTTCCTCATGCTTTGAATAGATGCATTGATAACTGTACAAGCGCGGAAGATTTTATGCCTCAACTACGTCGTGAAAGGTTTGGTGGAATTGGCCTTGGGAATGACCTCGACTGGATTCTGGCGTTTTGGGAGAGGAGGCAATAGTATACTTATCGATTTAATGCTGATGGATTTTTTGAACCCCCCTTTTTATCATTCTCTCCTTGGGATAGTTTACCTGCAGCGCACAAGATCTTAATAATATTGAATAGAGTAAGGATTTCTCTGAGAAAACAGCATGATGAATCATACCTACTTGTGCTCGGAATAATTTGCACGCTGGTGATTTAAAAGTTCTTGTGAAGCTTGGCATATGCAAACTGTAGCCTCCCCGGATAATGGCGCTTCGACCTCGGCACTCTTGACACAATGCACGAAGCTAATTAGCCCTATTTTCTTGTTCTGTTCTCTTTTCAATCTGCACCATTTTTCTTTTACTAGCAGTATGATTTGGTTCAAGGTTGCATTTTTTGGCGTGTTATTGGAGGGTGGATATTGATTATGCATGAACGGACATGGTTGCTTTATCTGAAAGAAGGTAATCTCCGAGAAGATTTCGACCCGGTTGGTTGGACATGTAAGCGAGGTTTAAAAAAAAAATCTTTATTTTTGCTTTTCTCATCGGGTTTTTGCACGTGTTTGTGCAGAAAAATGAATATCGAAGTTGCACCACATGCAGTTATATACATGCACTCAGGTAGTGCAAGGCTCGCGGCGATAGTTGAGTTGAGTTGAGCTGTCTGAATTTGGCAGTGGTGAGAAAAAAAAGGTCATGTGCTTATTGCCTCTTCTGGATAGCATTGACTTCTTGTTCGCGTCTTGGTCTCTCAGCCCACTTGGCAGAGGGTAACGTGGTCTTTGGTTCTGCGGGCTCCGGTCGAGGCTGTGATGGATATGGTGGCTTGCTTTACGGGATCATATGATATTCAAATTGCATCTTCTGGCTGGCCGGGTTGTGAACAGGGCGTGAGTATGTACGTAAGTACTACTCTGGAAAATGAAGCACATGAACGGCGATGAAGCGCATGTTTTGGCATGCCATTTTCATTACACCAATACAAGGCTGTGTTGTCTGGTGAATAATTATTGAACAGGCTTCGGGCTGGGCCATTTGGTGCCGAGCAAGTTGCGGCGCGGCAACCGGCTGAACCCCATATCCGCATCTCGGCTCTGCGGGAGCTCGACAGGACTAGATGAGAGCTTGCTTATTGGTTACCTGCTGTATTGTATGCCTGTGAGAGTAGTAATATCGTGCCGTCTTGGTTGTATCAGTACCTACGCCATGCATGTCAAGGTAGACGATGGATAGCTTCGGGCTTCTGGCTGTATGAGCGGCCGGAAGTAGCTCTTGTACGGGTACTAAGCAGCGTTGTTGCTCCATCAGCCGGTGCGAGATCGACGTGGTGCTACTAATGCTAGCGCGACTCCGTGGAAGCTCCATGTCATCGATGCGTTCGTGCCCTGCTTAGAGTCGCATCCAAGGTTTTCAGGCTTTCGGGTCTTGTCAGCGCTGGGGAGTTGGGTCTATTACGTGGGATGAGAAAAACAAGACGATGCGCCTATCCATAGCTGGAGACGCCATCTTGTTGATGGACACGGAGTACATGTAAGTGCCTAACCTCTCGTCCAGGCATTCGCTGGCCCATGTCTGGGCGTCCTCGCTACCAATCTGGAAGCCATAGCGTCTGGGCAGCTGTCTGGTGCTAATCCCAACTTGCGCGCGGTGGAGACCTTGCTACGGCGCTCTATGGACCCAACAATTAATCCCCCAGAACGCCACCAGACAGGCCCGGCAGGAATCAGTGCTTGGGCGTGCGTGCAGGGGGGCCCTGGAGCAATCAGAGCAGCGCCCCGTAGCGCAGCTTCAAGTTGCAGCCTTAGCTGATTGGCCTCGACAGGTGCTGCATCATGTATCATTACAGTGTCGCAGTGCTACTGTAGCTGCGCTAGGCCTCGAGCTTCGTACCGGTACCATGTGCCTCTTGATTGCAGGCACGCGTGCTGCAGCCACAGGAGCTGCTAGCAGGTAGCTGGGCGGTCCAGTGCGCGGCGGGCAATGTACCGGTACGGCGTGCCCCTCAGAACCGGCTGCTGCAAGTTGCGCGGAGTACCGGCTACGTAACTTCATTTAGCCTTGCCTCTGCTTCCGAGCTCTGCCTCTTCGCCTTTCTCCCTTCATCAGCGTCTGCCTGCATTGCCACGCAGCTTGAAGCCCAACGCGATCCCTCTCGACTCTCCTTTGTCCAGACCAGCGCCCTCTGCCGTCGTCGCCGCCGCTTTCTGCTGTTCAATCGTCACAGCGTTGAACTCATCCGCCCTCAAGCTTATATACACGATACAAGAGCCGGCTTCTCCACCCCCCTCCCCCTGCAAGTTGCCCGGCGCGAGAAGAGCTACCTAACGTCTCTTTTCCACGTCTGCCGCCTCTTTTTCCTCCTCTCCTCCTCTCCAATCCATCTCCTCGCCTCTGCATCTCCCATCAGCAATCCAACCACCACCAACCACCACAATGGCGACGGACTGGACTGTGGGCGTCATGCCCTTGCACCAAATACGCAAGCCGCCCTTCACCATCGAGGCTCCTGGCTACGAAAAGGTGCCTGGCGAGACCATCCCGCGTCGCCACCCAGCAGCCAAGGACGGCCTGCTCAACAAGCCTGCCGATGACGTACACACCGTCTGGGACATTGTCCGCCGCAGTGCCCGCGAGTATCCCAACCATCTTGCCGTGGGCCACCGGAGGCTCATTGAGCTGCACAAGGAGATCAAGAAGGTGCCCAAGAACGTCGATGGCCAGGTCATTGAGGTGGAAAAGGAGTGGCAGTTCTTTGAGCTGTCCAAGTATGACTTCTTGACCTTTAAGGAGTACGAGACGCTCGTCCTGCAGCTCGGTGCCGGCCTGCGCAAGCTGGGCTTCAGCGGCCACCACAAGCTGCACCTATTTGCCACGACCAGGTAAGCACAGCCCTTCATCCCACCGTGCTGTCTCGGAGGAGCGTGTAATGGAATACCATCTCGGCCAGGGAACGCTCAAATTCGCGAAAAGCTAGCTAACAGTGAACCCTTCTCTCTCCATAGTGTCAACTGGATCTCCATGTCCCATGCCTGTGCTGCGCAAGGCATCTCCATCGTCACTGCCTACGACACGCTCGGCGAGAGCGGAGTCGAGCACTCTCTCGTCCAGACTGATGCTGAGGTCATGTATGTCGACCCTCATCTGCTCAAGACCGCCGCAGGCCCCATCAGGAAATCAAAAGTCAGGACTGTCATCGTCAACGAGGACAGCATCTTCACCCTGGGCGGCGAGGTCGAGGCTTACAAGAAGGAGAATCCGGATATCCGCGTCATCACCTGGGAGGATCTCCGAAAGCTCGGCGAGGAGAACATGGTTGAGCCTCAGCCCGGCAGCCCCGAGGACATTTTCTGCGTCATGTATACCTCTGGCTCCACCGGTCCTCCCAAGGGTGCTTGCATCACCCACCAGGCGCTTGTTGCGGGAGGTGTGTTTCTTTCCCTTGTGCCACGAAACTCATGCCATGGATGATACTGACCTTGCTGATAGTTACGGGCCTCCTCGCCTCCGTCGGCGAGACCATCAGTGACAAAGAGGTGGTTCTTGCGTATCTGCCGCTTGCCCACATCTTCGAAATGGCCCTCGAGAACCTCGTCATGTTCATTGGTGGCTGCTTAGGATACGGAAATCCTAGAACTCTCTCCGATACTTCCATGAAGAATTCCGCCGGCGATATGCGAGAGCTGCGGCCGACCGTTCTTGTCGGAGTTCCCCAAGTATGGGAGACTGTCAAGAAGGGAGTCTTGGCCAAGCTGGACACTTCTAGCCCAATCCTCAAGTCCCTGTTCTGGGGAGCCTTCAATTACAAGGGGTTCATGACCCGGAACAAGCTTCCCTTGGCCAACATCTTCGATAGCGTGGTCTTCGGAAAGGTCAAACAGCTGACGGGAGGGCGCCTTCGATTTACCATGAACGGTGCCAGCGGCATCTCGGATAACACGAAGCAGTTCCTGTCCCTGGTTATCGGCCCCATGCTGGCTGGCTATGGCTTGACCGAGACCTGTGCAAACGGTGCACTTGGAAACCCTCTGGAGTACTCTGCCAACTCCATTGGCCCTGTCTCTGGTGCCATTGACGTAAAGCTGGTTGCCATTCCCGAGATGGGTTATTCTACCGAAGCCAAGGTTCCTCAGGGTGAGATCTGGATGAAGGGTCTCCCCATCATGAAAGAGTACTATAACAACCCAGAGGAGACAGCCAAGGCCCTTACCCCGGATGGCTGGTTCAAGACTGGAGATATTGGCGAGTTCGATGCCGATGGCCATTTGCGTGTCATTGATCGACTCAAGAACCTGGTCAAGATGCAGGGCGGCGAGTACATTGCACTTGAGAAGTTGGAGTCCGTTTACCGAGGCTCCCAGATTGTGGCCAACGTCATGGTGCACGCGGACCCCAACCACAACCGCCCTATCGCCGTCATCATGGCCAACGAGAAGGTTCTCGCTGCAAAGGCTGCGGAGCTCGGTGTTGACGAGCACAGCATGCACCACGATTCCAAGGTCCAGGCGGCAGTTCTCAAGGATCTGCAGGTTACTGCCAAGCGATCTGGCCTGTCTGGCCTGGAGACTGTAGGCGGCGTGGTTGTTACTGACGCGGATTGGACCCCGGATAGCGTGAGTTTCTTTGTTCCTTAATCGAGATGGGATCTTGTATTAACCTTTTGTTTTAGGGCCTGGTCACCGCCACTCAGAAACTCAACAGGAAAGCCATCCGAGAGGAATTCAAGAAGCAGATCGAAGAGTGCTTGAAGCACGCCCCTTGAATTCACCAACAGACGCAGCAACTTGCGTAAATCTTTTCCCTGAATTTTTTTTCCATATATTTTTCCATATATAAGTGCTGAAGACGGCGAGAGATGTTATAAGAGGCGGGACAATGGAATGCGTGGTTATTGACGGACGGGGGAGGAACAAGGAGAGGGATGACGACGTTGATACCGCTGTTGTGATTCGCGTGATTTAATCTGTCTTATTGTACTGCTATCGGGGCGTGGGCTTAATTAATGATATTTATACCACTTTTCCATTCTAATTATGCTTGAGTCTTAATACTTTGCTTGTACCGGACTATTTGTTTCTAGTAAAGTTGTGTAACTGTTTATAGAGTGTTCAAGATGGCCATGATCAGTACAATGTTGAAAGAAGTTCACTCTCAGCAGCACGACATGTGAAGACAGATAGATATAGACGCATACACTCATTGGTATAAATGAACATTTGCTCCAAATGCCCCCAACTCAACTCCATTGCCATGCTTTTTTCCCGCCCCTCCTTAGTCTCAGCTAAAATAGACTAGAGTAACAAAGAAAAGAGAAGATAAGATTATATAACACGCAGGCTCGAAAGTTTTAAGAACGCTCAAATGGATATTTGTAAGACAGAACAAGAGCAAAAGCTAAAAAAAAAAAAAAAAGAGGACGAGCAAAAAGTACATCAAAAGAACAAAGGCTATTGTAATAAAAAAAAAAAAAGAACAAAAAAAAAGAGAGGATATAAATAAAGCCCACGTCTTTCTTTCCTTCTTTCCTTCTTCCCTTCTATTGCTTCTTTCCTTGTTCATCATTCGTAGAAGATTATTGGTTATCCAGTGTGATAGTTTCAGAGCAGATTTCTCGGACTTGTGACTATGCCCTCATCTCCTCCGCACTCCAGCTACTAGTCCTTTCTCCTGAAAAACGCCAGATAAGGGACAGTGTCTCGCCCCGATTTGAACACTCTCTCTTTGAAATCCGAGGCATCGCCCGTGCCAATGCGGACTTTTGTAACGTGGCTATCCTCGCAGCGGTACCACGCGTACGGGTCATGGGTGCTCGAGTCTCGCACGTACGCATAGTAATGCCCATTGTCAGTCTTGCTGCCGCTGTGGACAATTACGGCGTAGCATTCGTACTTGAACGGCCCCGAAAAGGCTCTATCATTCGTGCTTTCGTTTGTTCGCATGAAATAGGGGGTGAGATCAATCTCGTTAAAGTCCCATGTGACTTTTCTTGTGGATTTCTTGATGTCTCCTACAGATTTGTCAAAGTCAAATCTGCGGAAGCTGAGGCATAGCAGCGGGGGCATGCGGGCAAAGCAAGTGGTTTGCATGGCTTTTGTATTTTTCCTGCATGTGTCGCATGCGAAATTGTCTAGTGTGTTGACGACGTTGTGTTCTCGGAATGAGTCCTCGAGAGTAATGTCTTGGTTCTTGCCGACGGGTGCAAAAACCAAGTCAAATGTCGAAAACGTGTGCGTTTGCTTATGGCACCGTTGGCAGTCGACCGTTGATAGCTCAAGACCACGCCAATATCGGTCCACAATGGATCGATTTAGTTCTTGGTAGTTTTTCCAATACTCGGTGGCAGCCTGTAAGCGCGCCTGGGGAATTGTGTTTGGCTGCGCAATATTGCCCTTGAGATTTCGGCGAGAATTGGTCTCATCGTGCAGGTAGTCTAATAAAAATGACATGAATTCTTGAGCATCTTGCTGCCCAGTTCCGCCAAACTTGGAAATAGTTTGACTGTTTTGGCAAAGATGAAGGGAATAGTCCTAAAGGGGAGGAGAGTATAGTTAGTATTATAATAAACACGATAGCAAGGTATATAACCGTATAGATGGACATACCATCAATGTCTGAGCTTTCATAGTTTGAAATTTTCCCGTTGTCATCCAATGGAACAAATTTGATATGATCTTGATCATCAGTTGAGGCTGATCAATCTTCTCGTCATCTTTCCTAGGTGCACTATACTTGTCGATCCATTCCGAGTCGCTCAGCTCCCTTCCAAAATTGGGCGATGCTAATAGTGACTGAAGAGTACTATTGGCGTAACACCAGTTGTGAGGGTTGTTTAGGCCAGTGTAAAAGCTTTTCTCGGAAGGCGGTGGTGTGGGAGCCACTTGGACCGGCTCATGATACATGTCGTGGTCATCGACAGTTTGAGTCAAGCTGCTGTAGCTTAATCGCGGTAATGCTGGGGCTGGCCTTGTAGGCGGAGAAGGTAGATCGGTATATAAATCGACCTGGTGAGATGAGCCGTAGCCTGGAGTTCTTTGTTCGGCGATGGCAGGCGAAGTCATTGATTCCTGAAGGGACAAGGAAGGAAATCTCCTCAAAAAGGACTCTGTTGAACGGTGAAAGGCTTGTTCTGTTGCCGTCTCGGTCTCCTTTTCTTCAATCTCCACAGCTTGCTGCCAAACCTTGACAATATCGGGCCTAAGTGGCTTTCCCAAGTATTGCGAGGGCCGCCGTTGGAACGGGCTCTGCCGCACCAAGGAAACTTTCTTTGGTTTAGGCGGAGCGGTCGATTGCAGAGAAGCTGCGCCCATGAGGTCGACCCATGCGTCCAACCCGCCCTTGAGCAGCTTTGGAGAATTTCGCAGCTCGTGGCCATAGCTAAGATGTACTAGAGCGCGATGCAAGGACGATAAAGGTGTATCTTCGTCGTTCCAATGAGGAGAAGGAATCTTTGCTGAGTCCTGATCATAAAACACCACCAAATCATAGCTCGCCCGTCGTTCAAACTGAACTTGCTCCAGGCTTGGAGATAGAACCAGACTCTCAGCTATATCGTCAGCAGAAATATTTGGCCGCGTGAGGATGTTCGGGTCGACGCAAATCGTGGAAGAGGACATGATGTGGCCCTCATCAAAGTCTTCGCGAGCACGGACGTCTATGATTAGAACCGAGCCCTTTGCCTTCATAGCATCAAACAGCTCTTCAGGCGTAATCCTATCCCCCTCCGGAACTTTGAAAGCACTCTCTGGTGGCTGCGGTGTGTCATTGTTTCCATTTCTATATGGCTGAGACGTAAAATAATCGGCGCCTTGCTGTGGCAGAGGGGTCCCTGTCGCACTATTGAGGGACACAACTGACCCTGTGCGGCTGTAATGGCCCCGTGGCGTGCTAGGCGGCATGCGAGCGGATTCCCCTGAGATGCTACCTCGTGCAGGGCTGTATATCGCATCAGGCATCTTGGGCAGCGCGGGTATTGCGCTATCAAGCGATATTTTGGGACGTGGTGGTGGCATTTCTCGGGGTCCAGCAGGCTTGCTAGGCGGCGGGACGATTTGGTGCGTCTTGATGCGAGGATCCTGTCCTGGCGAGGGCTGAGGGCCTCGAAGATTAGCAAATCGCGCAGCCAGATCCGACATGGCTTGGGTTGAGGAGGTAGCTGAGGCCGCAGAGGCGGCGCGCGCATGTCCAGGCTTGATGGCATGGCCAGCCAAAGACTGCGGTTTTGGGTGCACCGTAGGCTTGAACTTTCCGGGAGAGCCGTTGACTCGGGGTTGCGGTGGATCATCGGCTGGCGCTCGCGATGTCGGGCTCACGTCTCTAATTGGGAATGCCTGTGCTAGCGAAATGTTTGCGCCGACTTTCTTCTGGGCAGAGGGAGCAACGGTCGGCTGGACGCCAGTCCTCTCATTGTCTGCCATGATATCCCGCTTTATTTTGTCATATATGTCACTCTGCTGAGATATTCGTTTCAAGAGTTGCGAATGCCTTCGGTTCCAGTCCGTACGACGGCTCTTTAGTTCTACATAGTCGCTGTGGGACGGAATGATCTGTACAGCGAGGACAGATGCCTTGACATAGTCTTTAAAGGCAAGGGCCGGCTTTCCAAAGTCGCGGCTCATTTCAGACTTTGCCAACGTCGTCTCGGCCATCTCCAGCAGGTGCCTCATCGGCTGGTTCCGATTGATGTCCTGGGGAAAGGCCACCATATCCTCGATGTGAGGCAGCGGCGCAGTGGCGCCGGGAGGAGGTGTATAGCCGCCATTCATGCCATCGTAGCCCGAAGGCGGCATGCTGTGCCTGGCATTAACGGCCATATGATGCCTCGCGCTGTCAATAGGGTCCGCGGTTGTCATCGATGTCGCCGGCTATTAGAACTCGGGGCGGGTGCTAGGCGGCACCTAGCGGATCGGCCGTGCGGTGCTTCAGCGGTGATGTCGCTGGCTGCGTGGAAAATGAAGGCGTCAATGGGGCGCGCGAATCGGATCTGGTAGGAGGAGAACAGCTTGATTCGGAGGCCTTGTCATCTCAGAGAGACAAGCGTTGAGCGGCGATTGTATGATTCCTATGACAGCCTTCGGGGGCCCTGATGAGGGGCTGCTGAGGCAGCACAGAGCATTCTCGTATGACGGGCAGTTTCAAGGTCAAGGGCTCGCGGGGGCTATTTCGTAAGAAGGCGAAGCTGTTATGGCAGGCTGAAAGCCCAGAGGGCGACGGGCTTCGTATGAATGGAGAATGCGAAGATGTCAACAGTAGCATAGAGAGGTCAGCTGCTTTGGCGACTTGGCCTGGGAACTTGGCCGGTTGGGGTGTGCCACCACTCTGGGCCTAATTAGACGTGCTTGGCTTCGCCGAGGTACAAGTGTGGCCAAACTGGCATGCGTACGTGGGGTATGCGATACTTTGAAGTTGATAAATGTACTTTTAGCCCCGCTAAATCTGCATACAAAAATAAGTCTTCTGTATGTCCTCTTTGGTACTGTGCTGCGTCTTCGCCTACGTTCGCGACGTCCCGCAGGTACCGCGATTTGCGCATAAGCCACGGCCAGCGTCGTCATTGCTTGGCTAAGTGCCTCCAACCCTGCGTCTTTCTTGGATGCATATATAACGAGCAAATGCGTAGCTCGCATCACAAGAATGATTGTATGGTATAGCGAATGCCTCTGCGCCCTTTAGTCTTTTTTTATTTCTTTTGTAGACCGTGGTGAACGGACGTAGCTCGGACTCGCCGTCTTAATTTGCCTCTCACCGCCACCTGTTTCGTTTACAACGTCTTGTTAACGCCTATTTCCTATCTATATGCTATAGCCACACTACGTCACTGCAGTCATCTAGTGTTCCATTGCAGCTGCAGCCCTTCTAGACGTTGAAGACATGGCGAGTTGTTCGCTGGTTCAGCGTTATTAGACTAGGTATGCCGCTACATGCATGTAAATTACATGTGAGTTTCACGACAGTCTCAGTGGAAGACCGAGTCGCAGTGTCCAGGACAACATACCCGGTCTTGGTGACCACGGAATAGACCTTAGTTGTATATCAAAACTGGTATTTTCCATTGGCATATAAACATCCAAGCAACCTCAAGACAGACAGTAGGCAGCTGCTCATGGGTTGTAAGCCAGTGCCCGGCCAGCCACTCGGCGTCTCCATACTGCTACTAGCGTGTGAGCATGTGAAGAGATACCCATGGAGAGCATGCGCCTACGCTTTTATTCGGCATTGTCCACAGAAAGCAATTACAGGCAGCAGTAGTTTGATGTTTCTCTTGAACATCCAAGATATCCAACTGTGGCTTACACCTTTTGCTAGTCAGATTACAGTTATTACAGGTACAAGGTACAGGAACGAGGCTGCGGATGGATGGTGGTGCAGCAGCGGAACAACCACTGTTCCGGCGGCTGGTGCCTCCGCCGCCGTGACGCAACTGCAGACGTCGTCAGCGGAGCCGAAGCTGGGCTAGAACGAACGCATCCCCATAGCCTTGCTCGCAGCTGCAGCTCCAGAACCTCCATCCCGCCTCAGCCCGTCCAGTCCCTGCATCGCCGTCGCTGCCGAGCTCTCCCGCATCGCCTCTGCGTTGCAGTCAAGACGCGCCGTTTTCTCCTTTGTCTCCCAGGTCCTTCTATTGCCGCAGAGCCTCCCCAACATGATGAGCTGGTGGTCGTCTTCGGCCAACACGGCGCTCGACGAGCAGATCGAGAAGGCCACGAGCAGCAGCCTGTATGGACGCCTCATGCTGCAGCGGTGATGAAGACTGGCTAACGATGGGAAATGCAGAGAAGATATTGCGCTCAACCTCGAGATCTCCGATGTCATCAGATCCAAGACGGTGGCGCCCAAGGCGGCCATGCAATCACTCAAGAAGCGCATCGGCAACAGAAATCCAAACACCCAGCTCAGCGCCCTCAACGTACGTTGCCAGACATGCCCCCTTTGCATAGTGCATCCTCTGTTGGGATCCAGCCACGACCGCAGCCCTAACACCGGCCTCTCTATCTAGCTTACAGACACATGCGTCAAGAATGGCGGATCTCATTTCCTAACCGAGATCGCCTCCCGCGAGTTCATGGACAACTTGACCTCTCTCCTCCAAGCCGTTGGCCCGGTCGCCATTAATGCCGAAGTGAAATCCAAGATTCTCGAGCTCATCCAGTCGTGGTCCGGCGCTACAGAAGGGCGGTACGAGCTGTCTTACATTGGCGAAGTATATAAGCGGCTGCAGCGAGAGGGCTATCAGTTCCCTCCGCGGGTCACGGTAGCGAGCAGCATGATTGATAGTAGCGCAGTAAGTAGCCGGAATGATTGCTTCACTTTTTGCCCTGCTCTTTCGGGGTGGTCGACTAATGCAAGTCAAACAGCCGCCTGAATGGGTTGATTCGGATGTCTGTATGCGATGTCGAACGGCGTTTACGTTTACCAATCGAAAACACCATTGCCGGAATTGCGGCAACTGTTTCGATCAACAATGCTCAAGCAAAACGCTTCCACTTCCTCACTTGGGAATACTTACTCCTGTGCGAGTCGATGATGGGTGCTATGCCAAGCTCACCAACAAGGGATTCAAAGAGCCAAACCCTTCTCTCGACCGCACGCCGACGTATCCTCACAAGACTCGCAGCACATCTGCTATGCAACCACGGAACGCGCGCGTCGATGACGGATTTGACGAAGATCTTAAAAAAGCATTAGCGATGAGCTTAGAGGAAGTGGGCAATACTTCTCGTGGCAGGGCGGCTCCTGTAACCTCAAATGGGCCAAGGACAAGTGGAGGAGATGGTGCCTCGGCGAAGCAAGCTGAAGAGGAAGATGAGGATTTGAAAGCCGCTATTGCTGCTTCACTGGCAGACATGGAAGAGCAAAAGAAGAGACACGCCGCTGTTTTGAAAGAGCAAACATCAGGACCTGCCGCCTCATCCTCTGCCACTTTCACGCTGCCCAAGAACGACTACGAGCTGACGGCAGTGGAAGCCGAGAATATCAACCTCTTTGCCACATTAGTCGACCGTCTCCAGACCCAACCTCCCGGTACTATTTTGCGAGAACCGCAGATTCAGGAACTCTATGATAGCATCGGCTCACTGCGCCCCAAGTTGGCGCGAACATATGGAGAAACAATGAGCAAGCATGGTAATAATGATTTTGCTACCCTGCCACATCTTTTTTTTTTTTTGATGCTAACAAGCATGTCTAGACACTCTCCTTGATCTCCATGCCAAGCTGTCTACTGTTGTTCGATATTACGATCGGATGCTTGAAGACCGGCTCTCAAAGGCATACAGCCAGCAAAATCTAGGCGGATATAATCTCCCACCACCTCGCCAATCCTCCGGACCTTACCCTTCAATACATTCACATGCGCCAAGCAACTCGGTTGGAGCCGAAAACTTTTATACGAACCAGCAACAGCCAGGATATGCGCCATCAGCGCCACTAGGGCAGCAGCTGTACCAACTACCGCCTCAACAAGCGATGCCACAGTCCCCCTACCCGCCTTATGCCGGAATGCCAGCACCTGACGCTGCATCCGGACCTTATGCCCCTCAGCAGCGAACTGATAGCTGGAATACTCGGGCGCCATCAGCCCCTGAGCAGTTTCAACAGCAGCAGCCCCAGGATAATGCCGAAGAGAGAAGGCAGCCTCCTCAGCAGGCCCCCTCATCGCCATCAACAGATCCGAACGCTTCATACTACTTCAACACCGCACAGCCCTTACAGAACGCTCCTTCCGCGGATGCAAGTCAATCACCATATCCCAACCTGAACCAGTCGCCTATGCCTTACCACGGGGGCTCCGTATCAGCACAAGCACAAGCCACTCCCGTTCAGGCTGCGGCTCAACCCTCACAACCTCCCAACGCAACACCCCATATGCCCATTCACTCACAGATGCCGCCTGCCTCAACACCCCAGCAGCCGTATCATCAGGATATGCCACCTCAGCCGTCACCCTATCAAATGGGTATTGCGCAGCAACAGCAACCACCAGCCCCTCCACCCGATTGGGCTGGTTACGCCAACTACGCAATGCCCCCTGCACCACAGCATGAGCCTGTGCAGCAACAGCAGCCGGTGAAGGAGGAAGCGCTCATTGAGTTTTAATGTCTGGTTCTATAATTTGGTGCAAAGAAAGAAATACGGCGGCAATTGTCGTGAGATGTGGGTTACACTGTGACATCAAGGGACTTATACGACGCGGCGTTTTTTACGATTGCTGGACAGCGTGTGTGCGGCAACATGGGTACTCCGTAGCCTGTCAGAATGACTACTTTGTTTGCGCATCTAGCCCATGGAAACTAAATCTTGAATTATATGTCTAGTTGCAGCGTAGCTGTATAAGTGCTTGGAGTTTGTTTACCTGAAATTGTGAGAACCTCGGAGCTCCGAAGTTGTAAAGCCGCATACATGCAGTCAGATCACTAATAAACCATTTTATCAAAAGGGGCACTCCGCGTGAAATGACTGCCATCTCGTATTCATCATTCCGTTTCGTCCATTCCGCAAGATGGACTCTGATAAAGTTGATGTTGCCGGAAGATTTAACGCACCAATTGGGGTGGTCCTTATAGGCATGCTGAGGCATTATGACTGCTAGCCAGTTGAGTGGATATCCCTTCCACTTACGCCTGTTATTGCCACTTTTGGATTTAGATTGATAAGAATGACGTCTGTATATAAAGAAATGAGCGACTTCTAACATAGTCCTTTGATGGAATTGCATAACATGCGGCAATTAGGTTTATTTATTTATTTATTCATTTATTTCTTCAAGCTGCTCTTTTGCTTTTATCAGGGTATAACGTATTAGTCGCCGGAGCCGGAGGCCAGTCCAGTTTTTTTTCGCCCCCCCGGGGCCGGGTGACCCTCTCCGTAAAGGATTTCTTTGAGTCATCCTGTCCGAAGTGGAATTGCTGTAAGAGGTAGGCGAGCCGAGTTTTTTTTTTTTAATTGGAGAACGAAAAGATGGATGTACGTTTCGGAGATGAGTGGAATAAAGGCGGTGTTGGCTTAGTTCGTTGGTACCTCCTTTATAATAGCTACAGACTTGGTTTCAACTTCATTTTTCTTTTATTATTCGTCAATTAAACTCTCTCTTCCTTCAATACAACCTCATTGATTTATCTCTCTTATAAAAAAGCCTGAGCAAACATGGCTCCAACACTGCATCTAGTCCGCCACGCCCAAGGCTACCACAACCTCTCCAAAGAAAACGAAAAGCTGCCCGACCCAGACCTCACCCCCCTCGGCATCCAGCAATGCGCCCACCTACGCGCCCACTTCCCGCACCACGCCCAGCTCAAGGGCCTCGTCGCCTCGGGCATGCGCCGCACGCTGTACACCTGCATCAACGCCTTTGGCGTCGACGAGCTGTACCCCGTGACTGCGCTGGATTCGCTGCAGGAGTGCTCCGACGCGCCCTCGGACACGGGGTCGTCGACGGAGAAGCTGGCTGCCGAGTTTGGTGAGAGGGTCGACGTGAGCAGGATCCGCGAGGGGTGGGATTTCAAGGGCGAGGGGAGCTACTTTGAGCCTTCGCTGGAGAAGCTGCCGGTGAGAGCGAGGGATGCCAGGTTGACGCTGAGGGAGATTGCGGCTGGTTTGGGGGATGATGCGCACATTGCTGTGGTTTCCCACGGTGCCTTTTTGCACTTTTTGACCGAGGACTGGCATGGCATTACTGAAATATATCGTAAGATTGCAACCCCCTTTGCCCCTTTTGGCTTGAAAGAAGGAAAGAAACAGTTGAAAAGAATAAAAGAAGAAGAAAAGAGACGACGAGAGAAACCAGCCATGATAGGACATTGTCAACTAACACAAATTCCAAAACAACAGCCACAAGTTGGAAGAACTGCGAATACCGCTCCTTTCAATTCATTGATCCCACAGGCCGGGATCCCAACGCCGAGATGCGCGAGACTGACGAGAGCTGGCGCCGGCGACACGGTAGTCTGGAGGTTCCCACCGCAGATGAGCAGCGGGAACTGCGCCAAATGATGGAGCGAGAACTTGCACCCTTTTTCAAAGTGAAGAATCACATATAAAGGCTTAGCAGGATCCAAACGCAAAGCTGTAGACTGTAAAAGAACACGAGGGACAGTCACTAAACAAGTTGGATGGAGTCATAACTTGGAGCCTGGGAGTAAATTTGCAACGTAAAAAAGAGAAACAAGGGACCAGATACAATATTAGAGTAAATATGCCACTGCACTATAGAAAGTGTCTAGAGAAAGGCCACATAGAAAGGCCACATATATAACCGTAACATGCTTAATTAAACTTGAATAATCCATAAAGGTATCATGGATACAGAGTTGAACCACTCTTGAATAAATCGAGAAACAGGCGCCAATAGCTGCCTCCACCCGTGAACTGCTTGGAACATACTCTGCTGGATCATCTCGAGCCCCTATTTTCTAAGGTGGGCATGAACGCTTCGAATTGTTTCCCAAGTGACAGGCTGTATTTCGCGAATGTAGATCGACCAGCCAAGCTCGGATGCATCGTCTTGCACAGGCTCACAGACGCAGTAGCATTTGCCCTCGGCTTCTGTTGCACTCGCAAACTGCGTAGCTTCGCATTCAACAGAGCATCCCCTCCGCGTACTCCGATCGATCCAGGTACGAATGAGTAGTCCACTCAAATAGGGCATTCCTCCAAACAAGTCTTCCAGCTGAAAATATTGATAATGCGGGCTAAAGTCTGCGCAACCATAGTTGACGACTCGCGCAAAGAGTTCATATACCGCTCCGCCAGTCATCGGAAGCTTCTTTGCAAGTATCATCTCGTTGATGTGGAAAAAGGTCATGGAGGGCTCAAGCCTCATATCTCGGATGTTTTTCTCTTTGAGCACAATCGACGTGCCTTCAATTACTGGCGGGTTCGGTGGCCAGGAGGACGCATAGACGTACGATCCATCAGATCTCGGCGCTACATGCTTCATGACAAACTCATGGACGCTCCCACAAAGCCTCGCGTAATGTTTCACAAAAGGGGAGAGGCTATCCGCTTCATTTACGCCCCCAGAGCTTTGCGAATGTGTATGCTGCGATAGACAGTCAAGACCGCTGTCTACAGAGGTGTCGGCATTCGACTTGTTTGAGTTAGCTGTATGGATTTCTTTGACGTCAAGACTGATTCCATTCAACTTACAGTCTCTTCCATCTCGACATCGCAAGAAGATTCCGCATCTAGACATCTTGCAGGCAATCCCGAAGGTAAAGCGAGTCGCTTCCACGCGGGCTCTGCTACGGCATCCGGCTCCATAGTATCGTGCGAGCGTTTTTGGCCAACATCGCCAGGGAAGTGTTTTTTACTGCCAAGCAGTACGTGCGAAATGTACGTGTCCATTGCAGCTCTGGGATGTGTTAGTCCATACAATATCTTCAGGCTCGGGGCATCCTGGAGCTCACTGTCTGTGCCCAGTTTCTCTGCAAGATGCAGCTTACTGCCTCTTTCAGTCTGCAAGGAGAATCGACTGCGATGCGAAGTAGCATATGTACTCCAAGAGATATGGAGGCGTGATAAGAGAAAGAATAAATGAAAAGTTTCTCAAAATGCAGGCTACAGATGCGGCACAGAAAGAAAGACAAAGAGCAGAAGGAAGTTCACATCTCCGCCACCCTCGACTCACTTATTTCAAGATGCAGCCTGAGGAAAGTGGAAAAAAAGAGTGCAGAGGGGAGAAATTAATTTTTGCAGTGCGCATTCCATGAAACGCTCTTTCCCTGTGAGGGCAGCTGTCAGGCGCCTGTCCTGAGGGCCGAAGCTCCAGCTGCGCTCTTTCCTTTTGTTTTTGGCATAACGTTGCGTCATTCAAGTTCTTAGCACCAGCGAATGGAGGCATCAGCTGTCAATGGCAGCTCAGCACTCAAAATCAAGCCAGCAGGAGATACCTCTAATAAGGACTTGTATAGGTATAGCCTGGCAATGTCACAGTTGATGCACCAGAAACACAAGATCACCAGAGATTGTGGTTGTGAGGCTTAAGCGTAAAATTCAGCTTTCATTCGCTACGCTATCATATTTTCATACATGCAAAGCCTTCAGCGCTTCGTCCATCGTAGCTCTTTCCCATCCTCCCAGACACCTTTAGTCCCTCCAAGATGCTTTGCCCACCGATTCCCCCGAGAACGCCAAACTCATATACTTGGAGCTCAACATAACGCGAACAAACATCCATGGCTCGATCTTTTTTAAAATAGTATAGTTGAGAAGAAAAATAAAAAGGGGGTAAAAGAGAAAAAAAGAAGATGCCAGAAGAAGTGGTAATTAATAAAAAAAAAATTGCCTGGTTTTCTCTCTCAAAGACTGGTTCCCCTCCACCGATAGGGTATCTTTTGAGAAATAATGGAGGAGTGGTGAATGTATGGGGGTGTAAAATGGCGCAGAATAAAACAAAGAATCAGAATTTCGAAGTGGAAGGTTTAAAAACAAGAATTTTTAAAGGGCGTCGCATGGTGCGATGCGAGCCGGAGAAAAATAGCGCAGAGATGATTGATTAAATCACATAATAATGGCGGGAATGTCAACGTTGGCCTTGATAGACTTGTGGGGCAGGACGCTGCCACCGTTGACGTAGATCTCGTCGCCAATGGTAACATCGTCACCGAGAACAGTCACGTTCTCGAGACGGGCCCAGCGGCCGACGGTGCTGTTCCAGCCAACAATCGTCGACTTGACCCATGCGTGGTCCTTGACCTTGGAAGAGGCCAAAAGGACGCATCGCTGCAGACGAACGCCGTCGCCGACGACGACGTTGGGGCCAATGGTGACGTTGGGACCTATTCTGCAGTTGTTTCCGATCTTGGCCGTGGGGTGAATCAGCACGTTGCCTCCGTGGACGTAGGACTCGGTGGCTGGAGTGAGCTCCTTGCTTCCCTTCTTAGTGAGAGAGGACAGGTACAGGCAGGTTCCGCTAAGGAAATCCTTGGGCTGTCCAACATCCATCCAGAAACCGTCGAGGTCGAAGGAGTGCAGCTGGTTGTCAGCAACCATGGCGGGGAAGGTCTCCTTCTCGATCGAAGTGGGACGAAGCTCAATGCGGTTCAGGACGGAGGTGTTGAAGATGTACATGCCGGCATTGATACGGTTGCCGACGAACTCGACGGGCTTCTCGACGAAGCGGTCGATGCGAGAGGGGTGGTTGGGCTTGTGGACAACGACACCATACTTGGAGGGCTCCTCCACCTTGGTGACCACAATGGTACCCTCATCGCCGTGGCTCTTGTGGAAATCCAGCAGCTCCTTGAAGGGATAGTCGCAGATGACGTCGGAGTTGAGAACGAAGAAGGGGGAATCGTCCTTGGCAAGGATGCTCTCAGCGAGCTTGAGAGGGCCGCCGGTGTCGAGGGGCTCTGATTCGACAGAAAACTCAATGTTGATGTTGTATTTTGCCTCGTACTAAAAGGTTGGAGGTACGCAATCAGTCTCATATATTCACGTCATTGGAGGGGAGCGGATCTGGAGGGGCAAATGATCTGGTGCGACAAGTCGCCAAGCAAGGAATGTGGCAATGAGGGGTCGAGTGCAGGGCTCACCTCTGCTAGGAACTTTTCCATAATCTCAGGACGGTAGTTGACGGCGAGGACGATATCAGTAACACCGGCGGCAACGAGGGCCTCGATCTGGTGCACAATCATGGGCTTGTTGCAGAACTCGACAAGAGGCTTGGGGAGCGTCAGGGTCTAGATGGCGTCACACAATGGTTAGTCGCTGAGGTGTGTGATGCTGCGTTTGCGGCGGTTCCTCCCCCCTCCATTCCCCCCATTTTCGCATCAATGCCATGGTGGGATGCAGGGCCGAGGACCGTATAGCGTAGAACGTACGAGAGGGCGAAGGCGAGTGCCAAAGCCACCGACAAGAATAAGTCCTACATGGGAGGAGCCGTTAGCTTTGCCATTGGAGCAAGTGGTCGTGTGTGGGAAATCAGAGGCGCGCCGTACCCTTCATGATGGATGTCTGCCGTGATGCGGAGGTAGTCAAAAAGGGGGGGGGGGGTTAAAAAACAGAGCAATAAACTAGTATATCGGGTAGAGAGCGTAGAGAAGAACGAGCGACAATGCAATGCTCGCAAAGCAAATAAAGTCGACTCGGGAAGAAGAAGAAAAGATGGCCAAGCGGTGGTGTTTTGCAGAAGGATGGGAAAGAAGAAGAAGAAAAGAGGAAAGGAGGGAGAAGAAGACTGGACGTTCAGGTTGGCGTTGGCCGTCTTTAGGTGTCCAGATGTCAACGGACACGAAGTCACATCACGCAGTGGCACGGCGCGCCGGGTACTTGGTGGCTGCGACTCCGTAATGCCTTGGTACCCTTTCATTTCGCAGCAATTCACGAGGCCTGCGGGGCGCCCATTAGCGCGCTGGGCTTAGCGGTTTCTCGTACAGGCACCGCGGGGGGCTCAACACGGCCTAGCACCACTTGTTCCAGCGCCGCAGACGGTCCCTGCCGCCCCTGAGGCACCGCGCAGAGCGACCAATTGGCTGGAATTCCAGGTGTCTTCAGTGCGCCGCACATCAAAAGACCAGCGCCAACACTCTAATTGAGCGCGACGGCTTTGAAAGGCTGTACTGCCGCAAATAGTGCCACCTGTAGTGCCAAACGGCTCGGGACTTTGCAGGGTACATACATGTACCTCTCGTCGTGTGTAAGAGCCGTGGCAGGCCTTGTACCTGTATCAGAAGACAGACAGACACGAGCAGGCAGTGCGGGGGGTTCAAGTGATCAGGGGTCCTCTCCAATTTCAGACGCAGGGCCAATCAGCTCCGGCAATGCGAGCATGAAAATTTCCCACGCGGCTCCAAGGGAAGGGTATAAAAGCTGGAGGCGAAATTTGGAAAGCGGCCCGTGAGGCTGGCTGCTCCGTAATGATCCGGTTTATCATGCAATCTGAAATGCATGTTTTGCCATGGCAGTATTGCCTGTATCTTGACCTCAACTTGAGTGCGATACTACTCAAAGACAATCATAGCGACGCCGCTGGAATGGCGGAGCATAAGCCTTCAGCTGTGTCTCGAGATCTGCAAGCGTTGATTGCACAGAAATGTCTCGCCTCGTCGTGCCTCACAGCCAATTTGACCGAGACCGTCCGACTGCCCAATACATTCATTCAGTCGCCGCATCCGGGTGCAACGCCATCACAGAGAAACCAAGTACTACCTACCTACTGGCACTATCACGCAAGCAGCTCGCATCTCGCATCAATGAGACAATATATTGCTTCTTCGTATTCCAATGACTGGAGCGCCAGCGATACCCTCAGCTCCTGCTCGGGCAGCGCCACTTACATGGCAAAGGGTGGCTCGGCTCGTAAATCTCTCGCGCCAAATAACGCTGTCAGCACTGTCTTTTTTTGCTACCCCTTTCTTCCTGTGCTCCTGACGTGAATTACATCAATTAATGCCTCTATTGAGCATCACATGGAACTTCGCGTCAAGCTTCGGTTTACATTAAAGCAAACGTATAAGAAGCCAAATCATTCGTCTTCGTTGTTTCTATAAATTATGACTCTACTCATTAATATCCCTGTGAGAGAAAAGTAACCCTCACACCACTCGTATACACAGAGTACATCTTCCCTCCTACAAGCACCTAATCAAAGACTCCATACATCACAAGACCCCCATCACATCGTATCGCATCATCACATCCCATCCCATACCCTTTCGCTAATCTTACATCAAACCCCCCCAAACGAGAAGAAGCAAAATCCCAAAAAGAAGCGCCCCTCATTTGCTTCCGGAAATAACCATCCATGTCCTCATCCCGCCCTCCCGTTTCATCTCCGCCAAGGATTTTCTTCTTTTCCCACTTTCAGTCTAGCTGGTCCTTGTGTGTCGTTGGTTCGCCCTCAACTTTTTCTTCTTCCAACTTCTGTTCCTTGCAAAATCCTAAATCGCTCCAACGGGGGGGCAGAGAGAGCCTCTTAGCCTGGCCTGGCCGGTCGCGGCCCAGGGCCACTAAAATCAGAGAAAGTCGTTTCGTTTCTGTGTGTGTGGCTTCATCGGCGGTTGCCGACGCCTTGACCTAGCGGCTTTTTTTTTTCTCCTCTCATCTTTGTTTCTTGTTCCTGAGCTATGTTGTGCCACATTACGTAGGTGCCAGAGCCTCGGGTTCTTAGGCTGTCACTGTTTTGACTACTTCTCATCCTGTCAAGGGGAGACTGCCGGTGTCCGCCAACGTGCCGAGCATCACATCACCCCAACGCCATGACTTCTCATAGCAGTCACGAGGTAGTTGGTGAAAAGAAACAAGCAGATTTTTGAAACATGTTTAAAATTCATCGTCCACACAGCCCTAATATCGCCACAAAGCACAATGAACAGACACCAAGTAATCCTAATGAAACGAGAAACATTTATAATCTTCATATCGTCATTATCGTAAAGCTCTTATTTTTTTTTTTTTTTGGTCATCTTTCATTCATCATTTTTTTATATCCAAAAACACATTCATATCTCATTCATTGCTTTATATCATCCAGTTCGACCATCTCATTCTCGCCTTCTTTTTTTGGTTTCATTTGCGTCTTGACATCATAAAAAAAAAAAATAGGGGTCATCAAACAATCGCTGGCCTTGGTTCGCACGACAAGGACTCTGCGTCGTTCCAGAGAAATAAACAATAGAAATAGCAAATGAGGTGGGAAGAGGTATTACCAACCTCGCTCCTGCCAGACGCCTTGAAAGAAAGTCGAGGGGCCATCCTTGTGAAAGGCACAGCCATTTCCTCTTCGTTGCGAATGCAGGATTATTTTATCACAAACAAAAACTCCTCATAAAATCCGAGACAAGTCATGGAGAGACTTGACCTCCGTCATAATGAAAGGGATGTCTACCCCACAACTAAGTGAGAGCGAGGCGTGTCGTCAACTCAATAGGAGGAGCAACCGCCTAAAACAGACATGATTCGTGTGAAAAGCCTGAAAGCCTGCTTCTAAAAGAGGCTGAAAGGGGAAAACTTTTGGTTTCTCGGCGCCTGCAATGAAGCCCGCCGGTTCAGGGAGTGTAGGTCGTTTCAGAAAACGACATATGAGATTGGAAAGGTAAATATCCAAATGCTGAATGCAATGCGCCTTGACTCTAAACACATTGCAGAGAAGAGAATCAATCCAACCTCTAGAACAATGGGGGCAAAGCCACCCAAGGAGCATACCGGCCGCTATAAGGAAGATGAAATGTCTAAGGGTCGTTTCATGTCGTCATAAAAATCGTTGCAACATGTGTTACAAAAATGCCTCTTTTATCGCCAGGTCCGCTGTGCGTGCTTTTTTTTTTGGGGGGGGGGGGGGTTTTCTTTTCTTTTCTTTTCTTATACTTGCTCACAACCGCACCGAAATCACAACCGCCAGTAAGATGGAAAAAACAAAAACAAGGCTGGCGCGGTGATGGTTATATCCCCTAAGGGATGGCTGTGAAGCCTTTCGACCACGTGTATATATGCGCCATGGCTGCCTGTGAAGGTCCAAGCCAAAACCAAGGGGGGGGAGGGAGCGTTCGAAAATTTTGTGTGTAAACAGCGCCGTCAAACTCCGAATCCGATCCAGGTATCGAGCGGCTATTCAAAGGAGGCAGTAGAACTGCTGCTCGAGTGAGTGCCAGAGCGACGACCGTGGCGTTCGTTGCTGTCCCTTGAGGATGTCGGGCGGCTCTTGCGGCGGGTATCAGCCGCGGCCGGGAGTCCTTGGACAATTCCGTTGCGGGCAAGCATGCCGCCGTTGACGGAAAAGTTGCGGCAAACCATGAACGCGCGCATGGCGGCGTTTTCCTGGGCCAGCAGATCAGACTCGTATGCCAGGTCGGTCTGGTACTCGCGTCCATTAACTAGGACAAGGCAAGTAAAGCCACTGGGATCACGGTAACACTCGTACGAGGGGTCTGTCCATCCTCGGCGCCGGCAGAGGCCTATCAATAAACATTCGTTAGTCTTTTTATGCTTTTGAAACAAATCAAGCGCCCACATTCAACAATTGCGGTCAAAACAGAAAACTGGGGGTAGAGAATGCTCTTTTGGCATCATGTCAAGGCGTGCTGCACGGGGACCTGGTAAATCGGCTTCCTGCAGCTTGAGGATGCCCGCATGAACAAGGAACCGCCATCTTGGAACAAGAAAGATGATACGGGAAGAAGGAAATTATGGAGAAGAAAAAAAGGCAACAAAATGTGCAATTGGAACAATCCTTTGCCTGTGCAAAGCCACCTCACACCAAAAGGTCAGTCTAACGGCCACGAGGTCAATTGAAACGACAGAGCATCTCAAATGCCCCCTCCTCCGTCTCGACCAGCCTTCTGGCCGCCAAGGTCGCCGTGGTGGCCGCGCAAGGCTCGATTGATTCCCCCCCAAAACCTCATACGCCACCCCCACACGAGATTTCGGGGCTGTCGGTATCCATTGGGTTGAAGTAAACAAAACAAAAGCAGGAAAGCTCAATTCGTCAACTTACTCTCCAGGTACTGCATGTAGAAGCCACCCATGGTTTCCGATAGTTGTCAATGGATCGTGAGAGAGAGAAGAAGGGGAATTGGGGATTGCAGAGGAGGGAAATTGCCCTTGGTGTGGGAAGAGAGAAAAAAAGTGGAACAGAGCCTAGATGCGCCGCAGATATGCGTGTGTATGTACGAGTAAGAAGAGTTGGAGTATGGCTTTGTGTGGCAACCTTGGAGAGGAGAGGGACCAGAAAAGCTTAAAGCCAAGTCAAGGTGTAACCAAGGCGAGATCTAGGGTGACGAGGTCCCAACACAAAACGAGAGGGAGACGAAGGGGATTAAGAACAAATTAAAGTAGACAGCGCGGGCTCGGCGGAGAGGCAGCGGAAACGAAACAAGTTCAAGAACAGAAGCTGGCCAGCGTCCAGGGTGGAGCACGAGGACGGCCGAGACGGAGGCCAGGTGCACCGCTCCGGTAGCAACTGCGGCGGTCGACAAGATCCAGCGGCGAGGGATGTAGGTATATGCGCGCGCGTGTACCCGTACGTGAGAATCTGCGTCTGGATGCGTGTATGTTGTATGGAGGTTGTCCTGGTCGGAAGCTGGCATGGGGGAGGCCACAAGGATGAGCAGATGTGCAATATGCCCGTGAGCATGTGCGTTCTGGCATATGGCCATGCATATGTACTATGTAGGTGTCTGTCTGGTGTGGATGCATGTACCGCCGTCTGTAATGGCTACCACTGCTACTAAAGATATGTATGCATGTCCTGATGCCTCGTTACCACGGAGGGCCCAGGGTCTTGTCGTAGAGGAGGATGAGCCGGTCCTTTGGCGAGACATGTGGGCTTCATCGCAGACCTCGTTGCTAGCGCGGGGCCGAGGGGTGTCTGGAGAGAGCGAAACGCGCGAATGGACGTTGATGAGAGCGGCGATGCGGCTCTTGGAAAGAGTGTGACCCCATCGCTGATGTGTTGGCAGCTCCCATCGCCAGTTGTTTTTGCAAACCGCTGGGGACTAGGCCGCTCCACCACAAATGTACATACACTTTGGTGGCAGAGAGACGCACCGCCTAACCATTACTGTAAATGGCCGTCTCCCCATTTGAAATAAGTTTCGCCCCAGCGGTGCCGGCGAGTCGTAGCATGGACGGAGGATGGAGATGGAGGTGCTAGGGAGACAAGTGGTAAGGTATGCCACCGGCTAGGAGGGGCCCAGCGCCAGCATTCGGCCGTTCTGACCTGGGTTTTTTTGCGAGAGCTCCGTTCACCTACCTGACCCAGCCCAGGCCCTTGGTCCCTCTCAGCATGGCTTCCTCGTCTTGTTCTTGCTGCAGCTGTCTCCCTATGTCGGCCGTACTGGCCGCCGGAAGGGTCGCGTCTGTAGGCGCCCAATCCCCTGTCTCCAGCGGGGTCTACCCATGTTTGGCGCTTCGACCATGTTCAACTGAGGTTGCACGAACGATTAATCAATCGGCGGCCAAAAATCATCAACGGCAAGGGCGTACCCCTCGTGCAGTTCGTCATCAGTTTGGCCAACGAAGTGGTGGCAAAAGTGCACAAAGGGAGCCAAGCTGGTGCGAGTTTCGACGATCTCTGAGCACAACCGCAGAACCAGAAATCAGCTTATCCCAAGTATTCATGGCAGAGCAATTGGCATTATGTCGTGAGGTGAGCCACACAATGCGTGAGGTTGAGAGAAATGTATCTTGGTAGCCACCCTCACCCAATATATCCCTCCGAGATCTATGGCAGAGCGGCCGCTAATGCACAGCAAAATCCCACAGATACCTATCGTCTTGTGCATGTGGAAGGTATCTGTGTGCCGTATAAGAGCCTTGCGTACCAAAATGCACTGTGATCAGTACTAACATGTAACCGCCTTATAACAACTGTTCGAGGTTGGTAGGTATATGCAGTAGATTCAATGTTTCCATTGCACCATTGCACCATTGCATGCACAGAACAAGTGCACGCATGGAACACACGCACACTAGGTATTTGGCGCATAGACACCTTCAACTGTGCTCACAATCCTTGGGAATTGGTGGTCAGCTTGCTGTCGTTTGGTTGGACTGCTTCACTCCAGGTTAGCCGGCCGTGGTTTCGATCGCCAGTTTGAAGAACACGCGTGTGTGTGTGCTACTCAAAAGTGACGATAAGCCATCACACATACGTAAGGCACGCTTTCCTTTACGCTTCCTTTTCTCGTGTTTCACATCTCTATCAGCCAAAGAGCCAATTGGCACTAGGGCCATGTTAGCAGCACTATCTTCTCAACTATAATTGAGTAAACCTCAGGGAGATGAGGCTTGGTAGAGGCTATCCCATACACCTGCCCGGAATGTGCAGGCCGAGGCACAAAAGGAATAGTCTCCTCGGTGCTCCAGACGTCGGTGAAGAGGCGCGAAACCTGCTACCACTTGCATGAAAGTGAGCAGACCAAAATCGTTCAGAGTTTTAGATGATAATCATACTCCATGCTCCATCGCTCAAGTCCTCGCAAAGGGTCTAATCTCTAGCGTCGCAGTAGTTTGGCTGGCGAATAGTGGGCCAAGACCGGACGGACACAAGGTGATCCTGGTTTCTGAGAGAATCGTCCAGCGGCTGTCGAGTTGTAACATAATATTGCTCACATACATTGGACGTGAGGCCTCGTACGAAGTCTCCTGCCGCAGATATGCTTCCCTCGACTTGCAAGCGCGCACACAGTGTGTTGTCGCCGCACACATGGTTCCAGACTTGCACGGAGAACAATCGTGACAATTACGGTGAAGGTGACCCGATTGATTGGCCAGATCCGCGAAGAGGGGGGCGCAAGGCAGCCAGAGGCAGACGCCCTCAGACCCTTTGACCCTCTTTAAGTGTCTTTGTGAGGGGGGGTCTTTGATTAAAGGCCGCATGCAACGATGAGCTGGCAGTGCCGCCGGTTGATATTAAAGCAAACACACGCAGCGAGCGGTTCGTCGAAGCAACTGCCATGTACAAGTAGGTACTCGTGCTCCATGGCTTGCACGCCTGTAGGTATGCCTGCCTGCAGTACATCAACAGCGACACCCTCAGTAAAATCCTCATATGCGCGGGGGCCCGAGCGCTGACGCGGAGCTCTTAGACTATTCAGAGCTGTGGGTGAGTAGGTATGGATGACAGAAAGGCCGCTGCGTGCCCGGTAGAGGAAGTGCTAGCAGCAGCAGCAGGAGCAGCAGCATACCTGCAAGTAGGTACAATTGAACGAATGGCCTGAATGTAGGAGAAGTACCGAGACCGGAGGGTCACCTTCAGCATCAGTTTCTCTCAAGCCGGTATGGTAATTGGCGATGGAAACCCTGCACAATGAAATCGTTCTTCATCACCTAGAAACCACAAAGAGGGACCCCCAAGGAGGAAAAAGCCACCCACGCTGGATGACACTGGTCTGGGGTAAATATCCGTCACCATTGCTGCGAAACTCCGAAATACACTGTGATATGTGTGATGGATGCTAAAAAAAGCATAACAGATGAGCAAAAAGGGGGGGCCGGCTGCTTGGGCCTAGCACAAACGTAGCTCGTCGGCGGATTGTCAGCGAAGCTTGTGATTCGACAATTGGATAGCTGCTGCGACCGAAACACCACTCATCGCTTGCCTAAGGTTTCGCTAGCCAAATGGCCAGGCGATGATGGAAAACCACAGCAGAAAAAAGTCCCCTTGTCCGCCGCGCCACTCGAGACCACTGCACAACTGGTCTTTCGGTGGGAAACACGCTTCTTAGTGTCACGCTGTGTCCATGGGCTTCTGACAGGCCAATGGCGGCCAGATCGGAACCGGCCGCTGGTCCCAGCGACCTGGACGCGGCCGTGAGGAGCAGACAGACAGACAGACAGACAGACAGACAGACAGACAGACAGACGGGTACGAAGCAGAACGGTCCTTGGACATTCGACGAGGCTAGGTCATAACGGTGAACGCGTGCTGTCAGTGTCCCTGTCCAAGTCAAGGGAGAATGGCTCTCGATGGAGGACTCGCCATCTCTGAAGCGGTGACGCTATCGTGTTCTGGACGCTCTGAGCCGTCATATTGCTTGTCATTAGCCCGGCCTGCGTCCACTGCATTTCGACATGGTTAATTGGATGCAGCTGCACACGCCTCGCGCAAAGCGGCCATGCTTCGTGGGGAGCGAGAAGACATGACAGAGGCAAGGTTGCGCGTGGTTTAGATCAGGAAGCGATTTTTGCATTCCAGCGATCCTGCCAGGTACTCGATACTTGGCCCGTTCCCTCTACGTCAAAAAACCCCCAGCAGGCAGGGATAGCTCCTGCCCTCTGAGCAACCGCTGACTCTGGCCTATCGGAACCCAGGCTCCAAAGTCCCAGGCTCCAAGGTACCCGGTACCTGCGGGCTGGCAAAAACGCTGCCAACGAATGAGCCATTAACACGGCCTCACGCCACTCACTCGCTGCAGCCTCGCAAGTACATGTAGACTACGACTGTAGCAGTATGGACGATGTACTTGCAGCGCAGCTCTGCCTCGACACCTCCGAGGCATTTAGACTCCAACGCATGCCGGCGGGCGCCAGGCTCATAAAGGACGCTGCATCTTTCTACAGGCATGGGGGCCATAAGCGCTTCTGAACTTGCGTTTTGTGTAGCCCCCTATGCAGCGCGAGCCCGTCAGGCCGGGCAATCGTGGGAGAAGGTCCCTGTAGCGCCAGGCCAAAGACGGGAAATAAGAAGAAAGGGAAAAAAAAATTCTCAAGAGAGGCCCTGTGGCAAAGAGGAGAAGAAGAAGAAGAAAACTTTTGCGATCCACATCATGCAACTGCCCACTTCTGGCTTTTCATCCAATCCCGGTCCCTCGGTGGCGGGAGAACGATGGGATGTGTGTAAGCCTTCCTCCTGAATGGACGACTACAATTCATTAGCAGAGAATAAGAGCCCATATATCCGTTATCTGTAGGCAGATCAGATATGCAGAGGGCATACTTGTACCTGTAGGATGCGAGAGATCAGCTTCCAGTTCCCTATCATGCCAGCGAGTTCAACGCGTTGAGATGATCTTGCCCATCACCGTTCTGTTTCGCCTCGGAGGAGAGAAAGGGAGAGTGGCAGATTCGATTCCCCTCTTTTCACTGGCTGACTCGTCATGCATACAGCAGGGAAATCCAAACTTTCCAAGCAGTTGTCAGAGAGTTAATTTGTGCAAGTGAATGGAACAAAGCAGGCTGTCCATGTAAGGCGGCCGCATGATATGCGGCCCTATAAGCGGAGGGGGGCGTGTGCCTGAGGGCTGTGCCATTTTGCGAAAGAAGAGATAGAATCGTTCATTAAGACCTCTTACATGAGAGAAAAAAAAAAGAGTGCATATGTACGGCGTAATGAGTGATGATCAAAAGCGACGTTTCATGAAGCATCGAATCCCTCTCGGGGCTCAAGGTAACGCCGCAGCAGCCGATGGATTTAGCCCATATTGCACGTATGAACTCTCTGTTTCCTGTTGGTTCGTAAGCCAAAATCGTACAAGTAAGCTGTGGCTTCATACTAGTAAGGGGATCGTTTATCACGAAGAACTTGTATTGGAAATGTGACCCTTGTTGTAAGAGAGGAGAGAGAGTACTACCAGATAGGCACTACACTCATACAGACTGCTTGCGGACACATCGGGTGGCATGTGCTACAAGTACAAGTATGTATCTCACATCCATGTATCCGTAGACGAGAATCTATCCCAAAAAATATCAGCTCTCGATAGCAGTAGCCCACCTTTGGCCCAGCGATGATGTGCAGGCCTTGCGAATGCGGTGTGGCGCCCCCCTCCCATGAGCTTTCATCCGAGACATGCTTCAACTAGTGCTCTCCGGAATCTGTACGCGGGAAGAGGCATACATGTATGTAGTATTGAGATCATGTCCATGTATGCGGCAAAGGAAAGGTCAATTGCCTCTGTGCTGTGTAATCTTCACAATATACTCCCGTAGTCTGGGCGAAACAGCGTCTGAGTGCGTTGCTCAGGCGCAAGAAGAGATATAGCTTGCTTCCCTCACATAGCAGCTCAAAGACTTGGCATTATCTTGGCGGATGAAGTCGTGTGGGGAATTGGACTAGGTAGTACGGAGTACTCCGTACATGCAATGCAGGGCCATCCCAACAAGGAGCCTTCCACCGTATTCTGTGCTTCTTTCGGCGTAACCACCCCCCAGGCAGCCTGCTTCGCGAAGGAATAAGCCCGAGTTGCAGCATTCAAATGCCAGCTTTGTCACTTTTCACGTGTGCGGGAAGATCGTGGTTCTTTCCATTTGAAGCGAGTTGCTGTGATGATAGCCACATATGGCATGTTGATAGGCTCTAAACGATTTGATGTACATTGCTTCCTTCCTTGATATCCTGGCAGCTGGTGAGCTGTCAACGCACAGATTCCCTTTTTTTCTTGATAACAAAAACCGGCTGAGCGGTGGCGGACTCCATCGTTCTTCTGCCTAGTTGGTTGTCGGATCGACCATGAAAACCTTGCCTACAGTCCCGTCCGTAGGAGGATCGGATAGCACTACTGCCGCTGCTAGGTACTATCGGCGGCATTGCTTGACCCGCTCTTCTGCCATCTTGAAGCGTCTCGACGTCTATCGACAAAAGGTCGAAGACGGTACCCGTCTACCCCGAGGCACACGTGAAGATATCTGGTAAAAGGTCAACCGGTATCATTGTACGCAACTATCCTCCTTTCTCTCTCTGTTAGCCTATGGAGGATAAATCACTGTGCAAGCAGCGTATTACTCTTTTCACTGGCTCCGCTGGAAGGGATAAGCACTGTATGGAACCTAATGGCCACTTATAACAGGAGACGTCGGCTGCCTATTCGCAGCTAGAAGCCCTCTTTCGATGAGAAGTAACTTCGAATCGCGTCAACTGAATGCTGAGGAATTGCATAGACGGGGTGAAGCGTTCCGATCCGGTCATCCTCATCAAATATTTGCTCTCCCTTTGTATGAGGCAACACCTCCCAAACGTCGCCTCCAAGAAGGGCCTCATCGGCTCGAGAGGCAACCAAACGCCACTTGTTCTGTGCGGAGCTGAGACCAGATAGAACGTAGCAAGTGTGGTACGCGTCAGAGTACCTATGAAACAGCATTAGCACGCCACGATTGCTCTGCAGATTTTGTCCTGATTGAGAGCACCCACTTGCTAGGCTTGTCCCTCATGCCACCCCTCCTAGACATGTCTTGACAACAACAGAGGATGTAACGAATCAATCCATTTCGGCTGAACAAGCTGTCGTCTGCCTCCGTGTCTTCCATCGGGCGACCTGCAGGGCCAGCTGTCGGCCCCTCAGGCCCGCTCAGACCGGCCTCAATCAGGGGCCAACATCCACCAACCCAGTGGCTATAACAGCCGTCGACAAGCTTGTTCGTGCGGCCTGAAAAGCCACCTTCTGGAGCATACTGGCGAGATGAGAGCCAAGAGATAAGACGTGGTACATCCATGTACCTATCATGCCAGGGAAAGCGTCAGAATGCAAAGCTCTCATGGCACTGCGTCAATGGACGACGCCCTGGATCGAGACTTACCGTCTGATGCTTCGGTGTGGGGAATCAATAATTGAAAGGCATCCGAGAGCGCAGAAGGCATACGCACCATGCGCCTCGATCCCGTGGGTGGCTGACACGCCTCCCTCGTACGTTTGGCCTGATTTTTTCCGTTTAGCAGAGTGGCAATTTAGACAGCAAGGGCCGGAACATGACAAGGGAAAAGAGAAGAAAAGGACGACTTACACAGCCGGACCCATTCAGCCAGGCCACTCAGGAGACTTGTGTGGCCGGCAGCGCATGCAGGAGAGTCGGATGATAGTTCCAAAGGCAAGTTGAGCAGAGATATCACAACAGCTGCGCAGTAGGCCCCCCTGAAATGAGACATTAACCAAGGCACGGTACCACGACATGGGCGACGATCAGAGACTTACCTCACATCTTCTTCGCCTCCGACGGCCATCTGGAACCCCCCATCTTGTTGCTTGAGCTGGCACAACCACTTCCACATGCCTCTCCTGTCGACCGCTTCGAATGCCTCGTCTCCGCCAACCAATGCCAGCGAGAGGATAGTCGCGTAGGTGGTGGCAAGATGCGATGACTGGCCAAAACCCCCTCCGAACCCGCCCGTTTTATTCTGCATAGGGCGCACTGTCTCAATAAGCCTGGCGCGATAAGGCTCGAGATCCTCACCGAGAAGAGACAGGGCATTCAGGCACCAATAGAATATCCACGGCCTGCTGGGATCCGCTCCCACAAACATTGACGGCAACGCTCCTAGCTGCTTTTTCAGGAACCTGACATGTCGCTGCTTGTCCAGACGGGGGATGCCATGGGCGTTGAGCTGGCTGTGTTCTTTGCCAGTCAGGAAGGGCAGAATCTCATCGACCGTCTCATCCTGGATGTTGGACGAGTCTGTCTCCAGCGCATCGCGAATCATGGGAGGAAACATGAAGAGGCTGGGGATAGATGCACCTTGCTGTGTGCTAGGAGGCGCAGGACCAACCTGTTGTTGCTGTTGTTGTTCCACGCTTGCAGCCATTTTTCTCAGTTGATGTTTGAAGACTACTCGAGAACGTCGAGATTTCATGATGTGGACTCAGAGGCTTGTCATCTCTTTTAGCCACGAGAGCATATGGCAACCCCGCTCATCTTCCCACCTTGCCGGCGCTGTGAGCTATTGGCGAACGAACAAACGGCTGAACCTAGGTAATGTCAGGCTGCGACAGAACAATAGAGACTAGAAGTCGTGGTGGCAGTATTGTGCCCGGCAATATCCCGGCTATTAATTTTAGTGCCCGTCCCACTCTCCTATGTTGTCATGGGTTTTGAATCAACATGTGAACATCAGGAAACCCGTGGAAGTCCTGATAGATGTAAATACTCAAGCTAAAATTCAGGATTCCATGTCAAATAATCACAGATAATTGAAGGTCGTTGCAAGAAGCTAAGTACCTATGCATGGAAACGTTGTTAGCTGCATCATGGCCATTGTCACTAACGAGTCGAGATTGTGTAGCTCGAAACACTATCAGCTTTACGTTTGCGTGGCTTTTGGCTTTCGTCTATTATTGCCTAGTGGTAATGATAGACTGGCGAATGCTCTAGTTGTTATATATTCAGCTTTAGGCTAGCCTCTTGCATGGACTCGTGTGTCTTTGCTACTCGGAGTGTCTCTTTCTCACCAGGCTGGGTAGTCTAACTCAGAGAGATTTCTTGCGATATCCTATTGCCCGTTGGTTCCACTTTTGAATGACCAACTTTGAGGCTTCTCCCTTTCTTGTTGGATGAAAGTCGTTGAATGTCTCTGTTTCGAATACTAGTGACACAAACATCCTTGAGACGGTACTGGGGGGTGAAACATATGTCTCCCTATTGGGTCTGTGCTGTGTTGCTTGGCTTGGCGACAGCTAAACACCCGACGATTACATGGACGATGCTATGCGTTGCTGATACTAATGAGCTGACAACGATAGGACTCGGCTGTTGACGTCTTTGGTTTTGAAACTAGAGATGTTATGATAACCTTTCCTTGCTGCTATTCATGGGCAGCCATCACTAGTCTGATGAAATAGAAGACACCAGCTTTGTGCCCGGTGACACTCTACAACAAGTCCACGATGAGATCAAGCCTTGTCAATCAGCCCATCTCCAACCGACGAGCCGGTTACCATCTCGCCACATCCAGGGCAGCATATATCGTGAGCTCGGACGGTTCCGGACTACATACATGAGACAATGAAGCACGTTATTTTGCTGAGTCGCACGATAATGCTGCTACCCACTCGCTTGGAAGACGGGACGACAGCCCGTCTCGAGTCATGGTATACGCGGAGACTTCTTTGTGTCAGCCAAATCGCGAACATCGTTTTCAACGTCAACGAGTTCATGGCTGCTCAGGAGACGTGTGCCCCGTGAGTAAAAATGACATAGTACCTAGTATTGTTTATTTACGCTGGTACTTTTACGCTGGTATTGCATTTGGCCCTAAAACACATCATGCAAGCTTAAAAGGTAAAATGTAGGGGGGCTTGGCAGATGGCAGATGGCATTGACGTTTTGTTTCTTTCTAGGCAGTAAAGCTTATGAGAACGTCATGGGTCCAGCGAAAGAACCGAATTTTCTAGATTGGAGGGTCAGGAATTGGATACTCCGTACAATGTCTATTCGCTTAGAAACCTGTCACGCAACAAGGATCCCTGCAGACGAAAATCTTGACTTTACAATAACCTACCTGCTTCTACGATGTAGCTCGGATACGACAGAAAACGATCCATTTACTAATGCAGTAACATGTCAATGCGGGAAAGGGGATTTGATTGGATACAATCGGCCGAGCATCTTGCTTATTGTTGAAGATGTTGTATGCGTTGGGCTGAGAGGGTTAGTAATATCACGAGCAGCCGGATATCCGCCATCGGCAATGCAGCACGCCCTCGGCTCGGAGCGGGTTCCTTCTTCTTCGCCTTCTTTTCGTCCAGATCGTCAAAGTGGGTAATGTGATCTTTTTGTCTTAGACAGGCGAACGAGGGCAGGAATGCAACATCAGCAGGCCTGAAAAGCCTGAGGCGGGGTTAGGCCGGGACACGTTCACAGCCTCTCAAGCAAGACCGTTTGCCTGTTGGGTTGTTTTCATTATAGTATAGCATTGCGTCCGGCTCAAGCATCTCAGCGGGCCCGTTTCAATGCTCAATGTCAAGGACGAGGAGATGGTGCGTGGCGCTCTGACCCTCTGGGTCGTGATTCTCTGGTGGCTGGCGATGGGTCTTCCCAGGGAGCCTTGCTCTTGCTAGCATAGCATCGCCAGGATTCAGAAAATAGATCGCGCGGTTCAGTCTGGCCAGACTGAGCACGTTTGAAAAAGCGCTGCAGCTAAGAAGAAAGAGGCAGGGCAAACGGTTATCTTGCAATGCCGTGGCAGGGGCCCTCGGCGGTTGGGCAGCGGAGCATTGGCGGCAGTTCCGTGAGCAAGGGAGAGGACAAAACTGTTGGCAGAATCAGGCGAGGATTCAACAAGCAGCGAAGAAACTGCTTTTCCGGTGCATGATTGACGGCTGGATGCCACTGCCACTCGTTTACCTATAGAGCCGTACATACCGTATCCTCTTTCTCGTCTGGGGTGCCCGCACTATCGGCAACGGCGTCACGGAGTGTAAATCTTGTCGGTTAGCGGACCCAGAGCTCCAGCTCAAGCTCAGATGGTGCTGAGGCTAACGGATGGTAGCTGTTCATCGCTTAGCAAATCGAGTATATTTTAAGTTAGCAGCAATAGGAGGCAAATAGGTGGCGTGCGTCGACGCTCATCACCTGCTCTGTATCATGATCGAGGCTGGCTGATTGAGACGACGCTGGCCGGATCTGCTTGACTCGACTCGACTCGGCCATCACCGAGGTAAGCAAACCGGTAAAACTTTTTCTTCTATCGACAGCACTTGACAGTAAGTAGTAATCGCCGTACTCGGTCGAATAAGCCTGTGTATTGTTACTGTAAGCTAGCAGACGACGGGGAAAACGGTATCTATCCGAAGGTGAATACACCAATACTACCTTACCTTTTAAATCCCGAGCCCCTACTCTTGTGCAATGCCCACCAGATGGTTAACCTGATGCAGCAATAGAGATCCAGCACATGGGACACCCGCATGCATATCTTAATGATGATCGATCGCAAAAGTATAGGTGAAGACCGATCTAGCTGTATTCCGCCTGGGCGCACATCATTCCTGCAAGCCTCATCGTCGGAGGCACCTGGATGTCTCGGATTCACTTTACTCCCAGTCCGAGCATCGTGTAGCTTGTACAAGTAGCTCGGGCAGTGATTGACCTAGCTTGGCCCAGGTAGGTATGGGAGGCGAAGATGAGGCTGGGAAGATGTCCTCCGTATGCAGGACTGTGTATGACAGGGCAGACCGTCTCAGCATAAGCGTACAAACAGTATACCGACCTGTCTAGGTAGCAGACTTGGTTGTTTGCAGAGCCGACTCAGTCATAATGATGCCCAACTGAGGCTGCCACTGTTAAACGCCAAAAGGCATGAAAAGATCCGGAGCGTACATGTAGGAGCACTCCAACACGTACAGCCACTACTACCCCAAAAGCTACAGGTACTGATTGGAAACCCCAGGTTATTGGCGGATTCCATGGCAGAGCGGCCATGATCGGTGATAAGGGTTTAGCTGGAACCTTAGCTGCTGCTGTGTGCACGCCACAAAATGACAGCGCATCACTCCTTTGCCGTCCAGGCAATGCATCGGCGGCGGGCAACCAACGAGTAACAGGCTGGCATGTGTACGAGGGGATCCTGGGACTCTGGGGACAAATGGGGCAGTCGCCAGGATAGCAGGCCATCGTCTTGATAGAGGAGGGGCGCCGGTTCTTGATTTCTTGGGCGCATGTTGGAGTTGATCCATGGCGGCCGGAGACGATTGGATTTCCTTGCTCCAGCAGGTCAGTATCAGATGCGTACAAGTACAGTATGAACCAGACTTAGACGCCGGGGGACTGCCCTGTCTGGAAATCTCGACGAATCTGCTACGAAGTCTAGCGACGCCGTTTCGTACCCACTTGCCTTGCGTTTGCTTCTTTTTTTTCGCATTTTTTCTTCTTCTCTTTGGCCTTCCGATGGACCCTTGCTGCGATGGGACCTTGACAAAGGCCTTCTTGGTGGAGAGGATGCCGGGGCTGATGTGGCCTGCGCGAATCGTGTAGTCCTTGGCTAGACCACGGGTGCAGCATTAAGGTCGTACTACTAGCAGCATACGATGTGCTGTACATACTGTAGTGTGTAGGTCTGCAGCAGCAGTTTGCAAGCAGCACGTATCATACGGAGCCGGTATGTACAGTATGAGGCGTTTGTTCGTATTTGGCGACAGACGTGGCAGCCCAGATCTGGCAGACGCAGGAAAAGCAAGGTCTGCCGGGATGGAACGCCGCTGGATGACGGCATTGACACGCCGCTGGAGAGTCATGATGCCGGAGTTTGCTCCGTTACTGCGCAGCCAAAACGATGCTACTGCGGCGCTTCTGCTGGCGATGGTTTCTGGCTGCGATGGGCGTTCTCGAGCAACAACTGCTAGTCAGTTGGTTTGGCGAAGACGGGATCTCCGCTAGATTAGGTTAGCCCGGCAGAGATGCAAGCTGGAGGCACTAATCAGGTAGGTTTCGCGTAGGGACTGAGGACATGAAGGCTCGCACAGATGTGCCCGTGTAAGTCTAGCAGCGAGTAAAGGCCTGCGACAGCGCCGATAAGTGCAGAGCAGTGCCCGCTTGCTAGCAAGGTATATCGATAGTATGCATGTACTTCGTGCCACTCTGCTGCTGCAGCCATGGACCAGACCATGGACCCTTCGAATGGAATCCATCGTCGTGCTCACCCGTGGCCTGCCCCGATGCCCCTCTCTGCCGATGCACTGATACTGTACTGTCCTCGATGAGGGGCGCTGCCAGCACTGCACAGTGCCAGCTCGGCTGCGTCGCAGTGGAATGTGGGCGGTGCTGGTGGCGCCATTTGCCAGCGCGTCAAGTCATACTGTCCTCCTGCCCGGCGACACAGTGCATTGCCGTCTCCGATTGGGCGCTGCCATGGCGCCCTGTACTCGCCGTGGCCCTTCTGTGCCCCTCTGTGGCTCCCTGTGGCCCTCGCTGGATCGCCGGCCGACTGCCCCACCGGCCTGCAGCTGCAGATGTGCCTTGGCGCCGCCCATTGGCTGCGGCGCCAGCTCACCGCCTCTTCGGACCCCCGCTCGCGATGCCTCCAAATCATGCCCACCCGCCGACCACCCACAAACTCCCAAGTGCTGCTCCAACCTCGTGCGCTCTGCTCTCTGCTCTGCTCTCCCCCCATCCACAGCGAACCGCCATCAGCAAGCAACCAAACAAGCTGCTGGCAGAGCAGTGCGGTATACAGTGCAGTGAGTGCAGTGCAGCGCAGCGCAGCTCCAAGCCCTCTAGGCACCCAGAAAAGCGTCCCGGCGCGCCGTCCAGCTGGCCTGCAGCAAACCGTTTCCTCCTTCAACCCCGGACGCTGCCCTTCTCCTCTTCCCTTTTCCAACTCGCCCTCCCCGCCGTAATCCCGATCATCCCTCAGACCAGACGCTCCGACTACTGCTGGCGACAACACCACGAAAGAGCGGTGTCATCGGCCCAGCTTCATATTATACAATACGTCCTTTGCTCGCATCCAAGCGTATCGCTTGATCGTTCCTCTCTTCTCTCCCCCAGAATGACCCTCGAGTTCAATGTCAACGGCGGGGGCGATGCCTTACTCGATTTGACCTTTGAACAACAGCAGCGGGACCGGGCAGCTGCCTACGCCTACTCTACAACAACCACAGCTCACTCGAGTCCAGGGCCGTCGTCTCATCTCGTCGCGGCAATAGGCTCCTGGCCGCTACCCGTCAACATGAACGCCGCCAGCGCCATCAACTCTCCCCAGGAAGCTCGAGGCGGCTCTCCCGAGGAATACCACCCAAACTCGCCTCTCTCACACATGTCCAGCCCTCACAGTCACCCTTCGCCGGTCCAGCACTCGCCTTACCAGCAAGCGACGAACCCTCTGACCGACTGGGCTCTTCACCACCACCAGCAACAGGCTGCTCACCACCACCACCACCAGGCTTTGGCCGGCCATGACATGACGCACTATATCCAGGAATCCACGCTGGTCAATTACAATGCGTACCCGAGCTACCAGCCAAATCCCATCGATTATCTACCGCCGACTACACAGGCTGCGATGCAGACCCATTTGCTAGAATCACCGTTCAGCTCGATGCCCCCTCTGGATGACACCGCACATGCAATGCACTGGGGAGGTGCAGGGATGGGAAACTGGCAGGACTTTCAAAACACTCTGCAGCTAGACGGATTGCAGACTGTTGGCAGCAATTCCCCCACCGGTACCTATCTTGAGGTCCTTTCGCTGCCATCCTCCTCTTCTGGCGATGGCTGGGCGGTGGTGGACTGGGGAAATCCCGGCCATGAGCTGTTTCAACCTACTCCAAGCGCTGCCATCTTCAACCCATCGCAGACCCTGCACTTGAGGACCAACTCTGGTGGTTCATCTGACGGTGGACGCTCAAACGAACTGAGCAACTTTGAAGAAGTCCAGTCTTTTCCTTCTCCCTACTCGGCACATTCCGATGGCCACACCGATCATCGAAATTGCTACTCTGCTGATGGCCATCATCACAGCCATGACGGCCACCACCACCACCACCACGTCCACGCCCACCAGCACCACCACAGCCCAGTGGCGGCAGTTGCCCCAGTTTCCATCAAGGCCGAGTCTTCCGTCCGCCACAGCCCTGGCAGTGGAGCAGGCTCAGTGTCTCCCTCTTCGTCCAGCACAACCTCAAGGAGAAGCAATGGCATTCGCAAGAGCCCCATTGCCAAAGCACCCAAGCCAGTTGTCAGACGTATTTCTAACGGAAAGAAGGAGGGAGGAAACACTGAGAAGAAGGTGGGCCGCAGAAAGGGTCCTCTTTTGCCAGAGCAGCGAAAGCAAGCCAGCGAGATAAGAAAGCTGCGCGCTTGCCTGCGATGCAAATTTCTTAAGAAGACTTGCGATAAGGGAGAGCCATGTGCTGGATGCCAGCCGTCTCACGCTCGCCTCTGGCAGGTTCCCTGCACGCGAATTGACATCAAGGACATTGGTTACTTCATGAAGGACTGGAAGGCTGACTATGAGAGGCACATGGACCGCGGAGTGTCTGTCTACAATGTCAAGGGCTTTGCTCAAAAAGAGACCCTCATGTGGATCACCCACGGCTACGGCTTTGCCCTGCCCGTCATGGTCCGCGAGGTCTTTGTTGCTGATGACAGCTGCTTCTCTGTCGAGTGGGTTGAGTCATATGTTGCTACTAGCGACACCATTGACTTCGAGACCCGTACCGAGAAGCTCGACGTTGGTGCCGAGGGCATCCGTCTCGATGCCCTTTCTGAGTATCTTGACAAGCACATCGAAGGTCCCTTTGAAGACTTCATTGATGATCACTTTGAGGGCACTCCCTTCATCACTGAGATTCTCAAGACTGCCCACCGCTACTACGTCAAGGAGAAGATGCCCGTCATCCGAAAGGCCCTTAAGTTGGTCCTTGCCTACAACTTGACTATGCACATCACCATGGTCGAGAGCCAGGGCTCTGAGATGCCCCTTGATGGTCAGATCGACGACGAAGACTCCAAGTACTACGGCCGTACCGTTGCGCCTGTCATGATCAACTTCCAGATTAAGTGTGCTCTGGCTGACATGTGGCGCGAGCTCCAGCGGGACATCCTGGAAGAGCTCTCTGCCTTGTACTCTGGAGTCTACAGTGGCGAGAAGATGAAGAACTGGCCTACCATTTTCCTCTTGGCCTCAATCCTGCTCGCCGTGTGGGAAGAGATGCAGTTCGACTGCCACTACCGTGTTCCTGACCCTGTGGCGGTGAACAAGTTCTGCAACGACATGGAAACGACCCCTGTTGGTGTTATTGTGGGTCTCTTCCACGCCATTTCTCAGAAGCTTCCCGCCTTCACCGACTGGGACACCCGTCAGCACGGCCACCTGCTTCACAACAATGTTGCGGTCTGTGATGCCATGACCGAAGTGCGACAGCATGTCATCAAGCATGGTAAGTTTGCGTACACCTGCGCGCCACCAAACACACCACTGAGTGGAACTAGACTAACCATTTTCTGCAGAGGCCTACCTGCGAACCCGAAGAGAGGCCAAGTTTGATCGCTATGACTTTGATTCGCTTTCCAACAAGTTCCTTTCAAAGCTTGTTATCCGGGCCAACTAAACCAACAGTGGGCTTTTTCTAATTTGCTTTTTTCGTCATCTCATATTTTCCCTTTTTTTTCTTTTTTCCAATCGTAATGGGGCCGGTTCAGCTAGGCGGACTAGCCATCATCATATTCTTCACGACTTTCCTTTTACATATGATTTTTATACGGTCATTCAGCGACGGCGTTGTGATAAAGATTCTCTCTGCATAAATCTTTGAGAACGACTTATGAGCTCGCGATCTACTCCACCTTAGCGTTTCTATTCTCTTCATGGGTTGACCGCCGCCATGCACCACGACGTTATTGCGGAATGTCTTACGAGCCTGATATGACTTTCTTCCACGAATGTATGACTTGAAGAAGAAGAACTCTCTCTTTACATCCTTATGCACATCTCACTCCCCCTCACCACTATATCTATCTTTTGGCTTTTTGGTTTTGCGTTTTTCCATCTTGGGCAGCTCATCTACACTTACTTTTTATTGCGGGGATTTGCGATTTGCGATTTGATTTTTTCTTGCTTTTTGAAATGGAGAGATACAGATACTCTCAAAATATGTTCGTTATGGGATTACAATGTTGCACGATGTAGTATTATGGAATCTACAGGCGGAGAGTGGTTATGCAGCATAGAGCGAACATGCATGGTATTAGGCGCCTTGGGCCACGGCGTTTCGACCTGGCCTTGGATGGAGTGGGATGATTTGAACACATGGTGCCTTGAACAGTTAGGCAGTTGGGTGCGATGGCTGGGCATGCCACGAATAAAAAAAGCTTTGACTTGTCTGTTAATGGAAGCGATTTGATTTGAACGATGCGTGTTTTCTGATTTGTGATGCTCATATAATACTAAATAGTTGGAAATAATCTCACGGTCTCACTTACACGATGGCGGGGTAACTCGCTGTAGCTTAGAAATACAGATGTGCGTTTTGCCATTGATACTGAGCTTTGGAGAATCATCCAACACTGCTGGCCACAAGAGACTCCTTGGACATGGCAGCTATTCTAGCCATCAATTAAGGACACTCTCTACCACTTGTTGACTATTCCTCTCAAAAGGACCCCAAGCAGGTGGCCTTTTATTAGATCTTGTCCTTGTTCTTCTCTTCTTACATTAAACATCACCCGAGCGGATTAGTAAATCCCGGCACCTATGGAGCCCCTCTTCCGATGTGTGAACCAAGTTCAAAAAGCAGGCTGAAAAAGCGTAAATGAAAAATAAAAGAGCCATTCGGCCGAGAGACTTTTGGTATTATTAATGATGCTTTTAGGAAATTTTACATCTCCGGCAAGGCTGGTCAGATAAAGTGACAGGTACCTGTGATTTATCTTGATCGCCAATTTTGCGCTCGGTATATCAAAGTACCTGTTCTAACACTGCAGTACTTGAGAATTATTCCCGAAAGCGAGATGGATTCAGTCATGTATATCGCATGTATATCTAAGACATTAGCAAGAGGGCATCTGATACAGAAGTTCATGCTAGCATATATGAGGCAAGTAGTACTCATGCAAACTTGGGATAAGCTGCGTGATATTGCCATCACTCATCATCGGTATGGTAGGTATTTGGACAGTGCCCGTTTTGGAGAAATTCCCCTTTTACATCTAAGCTGACTTTTGCTGACAGCATTCCAGACTATTTAATCTTGCCAGACGTCAAACTAAGACCTAAGTTGTGAGATGATGCACTGGAATCGGAAGCCAAGACCCTAGTGGCAAGCTTTGTATTGTTGATGATGTGCAGATTTTGTAAAGGAAGCGGGGTGATGAGTACAGACACGTCTAAGAAAAAGTCTACTGAACTTGTGTGGAAATGGCCCCGACATTCAAGAAAGGGTGGTGTAAGTGTGTGACCGAATTCAGATTACCCTTGCTTTAAATGCGACATCTTGATAATCCTCAAGTGTAGCGATGATAGTGAATAGCCTTTTAGCCACCAAACTCCCGACTATGGGCAGAAAAGGACAGCTGGCTATCTCGTCTGTAAGTGGTATTAGAACTAATTAATTAACATAATACCCATCCACAGTAAATCGCTCACTTTTGGCCAAATATAAAAACTACGGGTTAAGACGTGGAAAGGAAATCGTCTAATCACCCTACTCCATGGCGAGAAGTCATGCCCAAGCCGCAAAAAGTGAACCGCACACAAAAGAAAAGATCTCGTCGCACAGAGTATGTAAGAGCTAATGTGATGTGATAAATATTCCACTCAATGGAACGTTATAATCCTTCCATTACTGATATGCATCCATCACAATGCCTTCCCTCCAATGAGAAAAAAACACTGCCGGCGCGCCCGAAATGTTCAAAAGTTCTGGACTCAGATGACGCACCTTTAGGGTTCGGGCTTGCGATAAAACGGCCCGTCCCCGAGAAAAAAAGCGGCACGCCCCGCGCAAGTCCGTCGATGTGTAGGATTGTAGATTTCGTACTGTAGCTGATACAGTGTGAAAGTGCCTGTTTGCTATTGGTTGCTAAGAGGACAGCTGAACCTCCAAAGATGGCAGGATGGTTACAGTATTGCTGGATGACTGGAGACTGTGGCCCTCTTAATCACAGACAAAGAAGCGGCTATTCTTCAGGGTACTCTATTTAGTGAGGTGTCTTTGGTTGTGTACGAGATAGATAGCAGACACATTTACCCGGATATAGATGTTCAGATGACTATGGTGTCTTCTCTTTCAAAAGGGTAGTGCGGGAGAGTGACTTGAGCTATATAGGTGCAAATATCTTTTGGAGCTCTCAAATCATACACAGCTTTATGGGTAAAATGGCATTTTATTGAAGATTCTCCAAATTAGGAAAGTGGGCTAAGAGAAGCAGTCACATATACGGGGTCAACTTGGAGAATAATAAGACGTGCATGTTACAAGGCTATAGATAGGAGATAAAAAAGGGAAGAGATCGAACATGAGAAGGAAGAGGCATATATACTACTAGTAGATACTCGGAGACTATCGAGAATCAAGCTATGAACCAGGTATAGGTATACAATAATGAGCGAAAGGCTTCCCTAGTCCACCTCGCCATATGCTTTCCCCTTCTCTCAAAAAAAGAACTCATAGCATGTGCATGCCTCGTATATTCGAATAGGCGCCTTGTCTCTGTAATAATCTGCCAAAGGACCGTTTGATACGATCATGACCCCTCTACACACCCTTTCCAAATGAGGAGAAAGCCATATTTCATGTACGAGGTATATTCAACGAGTTATACAATCCCTATAAACAAATTGGTATCGCTGCAAAGTTATAAACAGCATCCCGCTATACAGCCATTACTGTTCCTACCGCCTCCCGCTTTCAAATCACAACTCTCTCGCTCACCGCTTCCCTTTCCGTCTATTGCTCGTCTTCTTCTTAGCCTCAGGAACACTCATAGTACCCCCCTCAAGCTCACCCTCCTCAATTTTCCCCTCATTCTCCATCTCTTTCAGCTTTTCCTGGCCGGAAATAAACATTGTCAAATCTCGATTCATCTCTTTTAGGTCCGCAATCTCCGTCTTCTGCTCCTCCATCTGCTTGCGCATCGTGGCCGCCTCGCCGTCGAGATGCTCGATCCGCTTCATCAGACCTTCATTGATGCGCTTCTCCTCTTGTAGTGCTTGGCCCAGGCTCCTCGCCAGGTTTTCGCCCTTCTTGGCCTTGCCCTTTTCTCGTTCGAGATCGCGCTCCAGCTGCGGGACAATCTCTTTCGAGAGGGTGTTGAGGTTTTGCTCTAGGTATTTCGATTTCTCCAGGGCTTCAGAGGCCTGTTCTGCAGCCTTCTCGGCCACCGCCGAGAATTTCGATGCCTTGACAGCCATTTTGTTGATCATTTCCTCATAGTAAGCTCTTTGAGACTCGAGCTGACTTGTAATCAAGTGAGTATACTCCATTCCGATTGTCTGCAGCTTTGCCCGTGGGACTACGTCGTCTTCCTCTCCTTCGCTATTGGCCGTGTCATTCCCTCGCATTGGAAGCTCGACAACTTTACCATCGCCTTTGTCGCGGATGAGGCGGTGCACCCACATATCACCGGCGTAGTCCCACACGTATTGTGTCTCCAGCTCCAAAGCAAAGCAGTGTGCCGTATCTTTCCAGTGGTCCTTGGCGTGACCCCCCTTATATCGACCGCATCCCACGTAACCACATATCAGGCAAATCCAGAGGTCATCGACACAATCACAGACGCTGCACAAGTTGGAAGACGACCCGCCAAAAGACTGGCTGTAAGGATTTGACGGATCGCTCTCTTCTGAAGGATTTGTGAATCGGCAAACTGGGCATCCCGCTCCTTTCCAGCTTTGTAAACACGTGCAGTGGAAAACGTGAGAACAAGGCACTGTCATCAATCCGTTCGTTTCGTCCATTCTCTCCAGACAGACGGGGCATGTGGGCAACTCCACAAGGTTTGGCGTGGGAGGAGGAAAAGGCTTCAGGCTATTTGCAACAACTGCCTGGCTGGATGAGATGGAGTAGTCACGTCCCCTTGCTCGAGTTGGTCGTTCAAACGTGATGCTCTTCACAAACACCACATGGCAGGCCTGAGACTATTCGCCAATGTTAGTATGCAGATACACCTTCAACAAAATCTGTTGAACCTCATACGTACCCCCATAGAGTTGAATATCTTGCCATCGTACTCTCGCCTCCACTGTTTCGCCCGTTTGCTATCCCGAAACTTGAGCAGAACCAGGTACCGACTCATTCGCGATGTCATGACCATACGGCAATGGCTGATGTCTCCTTGCCACCGCTCTCCCAAGAATCCCAAGAAGTCTGAAGGCGACATGTAAGCAGGAACGGCAGGGATACAGAGCGTGGTGCAATCTTGCATATCACCGGCCTGCTCCTCCTCTACGTCCTCGTTGTAGAGTCCTGGTGTTTCTTCCCCCTCTTTATAGAAATGCACGATGCCCCATCCAACTTCGGTATTCTTGCCTTCGAACTCGATAAACTCTGCCTTGGTAGCCGTCCCTGCGCCGCTGAACGACGGTCCTAGAGTTGGCGCAGCTGATGGCCCAGCCGCAGCTACCGCCTTGCTGCCCTCTCCAGCCATGTTCCTCTCGTAGATTAAGCTAGGATCTACAGTCTCGATGTTTATGCGTCCGAATCGCCAATCTTGGATCGTAGTCTGCGACTGCAAAGTGCTCGGCGGCGATGGGATACCGTTCGCTCGCTCTGATGGCTGCTGTTTGGGCAAAGGCTCGATTTTGTGTCCGTTTTCGACCGGTGCTCGCGGAACCCCACCGTCTACAATTTCTGTCTTCTGGTTTGCGCCAACCACGGCTCTGCGTTCCAGAGTCGCCGATGCGCCAAAGGATCTTCGTCTATTTGTATCTAGTCTCTCGATATTGTATGTCTCCGAGCGATAAGTTCGAGGGTGCGCGGGAAGGTCGTCAAAAATGCTGGCTTCGTCCGACGGTAGCCAAATATCCTGGCTGCTGTCTGTAGCGGGAGCTCTCGCTTCGGCGGCGGGATTTTCGGTTGGATAAAGCTCGAATTTAATGTGGAAGAAATAAGAAGTCATTTCTAAGCTGTCGATGCCGGCGACGATTCATAAGGATGTGCGTTTGTAAAAAAATTGCCGGGCGTCGTCGAAGGAGCAAAATGGTGGGATGCCGAGGTGGCAAGAGTTGGAGCCTGCTCGTTCGATTATTAAGGCGGCAGAAGACGCTGAACCTGGAAAGAACAAGGTGGCATTCGGTCGATGTGCATGGCACCGAGCAGAAACATGGGCGCAGAGGCTGCAATTTATAATGAGAAGTAGAAAACCAAGAGCGAAGCTTTTGGTTCAAGGTTTCCCACCAAAAGCGCCATGCGACTCCATCGATACGTCGTTACTAACGGTGGAGATAACCAAGAATCTACTCCACCATAGAGAGAGCCACTTTCAGCTACAGTATCTAGGTACAATCAACTACAGTACGTGATGGCATACAATTTTCACAAAAGGTCATTATGGAGATCAAGAGTTTGCAAGTTAAACCCGTTCTTCTGAACGGAATGTGCTTGTATTGACGCGCGCCTAAAAATCGGCAACGCAGAAATGTGCTAGCATAAAGTACTGACGACCATCCAAGTGGTCAGGTTCCCATATTTGTCGTGAAGTTCCATAAAACGCCCAAATAATCATTACTGTAATCCATCGCAGACACCTTACTGGCCACCACGCAGGCGGAGGACCAAGTGCAGGGTGCTCTCCTTCTGGATGTTGTAGTCGCTCAGGGTGCGACCGTCTTCCAGCTGCTTACCAGCGAAGATGAGGCGCTGCTGGTCAGGGGGGATACCCTCCTTGTCCTGAATCTTTGACTTGACGTTGTCGATGGTATCAGATGACTCCACTTCCAGTGTGATTGTCTTGCCGGTCAAAGTCTTGACAAAGATCTGCATACCACCACGAAGACGAAGGACAAGGTGGAGGGTAGACTCCTTCTGGATGTTGTAATCGCTCAGGGTGCGACCGTCCTCAAGCTGCTTACCAGCAAAGATGAGACGCTGCTGGTCGGGAGGGATACCCTCCTTGTCCTGGATCTTGGACTTGACGTTGTCAATGGTATCGGATGACTCCACCTCGAGGGTGATGGTCTTGCCGGTGAGAGTCTTGACGACTAGAAGCAGGTTAGGCTCATGTTGTGGTAGAGAGATATCAAGTTGACTTACAAATCTGCATACCACCACGGAGGCGGAGGACCAGGTGGAGGGTGGACTCCTTCTGGATGTTGTAGTCGGACAGAGTTCGGCCATCCTCGAGTTGCTTGCCAGCGAAGATCAGACGCTGCTGGTCAGGAGGAATGCCCTCCTTGTCCTGGATCTTGGACTTCACATTGTCGATAGTGTCGGAAGACTCCACCTCGAGGGTGATGGTCTTGCCGGTGAGGGTCTTGACGAAGATTTGCATGGTCGCGGATTAAGCGGTTATCGCTGTAGAATGGGTGAAGTTGGGTAGAGTAGAAGAAGATTCGCTGGTAGCGGATATTCCTTAGGGAGCAGTAGCAGAGACGTGTGTGCGGATGGAAAAAGAGAGAAGAAGAAGCGTGAATTGCTGACAGGCAGGCGGTCCTTTATGTAGTGACAGCGCAAGGAGGAGGCGAGCGGAAGCCTGAGGGGGCGGTGACCAACAAGGCGAGAAGGCGCAGTGACCAGCCCGGGCGCGGTGCAGCTGGCCCAGCAGGAGGTCACTGCTACCCGCGCCGATGAGTAACTGGTGGCAAGCGGCTCCATGCATGATTCATCAGCCAATGCCATGGCCCCAAGAAGGCTCCAGAATCATCCGGGGAAGGCGAGGCGCTGTTGTCGGTACCGCATCCGCACGCAACGGGCGGTGGGCCGCGAGGTATCGTGGACCTGCATCCGGCTACGCTGCCCTCCACTGGGGGGTCAGGCATTCAGCCTATCGAAGGCGGTGGGGCGCGGTATCGCTCTAGCTGGTGTTGCCTGTCGCCCCTCTTTTGCGTCCCCCGGAATCGATGTCTCTGCGCAGCCCAGCCGGTTCGGCGTGGCAAATAATCGAATAGTTTAGCTGCGCAGAGGCGAATAACGGAAAATAAGCTGTGCAACTATATTGGATCTATTTCCCATGAAACTGCAGTTATCTTTTCTTCCATCTTTCTCTCATTTCTTCCTCACACGATGGGTTGCAACTGCTTGCCGCACTTCGCCCGAGATACCACCCGTACGGAGATGCTCGGAGCAGCACCCCCTAGAAACTCGCGTTATCAGACCAGCGGTCAACATCAGTGACGTAGTTCACTGGCCGTTCACTGGCTCTTCACTGCGCTTTCCAGGCTCGGCTACCGCGCCAAACGCAAGCGCAGCTTATCAGACACGCTGGCCTACCTGGCGACAAGAAAGAATCTTGCGCAATCAGGATTTCGTCATTCGGACCAGGGGTCGTCTCGCCATGCAGAAATTGCATCACCTTCACGATTTCACCACAGGAGGGGCCGAAACTGGCGTCCGGTTTTGGTACCCGCAGTTTCGCGCAAGCCGTTCTTGTGGGGGCTGGCTGGTAGCATTGACTTGAACATTGTGTGAAGTAGTTTTGTAAGAGATGCTTTGCCAGAGATGGCAAAATGCCGTGCTCTGACGTACAAAGGCGGCCAAATCCGATTGGCCGGGAGACGACGTTGACAGACTGTCACCGAACACGCTGAACAGCACTGATATCGCGTAATTTCGTCTTTCAGCGTCTCATCTGGCCCCATGCACCCTGATGGCTGAATATCAGTAAAGAGAAAACCCCCAGCGTTGATTCCTTGAGACCGTAACCCGTGCTGTTGAATGAACGGCAACCTTGATGGTTTCTATGCCAAGCCAAGAAGACGATCGCTCAGATCATATAAACCAAGCCGCTAGAACACCTCTTTAAAGTTAGAGCACAGACAGGCCAGATGTTATGATCCCTGCCTGCAGTCGATCCGGATCAGCCCGTCAGGAACAACTATGTTGCCACTTGCCTATGAGGCGGCCCCTGCTTTATATCCTCTTCTGGGCGGAATCTATCAAGCCCGTCTAAGTTAGTGCATATCATATTTACAACGAAGCGTCGTTTATAACCAAGAAAATAAGATGAGACTCTCTAAAGTGGGAGGAATACAGTGTGCTTAGCTCTAGAGAAAGGACACGAGAACCTCCACAGCAAGACCGACCCTCAGAAATAAAAGCGAGGTTCAGCATAGCATTTAACTACTATTCCTACGAAACAAAGATGATCATGCTGTTTTATCTGATGGGATTTAAGCTGGTAAGCCCTAGGAAACGACGAAAATGACTTTGAGTAACATGATCTTTCCTGAGATAGATGCCAAGCTGATATTGAATGGTAAACCATCCCAGAAATAGGCAACACTTCTATGAGTACCTAAACTCTCCTTGCAGTCTCGCTAGATTCGCCTTCTCGTAAGCGATAACCCGGATAATCCACGGTGGCCAAAATAATTACCGAATCAAAGTTCGTTACCGATCAATCTGTGAGGCTGAGTGAGTGATTTTATGCTTACATCTACTACTAGGTAGCAAACAGTCTCAGAATATCATTTCTTTGGAGAGTGGTATCTAGGTGGACTATTCTCCATCGCTGTAATATTGTAGCAATCTCTGTTGATTTATTCTGATTGCTGTCTCTCATCTTCTTTCTCATTTCCCTTTGACATCAAAGTGGTGATTCTATATGACGTCTCATACCTAGTTGAAGCTCATTCTTATTGAGTATTTCTTGGTCAATTTTACAATACTAAATGTTCACATAATTTATAGGATTGCTGAATAAGTGTTCTTTTGTTTACTTATAAAGCCCCCGGGAAGTCCTGGCGGGCAACTGATGGTGATTGAACAAATATACACTTCCATACAATCTCTTGGTTGACGCTAGACGAGGCTTACGAAGGGGGGTTCACAGTTGACAGCGCGTTTGGCGCGTCCTCCTTCTTATCTGGGATAGACAACCGTGGTTGATTAGTTGCTCATAGTCAACTTTTAAATATAAGGTTGGATTTCTCTGTTGGTGGTGCGTTTCTACCCAATAGACACGTCTGACAGGGATTGAAGGCTGCTCGGTTGCTGATAGAGTTTGCTAGAGCTCACTGCAAGCAAATGTGTGTCTCAAGTCCAGAGCTTAATGCGGTTTTCTCCACATTATGGGCCAAAACATCAATCAGTGTCAATGGCTTTGTTTTCACTGACAGTTGCGATCAAAGACAAATTCCAGACACCCCTTGTCCCTTGCCTGGGATGGCATGATGAGAGCAGCCGCAAGCACATGTTAATGGCAAGATAATATACAAAATAAAACCATTAGCATTGCCCCATACTACCTTATACGGAGCGGCATGCCTCGTTTCAGCAGCCTTACCGTGCCGTATCGCCGTTCGTCCGTCCGCGGCTAGCGCTGAAGACTTACCGGTTGCTCCCTGTAACGTTAATATTACTGGTACTAAAGATAGAGATCACATGGGAATTGGCTCGAAGCTGGACGCGCTCGTAATTTGAGAGGGAGCAGGCCGAGAAGAAACCAGTAATCGCCTGAATCTGCATTTTTCGTTTGGAATGCTCCCTATTTTCATTTTTTTTTCTGTCGAAAAAGCGAACAAAGAAGTGTTGCCAAGCTGAACATCTGACGCATCACACCAACTACGAATCTTAAGCCCCTCCTTCCCTCTACGCCGCAAAGCGTCATTCACCCCGTGCCAGCTTTTCGGACTAACAGCTCTGGAGCTGCGGTACTAGAGGGGTTGATCTGTTTTTGTCCACTTTTTCTCTCTTTACACATCAAGCTTCGCACAGCTTGAGCGTTCTCTCTGTCGCTCGACACATCGATCAGAATTACAGCGGTATAATTATTGCTAGCGAGACGGAAAAAAACTGAAAAAAAAGAAGCTTTGCAAATATGGCCTCGAAAGAAGTCGCGGCGTCGGCTGCGACGGAGGCAGAGCCTCATGATGCATCGGCTGAGGGGTCTGAGCAACCCCAGAAGGAGCTCTACCCCATGATCAACTGGAAGTACGACCTGTTTCTCTACGGCATGGGCAATCTGGTGAACCTGTTCTTCAGAGAGGTTATACCACGAGGCGCATGGAGAGTTCCACAGAGCGGACCGGTGCTCTTTGTCGCTGCGCCGCATGCAAACCAGGTATGGAGTTCCCATCTTGTCTACATAATTTCTTTTCTGGATTTTTGCGATAAAATACAAAGAAAGAGTAAACACCATGCTTACGCGAACCGCAATAGTTTGTCGACGCCATCCTTCTGCAACGAACACTGCGACTAGACGCCAACCGCCGAGTATCGCTCCTGATTGCGCAGAAGTCTGTCCACGGCTTCATTGGCTGGGGATCCCGCCAGGTCGGCTCCGTTCCCGTCGGGCGAGCACAAGACGCCGCGAAGCCTGCAACGGGCTTCATCTATCTCCCGGACCCGATCAACGACCCGACACTGATTCGAGGAGTGGGTACAAAGTTTGGCGAGGGCGAGGGCGAGCCTCAGGGAATGCTGTTTTTGCCCCCGGGTAAGAAGACATCTGGCGAAAGTGTCAACATTGATCAGATCCTAGGCCCCGAGGAAATTCGCATCAAGCGACCGTTCAAGACTCAACTGGGCCTGAAGCAGCTCACCGGTCGAGACGATATTGACAAAGATGGCAACTTTACGAATAAATCAATCAACGGTCCGGCGCCGGGATATCAAGGGACTAAATACAAGCTTGCGCCTCATACGGATCAGACAAAAGTATACGAGGCTGTCTTTGCGCGACTGAGGAGTGGTGGATGTGTCGGTATCTTCCCCGAAGGCGGCAGCCACGATCGCTCCGAGCTGCTCCCAATCAAGGCCGGCGTGGCCATCATGGCTCTGGGAGCGCTGGCCGAGTCGCCCAACTGTGGCCTCAAGATTGTGCCCGTGGGCATGAACTACTTCCACCCGCACAAGTTCCGCTCGCGTGCTGTTATTGAGTTTGGAGCGCCCTTTGAGATACCGCCGCACGTGGTTGAAATGTACCGGAATAACCAGCGAAGAGAGGCAATCGGCCAGGTCATCGACACTGTCTACCAAGCACTCAGCTCTGTGACCGTCTCGGCTCCGGATTACGACATCCTGATGGTGATTCAAGCAGCGAGAAGACTCTACAATCCTACCGGCAAGAAGTTGCCTTTGCCCGTCGTGGTGGAACTAAACCGACGCTTGGCGCTGGGCTACGAGCGTTATAAAAACGATGAGAGGATAACTAAGCTGTCCAAGAGCGTGAAAGAGTACAATTCGCAGCTACGGTATCTCAACTTGAGGGATCACCAGGTGCAGTACGCCACCATGTCGATCTGGAAAGTAATTGTGCTTTTCATCTACCGCTCGATCAAGCTCCTGATTCTCTTCCTCTGCACGGTCCCCGGTCTCCTCTTGTTCTCCCCAGTCTTTGTGGCCACAAAGATTATCAGCCGAAAGAAGGCCAAGGCAGCACTGGCGGGCTCAACTGTCAAGATCCGTGGACGTGACGTCATGGCCACATGGAAGATTCTCGTTGCCTGTGGATTGGCTCCGACGCTCTATCACGGCTACTCGATTGCTGTCGTTGCTAGGGCCTGGTATGACCGTCTCTGGGGCTATCTACCGGAATGGGTGCCTCTTTTCTTTGTGTATCTGGCTATCTGGGTGGTCTGGGTGGCTATCACCATTGCTGCGCTGCGGTTCGGAGAGGTGGGGATGGATATTTTCAAGTCTCTTAGACCGCTGGTGCTATGTCTGGTTCCTGCATCTGATTACAACATTCATAAGCTGAAACTGAGGCGGGCAGAGCTGAGCGCGCAGGTAACGGAGCTGATCAACACACTTGGACCAGAAATGTTCTCCGACTTTGATAAAACAAGACTCGTTCCTGATTTCACGAAAGTCGAGACAGGCGGCACTCAGTCATCGCCCGCAGAGACTCGCCCCCGGCGCGACAGCGACCAGTCAAGCACCGGTGTCGATTTGGAGACGCCCCCAGCGCTATCACGCCGCAGCACTACGCAGTCCAGCCGCTTGTTGCCCAGGAACGACTCTTTCAGTAACATTGGCAGAGTTGGCATCTTCTCAACACGGCCGCCATCACGCTCACGCAGCCGCTCCAACAGCTCGGGTGGCGGTTTCGGATCTAGCGGCTTCCCAATCAGCGGATTCACAACTCTGGATTCTGCTGAAGGCTTTGGTGAAGCCAGCCGCAAGATCAGAGAAGCCATGAAGGACAGGCGGAGGAAGTCTGATAAGGTCAAGATGCAAAGCGGTGCAGATGAAGACGAGAATTCTGATAGCGATGAGGACGGATACAACGAAGCGAGGAAGAAGAATGTGTAAGAGAGGCGACGAGCAACCCGCTTAATGAGGATGGATTGCGCGCGGGTGTCACACATACTGTCCTTTTTGCTTGTCTTTTCCTTTCTGCTGTCTTTTCTTCATCTTTGTTTAATTTTTCTGCCCTTGGAGGTTTTCTTCCTTCTTTTTGTGTATATGTATTTTATCGAACTTCTCTAGGGAAATAGCGAATGTGGGTTTCTTGTTGGCATTTTTAGGCCAGCGTTAGACTTTACAGCCTTACATGGTCAATCATGCACTGCTCCAATGATATGCAAGGTGCTATTGTTATGGGTATAAGCGAAAATCCTTCTGTTGACTGAGGCATCGTGAAATGCTCCCGCTTGATGTCGTCGAAATTTAATTCTGAAATTTCTCAAAGCCCATTAGAACATTCGAACTGACAAACATTATTCAGTGGCCGTGCAGGTATTCTCCCAACTCTTTTTTTTTTTTTTTTGGGGGTACTTTTTAATTTACAGTACAGGAAAAATTACCTCGACACCTAATCCAACGAATCACCACAGGCTCGGCCTGAGTGAATTTGTAGTTCCTGGCACACCTGTAAGCAGGACCGAGCCACCAGTTCAAGCACAACGAATGAGGGGATTATGTAGATGCAAGTAGGCATCCACGTCCGAGATCGCCCCAGTGAATAACTAATCGCAGCCTCCTTACCAACTTGTTTCTGCCTAATACCTACCGCCTAACCGCTTTTGTTTGAGTGATGGGCGCAGTGTCATGGCTTCCTTCATCATGAAGCCTGTTGAGTTATTGCAACTCTGTCCATTAAACTTTGGCGCATATCTTCAAAGTTACCTTGCATAGGTACGAATCATTGTACGAACTGACATGCCTCAGCCTGATGACTACACAATTGGCTGGATTTGCGCCATAAGAACGGAGTACGTGGCTGCACGAGCATTTCTCGACGAGGAACACGAAGGACCTACAATTGTATCGCCCAATGACAATAACGCTTATACACTGGGTAAGATTGGGGGGCACAATGTTGTTATCGCCGTCTTACCTGATGGGGAGTACGGCACATGCTCTGCTGCTAGTGTCGCAAGAGACATGATGCATAGCTTTTCGAATGTCAGAGTTGGCCTGATGGTCGGGATTGGCGGTGGTGCGCCGAGCAAAAGGCATGATATCCGTCTGGGCGACATTGTGGTCAGCGCGCCTCGAGACGGAAAGGGCGGCGTTTTTCAGTATGACTTTGGCAAAACCGTTCAAGACCAGAGCTTCAGGCAAACAGGGTTTTTAAATCAGCCTCCGGCCGTCTTGCGTACAGCAGTGACTGTAATTAGCGGCCAGTACGAGAGCGACGGCCACGGCCTCGAAGAGGATATCGGCATCATACTCCGGAAGAAGAAAAGACTCCAGAAGACGTACAGCCGGCCAGATCCAAGTAGCGATAGGCTATACCGATCCGAAGTCGTGCACCCCAGGGATTGCGACAATTGTTCAGTACCCTGTGATACTGATCTATCAAAAATCGTATTGCGACTCAGACGGACTGAAGACGAAGATAATCCAGCAATCCATTACGGCATCATTGCCTCTGGAAATCAATTAATGAAGGATGCGTTGGTTAGGGATAAGCTCGCTGCAGAAGAAGATATTCTATGCTTTGAAATGGAAGCGGCAGGACTAATGAATCACTTTCCCTGCCTGGTTATCCGCGGCATATGCGACTATTCGGATTCCCACAAGAACAAGGAGTGGCAGGGCTATGCCGCAATGACAGCGGCTGCATATGCAAAGGATCTTCTCCGTCGAATAGCTCCCAACAGGATTGAAGCTGAGAAGAAAATGACTGAACTTCTTTCTGGTGCGCCTGATGCAACCTAGTTGTCTTTCAATTGAATAGCTAACAACTATATAATTTTTATTGCCAGGCGTCCAACAAAGCGTTGACGAAGTTGTCCAAGTGCAATATGACCAGGCCAATAAAGCTATCCTTGATTGGCTTACGCCAATTGAATATGGCCCTCAACATAGCGACTTCTTCAACAGACGAGAACCGGGAACTGGACAATGGTTCTTAGGCTGTGACGAGTACCAGACCTGGCTGAGCTCTAACAAATGCACACTATTCTGCCCAGGCATTCCAGGGTCAGGCAAAACAATTCTCACAGCGATAGTGGTTAACGATCTGATGACAAGATATCAGAATGACCCAACAGTAGGCATTGCCTACATCTACTTCAATTTCAGGCAGAGAGATAACCAGAAGATTGAAATTTTGGTGGCGAGTCTGCTGAAACAGCTAGCTCGAAGTCGGTCCTTTCCAGAGGGTGTGAAAGATCTCTATAACCGACATGAAAGAAGACAGACGAGGCCGTCAGCAGACGAGATCTCGCAGGCTCTCCAATCTGTCGCAGCAAAGTATTCGAAAGTTTTCATCATTGTCGATGCGCTTGACGAATGCCAATCGTTTAATGACTGTGGATCAAAACTCCTATCATATATTTTCGATATGCAAGCCAATACTGTGATTAACTTCTTTGCAACTTCGCGACCCATTCCGGATATTGAAGGTCAATTCAAGACGCACATCAGGCGTGAAATTCTAGCTACTAATGAAGATGTGGGCACATATCTTGAGAGTCATATGTCGAATCTCCCAAGGTGCATCTTAAACAGGCCAGATATACAAGAAAGAATCAAGATTGAAATTGCAAGTGCCGTGGATGGAATGTCGGTATTTTGCCTGCGCACAAGTTACCGGACCTCTGCTGACACTCGCTCAGGTTTCTGCTTGCGCAGCTTTACCTCGACTCGCTCAAAGACAAGATATCTACGAAGCAAATCAAATCCGCACTAGAGCTGTTCAAGAAGCAAAGCCAACTAAATTTAGGAGAAGATAAGAAACGCATAGTTTTGGAAAAGGCTTATGAACAAGCAATGGACAGAATAAATAGTCAGATGCCAGGGCTTGAAGTGCTTGGAAAGAAGGTCTTGGCGTGGATCACCTGCGCGAAACGGAAACTAACCACATCAGAGCTCCGGCATGCCCTGGCAGTAGAAACTGGGACCACTGAGCTTGATAGAGACAATCTTCCAGATATTGAAGACATGGTCTCAGCATGTGCCGGACTGGTTACGGTGGACAAAGAAAGTAACATCATCCGATTAGTCCATTACACAACGCAAGAGTACTTTGATCGAACACAGCAATATTGGTTTCCGGATGCAAAGGCCGACATTACGGAAATCTGCGTTACTTACCTCTCCTTCAGCGTCTTTGAGAGTGGATACTGTCCAACTGAGAAGGAATTTTGGGCGCGGCTGCAATCGAATCCGCTCTACAAGTACGCTGCGCATAACTGGGGTCACCATGCTCGCGCTGCTCCAGAGAAACAGCTCATTCTTGATTTTCTAGAGAGTAAAGCCAAGTTATCTGCTTCAATCCAGACAATGACGGATTTCACTTACTTTGAAAGCTATAACCAAGAAAATCTGTTAACAACGAGCGTTCATGTGGCAGCGTACTTTGGACTAAGGTGCACAACTTCCTTACTCGAGAATGGGCACGACGCAAATGCTACAGATGGACGTGGACGTACGCCACTCTGGTTCGCCGTTTACAAGGATAACGAAGCCGTTGTGAGGATCCTGCTTGAGAAGGGGGCAGACACCGAGGCGGCAAATAAAAGCGGTCATAGGCCGCTTCGGTTGGCCACTGACAAGAAAAATGAAGCCATTATGAAGCTCCTGCTCGAAAAGGGCGCAGACACTGAGGTGGTAGACGAGGACGGTCATAGGCTGCTTTGGTTGGCTGTTGCGGGCGGGCATGAGACAATTGTAAAGCTGCTGCTGGAGAACGGCGCCAACACCGAGGCGGCAAATAAAAGCGGTCATAGGCCGCTTCGGTTGGCCACTGACAAGAAAAATGAAGCCATTATGAAGCTCCTGCTCGAAAAGGGCGCAGACACTGAGGTGGTAGACGAGGACGGTCATAGGCCGCTTTGGTTGGCTGTTGCGGGCGGGCATGAGACAATTGTAAAGCTGCTGCTGGAGAACGGCGCCAATGCCGAGGCCAAAGGTAAACGTGTTCAGCTGCCGCTTCATACAGCTATTCAGAAGAAAAATGCGGCTATTGTTCAGCTCCTGCTTCAGAATGGCGCCGACGTTGAAGCAAGAAATCAGTATAGTCAAACGCCGCTTTTGCTGGCTGTTTGGATGAGACTTGAAACCATTGTTCAGCTGCTGCTTGAGAAGGGCGCTGACATCGAGGCAAAAGACACCATTGGTCTGACATCACTTAGGTTGGCAGTTGAGAGAGGAAATGAGGTTATTGTTCAGCTGCTGCTCGACAAGGGTGCCAACGCCAACGTTACTGTTAGTTACAGCAATCAGACGTTGCTTCAGTTGGCTGCTGCGAAAGGGCATGAGGCCATTGTCAGAATGCTCCAAACAAAGTCCTGATAGCTAGGCCTCTTAGAAGATACGTGCGTGACCGGTATAACGCAAGGAGCGCCTTCAATGCAAAAATTTCGGTCCTTTCCTGCCGTTATTAAAGTGATGTCTTCTCCTTCCCCTCATGAAGAGTATCTAGATGGTATGGTTGTTTCAATAGGTAGTATACTAATTAATTCCAATACGGTTTACCAGAGGCTGTGATCTGTTGCTTTATCAGCTACATGTGTACCTATGCTGTGGCAGTCTAGCCCCAACTCCAAATTTGATGATGCAAATTCGTGTGGTCAAATTCCGCAGTGAATAAGTGGGTGTAAGAGAGTGATTGTCAAAAATACATATATTTCCTGGGAAGCTATAGCACCATAGACTCAGTACTTAGTAAGACCATGCAATGATAGCGAGATGACACCATTTCGTATCCGCTTACGCAACCGTGATTGATAAAATACTCTGGTGTGCTTATGATGCCTTGCAATTTTTGGTAAGCTCAGAATGGACCGTAATGTTGTAATGTTATGATGGCGAGCTGCAAATAATACGGGGTTTGCCTCCACACCTAAGCCGGTGAATTGTGCTCGGAGATGCTCGGCGATGATTGGGATTGTGGGTTGTGGGGGGGATTACGCGGCAAACAATGAAAGAATTGACGACTATCTGTCTTTTTAACTGCTAGTTGTCACGGAATATTGACGTATAGAGGGGAGGCTTGAACATGAGATGACGACGACGTCAAAAAGGTCGAGCATACAGAATTCAATGCGGCGATGACGGGAATTTCCCGTTTCGGCGCAGCCCTCCACGCGGGTAAGGCAAGCCCCCCATCGGGTCATCGGCTTAGCATCCGAAGCGAAGAGTGGGAGGGGCGCTGCGTTAAAGTGGATTTGGTGGGTGGCCGATTCGCTGTGCCGCGCGGTTGGGGCAGGATCTGATAAGGATTTTATCATTTTGGCCTCCAAGGCATATTGTGCTTACACCGGTAAGTCCGAGCTTGGGGGGAATTCAAGGATGCAATTGTCCTTTTCCTTTTAAAGGAGCCCGGCTGTTTCTCACGGCTGAGGCTGCTCCAATTTTGTTTTCTTTTTAAAACTTTGTTTATTCCGTTTAGCAAGCAAGCGGTTGTTTTACTGGGGATAAAATTGCCCCCTTTACTAGACACTGGGCTTCGGGTTATCCACTTGGACTATTTTCTACTCTGCTCGGAAGCGGTCTTCTTTTTTTCTCTTTCCACCATGCCACCACCTTCCGCCGCCACCAACGGTAACGCAGCTGCACCTCGCATGCCCGTCAAGCAGAAAATGGCCGTCTCGCTGAAATCACTCATGAACTCGGTGCTGGGCGCCGTGCCGGCCTCGGTCGCGGGGCAGTTGGCGGCACCGTCGTCGAGTGGGGGCTCGGCGCCGATGGAGGCGCTCTTCGGAAAGACGTCTGCCGAGGTGGACGGCGAGGAGTGTCTGCACGACTGTGAGAGCTGCTCGGTCAAGTACCCGCGTGGCTTCAAGGTTGACGAGGAGGATCTGCTGTATGGACAGGTAAAGGGATGGAGCACGCATGTGCTGGTGGGGACGGGGAAGAGTGATTGGGTGAGAGACGTGGCGGATGAGAAGGGGAGTGTGATGGAGGCGATTCAGAAGGTTGGCGGAGTGACGAATGGGGTGAGTTTGAGCTTTTCATTTTTGATGTGAAAGAATGTTGGAGGATGAGATGAGATGTGTTCAAGTGAACTCACTCATGTTGAATAAGAGTGAGAATGAGAAGAGTCGAGATATATATGACTGACATTTTGGCGCAGAGACTCATGCTGTCCGCATCCAACATACCCACGCCTCACGACACCCACGACTACTCAGAACCCACCACCGTCATTCTCCTCCCGGCCTTTGCCACCGTGCAAAACGTGCATCCAAAGAACGTCTCTCAGCTCATCACCAGCGTCATCAACAACGCACCCACGAGCTCGTCTCCTCTCGTCCCCTGGCGCTCAGTCATCCCCGCCTCACTCCCCAGCCCAGACGCCTCATTACCCGATCTCACCATCAACTCATGTCCGCATAGCGCCGTGATCCTCTTGTGCAGTCAGAAGACGCGAGACGCCCGCTGCGGCCAGAGCGCACCGCTTCTGCGCAAGGAGCTGGAGAGACATTTGCGTCCGCTAGGCTTGTATCGTGATTTACACGACGAAAGACCAGGCGGTGTGGGAATCTACTTTATTAGCCATGTTGGCGGTCATAAGTACTCTGCTAATGTGATGGTGTATCGACGGCCGAATCCATTTGGCAAGGATGATGAGCCGCTGCCCGAAGGAGTAGTCGAAGCGGCGGCGGCGAAGGAGGATAATGAAGAAGAAGGAAAGGATGAGAGTCCAACAGAGAATGAAGGGGGAGAGAAAGAGGATGTGGGAGCTGCGCAGTGTATTTGGCTGGCAAGAATACGGCCAGAGGACTGCGAGAACCTGGTGAGATATACCGTGTTGAAGGGTAAGGTTGTGAAGCCCGAGAGGCAGCTGAGAGGAGGATTCGATAGAGGGAGGGGAGTGATGAGTTGGTGATGAGGAGAGATGAATTGCCATGATCTTTTTTGGTTTCACGTTGTTTCAATTTATTCAAGAATACTTTTTCTTTCTTCTTTCTCTTTATGGGATTGAGGTGCTATTTTCAACCTCGGCATATGAGGACATACACGCATAAGTTTAATTTAGATTGTACATTGGGCATTGCAATGATAGAAGGGAGGCGGTAACAATACCTTGGAGATGCAATGAAAAGGAATATTATCATCTATATGTTTTCATCATTTTGCGGTGCTGTCTGTTGGTAACTGCCATTGGCTGCCGTTGACTGCCGAAACACCCATGCAAGTGCTTCATTCAGCTCCTTTGACTTGGTCCAAAAGGCGCTATCGCGTCGTAACCTGCAACATACTATAAATAAGCAAAACATCGCGCACCATGGCCAAGAAGATATTTTATCCAGGGCAAAGCACTTAGGTGCAACAAGAGCGGGAAAAAAAAAACATAGAAAAAAAAAAGGAATACAACAAGGCTGGTTACCAGAACATGCGGCCTCTCAACACCAAAACCTACCAAATCACTGAATTCTTCGATTACAACATCCCCGAATATGCCATCCTGTCTTAAACCTGGGGCCTCGAAGAACTGACATATCAAGACCTCACCCAGTCCATAGAGCTCGCCCGCCAAAGAAAACCGCAAGGATTTGCCAAAGTCGAGGGCGCATGTGTGCTCGCACAGTCCGAGGGCTATGCCTACATCTGGATCGACGCCTGTTGTACGGACGAGCACCTTGCGGATTTTAAGTATCGGATTGATTGGGGGGAGAAGAGGACTGGTACATTTGATTGCTATGCGATGGGGGCACTGTTGATGGCGGAGATTGTCATGTTGCCGGAGGACAATTTGTACACGGTTCAGCTTGAGTGTAGGTATGTGAGTGACTCGTCGGCGTCTTGGTGGACGTGGGTATTTGGAGATGTGCCCGAGTATGATGGGAGTGATGATAGAGTCTGGAGGGTTCGATAGAAGGAAATATGAGGAAAAGTTTGATCTCTAATACGAGTTTGCAAGGGGCTGTACGAGTTTATACGCCCAAATAAGATGTCAGCAACGAGTCACCACCCATTGATTCAAGGTTCTTTTTATCAATGAATTAGAAAAAGCACATGATTAGCAGTGAAAAAGATTGTATTTAGTCTCTTAGCAATCTTGAAAACTCATAATATCAGCAATGGCCAGATCACGGCCTTTATAATCAGTTCCCCCACCCCAAGCCTCGATTTTAGATGCAGTCCTATCTTCACCCGAGCTGTACCAAACTCTCTAAACTCCAGCAATAGCAGAATACGATTGTTATAAAAGCCCAACCAGAGTCCAACATCTCCATCGTATCACTGACCATGGCGTCCGGGGCAATCAGGACCGCAACGTGCCTCAAAGTGGCTGCTACTACCCGTGCTGCTGCTATCGGCGGCATTGTTGCTGCCAGCTTCATCTTGACTTTCATCAGGAGCAGGAGTAGGCTGTGGCCAATTCGAAAACATGCTTGCCGCAGCAGATGCCGTGCTTTTCGAGGGTCCAGCCGTGCTGATGCCCATCACGTCTGGTGAACAAGCCACTGTCTGAACTCTGGGGAAACGACCAGAAAGCGGAAACGTCATGCCATATTGGCCGCCAAAAGGAAAGGGGCTGCTTTTATGCAAAGAGAACTCCTGTTGCTTCAAATTGCCCACAACCATCATCTCATCCGTACGCTTCATCTGCCTCATAGTCCTCTCCATCCTTTTCGTCACAGCACATTCCTCATCCTGCAAGTCCCTCAAGTCATCCAGCTTCTTCATCCAAGCCTCACTGTCGGGAAAAGATTGAGCCTGTGGAAGGATGCTTCGTCCCGCCGTAAGAGCATTGATCGTGGCAGCGCCGGTGACGATGTCCATCTCGTGGCACATAAAGTCCAGCGGGCTTTGGAAGAAGAGATCCCACGCCGTCTGCTCTATGAGTTTCTCCGTGCGGGCGAGTTGCGTCTGTGCCTCTTGGTAGCGCTGCTGAAGGGTTTGTTGGACGTGGCGGAGGACGTAGAGGCTTGCAGTTGTGCGCTGTTCTTGATCAAGCCGGGCGGAAAAGGAGGAGTGTTGGTTGTTGACCTCCGGGAGCTTTGATGATGGAAATGGCGAAGAGAAACCTGAGCTGAATGGATTGGTTTGGGAGCCGTAGCGAGTTTCGAAATGTTGTTTGTATTTCTCCTGAAGGCGGGCGAAAGCGAACAAGGGGTTAGAAGCCCGTTGCTGGGACGGCATGTTGAAGCCCTGCCCGGCGAGGAATGTTGGAGGCGGCCAGCGCATGTGAGGCTCCTGATTAACACCATTGCTCGAAGGAGAAGAAGCACTCAGAGCCTCGGATGGAGATGTAGATATGCTGGGAAATCGTCCCGGCAGGGCTTCATGAGCCTTTGACGTCGAGCTGCTCGCATCCATCTTTTCCTAAATCTTGAACGGTGTAAGTGATGCTTAGTTGGAGGGGAGCAGATGTTGGCGAGTTGTCGAGGTGGAGGAAGCTAAAGGAACAAAGAGGGAGAAGAGAGCGTGGCGTTGCGAGAAGGCATATTTATGGCGAGTTACAGCGCAGTGATTCAGAGTGTTTGCAAGAGTCCGTCTGAATCAAAAGAGCAGTCTTGCGGACAATCAGAGAGAGTGCGGTGTGAAAAGTGCACAGGAAGAGCGGCTACTCTGCTTATTTGAGAACAATCATAGCAATGGCTTAGCGTTTTTGGTGGGAAGATGGAGCTTATACACGGAGTTTTACAGATGTGTCTTTTCACTTCACTGTTTTCGAGAGTCTTGGGCCCGTGAGACACACCGACTGTGAATCGCCATTGCAGCAAAAGTGGTGATTATTGATGGATGAATCTTCAACTGTTGCTTGTTATCATATGCTTCAATAAGTCTCATCACAAATACAATCCTTTGCACTCATCCGCGCTGCGATATACACATGTATTCATCTCTCTCATTATAGTCATACCAATATCCATCAGGTCTCATATAAGCAGTATATCCAAAACCTAGGGTTACACAGCAAAGTGAAACCCCGACTGCGCTCGCGCTGCAAAAAAAAGCATAGAGAAACTCATGTAGCCAGTTCAAATCCAAAACACGTAAACAACAGCTCATGTAATCCAAGACTGGAAAACCAAAGAAACATTCCAGCGCCTCATATCCAAGCAAGAGATATATAGTATATATATATATAAGCCACCATCCCTGACAGCCCTTTTGTAAAAAAAAACAGCATCAAACAAATCTCAGCACAAGAACCCTCTCCTCCCAGACTCATTATTTCAAACACCACGCAAAAAGAACATGGCATTTAAAATAAAAAGTCTCGCAAAAAGAGAGAAATTCTTGCTCAGTCAGTGTTAGTCCGCCAAGCTCTGGCTGTGGCTGCTACTCGACACAGACGTCACGCTGAGCTCTCGTCGCGCTCCATGCACCAGCTTGTAGATGCCAAAGGAAATGGCCGCCAGCACGATGAAGAGGACGATGATGATGATGGCGATGACGTAGTTGCGTTGCGTCATGGCGACGGATGTGAGAGATCCCCGGCTTGGGGATCGAAAAGTGTTTTTATCTGTGCTTTTGGAGGTTTGTTTATTTTTGGTTGTGTTGAGGCGTGGGCGGTGTAGCTGAGGCGCTTTGTTGTCGTGTTTGTTTATCGCTTCACGGAAGAAGGCACCGCAAGAGTGAATAGGCAGAATGCGTTGGTAGACTGCGCCGAGGCCGGATTAGCAACGTGTTCAGTCCTGCATCAACCCGAACAAAAAAAAGAGACAAGCGACATACCAAACAATGAGTCTCGTCACCGCAAAAACAACAGCGGGTCCAGCACCAAAACAAGAGAGCAGGACCGTTTTCGAGTAACAAACGCGCTTGGTTATCCAAAAGAATTCTTCCAAAAGAAGTAATGAATAGTTCTAAGAAAGAAAACCAATCAATCAAAGCGCTCCGTTGTTCATAAAAAATGAATAGAGATCACAAAAAAAAGAGGCCCTTCACGCGTACACGATAAAATGCGCCCATCCTTTCCCCCCCCAGCTATATGTAGGTACACGCTGTTGCCCCGCCACTCCATTTTCGCAAAAAAAAAAATCGCAAGGCTGGGAATGCCACCAAGCTTCTTTTTGGCTGTCGTGCCTGGGACTAGCTGAGGTGGCTTACGTCTTCCGTATCCCTGTAACCCCACTGATGCTGCTGATTTTCTCACTACTGTGGCAGTTCGTACAGTAACTTGCGTTACGGGGGGCCGAGGAGTTGAGGCTTTGCTGTTTCAGTGGAGCCCGATCGTGTTTCCCAGCCTCATAATTATGGGAAAAAGAACATGTTGTGTACCGTAAGAGCTGCGGTGGTGGCATGTCATTGGCCAAAGATGGGAAACTGTCGTGTGTTGGTGACTTGTTGAAACGTGCTTGAGTGCTTACAAGTAACCTGACGAATACAGAAGACGAAAGGAATATTCCAAACCCCTTTCGCTCGCTATAAACTCTTTGACACGGCTCTTCTGTCGCGTACAAGTTATATCTCATTCGAGAGAGAGAGGGGGGCGTTGTCAGTCAATAAGTAGCTTCATTCAGTCATCCACGAATAAATTAACATCGTCATGTAAAGATACAAAGTCAGACGGCACTCTGCAAAAATACCTCCAGCAGCCGATATATGTACACCGCAACTGCAGTCCATACTACTTCTATTGTTAATAGAAGCTAGTTAGGTCGTAGTAACTAATGGCAAGAGGCCATGTAATTGCGAAATCGTAGCTGGTAAGAAAACAGGCGCGAAGATTAAGTAAACGTTAGAACCAAAACAATCCACATACGCCAGCCTTCATACAACAATTGTAGGAAGTAGTCGAAGAATAAATTCAATCCCGGAACACCATTTTCATGAGACAGAAAAGGGGCGAATGATGACTCCTTCGCTCTTGATTTCCTTCCAACGTCTCCTCACTTGAGCGTTGTACCTCTTCACTCAGTCAGCTGCATATTCCCTTCTCTGATGATTCGTACATGGCGTTCGTAGAATGCCAACATCTATTACCCCAAAGATTAGCCTCTCGCGTCTAGACTCGGGTGAAGATCAAAGGCTGAGGGCACGCTTACTTTTTGCGGGCACTTCTTGTAAATGACCTTTGTGTCGTGCTTCGTCTTACGTCCGTTTTTCCACACAAGGTAAACAATGAGCCGGCCGCTGCCTTCGTCTTCGCAGGCGTCAATCGTATCGATTTCGTCCTCCCACGATCCTGCCGGAGGATTCCACTTGTCTGATGTCGCTGGCGGCGTCGATTCGCTAGGATGTGTCCCGTTTCTCTTGGAGCGCTTTGTGCTGGCAGATTGCGCCGTGCTTGAGGTACGGCCGCGCTTCTTGCCTTTGGCAGCTTCCTGTGTCTCCTCAAATATCTTTTCTCGCCCGCCGATGGATTCGAGGTAGTTGGCCAGAATATCGCCAGCTGATTCCCTAAGCGCAACAAAGTCAGTCCACAAACTTGCTCAACATACCGAAGCGCAACACATACTGTAAATTCTCCTCGGGCTCCCAGGTCATGTCCGACTTTTTTTCGTAGCCCTCCCATTTAACGTGGAATTTCAACGTTCCCTAAGCGGCGTCAGTCGTGCCCAGGGGATATATCGGACTTTGAGTATGATATCTGCCATACATCTTCGTCGATCATGTGCTTCTTGATGGCTTCAACGATGAACCTATGATAGCTGTCAGAGTCACGGCCTCCTTGTGCGAAATCAGATCGACGTACACATCTTCGTCAAGCTCTTCCCCATCGTCCTCCTCCTCATCGTCCTCCGCATCCACTTCCGCGTACACGGCCACTTCTACATCAGTCGACCCTTTCTCTTCCTTCCTGCTGGGTCGTCCGTTTCGCCGGAGTAATGCAAGCGCGTCGCTCGCGTCGCTGGACATGGAATTTGACTTGCGCGGGGACTTGACGGGCTGCGCTGTCTCGTAGTCCGAGGTCTCCTCGTCGCTGAGTGCTGCTCGTTTCTTAGCAGGGGGCCTTCCTCTCCGCGCCATGATGCAGCAATGACAAGACGATTGGTGATGTTGCACTCAAAATTCCAGGTGTAGAAATAGCATAAGCTAGCAGTGACTGCCCGGGGTTGCAGGCGCCTGCCAGCTGGGAGTGGCGAAGAAGTCCAAGTAATGACAACTAACAGCAAACGGAGAGCACGTACCTGGCGGCATTATCGCAAGTGTTGAGTTCAATTGATAACTGAGAAAAAATCGAACCCGCGATTCAAAGCGGCGCAACCGGCGCAAACCTGACGATATTCAGTAAGCAAACGCGACTAGGCGGCGCACTCTCCAAGCTTTGGTGTTGCCCCAGCCACCAGCGACGCTCGATCACGTGAGCAGCTTGATCGTCTCGCGATCGAGCTAAAGAGCCTAAAGAGCTTCGCCATGAGCTCTGCCACAGAGTAAAGACGGCCCAAATCTTATACAATGCAGTAACTTCTGGTTAGTAGTTGGTAGCCTTGGAGAATAAACTATCCGTTGTTTCCATGCCGCGAGTTCGTCTGTGTTGGCGCACACGCTCACAGCAGTTTGCTTGCTAGCAGACAAACAACATCACCATGACGGGTTGGATGCGACCAAGTCCCGAATATGGCAACCTAAATCCGTGCGCACTCAATCAGCGTGGGGGCATATCCGGATATTTTTCAATTTTGCCAGGAATTCTGTGTTGATTCTGAGGCTTAGGTGGCATGGGGGAAGTTCTCACTGTCGTTATTCTGTGTGCAACAGCAATGAAATCGCCATGTTTTGATCTTAACATGTATTCTGCCACAAAGAGTGTCGTTCAATGACAGTTTATTCATTTACTGCCCCTCATGCATCATAAATCAGTTTGAAATAAAGTTGCCGTGTACGTATGTATACGCCAAGCTTGAAGCCCTCGGCTCGTCTCGTATGGCGATATCCGAGATCCTGGCTATCGCTGCCCCCCATGCTGAAAATCTTGAGGGACAGGTAAGCAGAACTTTTGTGCACCGCGAGGGAGCTCCATTGTTCATCTGGTCAAGTAGGCCGAGGCTGCCGAGTATTGTAATAGAGTACCGAGCATTTACCACCGACCATCGACGCAGCCACGAATACGACACAGTATACTAAGCCGTAGCCAACAATTGTAATTCTGCACTGACGACGGGATATCCTGAAACAAACCGGACATCAGGCCATCCCGCCTTCATCTTCATAGTTACGCCGATTCTGGACGACCCGGGCCGCCGTCGGGAAAACAGCAAAACGTGAGTCGGCGACATCCTACCACACCAGGGCTATATTCAGCCTGGCCTACATAAAGGGCCGGAAGGACGGTGGTGTTGCGAGGCTTATACCAGCTCCCGTCATGGAACGTTGTTGGTAGGACGTCGCATTAATTTAAACATGCATATGCTAATATGTCTCGCAGGCGCGCCATTTTTCCTTTCTCTGCCCAGTCAAAGCCAATGCATTGGGGCTACTCTTGGCACAATCTAACAAAGAATCTGGTAGCAAGTAATGTCCTTTTGGTGGTTTGCCCACTTGTGATCGTCCGAGTACCTTCATCGCAAGTAAGCTCTGGTACCAACGCTATCCGGTTGGTCAGCTTTTCGGCAGAATCACATGCTGCCCTGTGTTGTGGGCGCCTAGTTAAGCACTCGCCGGCTTCAGACGCCAAAAGAGTGTTTCGGCTACTTGTCAGTGCACCGCGGGCCGCAGGCCAACCGTCAAAATCTGAGCACTACTGTTGTACTCACGACACGACAGCAACAGGCACGGCGTAACTCATGTCGAGATCGCCAAAAGGGCCACGGTCCGGGGATCCGAGCCCACCAAGTTAAAACAAACGGTAAGAGGCCAGCGCGGCAAGGCGCGAAGCGTTGCCGGTTCGAGAAGGCCGGCCGATTACCACACCGGATGCCCGCTAAACTTCACGCAGCCACACTCACCACCGGCAGCAAGGGACCTAGCCAGGGGTAAGATGGCTTCACTTTTCAATGGATCTTTGCGGAATGTCTTAGTGGGAGGTGCGTCCTCCTCCTACTCTGCTGCTCCGTGATGGTGCTATTGCAACGCTGACCGTGGAGGGGACTTGATACGACGTCTATGATTTGCCCGCGTAGCTCTGGCGTCTCGTATGCAGCCGCCCTGTTGCAATAAGTAGCATCTTGCGGATACACGGAATAGATCGGCCCAGCTATGGGTGTATCGAGATGCGATCTTGAGGCGAGATAGGGTGCTGAAGGAACGATTCTCAGTAGCACCACACCAAAACGAAGGCACACCCTGGGCCGAGCTAGCAGGATTAGCTCTCCAGCTAGTCATAGGCGCGACCAGGTAGTTGAGTAGCAGCTATAGCCGCGGCTCGTTACATCTCAGTTGCTATGTATTACTGTGTAATACCCCCGAGACAGCATTTCAAAAGTCCGTGGACGGAGTATTGGAGCTCCACGTCAGGCTCGTTGGACCTGTGCAAAGGTACGGATATTAGTCTTGGAATCTGATATCTCACATCCGCTAAGCATCCAGCCTGTTCCGTAAACTTCAACAACCAGGACCTAGGTATGCAGTGCGAGGTGGGGCGACCTGCCTGCTTGAGAATACGCTGTGCGTTATACTACAGCTAGCAGGTAGACCAGTAGTATTTCAAACCCTCAGAGCAATTGCGAGATACAAGTCGCGTCGTCTGCGAGTACCTACGTTCCATGTATTCAATGCGATATCGCAGACTCACCAGTGTTACCAATGGGGATTTTGTTCCTGGTTGCAAAGCTCTGAGCCGCAGCAGTCCAGGCATAGAGAAACAGCCAAACGTGACCCGCCTCCATAAAATGACTTGAGACAATGTTTTGAAGGAGATTTCGAAACTGGCGTCAGTACACGGAAGCTATCCGGTTGGCTTTTGTATCCGGATATGTCTGTCTAAGCAGTACTCGTTCCTCATATCTCCCCAAGAACGGGGCAGACCAAATATGATTGTAGCGATATTGCATGTGGTCAGAAAACAGCAGAGGAGCTGTGGGTGAAATCTACTTTCATTGACCAACCGATTCTTCTGTTAGGGAGCCCATGTAGGCCTCACTTTCTTCGGCTAGGTCAAGGCGGCATCTTGGGACTGCTGCATCCTGGTTATGTGAACCCATGTTGGCTAAAATTTGGCCGGCTTTACGCTAATCGCACCAATGCCCGCTTGGCTGACCATCAGCACAATTCCATCTGCCAGATGACGCTGTCTGTATTTGAGGCGGCTGTATCTCGCGGCTTATCCTATTAGAAACAAAGAGCAAAGGGCTACTGAGCACTCTACCATACCTAGTATGATGTGAACATTGCGGCGGCGTGGCTTCTAGGAAACGACGCCGCAAAATTTAATTTGGACGAGATATCACCGAAAATGGTTGGGCCTTTGACAAAAGGACCCGCCATCCTACATGGCCATGCACGACGGATACCAGCAGCAGTATCTCGCAAAGGCTAGACACGCAATTTGGTCGTTGTCCAACGGCCGAACAACGACACACAAGTGATGTGACAGCTCCGGAACAGACAAGGGCCAGCCTCCGTGTCATGACGAGCAATCGTTGGCCACCAGTTTGACACAACTCTGGCTCTTTTGGGGACTCGCCTCATCTCCCATCATACCGTGTAGTGTGTCCATACGTGTACAGAGTAGTAAGCGCCTCGCTTCTTGGCTCAACTTGGAAGGAAGACAGCTTCGTCTTGGGGTCAAACTTTGACCAGAAAACCGACCCCTGGACGGTCTGGGTGATCTCCCGAAATAACGACCCCTGACCCCTCGGATCTTTTAAATCTGACCTGTAGTATTCGGAGGGCGAAATACTAGCGCCCGAAAAGTACTCGGTTCTCGCAGGCAGAGCACCAGAGCAGCAAGTGTAGGTACTCTGTATAGAATGAGAGATTGTCTGTTGTGATGCCGACAACCCTATCCCAGGGCCGGAACGATGGCACGGACACACAAGCTGTGTACCAGCGCTGATTCTTGCCCTTCTGTCAACTCGCGTGGACATTAAGCAATTGGCCCCTGGTGGTTACGCTATTCATTCGCCGACGGCGTTCGACCGGCCTGGATCTTTTGCAATTCGACTGGTGCGAAGTAGGGTGGCTGGTACGGGTGCAGGAGAGGTGGGATCGCGTGCAGTTCGCATGCAAGAATGAAGCGATTGGATTCAAGGACGCCACGAGAAAGCAGCCAGCTGTGCCCTTGGCATCTGACTAGCTCAATACGCTCCTTTGAATGTCCACGTTACTCCTGAGATGGTTCCGATCGCTGACACCCTTGCTGGTGAGCGTTGATTAAGCCTGCGAGCCGGTTTCGCGCTGTCCAGACGCTTTTGGCCCGTAGACAGCATCCTGGTAATGACTCGTCTTGTCTTGTCGTGTCTTGTCTCGACCTGTCCTGTGACTAGAGCTCAGCTGCTGCCACACTCCGTATACCGCATGCTGGACTCTATGCCCATAAGACAGTCCCAGGCAAGCATCCTGACAGGTAGGCATTCCGGCCCGGCATGCGGAAGTCGACGGATAGGGTGCGTGCCCGCCCGAGGCCTGTGCTGGAGCCAGGCCAGACGCAGCATTGGGAGAGGAGCCGGGTCATGATATAAGTTACTCCGTACAAAGTACACACACGACCAGCCGCAGGGCACTGCCTCGATGCGAGCTGGCAGGCGCCGTGGCAGTCTCCTGCAAGGCTCCTTCCTCCGGCGGGTGCCCCATAGACGCTCAACGTCCAGACGCAATCCTCCGTTGCTCCTGCGTTAAACTGACGACGCTACCGTACGCCAGGCGGGTTCCAGGCACCTTTGGCCATGCCAGCCCACTAAAGCCACCGTAGGTTAAAGCAACCTGAAAGGTGGGCGGCTCCATGAACGGGAAGGACCCGACTCTGCTCTTGTACATGTAGCTTGGATGATCAATTTGCGTTCATGTTGATGATGCCAGATTGCTACTGGCAGGAGCAGGAGCTGGCATGTGTCCTGCCATGCAGCAGTAATACTCCCGCGCCGTATATGCCAACGCCCGCACATGCCCTGTTTCCATCCTTCTGCAACTCGTACATAGGTGCCCGACTCGCCTCAGCTTCCTCTCAGCCCGGCTTCAGCGGCAGATGGCCTGACCGAACTATTGAACAACTCACTGCAGCCCATGCTCCTGCCAGCAAACTGTGGTCACGATCGGCACGAATCGACCCCCCGTCAACCCGCACCGTGAGTGGACGGACAGTCCCTTTGCGACGTCGCTGACAGCTGCTACTAACCGGGGGCCGGTCTCTGGCGCAGCGCCGGTGGCCAGGGTCCGGCCACACCATCTGGCGCCTAGCGGTGGGCGATTCTAGCGGGTGCCAGCGCCTGGGCTGCCCGCTAGGAGCCGCCTATGGCGCCTGGAAGCTGTGCGCTGCGGATCCTGAGCCAGGTCCTGGTGGGGAGGGCTTCTAGTCTTCTTTTTTTCGGCCGTGGCAGGCGTCCCGCTGGAGGTTCCACCCCTGAGCCGGTTCACCACCTAAAAAAAAAACAATTAAAGGTTTCCTCGACTTCTCCTGACTCTGAGCTTGTCATGAGGGGGAATTGGGTGAGCTGTTTCTGGGCCGTCGTTGAGAGGATTTCTCCTGCTTGCTTCCCGCATTGACATTTTCCCTGTGCTGTTTGGCTTGTGGCTTGAAGAAGCATCTCTCCCCCTGAGGGCGATTGCCTACCCACGCTCGTTATCAACCGCCCCTGCTTTGCTTCACACGCTCCTTATGATCTTCAAAGGTCCAGCTCCACGAAAGGAGCCGCTGGCTTTGGTTGTCTTCTCCCAAATCACCTTCTGTTGTTTTGTTTCGTAGCACACGAGAGCCGTCCCCCAACCGATCGATCGCTTCCGCTTCAACAATCGACTCTGCCCAGCTGTTCGACGTCTCTCTCCTCACGAGCATTGCATATCTATACAACGCACTGTCTCTTCTAAAATGTCTGAAACGCCGCAACCAATTGCCGAGGGCAACCAGCCCAAGGCTGTAAAAGACAAAAACTGCGAATACTGTGGCCAGGCCTTCACCTCGTCATCCCTCGGTCGACATCTTGACCTCTATATCAAGGAAAAGAACCCAAAGCCCCCGGATGGCATCCACGATGTGGACGCTATCCGGAAGCTCCGTGGCAACATCACTCGGCGCCAGCCTCGAGGTTCTTTGGGTGCTCGAAGAGACAATTCGACCCCTGGCAGCACGCCCAAGCCAACAACCGGGAAGACGGCACCCGGACAAGACTCAGATAGCTTCAAAGCTGATTCAGCTGCTAACAAATATCCTTTTGCTGCTTCTTGGGAAGCTACTGGCGTAATAAAGGACATGTCAGGCAAAAACGCTTGGGATGCCAGCGTTCCTCAAGACGCTAACAAGCGCTCTGGCCTGTCGAGAAATGTTAGCAAACAGATGGCACAGAAGGCTCAGTTCGATATCAAACAGAAGTTGACAGACGCAATGGATACTGCCAAAGCTGCCGAGTTGGCACTGAGAGAACTGGTGAGCTCATGGCGGGCTGCAAAGTAAGTGACGTTTTCTAATGAACTGTCCACTATATCGAGTGGATGATATGTAGCCGCAAATGGCTGACACCCATCCAGACAACAGACTGATGGCAACTCAACGCCTTTTGATTTCGATCCCCTTGCCCTGGACTTCCCATCTCTTGCCATTTATTGTCTCCTGCCGCCTCCGACTCTGTTCTCTTCAACCCAACACCCCACATCAACATCCTGGTCTCTTTCGACGCCAGGTAAGCGTGAATATGTTGCACTTCAGACCTTTTTCCAAGAGGAATTCAAGACTTGGAAGGCTACTCATGTTTCTGCTACGACCGCCGTAATAGGGGAGATGGTATACCCTGTGGGTGTACCATTTAGAGATCCAGGGGGAACTATAAGGCTCATATCGGACAAAATAGAGTTGCTTGAAACTCATGTCAATGAACATCTGCAGTCTGCGTTTGCAGTCTGGGATTCTTTGCCTGTTCAACGGAAAAGCGAGCTTTGGCATCTGGAGCTGGCACGAGGAGTGGGCCGAATGCATAAACAAATTGATAAGATGAAAGACGAGCAACATAACCTGAAACAAGAGAACGCAAACCTGAAATCGCACATCGACCAGCTGAACCGGCTGCAACAGCCGAGAGAGTACAAGATGCTCTCACCATCCACCATTCCCGTGGATCGAGATGTCATCGCGTATCATGAGCAGAGTGTTATAGGGAGTAGGCTTGTTGGCTATGAGCCAGAGGATCGGCATCTGGACTTGAACACCGTTGTAGCCAAGTCAATAGAAAGATGGAAGAGTGTCATCGCATCAACCCGCGAGGCAGCTAGCGGCATGCCTGCCCAGCGGCCTCTAGAGCAGGCCGCGGCTCAGACCCCTGCCGCAAACAGCCAAAGTAGTCCATCGGAGCCTCAGAGTGCCGTTCAAACACCACAATTGACTCAGCCGCAACCAGTGCAGCTTGACAAGAGGCTGTCAAACGCAAGCTCAAACGAACCGGCGAGCGAACAGAGTGCATCCTCAGCGACCAATACGGGCCCGCCATCAGTCGAAGAAACGAGCGACCAGGATGCCGATGCTGAGATGGAGGATGACGATAGCTTTGCTATGGTTCAATCTCCTGTCAAGACCGCGCACTCGCCCATACAGCAGCAAGCACAACTTGACGCTTCTCGAGCCCAAGCTCCCATGGCCCAGCAGCAACAGCAACAGCAGCAGCCACAGCCACAGCCACAACAGCAGATCCAACAAGCCCCGCAGCAAGTCCAACAACAGGCTCAGCAACAAGCCCAACAGCAGGTTCAACAACAGGTCCAGCAGCAGGTTCAGCAACAGGTTCAACAGCAGGTTCAGCAGCAAGTTCAGCAGCAGGTTCAGCAGCAGGTTCAGCAGCAGGTTCAACAAGCCCAGCAACAGCAGCAGCAAGCCCAGCAACGCAATGCGACAGCGGATATGCGTTTCATGATGCAAAATGGGGCCGGTAGTCCTGCAAGCAGAGCTGCCATGGCAACCATGAACCGTGCTATGCCGAACATGAATATGGCAACAATGCAAGCTAATGCAATGCACGGCGCAGATATGAGCATAGCGATGCAAGGCGTCCGCGGCGATATGTATTTGGAATAACAATGTCGACGAGAAAGAGACATCGGAAGAGGGCGTATTTCGGATGGTTAATAGAAGGGTCTTTCTTTTTTTCACGGCTATACATCAGTCGTCATCTTAACAGCATTCATTCTCAGCGGAGTTTATTCATCGAAAAAATCTTTTTCTTTTCGTCAACGCGGCATAAAAAATCTCACGATTCTTCAGCAAAATAGGAGTATTCGGCATTTGCGCGCCTTGATGTTGTGTTAATATACGAATCGCAACACAGGCAGGATAGAAGGATATATAGACCGGGGAGGGGAAAGGAAGGATAGGAGAACTAGGAGGATTTTCCAAATTTCTCTCTCTTTCTCTCTTTTTCTATTACATTGTTTTGCTTTATTAGTACAATGGGATTGGGTTGAGTACAAGAAAGAGATGGTAGACATTTGTGGAACTATTGCCATGTACTGCTTACTAGAAATTGAGAATTAAGAATAGGAGTTAATAGGTGAATTTATACATTGAATTTTCTTAGAGAATACTACCGCTCTGCTATATATATAATATCTAGGTGATTTGAGTTGAGTTTCTTTTACATGAAAATTTTATTTCTCCGCCGGTGTCCAGGCAATTTTCCTTCCGCTAAGCTTAATACATTGTCTATTTATACAAGGGAACAGAGATTCCAGTTCATAGCTTAATCTGCTTCAGTCTCTTTTCAATCAAGCGCACAGTTGACTTGGGAACATGCATTCGGTGTGATAGAACTAAAGCACCTGTGAGAACAGCAAGGGCGCCAGCCTGGTGGGTGGCAGCGAGGTGAGTAGGGACCATGTAGATGAGCGTGGAAATTCCAAGAAGCGCCTGCATGGTGACCAGATGAACAAGTCCAGTGGTGCCCTTCTTTGCGTTCCTGGGGAGAACGGCAGAGATCTTTCCGGTGCGAGAATAAGCCCAAAGGGTCAAGATGGTACAGAAGGTTGTGATGGCCAAGATTCGGTGATCGAGCTGGACGAGACTGGGGTTTTCAAGCATGTTGCGCCACCAGAGGTCGGAGCGATCCTCCTTGCGAGAGTAGAATTTGTCGAACAGCTCGGACTTGGGAGGAGCGTAGCCAAGACCCATCTTGGGGAACTCGTTGTAGATGAGACCGGCATCGAGACCGGCGACCAAGGCGCCGGACATGGCAGTGAGGAAAACGAGACCGGTGATGCCAAAGACTGAGCGTCTGAGAGTGTTGAGGACGGGGTTCTGAATGGCCTTGATGGCAGTAGCGGCGGCGGCGGGGTCGGCGAGCATGCGGCGGGTGCGGAGGATGGTGATACCAGACACGAGCATCCAGGAGTAGCAGATGAAGGCAGTGGCCAAATGAGCAGTCAATCGGTACTGGGAGACACGAGGATGCGAGCCGGGAGCAAAGAGATCATCCTTGAGGCCCGACTTGACCATCCACCAGCCAATGAAGCCCTGGACGCCGATCAGACTGGAAATACCGAGCAGGTTGAGCGCCATCTTGGGAGAGACTTTGCGGCGGGCGACGAAGTACAGCGAAGGCAGAACGAAGGAGAGGCCGATGAAGCGACCCCACAGTCGGTGCGTCCACTCCATGTAGTAGATCTTTTTGAATTCGTCCAGGGTCATGTGAGGGTTGAGGATCTTGAATTCCGGAGAGGCACGATACTTTTCAAACTCGGATTCCCAATCGGTAGTTGACATGGGGGGCAATGAGCCCGTCACAGGTTTCCATTCCGTTATGCTTAGTCTGTAATGCGCAATTGTTAGCGATTGAGTTGGGATCTCTCACGTCAATTGAAGTTGCAAGTGATAAAACCGTACCCAGACTCAGTTAGTCTTGTAAGTCCGCCAAAGACGACGATACCAAAGACGCTGGCAGCACTGCCCAGCAACCACATGGCAACTCCCTTGCTAGTAGTCTTCTTTGGGAACTCCTTTGAGGCTTGAACTTGTGCCTGCGCTGCCGCTGCCGCAGCGCTTTTGGCCGCCAAGTTTTCCAATGGCTTTGCATCGGCGTATCCTCGCGATCGTACGATGTTGAGGATGGGTGAAGGAGAGCGTCTGGGCGCCTGTCGAAGGCATTGGTTGCAGACGAAGAATTTCGAGGGCACCTGAAGGGCTGCCCTCCGCATGCCGGCCGCAAACAGCACCATTGTTTGTAATTTTGCGCAATGGCGCTTGATGTGAGGACGAAGAGAGTCAAAAATGGCACGATATTTCCCGTCTGCGGTTTAAGACTGCATGTGGCTCGGCGCATAGACAGCGCCGAGGCGGGCACCAATTACGGCGCTAAAGAATTGCAAGGATGCTGATAGGTGGGATGGCCCCAAGCTAGCTTCACCGCCAAACTTTTTACATGGCAGAAAAAAGTTGGAGAGCAAATTGGCTAGCAGCACAAAAAAAACCAGCAATTCGAAAGCTGTGATTGCGCAACTGCTGGCAATTACCGTTTTCGGGCTCGAATCCAAATTTATTGAAGATGCCAGGTCGACAGGCGCATGGACGGTCCTTGTTGGCCCAGCCAAAGGCAAAGGCTGGCCCCAAAAAGTCCAAGTCGAGAGCGCAGACGAATGCACTGAATGCGTTCAACATTGCGCAGGAGAGGTTTCCTACGAAAGATAAGAGGACACCACGTGCGCGAGAACTGGACGCTGAAATCGAGAAAAAGCATGGAAGAGAGGAAGACGACGAGGACGAGGAAGAGGAAGAAGAGGGCCCCAAGCGAAAGAAGGCCAAGGCTCCGCGGGGTGCGGCGACAGACGGCGATGTAGAGTTTGGCAGCGACAGCGAGGGCAACGAGTGGCAACTGGGTGGCATGGCGAACGACGATGACGACTCTGAAATCGAGAGTGACGATGCGTTTGGTGATAGCGACAATGAGATGTTTCAGGGCTATGCCTTTCGCGGATCAAAAACTGGCCAGCGCAAGGTGAGAAGCTACTTTTTTTTTGAGAACGACGAGATGAGGGCACTGACCTGGTGTATAGGACGACGACTCGGAGGATTCTGACGACGGAAATGACGACCAAGGCGAAACTCTTGGCGAGGATGCGATTGATCTGGCCACAGCTTTGGACCAGTTCGAAGAGGAATCTGAAGATGAGCCTGAAGGGGAAGAGGAAGAGGAGGACTCTGGATCAGGAGAAGAGGAGGATTCCGACGATTCTGATGAGTTTGAGGGTCTCGATGACAGCGACGACGAAGCCGACCCCGCCAAACTTGAGCAGCTCAAGGGCTTGATATCCGGCTTCGGAGGCGAAGACGATGACGGCGAGAAAGATGTCGTGGCGTCTGGGCAGCAGAAAATCGATCTCGGTGATCTGGGGCTGTCTGGATTGAACGATCCCTTCATGAAGCAATCAATAAAGCTTATGAAGAAAGAGTCAAAAGAGAAGCGACCCGGTTCAACGAAGAAGCTAGAGGTGCCGTTATCAAGGAGAGAGCAAGGGCGTATCGACCGATCGGCGGCTTATGAGAAGACAAATGAGACCCTGGATCGATGGACAGAGACTGTTAAGCAGAACCGCAGAGCCGAACATTTAGTTTTCCCTCTCCCTCAAAACTCAGAATCAGCTGGACTCGACCGGACGGAACTTCAGCCTCTGTCACTGAAGGGTGCGTCGAACGAATTAGAAGCTACAATCATGGGCATCATGGAGCAGAGCGGACTGTCGCTTGAAAAGGAGAAGAAGCCTAAGAAACAAGAGTTTGACGAAGAAGGTAATCTGCTCACGCGGAAGCAAGCCTTGGAAAAGAAGCGCATAGAGCGCGAGTTGGCTTCCAGGGAAGCAAAACGCGCCGCCCGCATCAAGAAGATTAAGAGTAAAGCCTACCACCGAGTGCACCGGAAGCAAAAGGAGCGCGACGAAATGGCTACCAGAGAAGCCATGGCCGAGGCTGGCGAGATTGACTCGGAGGAAGAGAGAGAGGCTCAGGATCGCCGACGTGCGTTGGAGCGAGTGGGCCAGCGCCACAAGGACAGCAAATGGGCCAAGATGGGATCCAAGGCAAAGCGTGCGGTTTGGGATGACGATTTCCGGGCTGGGCTGACAGAAATGGCTCGCAAGGATGAGGACCTCCGCAGGAGGAAGGAGGGCAAGAGTTCAAGAGGCGACGGAGACGATTCAAATGAGACTAGCAGTTCTGGATCTGACGACGATGACGCCGATAACGCAGACCTGCGACGACAGCTGGATGAGCTCGAGAAGGAAGACAGCGCGCCTCAGTCGGGATTAATGAAGATGAAGTTTATGCAAAAGGCAGAGGCGGCAAAGAAGAAGGCAAACGACGATCTCATCAAGGAAATCCGTAAAGAGCTCGACGGAGAGGACGCGCAAGATTCTGATGACGATGAAGGTGAAAAGGGAGGAGAGGTCGGACGAAGGCAATATGGCAGCGGAGCGGCAAACCCGTTCTCGATGCCGCAGAACTCTGCCCGAGCAAGCAGGAAGACGCTCGCACGGGATGATTCTGAAGAAGAGAACAACACAAGCTTCGCCAACGGAGATGGGGCTCCTCACATCTCAAACGGCGCAATCAGCCACGCCTGGTCGACCACACCCGCCGAGACAACGACTTCGATAGCGGGAGCCTGGTCCAAGGGCGAGTCTCGCCGAAAGAAATCTGCCCGAGCCGACGACCTCGATCTCAACGCCAACATCCTCACCGCATCCCAACCCTCCAAGCCGAAACCCTCCCCCAAGAAGACAAAACAGCCCCAAGACGATGACTCCTCCTCCTCCGAATCCGACGCAGAATCGGACTCAGACATCCGCCTGCCCATGGCCATCCGCGACAAGGACCTCGTGGCCCGCGCCTTTGCCGGCGAAGACGTCGTCGCCGAGTTCCAGCGCGAAAAGGATGAAATCGCCGAGGCCGACGACGATAAAGTCATTGACAATACTTTACCCGGCTGGGGCTCCTGGGTAGGCGATGGAGTCAGCAGCCGCGAGAAGAAGAGGCACCAGGGCCGCTTCCTGACAAAGGTGGAGGGCATCAACAAGAAGGACCGCAAGGACGCCAAGCTGGACAAGGTCATAATCAACGAGAAGCGCATCAAAAAGGTTAGTACTTTGTCAACTTTTTACCACGTTTCTCTGTCTCTCTCTTTTTTTTTTTTTCAAAAATCAAGATTGAATATGTCGTTTTACTAACTCTTCTCTCCCCTTTTCACAGAACGACCGTTATCTCGCCGCCCAGCTCCCCTTCCCCTTCGAATCGCAACAGCAATACGAGCGCTCTTTACGACTGCCTGTTGGACCGGAATGGATGACCAAGGAGACGTTCCAGGCCAGCACGAAGCCGCGCGTTATTATGAAGCAGGGCATTATCACGCCCATGTCGAAGCCAAGCGCATAAATACTTTTCTCGTTTTCTTCTTTTTCAGTGCTAAAATAGATAGATTCGGGCGGAATGCTGAATGCTGGATCTTGATGAATATACACATCTTTTACACCGTTTGTTTCTGTTTCAGATTCATGATTGTTGGTCTCCAATTAGCTTATACATCACTCAAAGAACAAACGCAAGGTTTTTGCTTTAATTGGTTGGTATCGTTAGAATTCTCAATGCAAAAAGCACTTCGTAAAACCGTTATAATAACACACAAGTATCCACAACGTACCCTTCGCCCAGTTGTTTCCTCGTAGATGCCAACAAAAACCATTTTCAATAGGGAAAAAAAGCAGAAAGCTCGCGTCCAGCCCTTTTCGGGCAATATTTTGTTAACTTCTCACACCCAGCCACTATGCTTGGCCACGAATTTGCTTCGCGGCATCTCTGGCGAACGACAATCTTCCAGATTCGGCGCAGTAAATGAAAATAATAGTACACGATAATCAAACAGATAAGGAAAGAAAAAAGGAAAGGGGCCCTGTTCGTAGGGAATTGATGATTTCAAGTTTGGAGTAAGTCTGCTTTCCGCAGCTCATTCGTCCTTGACATGAGAAGTGGGAGCGATCAGGCTATGGTAAGCCGATAATTGTCGCCTTATGGATTATAGTTGATTGAATATCATCCTTAATCGGGTGATAGATTCGGTTCGACAGAAAATCGAGAGGCTGCTCAGCTTGGCTGGATTTAGTTGCTACCGCTGATAAGATTTGTCGCCTTGTCCAAGAAATCGCCTGGTGTCGCATAGAAAGCCACAGCAATGATGATGTAGAGGCCAAGGAGCATGGCGCCCTCGAGGTAGTTCGATTTGCCATCCTGAACGGTATATGTTACGACCAAAACGGACACGGCGAAAGCAACAGTTTCGACTACACCATGGTCAGCATGCCTTTACCAAACACAAGAAATCAGAAAATTTGAAGCATCGTGTCAACTCACAAGTCTCGAAGTGGAGCGTCATGTCGCGTCCGATAATCCAGCCAACAATAACGAGGAATGGAGTAACGCCAAGGGCAATCTGGATACTGGAGCCAATGGCTACACCCATGGCCAGATCCATCTTGTTGCGAAGGGCGACCACCACAGCAGTGACGTGTTCCGCAGCGTTTCCAACAATGGGGATCAAAATCAGACCAATGAATGCCTTGCTGATATTCGCGCTTTCGACAATGTCATCAATGGATCCAACCAAGTAGTCGGCACAGATGGCAACCAAAATCGTCACGACGACAAGAACTGCGGCGGCAGCAATCGGGCCAAGAGTAGGATCTTCAGGATCCTCGCCTTCGGGAAGCTGGCTCTCGGTGTCAAAGAGATTGCTGTGAGTGCGAAGCTGGAATACCAGGTAGAGAGCGTATAAAATCAGCAGAATAATGGCGGTACCCCGAGAGAGCACAAGAATGCTTCGGTCCTTGTCCTCGAGATTAGTGTGGCCCTGGTCGAGAACGCCATACAGCTATAATTTACACGTTAGACAGAGATCATCACAGCCGCTTCCGCGAGAGATATAAATCAAACATACCGCAGCAGGGATCACCAGAGAAGCAGATGAGAGCGTCATGAGAGAGCATGTGGTCTGAGCAACGGCTGCTGAGAAAGTTTGTTCGGTGCCACCGCCTGAAGTACCGCGGTGTCGGATACCTCCAAAGAAGAAGCACATTCCCATAACCAGCAGCAAGTTGGAGAGGATGGAGCCGAGCATGGAAGCCTGCACAACCTCGATCTGGTTGTCTCGGAGAGCCACGATGCTAACCTAAAAGGGGTCAGTATCTCATTCCCGGCATGGCAAATTATAGTGATGTGTGAATATTGGGCCACATACAATCAGTTCAACAGCATTTCCAAAAGTAGCGTTTAGCAGTCCGCCAAGGGTCTCGCCAAGCTTGAGAGATATTTCCTCAGTCGCAAAAGATAGGACGGCAGCAAGCGGGATAATGGCGAAGAAGTTGATCGTGAAAACGGCGGTTGAATTCCATCCAAGGCGGCCGGCAACAATGCCAATGGGAACCATGATGAGCAAAAAGTTGATGTAGTCTATTTCGCAAGCAGGAATTGTTAGCTATATCCATACTCCCGAGAGCCCATTATTGCTGCGCATTCATCTCTCCAGACTTACTGCTCAGCAAGGTGACCTTGAAAATATGCCAAGAGTAGGCAAGTGATCGGACAGCAATGTTTTCGCTATGGGTGCCCGGCGTGTGCTTGGAGTCGAAGAAGAACCGGAAGGCTGCGGAGCGCTCATTGTTGCTGCTCTGGATATGGTTATGATTCGGGGTGCCATTGGACGAGGCGCCCTCGCCGTTGAGCAGCGGCGTGCGCTCGTTGGAGCTTGGTTTGTTGCTCATGGTTCGTCGAATGCTTGTCGAGCGGCTGAGATTGGCTGAATTACAAGAAAACGACGAATTGCAATTAGCGAGCGAGTTGGAAGAACGAAAGGCGGAATCGTTTGCGTCAGTGCAAGAAAAGGGAGCAAATAGATAAAGCGTGGTGATCAAACGAATGCGCGCGTGTTGGAAGGGAGAGTTGAAAGTTGAAAAGTTGAAAGTTAAAAAGTTGTCCGCGGCTGAAAGTAAAGTTTGTAGGAAGCAGGAACAGCGATCGCAGCCACAATATTAAGTCTCAAAACTCATAGGCACAGGAGGGGATCGCGGCTAGCCAAGGACCTAAGATGTAGAGTACGGTAGGATGGGGACACAAAATTGGGCCAAGACGAGGCAGGGATGAAGTAATAAAGCGAGAGTGCCACACAAGGCTGGCTGAGTTTTTTTTTTGTACTCTCTCTCTTTGAGGGGCGTGAGTGTAGACAATTTTGAGAGGAGGGGGGAAAAAGATCGCTTGTTATAAAAGCAGCGTGGCGTTTAATTCTGGGGGGTTTATGTCACCGATTGCAGCTTTGGGGGTGGAAAAGAGGAGACGAAGCAGAGAAGGGCTTTAGATTTGCAATGTAATGGCACGCATATCGGTCTGGGCGATACTGGGACAATAATAAACCATGTCGACTTACATATGCCCTTGACCATGGCTGGAAGCTCCGGGATACACAGGACCGGCGATATTTTACCCGGAGACGGCGGGATGCGATTGATGGCGCAGCGTGCACGAGAACACGCGGGAATTGGAGGCTTTTCTCTTGTCCAGCTGCTCGTTCTCTATTGGCACGAGTAAGAGCACGCGCAGCAAAAATCAAAGTGGTGGCAGTAATGGAGAGAGAAGAGAGAGAGAATGGACAAAGGACGCATGTTTGTTCGAATCAGCGAATCGCTTGACCGGGCCAGGCTAGGGCGGGTCCACAAGGGGTCCCAGCGCTCGGGTAGCTGCGTGGGTGTCTGTCTCGTAGCGGCGGATGTACCGGTACCTGCGCGTTTCCAGGCCTGGCACCTGGCAATGGCAATGGCATCGGCACTGGCGCTGACTCCAGACAGGCACAAGAAGCGATTCTAGAATATGACACGGTCGCTCTCTGCCTCGGCCAGAGCCCGGCGAGGGGATTCACGCCTCGGTGCCTTGCGCAAAAATCAAATACCTCCAGATTTCAATTGCATTCTGTCGTATCCAGCCGTGGTATAAAAGGCGTGGACGCCGGGCGCGATAGGCGCATGGCACGGATAAAAGGCGTCTTGGCGCTCGATCTGGATTCACACACACAGGCCTGGGAGGCCTCCAGACGACACCCCCTCTGCCGCAGCGAGCGCGCGTTCAGTTGCGCAAATCTGCGTGTTTGTGTGACGAGCACGGCTACCTATAATCCCCGGTCCGATCCTGGGGCTTCTCAAATATCAGGTAAGCCTGTACGAGCAAGTGCTGCAAATAAACGCACATACTCTCGATGCCTCACAGCCCTTCTAATTTTCCCTCATTATCTTGCTCGGGCGAATTGGTCACAAGAGTCTGCTGTTCTAGCAAAGGGGTATCCATAGCACCTGAATCAAACCATTTGGCGCGCCCCCCCTTGAATTCTCCAACAGCCTAAGAAAGCTTGTTAGCAACAACCAGGAAGCGTGTGCGTGTACCGGTACTAAGATGCGCATCCGAAAAAGACGGTGGGGAAGCATTTCAGGGAAGAGAGTGTGGAATCGACGACGTCATATGCACGATTCAGCTCAAAGAAAGCCCTTTTCTTGCCCAAAGACCAATAAGAACGTCTAATAGTGTTTGCTGTGCCTGGCAACCGGACGGGGAATTCCGCTGCTTTCGTTTACCTCGGGCCAAAGAAAAGGTACACACGTAAACGTTAGTGTCCCGTGGAATACACGTACACGTAACAGGGCAAGATTATATCATCAACCACGCTGCGATATCCAAACGACAACACCCTTCGAAATTCAAAGCAAATTGACGGCTCAAGGTGCAAATCAACGCCTATAAAGTGAGCACGTGCTCCCCCAGAGCTCCCCTGATGTACTGCTACTCTGCTAAACCACTTTCTGTCTATACTAATCGACGCCAGCAGGCCACCAGCAAGATACGTCTTGATCTCAACTCGCTCCTCTTTTGCTTCGCCTCAATCAGCCCCAAATCCAACCACTCGCAATGGCAATATTGCAATTAAGCTTATTTCTTCCCCAGCAGCCCGTGACATGGTTAGACAAAACATTCTTTCGATGCCTAAGCAAGCCTGACTAGCGAGGGAAAAGTCATGAATTCCATTCTGCGTTTTCGTGCCAATTTGACTTTGGCCCGCCGAGTTTCTAGAACAGGCCTCTTCCGGCTACTGACTCGCCCCCGACGCTCCCCATATTAGGAGGGTTGCATTCTTCTCACGCCATACAAAGCTTGTCTCGTCTCTGTATCAAGCCGGGCTCTTGGCGCATTTAGCCAAGCCCAGAGGCCCCTGTAAGCTCGATCTTATCGATAGCCTCGAGAATGCTAAGAAGCGGCAACGTGCAGATCTCCTATATTGACTGCTGTTCCACCGTATCAGCTCGCCGTGAGAGGGCCGAAAGGCAAAAAAGGGCCTTTTCAAGAATTTACATGTATTGCTGCTTTCGTTACAGGTAGCTGAGATACAAACGACAATCAGATGACGGCACATTGCGTGTGGCCCAGCCAGCTGGTCCCGGCGTGGGCGACTCCGAACTTCCCGCCAGCGGTGCCCGGCGACGTCAATTGACTTTTCAAGATTCCACCCCGGCCTTAGTCAGCCACGCATCAACACGCACCAAAACGCCGCCTCCAAAGGAGCAACACGGACCAGAACAGACAAATGCCACCACGTAACCGAGTCCAACTTCCGCTCTTGTCATCCATGTACAGGCTCAGCCTCGCACCACCGTCCACGTTACCAAACAGCAAAGCTGCCAAGCCGAGCTAAACGGACAGTTTCAATGTCTAGCTCGCCCCGGTCTCTGTCCAGCCTCTTTGCTAATCCCCAGTCGCCATGTACTGAATCGATCAAAGAGGCACTTTTCGTGTCTCATCATATTTCTCCAAGAGCTAGCACTGCCCGTTAGCATCACATCAGGCCCAACCAGCTTGGACAAGCTACGCTGCCCAGCGTGCCCAGAACTTACCGGCAGAATAAGCCATAAACCACGTCAGCGATGCTCCGCCATCCAGCCACTGAGGGCTAAACGACCGCGAGCTAAAGAATTCCCATGCCTTCTTGGGCTCGACTGAGGCATAGCTAGCCCAAATGATGCCCTTCCAGGCGTTGCCAATGTCATCAATCCTACCATTGCTGAAAAATGCGTCCCATTCCTCCTGTACAAAATCCTTGGTCCTCACGAACGGCGTCGAGGGTAGGATAGGGATCATGTGAATCCCTTGAATGGCCTCAATGTTAGGATCAAAATACGTCGTATGATCCACCTTGTTCTCGAAAAGGATGCCTGCGACTTTGTTGCCTATAAACTGCTTGGGCTGTACCTTGTTGTCGTCTTTGTACAGGTAATAATTCTGCAAGCTACGGGCGATGATGGAGAGCTGCAAGTTGCCCCTATTCTCGATATTAGCCGCCAAGACATATCCATGACCGCTCACAGCCTCTCTCTTCATTACCTTGCCTCGAGATCAGCATTCTTGCTGACCTTGCCCCACATTTTGATGGCATACGCGTGCATCATGTCCTCTGAGCTTGATTCTTGGTCCTGGTTGTCATTAGCAAATCAGGAAGCACAGCCATCTTGAGAGAATTTCAATTACCTTGCCGTCCATAGCGGCATAGAGACCGTGAGCCCAGCTGTGGCCGTGGTACCAGTCAAAGTTGCGCCACATGGGAAAGAGCTTGTCTTTGGCGCTGGGATTGGCTACATCTCGAACCAGAATGTTGACATAGTCTCTGTTTTGCTTGAGCCAGTCTGAATCCAGGTGACCAATGATTGCGGCAGCAAGAATGTGATAGCCGTAGTGGAAATGGTGATCATTGTAGTACGTGTTTCCAAAGTCGGCGCCAGAATTACCCGTGACATAGCTTGCAGATGATACAATGCCACCCCAAGCGGCTGTAATAGCATGGCTTGTTAGCATCACGGCGTATGTTTGCAGAATAGCAGCAGCATAGAAGAGAAATTGACTTACTTTCGTGAACAAGAGGAAACTTTTGTTCATTGGCTGCAAACGTGGCAAATGCCGCCTTGAGTTGCCCCAGTCCAGTGTTTGTTAGAGCTTTATCGCCCAACATGTGCTTGATCACATAGAGGATTGTTGCAAACTTGGCCAGGGCCTAGGAAGGTTGTCAGTAGCATTCCAGAGAAAGAAGAAAGAAAGAAAGAGAGGGAGAGGGGGAGAGAGAGAAAGAGAGAATAGTGACCTTTCCACTAAAGTACATGGAATCTAGATTGCTCTGCGCAATCATATTCTGTGCTACTTCTTTTGCAGCCGCTGCATGGATGGTGCTCTTTGCGTGGTCCGACAGCTTCTCGACGCTTCCTTTTTCAGGATCCCAGGGAGCAAAAGACATATCAACCGGCATCTCGGATTCAATCATGGTCCACCGATTCCCCCTTACTAGTGTGGCAAGACCCTTTGTGGTAGACTGTAGCTGTGCCTGTTTTTGTATACGCTTCTCCGTCTCTCTGTCAAAGGATTCGACGTGGTGAGGAAGAGCATACATGTATACATGGCCAGTCTGATGCCCAGCAACGTCGAAATTGAATGAATAGCTGCCTTCATAACCGCGAGCCGTACCAGACAATTCTAACGTGACGGGATAAATGCCCGCACCATCGTCCAAAAGTCTCTCAGACTCTTGGTTTTTCGGGCACTTGCAGACTTGAATAATGCCATAAAAGGGCTTCTTTGATTCGGCGAAGCCATTATTGACCACTTTGAGCTCCAGTGGCTCCCCCCTTGTTTTCCAAGCGTACACCAGCCAAGTTGATCCATCTTCCAGATCAAATGTGAACTTGGATAGGTCCGACTTGAGATTTCGTGTAACCCGAGTCATAGTCTTGAAGAATACACCAGTCTGTATAACGGGGGTTGCGCCGCTGTATTGTGCCGTGATATATGCCATTCCTTGTACCAAGGGGAACGAGATGGCCGGTTCCGATTCGCTATCCTTGCTGAGATGGACCCGCGCAGAGAAAGCTGTCATGCTATCGATACTGAGAGCAGTTTCCTTTCCCAATTCTTTGGCTGAAATAACCAAAGAGTGTATGCCTACGGGGTTGAGGTAGTAAGACGAAGCACCATTAAACTTCTCCTTCCCGAATACCCGCTGGCTAGCTTCGGTGTGGGAACAAGCCATTCCCCAGCTGGCCGTCACTCCTTTGCCTCCAGCCCAGGCTACTGAATATGGAAAAGTAAAGGTCGGGCACCGCTGATCTTCCAGAAAGAAATTGGAATAAAACTTGTTTGTCTGAAGCGGTCCATTTTCTGATATTCCCTTGCGCGGCACAGGGTGGTCCTTTCGAGTTGAGATTTGAGAAGGCGGCAATTTGACATCAATAGGCTCCGCGAAAATGTTTTTTGATACCATTTTGTCTTTTGGTGTAGCTTCTGGGGTCTCCCAAGAGGCTGTTCGTGTGCTGAATGGGACTGTGGTCTCTGTGGCTGGCAACTCAGACAGCTTGGATGTGGCCTTGGGTGTCTTTGGCCTGCTTTCACTTTTCAAATTGGTGCTCGATTGAGATGGGTTTGCAGTTATAGCTGAAGAGGGACTCGCAGTCACAGTGGTTGTCGTCGTGAAGGTGATTTGAGTGCAGCTGGAAGTCTTGACTTCGAAGTCAGCAGATTTGGATGCAGTCGTGTTATGAAACCGGCCGCCAGATACTAATGCTTCGCTTAATAGGAACCTTCCAAAGGGAAAACGTGACTGAGTCTTGACTGGGCGATCTAATTTGACGGTTTCTGTCGAAAAGCCAAAGCGATCTTGGTTGATATCTACACCGGGCAAGGCGAGGGTCCCCTGAGCAAAAGTTAGCCAACAAATCCATGTTAGAATGCGATATTGAGTCATGATAATAATGAAGGCTTGGATATATGTATCCAATTCAACATGGCTCCCATGCATGAGATTTCGAGAGATATGCTTTGGCTCAAAACATTTTTTGAAAGCCCGAGTAAGACAAGAAACAGGCATAGAAACGTCCTCAACGTGGTATAAAAGGGCTCCATAGTTGCAGAGGAATGGGCATCATGCAGCACTTTTTTTGTGGGGGAAAATGATTCACAACCACGCATGGCTCCGAATCCTCAAGAGCTTGGAATGGGAATCGACCACAAAGGGGGAGGAGACAATCACTGGTGGAGTTTGTTGTTTTGGACATACCCTTTGTCAGACGTTTCCTGGCTAAACCACGAGAGCTTCAGATATGGCCAGTGGTGCGGATGAAGCAATAGTGGTGGTGATTGTGGTACAGAACTGTAACGTTTGTGGAGGGCTGATTGGAGAAAAGAATATATAAACAAAAAAGTATAAGGCACAAGAATAACCAAAACAGAGGATATGTGCTGGGGTAATGAATAGGTGTAGCTTGTAGGATGAAAGGATCTAATGCGAAAACTTGAAGCTGAAGCAGCTGACTATGAGAGAAGAAGTCTGTCGACACCCAATGCCAAGAAGAATATGAGTAGATATTTCACGTGCTGATAAACATCTGCAACACGAGTTGAGCTATTATTGGCAGGAAGCACCTGGATGAGTCAAGACAAGAAGTCTTCTCCGACCGGCCTCCTTCAATTTTTCCAAATATCCCGTTTTGTCAGCTGCCACTCCGCACAATCAAGTGGTAAATGTCCAGGAAAGAGATTCTCCCAATGACAGGCGCCGTGTCACCCCGATTTGGCCGGCATGCGTTGAAAACAATGTCCGTGGGTGGGTCACGGGGCGTGCCGTTTGCCTCTTCTCAATTGGGATATCTTCTGTGCGTGATTCTAGCAATTCTGCTGCGAAAAGGTGAGCGAGTGGTAGGTAATGGAGCGTTGTTATGTAATGGGTATCTATGGTGTTGCCTAGGAAGATTGTGAGCTCTGGTATGAGCTGGCTTGAGACTTTGGAGTAAACAAACCAGGAATGTTTGAGGGGAAAACTGTTGGTGACCGCAGTGGAGCTGCTAACTTGGTGCTTGGCACATGGGTCTTGGGGGATCAGCTGGCCGTGTGCCGGTGTTGCGCTGAATTGTTTGGTTTGGGTAATTCTTCTGCTGTGCTTGTTCTATGGTTTGAATGTATGGCTTGGAGTGTGCAGACATGTGCGTGTATAAGAGGATCGGCAACGCACTGCTGGGATCGGCGTCACTCATATGGTGGAATATTCATTGTTGCATCTCTATCAGCAAAAAGGGTGATTGCTCTGCTTAAACCAAAAATCTTGCGTATCTTGTAATCGCCAAAAACACTCCTGTGCTATAATCCAAGAGCACTGTATTTCCCTGTTAATGCATTCTCCTTGATAATCATCCGCATTCTCTTGGCTGCGCCGTCATCACCAGAGGCTTTTCTTTTCAAGCCTCTTACGGGTAGCTTCGCATCGGTTTCTTTTGTTCTGAGTTGCTTCTTCTCCTCCTCCTTTACCCTCTTCTGTTGTTTCTTTGCATCGGAACGTTCTGCTTCCCGACGACAATGGCGTATATCCTTATCTCGAAGCAGCCAAGGTACATCCAGGACCTTGCGACAGAACTTGGTTCGCTTCTCCCAGAGCGCCACTTCTTGAGTTGTGCTCTTCACGATGACCATCTTTTCGATATTAATCTGTCGTTCGTCACGATAAGTTGACAATCCTCCCTTCACGTCAACTACCGCGCCTACGTCAATATCTGCGTACGGGTCTGCCCGTTGTAAACCAGCCGCTCGTGCTTCTGTATTCGTCCGTAGTTCGCAAGCTGCCAATTCACTCTTTGGTTCCGCAGAGACTGGAGATGTAGTCACGGCAACAATGTTGCTGCCGCTGCTGTCATCGATGGTATACAGTCGTCGGTTGGCGAATTGTTCGACAGCGACGACGATACCGACGACTCGCACCCATTTTATCGGCAGGTTTTTGTAGAAATAGAAGTGCTCCGCTTCAACAAGAATAAGTTTTAGCAAGTTGCAGGACCACCTTAAAGATTTCTCCGTCGCGCGTACGTACCGTCAAAGCCGGCATGTTGATCCAAAGCATGGATTTCGGCAGCGTGCAATAAGCACCACGTATTCACGGTTGGCGATAGGTGGAAACAGTATCGCGGATAAAGTGTCGGCTTGGTTGCCTCGCTCATGAATGTCTACCTTGGCGCCCTGATTCACTGGCGAATCAAGGTGCTCAAGTCCATGTTCGCGCAGTCAATTTCGCTCTTACCATCTGAGGAGAGGGAAGAAAGAATGTTGAGCAGAAAGATGAAGATGCGTTCTAGGAAAGGTCAAATCGGCTATAGCGCGTCACTGCTTAGGTCCCGCTATCGGTCCAGGGAGCTTCGATAAGCTGCAAAGCAGCTTGTGACATTCCTTGAACCTCGCCAGCGGGTTAATATCCCAAGGTAGAAAGACAATGCCATCAATTATCCAAATCATATACATTTTTCTCATGCCTGATGCTGTAAATTACCAAGATATTCCTAATAGCCTATGCTACACGACGCCTTGAACCCCAATCCCGGACCCTGTCCCTAGTAGCTTAACGAAGCAAAAATAATCCAGCCAGTAATCCCATACTCCAACAAACAAATTGACAAATCTACCGGCGAGATCTTGTCGATCGTCGGCTTGAGCTTGAAGCAGACTTTTCCTCTTTACCAGAAGCCTTTGCCTTCTTAAGCCTGGCCGCAGCAGCTTGAAATGCTTCCTCCGAGGGCTCCTCTTCATCTTCCTCAGCAACGCGCTTCTTGCCCTTCTTCCCAGCAGAGCTCTTTGCCTTTGCACCGTACTTCTCAGCGAGGTGGTCGAGGAAGCCTTCAGACCGATCTTTCTGACGCTTCTGAATCAGAGCTGCCAGATCGTCCTCCGAGTTTCCCTTGCCCTTCTTGCCCTTTGTCTTGCCGCCAAAGATCTTATCGTGCACACCAAGCTCCTTGGCCATCTCTTCGGCTTCTTGCTCCTCTGCCTTGGCCGCCTTGGCACGAGCAGCACGTTTCCGCTTGTTCTCCTTCTTGTAGGCTGCGAAGCTTGGGACGTCGCCGGTCTCAATTGCCTCGTCGATAATCTTACGAAATCTCTCGTCATCCTCAACGACATCACTAAGCATTACTCGCTCATACACCTGGTCCATGTCGCCTTCGCACTCTTCGTACGCAATGAGCAGATCATCCTTCTCCTCGTCGGACTTCTTGTATTTCTCGGCAAACTTTCTGATGGCATCTTCGGAGATTGCATCCTTGAACTGCTCCCGGTAGTAGTCGCTCCAGTTGAAGCCCTCGGAGTCAACAATGGACTCGGAGGTTGACCCAGTGGTGTCGTATCGTTTCCGTCGCGCAGGATCCGAGAGGACGGCGTAAGCGAATGCGATGCTTTGAAAGGCCTCGTGCGCCTTCTCTTTCTGAGACTCGGGGACCTTGTCTGCATCGTTCAAGTCAGCGATCGTGAGTCATGGCCTCTCTGAGGCTATCTGTGCAACCCACCTGGATGGTTCTTGAGCGCTGCCTTGCGATATGCGCTCTTGACCTGGTCAGCGGTTGCAGTGCGCTCCAGCCCCAGGACCTCATAAGGGTCTATCGTCGGCGGCTCGCTGTCCGCGAAATCTTCGTGATCAGACATTGTCAAATAGCAATGGAACGCTGCAGATTCAAGTGTGGCGTGCAAAAGCTTGGAGGAGGGTAGGCTGATGCTCTTTATCTGTGTCACGCGTCGCAACGCGCCCAGGAACCCGTTAAGCTTAATGGAGTTGGGGCTTGGGACCCACTAACTTCCGGTCTTTGGGTGCCTGAGCTCGCTGGAAGAGCTATCCAGCGCTACCTATCAAACTGAAAGCTGACCTAGCGCAGCATTGCATACAGCATATTTCTTACATGCGCATCCTCCATCGTCTTTGTTGAAATACAGAAATGGATTCGTCGGCGAGCCAAGATCACAAGACGGCAATGCAGCACGCATTGGAACTGGCAAAGAAATCCCCGCCACAGCCGACCAACTTCCGCGTGGGAGCCATCCTAATGAGGCTTGAAGATGGTCACATTTCCGCCGAGGGCTACACCTTGGAGCTCTCGGGCAACACACATGCCGAGGAATGCTGCCTCTTGAAGCTTGCAGAAGAGCATTCGACCACCGAGGAAGACTTGTCTACAGCGATTCAGAGCCCGCACGTCCTTTACACCACGGTTGAGCCCTGCTTCAAGCGTCTAAGCGGCAAGCTGCCGTGTGTTGAGCGCATCCTTCGCCAGAAGTCGTGGATCAAGAAGGTTTACGTTGGAGTCCTGGAACCAGAGACTTTTGTTGGGAAGAATCCCGGTCGCCAGCTTCTGGAAGATGCCGGTGTCGAGGTCCACTACGTGCCTGGATTTGAAGAGGAAATCCTGGCGGTAGCAGCTGCTGGTCACACATCGTCATGAAGCTGTCAGGCGAAGAGCTCTGCTACACGAATGCGGATATCTCCTGATCATGGACACTAGTTGCCAGCTGACAATTCATCTTTAAATTGTTGAATCACCGGGCTTGGAACTACCACATTTATGGAGTTTTCCTCTAACAGAACAGAGAAAGAAGAGGCACAAGCCATCATAGAAAATAGAAGCAAGTGTATAGAGCAGAAATAGCGAATCTGCTTGGCTGGAGATGTGGGTGGGGACTATAACGCGGGGCTGCGCCGCTGAAGGGAGCTCCAAAGCATTGAACCAACCAGGGACATACCTAGGTACACATTACACACATATACCTACTTTGGCTATCAAAACCAATTGGAAAGCTAGTCGATATCAAACAGCATTTTATACCAAGGCATTGGCACACGAAACTCTCTTTCTTTTTATCCATCTCCAAGGCTTCGTGGCCCAACTCTTCACGAAGATCAGGAGGATTCAAAGCTTACTGCTCCACTGTCTTCATCGTCTCGGACAACGCCAAGAAACAAGCACCCGTAGGCGAACCGCCATCTGATTCGCGGATCAGCAGCTCAAGCGCTAGACACCCTCCTCAGATCCCTGCTCGATATAATATCCGGCCTCACATCGGGTTTCCAGCCGATCCCGTGGCGTCCGGCAAAAGAGGAGAAAGTCTTTCGTATTACCCAACGCCTTGATCCATGTCCGCGTGACGTCGTCAAGACAGAGAGGTTGGTTATGAGCTGATACTGTCTATACCATATTAAACACTTGTTTCATATATCGCTTCGCCTCTGTCTGATACAAATAGCTCTCATCCCTCTTGCGGTATTCCAGACTTAAAGTTTACCTCACCGCTCTTCATTTCTGTCATCAATCGGGACTTGATAGCCAACATGCTTGAACAAAAGATTGTATCCTTTGAGCCAGGAGACGGCTTCAGCATTGTCGGTGCTAATATCTTTGCCGACGAAGAAGACTTCCCAGGCGTGGTCATTGCGGCATCCAACCTGTCTCAAGACTTTACAAAGGTCATCGGGCATCAATCCAATCCCATTGTGAAAACTGGCCCTTCGCCTTCCCCGGGCAAATCCTGTATTGTTATTGGCTCTCTGGACAAATCCCCGACAATTCGGTTCCTGAGAGACCAAGGAAAGATTGATCCCAGTCGGATTGAGGGAAAATGGGAGTCGTGGATGACGACAATTGTGCGCAATCCTTTTGATGGCTACGACAATGCTTTGGTCATTGCTGGAAGTGATAAGAGAGGAGCTATTTTTGGCACCTATTCTCTCTCGGAACAAATTGGCGTATCACCGTGAGTATCTTTATGCGAGACTCGTTATGAGAGGATATTCTAGCTGATTAGGCATCAAACGATAGATGGCATTGGTGGGCTGATGTACCTCCAAAAAAGCAGCAGCAGATTGTTGCTTTGCCCGTAACCACTTTCAACGGAGAGCCCAGCGTCAAATTTCGGGGCATCTTCATCAACGACGAGTGTCCGGGGATGGACAGCTGGGTCCACGAAAAGTTTGGCCCCAATTTCGATTCAAATCTGTATCATTACATCTTTGAACTGCTCTTACGTCTCAAAGCCAACTTTATGTGGCCCGCAATGTGGAGAGGATATCCTTACCCTGGCCGGTCTTTCTTTGTGGATGATCCCAAGAATCAGGAGCTTGCAGATACATATGGTATCGTGATGGGCACTTCGCACCATGAGCCAATGCAGCGGGCCATGAACGAGTGGTCTACTACGCAACCCGAGGGTACCTGGAACTGGGACACAAACAAGGCAAAGGTTACTCAATACTTTAAAGAAGGTGCAGAGAGGGCGGTGCCTTATGAATCCTACTTCACCATGGGGATGAGAGGCGAAGGCGATGTACCAATGACGGGCGGCGACCCTGTCAAGATCCTTACCGACGTGCTGGCTGTCCAGAGAGACATTATCAAGAAGAACTATGGAAAGGAAGACGGAGTTTTGCAACTCATGGCTCTCTATAAAGAAGTCCAGGGATATTACGAAAAGGGGCTCGTTATCCCCGACGACGTGACACTGTTATTCGGAGACGATAACTTTGGAACCATTCGCCGCCTTCCAACGGAGGAAGAGAATAAGAGGTCTGGAGGATCGGGCTACTACTACCATTTCCAATACACAGGCTATCCGCGCTGCTACAGATGGATCAACAGCAACACTCTGGGTAAAGCTCTTCATCAGCTCCAGTTGGCTCACTATCGGGGCGCCAATCGTATATGGATCTTCAACGTTGGAGATCTAAAGCCTGTCGAGATTCCCATGAGCTTCGCATTTGACCTAGCCTGGGATGTCAATTCCATCACGGCCACTACACTGCCGCAGTACTTTGAACACCTTGCTACACGTGAATTTGGCGAAAAATACGCAAGCCAGATTGGAAAGTCCTGGTACGATTTTAATAAACTGGTGGCAATACGTAAGCAAGACCACATCGATGCCTCTACGTTTGTCATTCAGAAGTACCACGAATCTGATAACATCCTTGCGCGGTGGGGCAAACTCATGGAGGAAGTTGAAGCCATCTACTCACATATGGAGGAGGATCAAAAGTCGGCTTTTTTCCAGCTCGTGCTTCATCCCGTAAAGGCCACCTACATTTTCACTCAAGTGCGTGTGGCTCAGTATACAAATCAACTTTTCGCCAAGCAGCGCAGGAACACGACCAATGTCTTGTTAAAAAAGTGCATTAGCCTCATGGATGACGATCATGATTTGTTCGAGGAGTTCAATTCCATCTCGGATGGCAAATGGGATCTCATACTTCGTCAGCCGCACTACGGCTATGGCGATACCGGCGCGGAGCCCTCACGCAACATGATTGACGGGCTTTGTTACGTGCAAACTAAAGAGGACTCGAATCCGAGTGTTGGTCATATGGGAATAGCCGTGGAAGGCATTGAGGGCATCAACGCCGGTCATATCAATGAGGATTCGGATAGAACTCATCCATCCCGCGGAGGTCTCGAACCTGGAGTGACCCTTCCGTTCATCACTCCTTATGGAGAACAGACTCGCTACTTTGAGGTATTCCACCGTGGTACAAAGGAGTTTAGCTGGAAGGCCAAGCCACAGTATGACTGGATCAAACTGTCCACGTACGAAGGCCATCTCAACCCTCGAGATGATGATATCAGAGTCATTATTACCATTGACTGGGCGAAAGTGCCTGCTGATTTTGATGCCAAGGTCATGATTGAAATTACTGGCACTCGTGATGGCTACGAGCAGGTTCATATGACTGTCAGGAACAATCGTGTTCCGGCTGATTTTGAAGGTTTTGTCGAAGAGAGCGGCCACCTGGCCATTGATGCCGGGAATTATGTCACAGAGCCCTATATCCAGCTGCCTGCTCTCGGTCGGCCAATTGCCGGAGCCGTCACGCTCCCCTTCGATACCGATTTCAGCAAGCCGGATGAGATTCCATTTCTCAAGTATCCGATTTACGTCTTTTCCCAGCACGATAATACCAATCTCGAGCTTCAATTCAACATGACGCTTGAAACAGAAAAGACGAAGCGGATGCAGTATGATGTGCGCTTTGACGGTGGATCCATCAAAACATATCGCCTTACCGAGGATGAATCGAATGCCGAGGACACTCCTAAGAACTGGGCCGCCGCTGTCATGGACTGCGTCTGGAAAAAAGGGCACAACTTGGGCACTGTGAAGAAGGGTAGCCACACGATTGAGGTGCGGCTTAGGAGCCAGAATGTCTGTCTAGAGAAGCTGATTCTTGATCTTGGGGATTTGCGATATACGTATCTGGGGCCGCCGCAGAGTGACTTTGTTAAGGAGGGGAAGAGTAATGGTGTAGACGCTATTGGACATATGGATCGCTTGGAGATTGACTTGGGCTTTTAATAAGGATTTTTTTTTGGATATACAGACTAATTCAGGATCTAATGCGTATTTCTTTTCTTCTCAAAGAGGCTTCAACCTCAGTTTAACAGTTGGGTAGTAGTTCAACGAGTTGACAAACGGTATATAAAACGTTTAAGCCTAACAACAATAGTGTGTACGGCTACATGCCGCGATATACCGGTACTTTATTCGCCAATTCTATATGCTGATTATCAGTTTGCCGTGCATCACATATTATCACTTTCGGGATCAACCAACCTGGCGACGAGCTTCTTCGCGCTCACTTTCCGGTCAAATAGCGCCTGCACTCCCGCAACAATGCCATTCAAGCCATCTGGAAGCACCTCGACAGGGTGAGGCTTAATCTTCCCTTCTGCCAACAAATGGCTCAAGTATCTGTAAAACCAGAATGCAAATTCCTGGTCCACTTTTGCCTGCTCGTCGCTGACTCTACCCCACGTATCGCCATGGGAAGAACCAACCATTGTGTTGGAGAGTTTAACGCCCTCTGGGAATTTCCAGTTTTTGTCTTCGACAGGGTCGACCATGTTGATAGTGCCGCCTCCAAAAGCCGCAAGTACTTTTGAGATGGGCTCGTAACTACGTGGATCAGATATGGAATCAAAGGCAAGCTTTAGCTTGTCCGATCCCGCAGCAGCGATGATCTTTTGCGCAACGTCTCCCGTCCGGTAGTCGATGATGTGATCTGCCGCATGGAGTGACTTGACAAAGTCGATTCCACTTCCAGCAACTGTTATGATGGGCCCGAGATTACTCAGTTTAGCGAGCTGCAGCGCAAAAGCTCCCACGGCTGTCGCGCCGCCCCAGATCAAGATTGGGATCTTTCCGGCATCTGCTTCGGGAACGGCTGTTGGCAAAGGTACTTTTAGGCCCTGGTACAACGCGATGGCGGCTGTCATGAAGGCCAGGGGAAGCGAAGCACCTGATTCGAAGGAGATGTTTGGTGGCAAATGGAATGTTGTGGTGGCTTTGACAATGGTGTATTCGGCGTAGGTGCCGTGAGGAGAGAGCATGTGGTGAAAGCCGGCGACGCGATCGCCCGGCTTGAACTCGTAGACCTCTGAGCCCACGGCTTCGACAATCCCAGCTACATCGTCTCCTGCGTTGAAAGCTTCTGACTCGGTACGGTGTCGTGTGGACTAAGGATGGAGAGTTTGTCAATTAATACGAGACCTGTGTATATAAGCCATTCTGATTCCATGTACCTTCCAATCTTTCGGGTTCAGCCCGGCATAGATGACTTTGACGAGCACTTCTTTTGGTCCTGGTTTTCTTGCAGCAAGTTAGTAACAATCTTGAAACTCCTCATCATTTTGAAATGCAGCGTACGGAATTGGTGTTTCTTGAATAACCCCGCCATATTTGGGCTTGGCATAGATGAATAGTTCTCTCATTTTGAGTTGTTTTACTAATGGCAGCTGGCACAAGGTCAAAGTTGAAGTTGAAGTAAAGAAGAGGAAAATGAAAGCATAAAACAAGACATCTATAAACCTATTTTAATTGCATTTATAGCCGTTTAATTACCAGCTTCAAATCAAATCAAGGCATGGGGGTATTAAGGCATCATCTACAGCACGTATTGTCAGTTCTGGGAACCACGACTCCACCTCGGAAATACGTGAATGTAATCTACCGCGCGGGTAAAATGGATGTGTCCAGCCATTGCTCCCTCTGCTACATCCATTGGCGCGACTCATTTCTCTTTCCAACGAAATAACAGAGGTACTTCAAATAAGATTGACAAAGGATGGCGCATTTAATAGTGATCGTATGAACGAATATCTATGCGAAATGTTGACGTAAAATTTGTCAGCGTGGTAGCTAATTCCGAGTTCTATACCCACACAGACCACAAGATAGTTGTAGCATTGCATACTACTCATGATGCATTTAGGCTAGGATGAAATCAATGGCATGACACTATTCTACTCCATCCAAAAGCACTTCATTATCTAAATGCTACTTTTCATATGACAGTATTCTGCCTTGCAACAATTAGAGTTATAGCCGTCCAAGTTGACGGAGCGTCTTTATAACGGCGCTGGATATTAAGACAGCTATTTGGGCGAGGTTCAAATACAGAAAGACATAGTAGTGTTCCGTATTGTAACCATCGAGACTGCAAACAGCCAGTGTTGACTGGCAAGCGCTTATGATTCTCGGAATTACTCGTGCGAGAGCCTTGCATCAGGCCTTCGTTTTTGGACCTCAAAAGCTGTCATAGATGAAAAGAGTATGTAGTATCAAATATATTGATTCTCTGCGTAATAACTAGGTATTCAAAAGCTGTACATCCAAAGCACTATTGTTACCAAAGAAATATCCGAGAGCAACAGCCTTTTGAACATGAGTGTTGTAAATCGCCACGATTGAGCTACTTAAGAAGAACCGTATCCAACTGAAAAAGAGTGCTGCTTATCCAATTGCCATCTTGAGGTTTACCGGCGACATTCCCTTCTGCATCTATCGCAGAGATCCGGTGACATGAGCTTGATAGTCTCCCAAGCAAGGTTTATACACTGCGGCGTGACAAAACAGTTCATGACAAGATGCGGAGGCCCATTTAGAAACCACCAATCGCAGTAGTCCCATGCTGTTCGGGAAGTATAATCGACATTCATGACGTGGCCGTTTCCGCAGCAGATGGGCCCGTTGTCAATGCATGTAGGCTTGGTGCAGGGACAGATGTCGTAAATTCGAGTTCTTTTACACATTTTGCTGGAATTCTCTTTTGCATGGGGCAAATGCTGGCGGCTTTTTTCTCTCTTTCTCTCTCACTTTTGTTGTAGGTAGTACGTCTATCGATACAGCGCCTAATGGAATAAATGGATATTGACTCAGTTAAATATTCGACAAGATGCTCCAAATCACGATTATTAGCGTAGGAGATGGCTGACTCACTCATAATCCAAGATGAGCAGCTACTGAGTGATTAGCTGCTCTTCAAGAGCGTATCACGCAAGATAGTGTGGTGAATATGAGCTCAGTATTGAGTTGCAGTGATGGAAGACTTTATAAGTAGAAGATTAGCAAACCAATATCGTATGTAAAAAACTCTGCACCAGTAATGCTAGTAGTGGACTGTGATTTAACAATCATCCATCGTACGACTCTCGCGTAAACGCGCACTTGAGGATAGCTAAAGGCTGCCATGGCTTGAATAGCCTTCTGTACAATCAATGTTGGGGGACAGGGACACCTGCCCTGACATCCTCAGGGAAGGAGAAGCGGAGACGGCCACCCTTATATATAGCAGCTTTAGATCCCATATCATAGACGAAGACAAGCTTTTTGATCCCCATCGTCGTACCCCACGTGTTCCCGTTGCCTACGACGTAAGATCTCGGCTCTCATCTTGTTCGACCCCATGCTTGACGCACGACATAGTAGCAATTGCTGAGACCATCATGATCGACGATAACTAGCCCCCCGAGAACGGACATACGACGTTAGACTGTCCTCGTGGTGGCAGACGATCGTGCGCCTCCAGAGACCCGAAGGGAGCTATGCCAAAGAAGGGCACGGCAGCCACCCGACCCAGACAAACCAACGGACTATTTCTGCCTCAAACCATCACTACTGTATCACTGGCTCAAGCCCCGAATTCCAGCGAAGTGGAAGCCCTGATACCACCAACACAACGGTGGTCTATCTCCAGCCCGGCTCGAATACACGTCTCAAAACAAAGCCCTCCGAGCTCCATTTCCAACTTCTCTCTTGTAGCATGGCGTGAATCAGTCTTATCCGTCATGCTACGGCGAGCCAAATATCAGGCCAGCTAGGGTACTCATTCAAGAGTAATATTGCGACCAGCGGAATACCACTTTGCCTTTGATATATGGCATCTGTTATAGCCATAACTGCAGGTAGCCAACGCACCTTGTGACTTTCTCACAGTCTTGGTAATTTCGTCATCACTTACCATCAATAGCTTTGTAGTTGCCATGTGATCAATATTTGTACCCATGCTTTCTATTGTTTGTCCTGATGAACGCAATAATCAACTGGTACCATCAACCAGGCAATGCTGATATTGTTTGTTCTTTGGGGGATCTTTTTCAGTCGGACAAGGCGCTCGAGCGGCCGTATTAGCCATGCCGCATTATCTTACTTGGTTGACCAAGCTGCCGCTGATGGCTTCCAAGCCTCTTTATTAAAGAGCCGTGAAAAGCAAATCAGAGTGATTAAAACATTATATTATTCACGTGCGGTGTAATGGAATAACGACCGGCCAATGGTGTGTTCCCCTCTTAGTATATTGAAGATGTTCGCCATCTCTTTATAGACCTGCGCTTCCATCTTTTGTCTTATTCGCGGGAAGTGGTTAGCCCTTTGATGACAAGCGGCCTAGCCTTTTTGGCTAACTCGGTAGGTGGACTAAGATTTTCCATGACTCGACTTGTCAAGCTACGAATGCGGTTTTATGCGGAGAAATTATAGTACCTATGTCCGCTGATGGAAGCATTACAAAGCTCATAATTCCACAGTCGCCCGTGCTTGCTCTAGAATTAGCTCAGTGCGGCGAAGTAGTTTAATTGGTCGGATATCTAGGTAAGCTACCTGAGGACTGCTCTCCAAGGGGACTTTGTAGCAAGACTATCACATGGATCTTGAATGGAATTTTTCCGTGACTATCGTAAGAGAAAGCTATCATGTTTGATGGAGAACTATAATATTATCAAAATAGCTATAGTTTGTGTTCGCATAGTTACAAACATACTTTGATGATATTGGGGGCAGCAAGACGACTCTATAAAAAGCGATGAGCCATTACAAGGATTCAGGAGCTATGATGTTACTCGCATGAGATGTACCGGATATCCGCAAGGTTCTATAATCGAAATGCTAATCTAGCAACTTTCCGCAGGCCGTATTTAGTGTCCGCGGTGTCTGAATGTGTTACATCCTGGTCCATTCATACCTCATTGTATTACATACTTTGACGATTATACCCCGAAATAGGATTGGCCTGGTAGGTCTAAGCTGGTCTTACTAGGGCTACAAGCTTGCGGTTCCATTTTCTCTCTTAGTGGGGCGAATAAAATGCGTGGCACTCTTTCTGTAAGTTTGATAAACAAAGAAATCTAACCGAGACTGGCAACTGAATTCTACAGCTGATCTTATCTTGTATAGTCATGAACATGAGCTTCGGATCTTAACTAACTAGCCCGTATTACGTAGCAGAGCAAACTCCCGTCAACCAGATTCTAGAATAGATCATATCGCAATCTTTCCTGGCGGGTGATTGTTGCTAAGTTTATTACTTATTCTGGAAACGCCTTATTGAAGTACATGGCGAAATGGTACGTATCTCAGCGGTTGTAACATCTACCTATCCATCAGTTCAAGATTCAATAGCTGCATTCACCTTATTTAAGATTGTATCTCATATTTTTCAAGAGTTCGCTAATAATACAAATCGATTTTCCATTCATCATTGCTGAGCACATTTACCTCACTATACTTAGGGAATAGTCTGATATATACCTTACTTTTTGGTACAAATGGACGAGTCTCGTCTATTTAAGCCCTTAAAGATTGGCAATATCGAAGTCAAACACCGGATTGGCATGGCAGCAGTCAGTCGCTGTCGAGCTGATGACGAGCATGTTCCAACAGAGCTGATGAAACAGTATTATTGTCAAAGAGCCTCGGTACCAGGCACCCTGCTAATTGCTGAGGGTAGCCTGATATCAAAAGAACGTGGCGAGCTGCTCAGCGTGCCAGGTTTGTATAGTCCACAACAGACGGCGGCTTGGAAATCAATAGTAGACGAAGTTCACACCAAAGCGAGTTTCATCTTTGCTCAGCTATACACAATAGGCCGTGCAGGTTACAGAGAAGTAAACGACGGAAAGGATTTCGAATTCAGAGGCCCGAGCGCTAGTCCATGGAGAGCTGATACTCGCACACCAAAAGCCATGACAACAACAGAAATCAAGGATAATGTACGACTTTTTGTGCAGGCTGCAAAGAATGCGGTGAAAGCAGGCTTCGATGGCGTCGAAATCCATGGTGCAAACGGCTATCTCATCGATACCTTTATTCAAGACGTCAGCAATCAGCGTGACGACGAATATGGCGGCAGTATTGAGAATCGATCTCGTTTCGCATACGAAGTTATAAAAGCTGTTGCTCATGCAATTGGCATTAATCGGGTTGGACTTTGCCTAAGTCCGTGGAGCACATTTCAAGGCATGAGAATGAAGGATGATGATACGATATCGCAATACACAGACCTGATTAAGAAGGCGGACAAATTAGGTATTGCTTATATACATCTAATTGAGTCGCGCAACGCTGGCTTGGATGATGTTCCGGAGAATAGGCGGCTTGATTTCGCATACAGCATTTTCAAGGGACCAATCCTTGTTTCTGGTGGCTATACGACTGAGTTGGCACGGAAGCTTGTCGACGAACAGCACCCGGAGAGAGATATTGCGGTCATGTTTGGGAGATATTTTACATCGAATCCAGATCTTGTGTTTAAAGTGCAGCAGAATGTGGAGTTTACTCCATTTAACGAGGAGGACTTTATTTATTCCAAGTCGTCCAAAGGATACACTGATTATACTTTCAGTGATGAATATTTAGGAAGTCTCAATGTTTTGACGCAGCTACTAAGCTGAGGACAGAATTGTTTTTAAACTTGTATAAGGAGAATAGTATCATTTAGCGTTTCATTTTCTTTTTCTTTTTCTTTTTTAATACACATCGTGATTGTCTATAGACTATATAAGCTTCATATGCGGAGTACGCTCCATCAATAAAGCACAAAAGAAGTGAATTTAAATCGCACGCGAGTTTCCCCATCTCGTGAGGCGAATGCTCCGCTCGCCTCCCACAATTTCTACATACCTACATAGGCTACGAAGTTGCTCCGTAATATATCAAAGCGGGAAGCATGCAGCCACCTGTTTCTTTAGCACAGCCTTGAAGTCGTTCGCATGTGCCACAGGCGAGAAGACGGCAGGTATGGCGTATTTCCTAAATAGGCAATTCTATAACAACCTTGTATTCCACAAAAGGAAAAGTCTCAGTTTCTAACAACAGCGTGGGGCGCCGCCTCATCCGAGAAGCGCGTATTCGGGCTTTCAACAAGCCAATTCTCCAGTCACGTTGCCTGGGCCAAGATAAAACTTGGCGAGCTGAGAGCTATCAATAATTTGTCTGCTCAGGCATTATTCGTCATGGCAAGCACCTCCTTGCCATCCTCCAGAACCCCCCGTATACCGACCAAAGATCAGCTCTCCAACGAAGATTCCCGCAAGAACAGCCAAAAAAAGTCCAACGTTAAAGGTCATGACTGCTAGCATTCTTTGCACTTATATATTAGTTACAACGTTGAACCTATGCAGAGTTGATATTGGCTTACAGAAGATATCCAATTAAAGCTCTTGCAAACTCCATAAATGCCCTAATACCGTCTTTTTTAGGACTCCAGGGCCCACTTGGCTGCCAATGCCCATATATCTTGCCGATTGACATGTTCTTATCGGACTGTTCTTGAGAAATGGGCCAGCCATCATCACCCTCTTCATTCGTCAACGGGTCCGATTCGGCATTATTCTGCCTTAGCATGTATGTAGGTATCGGGCTTGCTTTGGCCTTGAAGAGCGCGCAACGGTTCCGGCCGGTAGGAGGAGCAGATAGTGTATTCCTACTCTGGACTTGCCCGGACCAGGCGCGCTCGATTTGAGTTCTTAGTGCTGCTAGGAAACGGTTCAAAAGAGTCAGAAGAAAGAGAAACGCCATAGTTGCAACATATGCTGCTACTGTAGTTGTGGTCCATTCTGTAAAGAACAGCGTAACACGGATGTTGGTGCAGAAGACCGATGCCATGCTCATCCCGCCCCCTCCAGTTTCGTTGGAGGGTGCAGTTGGCGCAGATGAGGCCGTCGCATGGTGTTGCATCGACTCCATCTCCATCTCTCAAAGATGCTTGAGGTTGAAAGAGTTGCACAATGTGCGAAGACACTGTTGTGATTAAAAGGAGGTGTGGGTGACTACTATTAGCAAAAGAGTAGCTATATTGATAGAACAACCATGCCTATTATATTTGATTGGGCGGTTACATGAGACTCTTATCAGAAAGGCAGCAAGCATCGGCTCAAACGATAGCTGCAACAGAACTATTGCTAGTCACAAACTATTATACCTAAATATACATGTGTGGGTATATGTTTTTACTTGAAGCCTAGTTATTTACAAAAGAAAATGTTAAATTAACTAGTTATTTTAACAATTTCTAAAACAAAACTACTATACAAAATATATATTTATAATCTATTGGCTTATTAAATTTATATTGATTGTAAGCTATTTTTATCGATTGATAAATTAGGATACCTTATTATATTATAAATATATAATAATGCAAAGTGAGAAATGAAATTCCATTTCTGGAAAATGATAAATTATGCATATTTTTAAATATCTAACCAAACCAAGTTTACTTCCTCGTAAGCCTTACAGTACAAGTATTGGATTACCGCATTTACTGAACCAGTGAAAACTAACTCAATTTAACTCACTCCCCAAGCTAGAGCTGTACCAGAGCTAAGAAACTAGCTCGCCGAATCCTTCCATCGTACATCTTGTTTTAAGATACTGAGCAAATTAGTATCGGACACACATATGCCCGCCACCAGATACATCAGAAAGGGAATGATTTCACGGTGAATTTGGTAATTCATTCTTATTCTATATCTAAGAGAACATTCTATTAAGCCAGTTCTGTTTCGCTGTAACTGCAGCATGGATAAGTGGCACGCTAGGGTTATCAATCCCATCGAATAAGTGGAAGGCCCCTGGCCAAACATGCAATTCACATGTTGATCCGCAACGCCACATATTCATGGCATATGAAACAGCTGGGTCCCGGAACACCTCGCACTCGGCAGCATCGATGTAGGTTGACGGAAGATTTGACAGGTCCGTTGCTCTAGACGGCGACTGATATTGGGTTGTCTTGTTTGTCCCCCTGTCTTGTCCCATGACATGCGCCCATGCCATCCGATTGGAAACACCACACCAAGGACTACCGTACTCAAATTGCTGGTCGGAAATGGTGTCGCACCGATCATCCAACATGGGAGACAGTAACATCTGGCCTTTGACGGGAATCATGGGAACTTGTCTGTCCCGGGCCATCAGACACATTGCTGCAGCTAGAGCCCCTCCACCGGATGACCCCAAAATAACAATTTGCGCTGGGTTGATTCCAATAGAAGCGGCGTTCTCAGATGCCCAGACAAGTCCGGCATAGCAATCTTCTGCTGGCCCCGGAGCGCGAGTCTCTGGCGCAAGGCGGTACTCAACGGACAGGAAAACACACTCGATGCCTTTCATAATGTCCAACAGCTCTGCCACGCCGGAAAAGCGGTCACCAGCAACCATGCCGCCTCCGTGGATGTGGTATAAAGCTGGTAGCGCGGCTGAAGTTGGCTCCTTTGGCATGAATACTGATAGAACCAAGCTATTGTCCCCCTGAGGCCCCGGAACGAGAAACTCTTTATGTTTGAGATGTGGCGCACCGTTAATGATGGAATCTGATGGATTGGCAGCTGTTTCTCCTTGTTCGCTAGCTGAATAATTGCGCATCAAACCGATGTCCAGTTCCTCTGGTAGAAGGCATGAGTCAAGAATGGGCGCGAGTGCGGGATCAATGGCTGGTCGCGGTATTTTGATCCTGGGATCAAGTCGTGCCGCTTGAGAGTAAGGAAACGGGTAAGTCGACATGTTTTGAGCCATTTGCGCATATGTTGGACGGCGAAAAGAGCTGTGAATCTTGCAAGGGATGGCCTTTGTGAAGTGTCCCCTCCAGCAGCAGTTGGAAGCGTCAGGGAAGCAGACGAGTAGGTACATGGAGTTGACAGATGCTGCTGTTTTATATTGTTGTTGCACATGTATACCTGTGCTTCGTATGCTTTTAGTGGGCTTCAGCGGGTATGGCCACTATAATCTAGCTATTGAACTACAGTACGTTTACATACGGCAAGTAAACGGGTAAGCAGGTAGGTGGCTACCCATATGAGGCCACGGACAAAGAGCACAACATCTTTGCTACAGTAATACATGTAATCTGCATACAATTGAGAGAATCAGCAATTTTAAAACGTCAAGCTCTTGGCAAGAATTTTCTTGCTAGCCCTGCTTCACTTCGTCTTGAAAGCCGACATCTCAGTGTGCTAACCACTTGTCTGCTCAAATTTCTTTCAGGCATTCTCCAACAAGCTGGTTGATCTTTTCAACCAGATCGTCGCTCACGACGCCCTCTTGCCAGCTGTATCCAATTGTCATTGAACCATCTCCGCCGGTAGCAACGCTGACAGTGACTGCGGCACCAGTGACCAGAGAGCTTCGACTGAGAACTACTTTCCCAACTTGCCAGATGGAAGCTTCATTTGTCTCTGGAGTAGCGCGGGTGGGAAAAATTCCGACGTTTGTGACTTCAAATGCTGCGTCCCGAGGTTCCCCAATCATTGGCTTGAAGATGGTAGAGACATTAGGAATAGTCTCAAGAGCAGAAACGGCTGTGTAAGGTTCTCCAGAAGGCGAAACATTGCTCAGGTAGTCGTTCACTATACCTGAGACTTTCCTAGCGGCGATCCATACATCGTTGACCGAATGGGGGTTGTTGGGAATCTGCTCTGGCCGTTTGAACAACACTCTGGTAGCATCGAAGTATGTTCCAAGTGCATCATCACCGACTTCTCGGGGCAATTGAAGCCATGGGCGAAGGTTAATGGGAATGATACAGGTGAGAGCCCCAACATCAAGGGGAAGAATATCGAACAGCACCGTGGCAAGAGTAGATGAGACTACGGATGTTACAGACAGTCCATTCTGCTTGCATTTGAGGAAGAAGGATTTGGAGACAATTGGTGGGAGATGGAGAGAAGTCCAACGAGACTTGCAGGGATGTTGAATACAGTTACCTGTCCACTGATTAAAAGACCCAGTGGCATTGGCAGGAGGCGCTGGATTGATTGGAAGAGGATGCAGTTGCCCGAGGGCGGGAGGAATCTTTGCATCTTCCTTCGGCACCACTGTCTCTTCTCTTCTAAAGCAAGGCGCAGGTGTGGAAGAAAGAACCTCGAGTGCATCATGGAAATTTTTGTGAAACACCAATCCAGACACGCCATCTCCAATGGCATGATGGTAGATGAAGGACACCGTAAAGTCCATCTTTTGCTCAGCGCTTTGTAGCACAACGATGCGCCAAAATGGCTCCGTGCCATAGCCGGTTTTGAAATCGGTATTATGCTGGTCTTCAAGAATCGCATCGAGCTCGCGGTCTTCAGCTTCCCCAAGATCATTCCAAGGTTGGGAGCGCGTGAGGAACTTGATGCTTCGACTTAGATCTACTGAAAGAAGTGAAGCAAAATGCGCATCGGGAGTGTCTTCGTTGATAGGTATGGCACTGAGTATGCGATACTTTTGGACGACCTTTCCCACAGCCAAGTGGATGAGATCACAAAGGTCGAAAGTGATGGGTGGGAAGAGTTGAGACAGTCTGTAGTGAACCGACAGACCGACATTGTTGAAGAAGCCCAGATGGTGACAAGTCGCTGACACTTGCTCGAGCTTGCCTGTAGTATATCATTAGAAATATCGTATCCAGTAAAGAATGCTTTGGGTTCGCTTTATGTTACCTAATGGCCGCAGCTTTTCAAGCTGTCGGATACTTGCCATTGTGCTCTTACTACCTATGAAGGAAAGTAAATCTTCTATTAGACAACTCAACAGCTTAAATTTGCAGTAAAATAAACTAGTGTGAGATGTATGTTCTTGGAGTTATAACGGAAGAGCAATTTTTCAAGTATATATAATATTTTCTTGGCCGTCTAGTCACTTGGTTTTTTCCCAAGTTACAAACAAAGTAATAAAAAAAGAACCCCTCTATATATCTATAATATTAAATTAAATATTACAAATAGTATATATACGTTACATGTAGTCTTGACGGTTGTGGCGCCTGCACACATACTCGTCGCAACATGTAAGGTTTTATCCCCAATAGGCCACCAACACCCAATGGCGGAGATCTCGACAAGAGCAGACGCAGCTTATTCGCCAGTAGCGCGATCGCTAATGCTAAGTGGGTAGGTACATGTAATAGGTATGTAGTTTGAGCAAGTTTGCGCATGTAATCAATGCTCGACGGTTGCGCGTTGGTGCAAGAACTCCGCGGCTCATGATCAACCTCCAGGAGCCGAACCATCATCAGCTTGTCCAAAGACACACATATTTGACCTTTTCCTGTGCAGAATGGTATCAACATCGTCTATGTCGTGTATCATGTGACTCGTTTTTCGGCGGCTTGGTCTGACGGAGTGCTCAGGTCCCATATCCAACCGCACTATCGCTGTGAGGTGGACAGGATTGCTCGCTCTTCTATTGGTCCTCATTAGTTGGCCCCTTCAAAACGTTGCTGGTCTGGGCTCTTCATAATTCCTCCACTCGTGCTGGCATTGCGGTTCAACTTGTACAGGGTCATGGCCGCTGCCAAGCAAAGGCATGGTGGTAGTCTGCTGCCGCCGGACGTGACCGAAACCAAATCGACGCCCCGACCCTAGAGAGCTAACGAGGCTGTCACATCCGGCGCGCTTGATACAGTGATTGCGGGAGTAATCTATCTGCTGTGAGTTGACTTTGAAATGTCTCTGTAAGGTTGGCGTCTCAAACCAGGCTACCGACCTTGTCTTAGTATGCTCGCAGCCATGACGATGAATGTTGGATATTTCCTGTCTATACTTGGTGGTATTTTCTTGGGTAGCATGCTCTGCAGTCATTTGTCAGGCAGCATTGGGAGCCATTGAGTCACCGTTCAAGTGCCTTTGACAACTGACGTTTGTTGAGGCGGCTGTATAATGAGATTTCTTGAGGGCGAATCCACAGCTAGTCCCATAGAACCAGTAATGAGCACATTCGCGCTGTGCAGCCTTGATGCTATCTCGCCCAGCGACAATGCGACAACCTCTTGCAGCGTATACGTCGTGTACGTCATGTTCTGCACGATGCCTGGATAAGCCGCCGGCACATCGACGTAGGAGCGCGCGTCATCAGTAGATGCGTAGCAGGAACCGGTCGGGAGAGACTTGGCGGTTATTGACTTCAGCGTTGCAAACGATGAGGGATGGAACGTAATACTTGCCCAGACACTCCGAGCAGGCTCCGTTTCGCGTCTGTCAAGGCCACCGCGAGATGGACCGGTCCCAGGGGTGGCCAGATGAAGAGCAAGCTCGGGGCCACACTCATAGTTATCAAGTACGGGAATGACGGTTTGGCGGTCACGATTACCGAAAAGCAGCTATTTTGTGAAAGATTCGCCGCCATGGCAGGCTTTCGAGAGGAGATGCATAATCTGTCCATGCCTAACCATGTCCATGGTTTGATGCTGGCCGAGGAACGTGAGCACCAAGCCGCCGACAATGAGATTTGCCTGTACAAGAAAGACAGGGAAAGCCGGCTGTCAGTCGCTGAAGACCATTTATCAGTGTCCTCACGATGGTGGATTGCGCAACATCGTTGGGCATTGCAAAGCAGAGACATATTCGCGTGTGAATGTTGAGTCTGGCTGCTGTCCAAAAGTATCCAATCAAAAATCCATGTCTTTGTGTGAGCGAGTCTACATGCAGTAGGTAGTCTTGGTAATTGTACGCAGCGGCTCCAGAGAAGCAAGGCTCTGAGCAAACGCGACTAAGCGATGATCCACATGGAAGCACATGTAACTGGCGCTCCTACTGCATAAAGGATGATAGAGCAAGGCATTGGACGATTCTATCAGCTATTCGACAATGTCTCGGTTCAATGCCATGAAAGAATGCAAATGCTAGCGCCGGCGGAATATAATTGGTTGAGATATGGCAATGGAGGTGCTAGTGCTGCAGATGTTGCAGATGTTACACGAGCAATTTTGGAAGAGCCAGTGCAAAAGCGTCAGTGCCGAGGGAGCGGAGAAATCAACAGGGCGGCGAATATGTGAAACCATCGTCGAGGACGAACACAACTATCGCAAGAGCAGCTCGAACAAGCAATGTCGTCGGCCAAGATCCCAGCAAATGACTAAAAATGGGGATATAAACAAGGGATTGCCGGGTTACATGTTCCTGCAGGAACCACAGTGGCCATACCTCCATAGATATCAACACACTCGCACGTCCACTTCATTGCTTTCATACCAGAACGATGGCTAGTAGAGGACCCCAAGTTCCAAGATGACCGTCTGAATGCTTCGCTACCATTCGGAACAGGACCTCGGGTCTGCATTGGGAAGAGCCTAGCAAATCTTGAAATGAGGAAGTATAATTTACACTATGATTTATACCATAAAATCAGTGACAATGAAAATAAATTCGGTTCGCTATTAATCCATGTGTCATCCATATCTACTCATTGAATCCATTGTAACGCTTTTATTTCCTGGAAAAAGCCTCCTGCTCCAACTGCTGGCTTCTAATCACCCAATCCGCATGATGGCTCTGGTACTTTTTAGCGCCCTCAGGGTCATCGCTCTTGATGCCCAGTACCTTGGGGATATGGAATCCCTTGGCAATTCCAGGTCTGGCGCTCAGTCTAGCCTCCCACTCCTTGAGATGCGGGAAAGCATTCATGTCGACATCGGTATATTCACCGAAAATCACCCAGGAAAGATTGGCAATGTCCGCGATGGAGAGGTGGTCTCCGACCAGATACCCAGATTTTGACTTGGACAACTGAGTGTCAAGGACGCTGTAAAGTCTCCTTGTCTCGGTCACATAGCGCTTAACACCGTACTCGATCTTGACGGGAGCGTATTTGAGAAAGTGAGAGGCCTGGCCTTGCATGGGACCAATGCCTCCGTGTTGGAAGAAGAGCCAGTTGTTGCATTCATAGTATTCCCTACTGCCCTTGGGGAATGATAGCTTGTGCTCAGGATCATAACGCTCAGTCAGATACTGCAAGATGCTTCCACCCTCAAAAACCCTGATGGGTTCGCCATCGTCGAATGTGTCTACAATGGCGGGAATTCGCCCATTGGGGTTGATTTCGAGATACCAGGGCTCCTTTTGGCGAAGAGTGCTAATGTCAACGTGCTCGACCTCGTACTTGAGTCCGAGCTCTTCTAGTGCTGTGGTGATCTTGATGCCATTAGGAGTGGAATCAGTGTACAGCTTGATGTGAGGTTGAGGAGACGCCATGATTGAAGATGTTTTGTTTTGAATTGAGGTTTTCGTATGTAGAAATGAACGCCTTTTAACCGGGCCCTTGTATTGAGAGTGAGTGAAGATGTTGTGGGTGATGCCGGTGTTAATGTTGTGCTGAGGGACAAGCCTATAAATACCACTCAGAGAGCCATGGCTAATGTTGGAGCCCAGCCTGCCCATAAACGCCCGCTTAAAAATATGCGCCGCTGGGAAACTCATTGTTGGCTGCAATCTAGGGACTTGGGCGTTCCAGAAACAACATTGAAGGTAATTTCTAATTGGGCGATAAATAATGCGACAAGCTCGGCGAAGCTCCATCGTCATACATGCGATGATCTCATAATGCAAACGGGCACAGCTAGTGCTCGTTCAGGCAATTTCTGTCGCAACCCTTCCTACCTGAGACAAAGGCCATCAGCGCGGTTACAAATCCATCTATTCAATAAGGCATTTATAAGGCCACCAACAGCCGAGAAGCTGAATAATAGCGCAGCTAGTGTATGGCAAGTCAACCTTATTTTGTTCTATCTTTATGGGTGCCGCAGCTTATTAAGCCCGTAACTGCATAGCACCTGTAAAGGAAATATGTTGAAAGCCATAGAGACAAGACCCCGCTGCCTACTTGTAAGGTAGGTAGTTGTCAATAGATTCTTGAGACTGTGCAAGGCTGTAGATTTAAGTCCAAGAGTGGAGGGAGTAACTCCACGTAGATAGTGGCATAGATCTCTATCACCTAAAGTTCTCGTTCACAGACATGTATATGCATCGCGATTCCAGATGAGAAACCTCCTACTTACGCTCAGACACTAAATTTGCTAGGAAGTGAGGCACCCACCACTCTTAGGTATCTTGATCATATAACGCCAATTGCATGTCCGGATCCCGCCTTTGTTCGGGACCAGTGTCGTATCATCGGCTGAGAGTGTCCAACATTTTAAATTATTTGCCATCTTACAATCTACGCATGACAATGTGTGCGTAAGTATTGGTAATACTCTTCTTCCTTTTGTATTTCAATTCTAGATGCCACAACGTATTCCGCTATATGAGTTATGATGACTTGTACAAGGCTGGCGAGCTCATACATGCTTGCGTGAGGAGTTAAATCCGTAACAGTCATAAAGAAAGGAGCGAGTCAGAACCGTCTTTTAATTATATGCTTGAGTATGCTACGAAGTTGTAATACAAAATATGACCTTGGAGCTGAATGAAAGGACCCGAGTAGGTCTAGGTGGGAGAATAGACTTCTAATGTTGTTTTTATAGAATCAGTTCCGGAAACCATCGACTGACTATTTACAAGAGTCCTTTGGACGCTGAAGTAGGAGCAAGCTGACGTCTTCTTTCCTTTCATCTCTTTATCATCGCTGTATCATGTCTTACATCGCCTGCTGTCTTGAGATTTTCGTTTACGTGGCTCTAAATCGCGCCTTACATCCCGTAAGTTCTATATTTATGGCTCATCTATTACGATCGCATATATGACAATTCGACGAACTTGCGGTTCAAAAGAGAATCTCTGCCAGTGCATCAAGGAAAATAATGTACCCAAAGACTAATGTTATTATCTAAACTCTCAAATAACACTCTTAAACACCTCGAATGAGTCCAGTCTTTACATCATAAAGATAACCTTTTGTGCACTCCCTCAACTCGCGGCGGATGACCTTTGTCTCTTTTAGTAGCTTCACATCATCGTGAACGCTTTGTTCCAAGCTAATTTGCTTAGTATGATATGCTATTTTAGGGCTACAAAGGAGAAGGGTCACTCACTCTGCAATGACTGGAAGCACTAAACTGCTTGCATCCTCAACGGAAACTCCCTCTTCCTTCAAGACGTGGTTGTGGATTTTTTCCTCTGTCAAATAAGTAGCCCCGCAGTCTATTTCACGGAAGAGCAAAGCTGATTAGCCAATGTTTGGCGCAATATCTGTCTTGCGGCACACCTGTATGATGAATGATCATGAGATCTTGGAAACCACCAATGAAGCAATCCAGGGAGGTGATTTGAGCGACAAGTGGAGCCACTCTGCCTCCTCCGACTCGAAAAATAATGGCTTCTATTCGAATATGAGCAATCAAATGCTTAAAAAAAAGCCGAAGTTGAATCATACCTCCAGGCATAAGGCATAAAAATTCTTCGGGGTTGCATCTTGGGTCGAGACAGGTTACTATAGTAAAATAAGTAAGTAATGCCCTCGTCTATGTTAAAGAAGCATTTCTCTTTATTACGCACTTATGAGTATGGAAGGCCTTATGAGACCGATACTCTCAGAAAAGAACTTGTGCGGTCTATGATACGCAGCAAAGTCCCTATAGCAAGATTGCGGTAAGTAGGTATTCGCAAACACGGAGATGAGAAGAGCTCATACTTGTTGCGTTCAAGGATGCCGTTCACTAGAGAAGTTGCCATTTGGAGTTTCATGGAAAATAGGAAGTGATATTATTGATTTGTTTGAGTCGCTGACAATGCTGTAGATTGCACTGTCCCAATGTTCGGTCAAGCCCTCGTATAAATAGCAAATAGCTATTTCATGCCGCGGCAAAGGGTGAAACCGATTATCTCATCACCTAATGCATACAGGTATAAATTTGCTTATCATCGGTCTTCGCAGTTCAACATGATTCCAAACGATTTTTAAAGTCTCAGTGCTGTGGTGGCGCCGGCAATCAACGCGACGAAGCTTCGAGGAAGTCTGGAGCTTCTAGTATAAGTCAACTATCAGCCCTAGCCACATGCAGAAACCGGTGCCCTGGCAACACCAACACTTCAGTATAGATATTGTCTTTTTGGTATTGAGAATTTTCTTCCAGTACGATTCTCTACCTGTGATTGCGCTTAGAGCTACTATATTTGGTAACTCGGAGTGGAACTGTTTTGGACCTGAGGCTGCGATATGCAGCATTCCTTAATGAGCTCTAAATGGCAAGACAGTAGCTCAATAAGACGAGAAAATAATAGGGTCATCCAGCGAGCGAATTTCGGGATGGCTTTAAGAAATAGTGCATGTAAATCCTAAACTTCGTTGTTTGAATGTAAGACCTACTCTCATTCTACCTGCGAGAGCATTATGGCCAAAGCTAGAAATCGGCATTTCATGAGTGTGCCTCGCTTCTGTAAAGTCAGCAGCTCCTAAATCACTGGCCGATCATGTGGTCCGCCAGCCATCCTATTCTTGAACACTAATCACTAGACGAGTTGTCTATCTCTTACATCACTATTGCTTTCTAGGTTTATGGTTCCCTGGTAGTCTACAAACTGAATACCCGAGCATCTAATCGGATAGCCTACCAGATGTGCGCGATGATTGACCAAGACCTGCCAGTTTGCGCACGGAGATAAGTCTATCTAGATGACGGGTAAGCAGTTTAATTAGCAGAACTAAGAATCTATTTATAAGAGATCTTTTTCTTTTTCTTTCTATGCGCCGCGATCATGAAAGAGATAAGATCATCCACTCTACATATTGCATACCCCAATACCACAAGCTTTTAGATTGGATTTTTAATTGGAGTCTCGTCTTAGTAACGCACTTCTAGGCGAAGAGAGACGAGGCCGTCAAAAGCGACCGGAGTTTCTTTTGATAGAAAGAACCACTTTGCTCCGATTTCGTGCGAAGATCACCGACCGTTGTTCAAAAAACAGATGGGGGTTGTTTGCCAACAGTCATTGAGTGATCGATCTTGGGAATTTTGGGATGTAAAATAGGGCGGTCGAGATACATGAGGTTGCCATTATCGCCATTATCTTTGCTCACATTTGACTTTATACAATCCAAAGAATATATGAACCATTGGAAGAAGCACCTGTATTCTATTGAACAGCCATTGGCCTATAAACTAAGAACATACATGTAGTTATTAGCCACAAGGAGATCTTCAACAAAAGGAAATGCACAAATTCACAGCTACCGAGTTTGAGGGCAATAAGGTTCGGGCAGTCTAGCTGATCCCCTCAACAATAAATAAATCCAATTCACGCCGATGACCCAACTTGAAAGATGGCACTGTGGCGTTAATTAAATGTCTGCGAGGGTCAGTCCAGATGGGCTTTGTTCATTAATTAAAACGCGTCATTACCACAGGACATTGGCGCTGTACAAGACATGCAACCCCTCAAATCCAGCTCAAAGTGCCATTGGTATGAGTAGGTACCAATCCCAGCTAACAATAAAGGCAAACTAGTAGATATGCTGTAAGACGAAGTCGATGCGTCATGATACCTGCTATTTTCTGGCTCTATGACATCAAGATCTTCGTAAAGAACTTGCCATATAAGGAGAATTTAGTCGATTGCTAAGCATCAAATAAAAAATCCGACGTGGTGTAGTGGCTAGCATACCGCGCTTTCATAAGTGAAAGTCCCGCGGCGATCCGGGTTCGACTCCCGGCGCCGGAATTGAATTTATTTTTTTCCCACTATTACTAACTGATGCCCTCATTTTATTTTTGCTGGTTTCCTAGTAATATGGGATATGAAGAATAGGCCAGGAACGAGGAAGTCGATGGATTTTAGTCGAGGTGGTAGCCAGGTGGTGACTTTGTTGGCGAAAACTTCGGGTTGAGAATTGCAAATGAGGCTCAGACGAGCCTGCGGTTCGCCACGGAGGTCTACCCAACATTGCGATAAGCTGCGAGATACATGGCATGTCTCTTGGATCGACGTGGAGGCGGGAAGACTGATGGTCAAATTCCCATGTGTAAATTATTCTTGAATATTGATATTCTTTCTGGGGTTCACATGGGCTAGGGTTAGGTCAGACTACACGTATTCAGACGAGACTTAAGATATTTGCCTGTAATTTAGCAATCACTATAGAGGCATTCGCTTAACAGCTGGGAGAATCCCTTGTGTATAGCCGTTCTCAAATTTGGCACGTATTCAAGCTTAGAATAGTCCACTTCCCAGATGAGTAGGTTGCCCTCATCGCGGCTATCCTCACCTAACCGGTTTCTCACTTTGCCGGGTCAATCGGTGGACTGCGTTTATTGCTCGCCTGTCAAAGCTTCGCTTGTCAGCTCTAGAAGTAAGAATTCTATAATTAAATCGTTTGTCATAATCGGCTGCCAAAAGAGTAAAAGAAAAGAGCACGTGGAGTTGATTAACGGGCCTTGTGCCCTAAAGCTACCCTTGGCCTTGCACAATGAGAGGATATGCTTCGTTTGTAAGTGAACAAAGAAGTTCAAATGGCCTTTCGTTCGTAGCGGGGAACCTCTCCAGGTGTGGTTCAATGTGTACAATGTATCAAGTACCACTGCTTTGTGAATCCATCAATTGAATTCGATTCACGCTCTACAGAGCCCTCCAAGCTAATCAAGTCAAAGCCAATGCAGCGCTTGGCCAAGACGCCGAGATTGGACAATGGGCCACAGCATGGTTGTTGCCACTCGCTTTGATCAAGCTCTGGGCACTCGGCGGCCATCTCGACACGAAACGGTAGGATGCAAACAAGCAGCAGCGCATCACGGTGCCTGGATAGCCTGAGGCATGCACCGTGAGCTGGCGCCAAGTGGAGATGCACTCGAGGCTGATCTGCGACATGAACCTGCACTTCTCTACCTACATGTACGGATACTTGCTATGCAATGGAACGCAAGGCCAAAGAAGACCTTTGAGCGGCCACGGACGGCTCCACATACAAGTGTGTGGCAGCACAGCGTCTGAGCAAGGCAGAATTCTTCTCTCGAGTTCTTTCGAAAAAAACAAGAAAGAAAGAAACCCGGCGAATCTGCCTGGCCTAGACAAGTGCATGGACAACGAATGACTCTTCTGGCGAGGCGGGAGGCCAACGGTGGGAGGGATCATGTTTTGTTTGGCCGATGGCGCTCAGCCAATGATGAAAGCGGGCGTGTATCTCGCGCGGTGAATTGAGTGTGTAGGTACATGTGAATATGCCCAGCGCTGCTCCAATGACATCTCCATATATGCAGGGCTTGGGCCATATCACGGCAGCTCTGACGGACGAGCGTTCGTCCCACGTCCTCGGCAATTCATCTCTTCTTTTTGACCGATATATATGCCTGTGCAGCCGCATTCCAGCAATCGATTCTTACACTACCTCCCTATACCAGCATTACAACACGGCTATACAGGCGGGCTTCTTGGTTCAGCGACGGCATCAATTCCTTAAGCGCCGGCCACCCCTCCACAGATTTACATACAAACTGCAAATTCCCGCACGAGCATCCGGCGTCTACACAAAGAGCTGTAAGTACTGCTTCAGGCTGCCCAGATACCATGTCCACACGGTCTTTTTGAAAGAAGATGCAACAAAGAAACGAACAAAAAAAATTGGAACCTGGACCAGCACGCTCACTAATGCCATCCTCTATTAGACCTACTAGGTGCTAACACTGAGCTTTCCCCGCTCCCGCAGACCCGTCGAAGCGCTACCACGGCCGGTCCCTCCCTAGAGATTTGATACGCGGCAGCTTCGGTGGAGAGCTCTAAAGCCGGCCTCAATCTTCGTCGCCACCGAGAACCTCGAGCTGCCATCAATTGGAAGCAACTCCAGCTCCAGCTCTGGAAGCCGGGCAACCAACCATTGCGACTCGTGCCTATATTCATATTGCCAGGACTAGCCACGGCCTCCTACTTGGACGTTTTGCTGCTCTTTGTTGGCCAAGCACAGCCCTTGGATATTCTTTTGTCTCTTTATTGTCCCTTCAGCACGGCCCATTTTGTCTGCATTTTTCTCGTCACCATTGTCGTCTCTCGCTCTACAGAAAGCATCTATTTCTCGGGCCCTTCGCTGGAATCGCTCTTCTCTCACTTTTGATCATCACATCTCGATATCATATTTGGGGCAGTCTTACTTTAGCCCGCCTTCTTTTTTGGTTTCTTGGAATCCGTCGTGTAGCACTTGTCGTCATATCTCCATCTATACACTGCTCCAATCTTCATCATGGCGGATAGAGGCCGAGGTAACCGTGGTGGCTTCCGGGGCGGCGACCGTGGAGGTGGCGGTCGTGGAAGAGGCGGCGGCGATCGAGGCGATTATGGCGGTGGCCGTGGACGAGGAGGCGGTGACCGTGGACGAGGCGGTGGAGGAGACTATGGCGGTCGTGGACGAGGAGGCGATCGCGGAGACTATGGCGGTCGTGGACGAGGAGGTGATCGCGGAGACTATGGCGGCGGCCGCGGACGAGGCGGTGGTGACCGCGGAGGCTATAGGGGCAGTTTCGGCGGCTTTAGAGGAGACGGACGAGGCCGCGGACGTGGAGGCGGTGGTTTTGCTCGTCGTGATGAGTCTCCCGGCAAGACAATGGCCTTCAAGTGAGTCTTCATCTCGTTTGTGGCCCAGAGCGGCGTAAATCCGTGTGAACTCGCAACTGACGTGCATCACAGCTACAACGGCAATGTGCCTGAACCCGATGCTGCAATCACGAACCTGGAGAATCAGATTGTTGCAGTCCAGTCCTCGTCACTTACAGCTCTCACTTCCCAGATGGGCAAGCTGAATGTCAAGGGGAAAGGAGGCAAAGGAGGCAAAGGAGGCAAGGGAGGCAAAGGAGGCGATGCTGCTCCACCATCTGACATGCTCACCCAGTTTCCTCCCAGGCCAGCCTATGGCTCAAATGGCAGGCCTGTTACCCTCTGGGCAAACTATTTCAAGGTCAATCTCAAAATCGGAACCTTTTACAAGTATACGATGAATACCAAAAAGGTTGCCGCTTCAAAGCCGGAGCCGAAAAAAGGCGCCAAGGCTGGTACAGGCGAGAAAGAGGTCAAGGGGAGAGAACTCCTTTTCGTCGTCAAGGCTGTTTTGGCCAAGCTCTTGGAGCAAGACAAAACGTTTGTCGGCGCCACCGAGTTCAAGGACGCGCTCGTCACGCTAAAGCAACTTAATCTCGCTGCGAACCCCATGACCGTTCAAGTTCCCAGATCCGAGGGGAGCGATGAAATGGATTCGTACACTGTCGAATTCCACGGCCCGAGCGAGATTCGGGTGGATGATATGAAAAAGTACATGACATCCATGGCGGATGGACCGGCTGGTGCTGAAGCCATCTCGTTCCCACGCTTTCCCGAAGTTATTGACGCCATCAATATCATTCTAGGCCACAAGCCAAGGAGTGATCATATCAAGACCGCAGCCGTTGGCTCGTCTCGATTCTTCCCTTTCGGAGACGACAAGATAATCCAGGCCCTGACTCAGAACTGGCGTGCTCTGGCCGCTGCTCGCGGCTACTTCCAATCTGCCCGCTTGGCAACTGGTCGGGTGCTGCTAAACGCCAATGTAACTCATGGTGTTTTCAGAGTCTCGGGTCCAGTGACTCAGATTTTTGACGGCCTTGAGATCAAGGCCGCTCCAAAGGCCGATAACTTTGCCATGAGAAAGCTCAGAGCATTTGGTAAATTCCTTCCCAAGACTCGTGTCTGGTACAACTTCAAGACTGCTGAAGGCAAAACTGTTCGCCGAGGCAAGGCTATTCGAGGCCTTGCCAATTGGTCAGAAGTAGCCAAGAAAGGCAAGACTATGGCACATCCGCCTAAATTTGACGCCAACTGGGAGTATGGCGGTCCAAAGAACGTCCAGTTCTGGATAGACACTGACAAAGGAGGCCGCTACGTCACAGTCTATGACTACTTCAAGCAGAGTAAGTTTCCTTCTTGCTTTCTTCTTCTTCTTTTTTTTTTTTTTAGTAAATTGTCTCTCTTATTTCATGTCATCATTTTGACCAAAGCACCAAGCTAACAGCATTTTAGAATACAACTTGAACCTCAAAGACTATCCGTTGCTCGATCTGGGCACTGAGCAAAAGCCTTTTACATATGTACCGGCTGAGATGATTGAAATCCAGCCAGGACAGGTAATCAAAGCTTCTCTTAGCATGGATGAGACCACAGCTATGCTGGATTTTGCCTGTCGATCGCCGTACTCGAATGCTCTTTCTATTAGCACCGCTAGCCGCCAAGTGCTCGAACTTGACGATCCATCGCTGGACAATTTTGGTGTCGCCGTCGATAGGCACTTGTTGACTGTGCAAGGAAGAATCCTCAACGCGCCGACAGTGGTCTATCTGAATAATCAAAGAAAGACCACCGATGTAAGGCCGTTGGGTGGCTCCTGGAATATGAGATCGGTAAAAGTTTACAAGCCAGGTACAAAGATTGAGCGTTGGACCTGGGTCAATCTCTCGTTAAGACCAGGTGCGCAGCCAATTGGAAGAGATGTGGTCTTGGCCTACGGAAAATTCTTGGCCGATATGGGCATCGCCATCAACAAAGTTCCCCTTGATCCCCCTCAGGAGGTTATTGCTCACAATGCAAACCTGGACGGCATCTTTGCATGGTTACAAAAGACGGGAATTCAGCTTTTTGTCATCATCCTGTCTGATAAGGATACGTCAGGCGTGTATGCCAGGATCAAGCAACTGGGCGACTGCACATATGGAGTTCATACGAGCTGTGTGGTGGCACGCCAATTTGGAAAAGCGAGCCCGGGATATTTCGCAAACGTCGGGCTCAAGGTCAATCTCAAAGCTGGTGGCGTCAACCACAAGCTGAAAGACGAGTTTAGTATTCTCAAGGAGGGTAAAGCGATGATTGTTGGCTACGACGTCACCCACCCGACCAATATGCCTTTGAAGAAGGGTGCTGCTGAGCCCCCTAGCTTGGTCGGGTTCGTGTCGAGCGTCGATAGCGATCTCGGCCAATGGCCTGCACTGTCTTGGGAGCAAACATCCAGGCAGGAAATGCTCAGCGACAGGCTCACCGACGCATTCATGCTTCGACTAGACACCTGGAGCAAGAACAATAAAGGCCAGTACCCAGACAACATCATCATCTACCGAGACGGCGTCTCCGAGGGCCAATTCTCTCTCGTCCTCAGCAAGGAGCTGCCATCCATCCGCGAGGCGTGCCGCAAGAAGTATTCGCCCCAGTTTCAACCAAAGATTACGCTGGTGGTGTCGGTGAAGCGACACCAAACCCGGTTCTACCCTTCATCGACAGATGAGATGTCAAAGTCGGGTAATATTGTCAACGGAACCATTGTGGACCGAGGCATCACTCAGACCCGATACTGGGACTTTTTCCTAACAGCCCATGACGCTCTCCAAGGCACCGCTCGACCGGCGCACTACACTGTTCTTCTGGACGAGATCTTCCGCCCGAAATTCGGCACCAAGGCGAGCGACGAACTGGAGCGCCTGACACACGAACTGTGCTATCTCTACGGCCGCGCCACCAAGGCCGTCAGCATTTGCCCTCCAGCGTACTATGCTGATATTGTCTGCGAGCGCGCTCGCGCACATCGACCCGAGTGGTTTGAACTAAAAGACTTTGATAGTCAGACCGAAGGAACTGGAGGCGCTCCGAGCACCGTGGGCCGACAGGTGCATGTCAACCTCAGGGACAGCATGTACTATATCTAAGTGATGCCACTTTTTTCTCTCTTCATATTTTCTTCAACAAAATACCCCCATATCTATGGGACAGCGATTTTTAAAAACTCAGCGATAATATAATTTCATAGCTTGAACATGCATGACAGGTGGATGCAAGACTCAGATTGGTACCTTGTTAGGATAGCATTACACTTGATAGGATATGATGTACACTCTTTAAGCTCAAAGCGAATTAAAGCCATTTCTTTTTAACAGTAAAGCCAACCTAAATAGATATAGCTTCGTGTGCCAATTATCTGCGTTTCATAATGACTAGTCAAGAGTGATTACTAAGTGTTGCCATGACTTCTTATGCTAAATCAGAGCTGCTTGCTGTATTGCTTGTCTATGCCTGTGTATATCGTAGAAAAGAAAGGAAAGCCTGTGATATCGTAGAAGAGAAAGGAAATAAAACAAGATATCCTAAACTCTATATCGGAGCAAAACGTCGAATGAGAGATGCCATTTCTACAAGTTCGCCTTCGCCTTGCTGTTCTTCTTACTGCTGGCTAATTCAACGCGCCTCCTCAGCTCATGATCTATCGTCGACTTCTCCTCCAGTGACTTGTTCGTCCACTCTTCATATGCCTTTTCCTCCTCCCACCATCTCTCAATCTCCGTCTTTGTCCATTCCGCGGCGGCCTTTGCGCAGAACAGCGGCTTCTCCAGGGGCACGAGATGGCCGCTCTCCGGGTGAATGACGTGCTTGACGCGACCTGCTCTCGTGCCGCCGCTGCCGCCGGCGCCGACGCCCGTTGTGTCGAGTTTCTCCTTGACGAGGCGGGGAGGGGAGACGGTGCTCGTGCCGCCGAAGATGTAGAGGACTGGGGGGCGGAGATGGGGGAGGCGGAGGAAGGTGGCGTTTTGTTCCGGGCGGTAGATGGGGGTTTGGATGAGGGTTTGGGGGTCGAAGTCGTGGTCTGGGATGAGGGAGGGGTTGGTGATGGTGTTGGTGGTGGGGTCGATGGCGGGCCATAGGGGGCGGATGAAGGTGAAGACTTCTTGGTGTTTGGTTGTGGTGAGACGGACGGGGGGCGATGGGTCTTGGCTTTTGCTTTGGTTGTCCTTTGATGTGGGTGAAACAGCATCATCATCGCGGAGGCCATACTGGACAAAGAGGTCCAAGACGCGGGGGTCCCAGTCCCGATAGAATGGCCTGGAAAGGAATGCCTCGCGGGCAGCGGCGCGAGAGGGCCAGGTGTCTCGACGGGTGATGCTAAGTGAAGCTGGGTTGGGGAAAGCCTCGGGCAGCTGCTGCTGATTTTGAGGATGATGGGGCGCACCAGCGAAGCGGGCGATGACGGGGTCGAGCATGATGAAGCCGGTGAAGAGGCGCGGGTGCATGAGGGCGACGTTTGTGAGGGCGTTTGCGCCAAAGGAGTGGCCCATGGCGATGAGGGGGCGAGGGGGGCGGATGGTGTTGATGAGGTGGGCAATGTCGCGGGCGTAGTCGAGCCAGGAGGCTGTTGATGGATGTCAGTTTTTGATACAACATGTGAGGTTTATGAAGATGAGATGTGCAAACATACGGTCATTGCCTAGGTTGGCGGCGTTGAGGATGCCGCTCTGGCCTTGGTGAGCTGCGTCGGCGATCCAGATGGCGCGGAGGCGGAGGCCTTGCTTTTCTAGCTCTTTGAGAAGCTCCTCATAGAGAGGTTCATATAGCTCCTGATGTTATTTGTTCAATTAGCTGAATTGCCGTCTCATGGTTGATCTGTTCATTCAACAGTAAGAGGTCTACTTACCTTTGGGAAGCCATTTGCATGAGCGCCAATGATGGTGATGTCGCCTTTGCGCGCGGGGCCGCCGTGCTTGGGGATGTATTGCTTGACGTGCAACAAGAGGGCATCGTCTTGGGAGGTTGCTGTTGCGCGAGGGTATTCGCGGATGTGCGATGCTTGGATGGTGTGTTCGTGGATGTCGAAGACGGGGGATGAGGGTGGTGGTGAATTGGAGGCCATTGCGTCTGTGTGCCTAGGGTTGCAGTTTTCTGTACAAAGAGGTGTTTTTACTTTATACGAGTTTGAATTCCGCTATATAGGTAGGTAACATGAAGAGAGAAATATCGTGCCTCGGCTTGTGATTGAGGTTTGCGCTATGTCGACACGCCCGGAAGATGGGCGTTTGCTACACGCCAGGAACCCGGGGTCGTGGTTGGCCGCCTCGCAAGAAACGCCGAATCTTATCTTGGTGACAAGGGGCATTAATCCGGGGTAGAATGTCCAAAATAATAAAGTGCTCACGGATACAACGGAGAGGTGCGATTCAACGTCTTCTTTTTTTGCTGGGGGTGATGGGTGGAGATGAGCCTCGGTAAGAGGGTTGAAGGCAGAAATAGCCGAATAGCTACAGTAGCAGCTGTTTCGAGGCTCGGCAGTGGTGTAAGGCAGTTGACTTCAGTTGGTTAGAGGCGCTGTGGCCATGGCTTGGAGCGTGTCTCGTTTGTTGTCGCTTTCGTTTGTAGTTGACACTTTTGTTTGCATATTGCATTCTCAAACAAATTGATTTTTATGGAATGACAACATCGCCTTGATCAAAGAGCTTTTGCAAACGGAGACAACTGCACAGCAAGGTGTATTGCATTTACGCAGATACCTACAGTGCTTGACGGCACTGTATGGTATAGACGCTCTAATCAGATCAAGACAAAGCATTCAGAGCAGCATGGCTAAAATATAAACTTAGCAGAGCCAGAAATATCTACATATATGAATTAAATAGCTATTAACATCATGCAGCTCAATGCTATCAGTGCGTGAAAGATTAAAGGACTACAATCGCAAGATGTAAATACAGTGAACGCACTATAGATATACTGTACTCTCCCTATAGGTGGTAATTAATATTGACTCGACTTCTAGCTTTGCTCTTTCAACGTCGCCAACACTTCAGTAAAGCGAGGTATCAAGATCCTTCACCAGTACCAGCAATACCGACCGCACATAGATTGACCTGGTTCATATCCTCACAGGCGTCAAATCTAGGGGATGGCTCGAGTCGCATGTATCAGCGATCGGCGTTGACAAACAGCCTGCGCACCGTGTCACGGCAAAAGTTGCTTGTGCAACTGCGGCTGAGATCAAGACTCAGCTTCATGCCTGTTTTGTACATGTATATGCACAATCATCGTCAAGACTAGCTCAGTCTCTATAAATAAAGATGCCAGCACCGGCATCAACACCAATTCCACGCGTCATTCTCTTCGCCGGGGCTCCATCTCCACTCTTGGTGAATCTCGAGTCCTGCACTCTAGAAAGCTTCGATGAGACATTCCAACAGTTCTTTGGGCGTCTTGACAGCAAACAGCAACACACAGACCCAGCTCTAGGCATTGAAACTACATCTCAGCCACCAACACACGCCGTTTGGAGGTCTGTGCCATTGAACCGTCGGCCCCTCCACACAGGACTGAGCCAGAATCACAGCATCTTGAGCGGCTCTTTTCAAGGCCATCGCGACTTCTTCACCACAGCTGGCGCTCTCTCTGCGGACGAGACTCAATCTTTCAACAGCGGTGGAGATGGAGGAGCCATACTTAGGCAGTTCTGCGAAGAGTCGCTGGCGGCTCACACTCTCATGCCGTCCAGTCAGATTGGCAGTTTCAGCATGGAGAATACCGAGGATGCCACAACGACCTCATTCATGACAAATGATACAGACAACATCTCCTTGCAAGATCGTACGAATCCCCTGACACCGCCCAAACCATTACATTTGTCAGACTTGGAAGATGTTCCCTCCGCTCGTCGGATTCTCGCTCTGAGCCCCCAGACTGTGACGCTCAACTTGATCGTCGCCGTCATATCCATAGCCCAGCCTCGGACCGTCACGACGCGTTGGGGCACCACTCTGTCGCTAGTCGAGATCCTTGTTGGCGATGACACCAAGTCAGGCTTTGGCGTAACCTTTTGGCTCTCCAGCGACCAGGCCACGACCGGTCAAATCAGCAAGCTGAGGCGGCAGGACGTCGTTCTGATGGAGAACGTGGCGCTACACGTCTTCCGAGGCAAGGTCTATGGCCAAAGTCTGCGCAAGAATCTTACTCGGGTCAACCTCCTCTGGCGAAGCGAAGGAGGCGGGTATTATCAGAACAGAGATCTCGCCCAACGAGCCGCGGCGAAGCATCCCCAGCAGGAAAAGACGAGGCTCGTCAAGGACTGGGTGCTTCATTTCGTCGGGCGAGATTCGGGAGCAGTCACGAGAAAGAGGGCAAGCCGACTATCATGGGACCAACCTCCCGACGATACGCAGTAATACACGATACGCAGTACTACATTGTTACTGAAAAATCTTTTATATTCTTCTATTAGATTATGCCCAGGGATCTATTTCCAAAGCCGATATACGCTATACAATTCGCAATATGCACTACACCAACGCCATAAATGTCCAAGACGATGTGGGTATGATTAAAATACAAGGCTCGAAAACGAAAATTCAAGCAAGAGTGGAGTGGTGACTTGCCTTCCCAGTCTATGCCATACCCACGGAAATCTCAGGCTTCCTGCCGTTGGCACCCTTCTTCACCGATCTCCACTCAAAGAAGAGACTGCACACAAATGCAAGAGCGGCACATGCCACGGAAATGTAGTAAGTATGACGCAAACCAAGATTGTACGCCTCAAGGACAGTCTCCAGGGCGTCCAAGCGACCGATGCCTGCAAGCACAGATTTGATCTCAGAAGCACCGCTATTAATGAAGAGCTGAGGATTGATGCCAATGTTGTCCTTGGCAAGCTGGTCGATGAGTCCGTTTTGGAAGAGCGTCTGGGCAACGGCGACAAATACTGCGCCTCCCAGGATTTGGAAAAACTGCACGCAAGCAGTGCCGACGGGAACCCATTCCTGGGGCAGGACCGTCTGCACAACCAAGACACTGGTCTGGAATCCGGCTCCGATGCCCAAGCCGGCGAGGACTTGGTATCCAAACCACTCTTTCAGCGGAGTGTGGACGGCGAAAGTCGTAATCATACCGCATCCGATGGTGTACAGGATCGTGGATGGGAGGATGAGGTAGTTGTAGTAGCCAATGACGGGGATGAGGCCGCCAGTAACGACGGACATGAAGACGCTGGAAAGGAGGAGAGGCAAGATCTTGATACCAGCTGTGACGGCACTAACACCCTGGATGGCTTGGAAGTAGATGGCTGTTCCAACAGTTAGCAAAAAGGCTCAGTCTGAACCATTTGGAATATAATGTTTACTCACAAAGATAAAAGATCAGGGGGAAGAAGCCAGCGCCGAAGAAGAGACTGAACATCATAGCGGCAAGAACGTTGCGGTCCTTGAACATTCGCGGCGGCAATGTTCCCTTGTCTCCCTTCCAGAACTGGATACCAACGAAGATGAGGATCATGAGGCCAAAGCCAACGAACAGGCCAATAATCTTGGAATCGCTCCACGCATACTCTGCGCCACCCCACTGCAGGGCCAGGATGAGGCACACAATAGCGGGGATAAAGATGGCCGTGCCGAGGAGATCGATTTCGAGGATGCGCTCCACAATGGTCATACCCAGAGTGTCGTCCGAGTTGCGGTTGACGTGCAGCAGGAGGACGACGATGAACATGGCGAGGCCGCCGATGGGGAGGTTGATGTAGAAGCACCATCTCCAGGAGACTTTCTCAGTGAAGGCACCGCCGAGGAGAGGACCAGCGACGGAGGCGATTCCCCACATACCACCGATGAGGCCAAAGGCAATGGGACGCTTTTCGAGGGGCACTGTCACAGCAATTAGCAAACTTCCGGTTGTGTTTCAAGTTTGCAACATACTTGATAGAGAGATGATGACAATGGATCCAGAGAATAAGCCAGCCGTTCCAACCTAACACCAGTCAGCATTCAAAAAGTCCAAAAAGCGTGAAAGCATAAAGCGAATAGGGGACGTACTCCCGCAACGGCTCGCCCCACAATTAGCGCCTTTGATGACGGCGCCACGGCCGAGAGCAGACTTCCAACCTCAAAGATGAAGATGGCGGCGAGATAGCACCACTTTACGTTGAAGTACTTGTAGAGAGCACCGTACATTGGCTGCAAGGCGGTTGCCGTTAGGAGGTAACTGGCTCCGTACCATCCCTTCAATATTGACGGTTAGTTGAATCGGATGTCTCATTTCTTTCATTCAACCCAAAACGTCATGGAGATTTGTCAAAAACTCACAATATCCTTTACACTCTGGAATCGTGCCGTGATCGTGCCCAGCGCAGGGGCGATGATCGTCTGGTCCAAAGCAACTAGGAAAATCGCCATACACAGCGCGACAATGATGGAAACCAGCTTCACGCCCTTGGGATAATTTGCCGTGGCGCTCGTCACCACCGTGTCGGTCTTGGTGACATCCTCCAGCATTCCGCCGTCCTTGTTCGTCTCGTCGGCGCCAGCCACGGCGAGCTCCTTTTCATTGTCATGGTCACGACTCAGGGGCGGTGGTATCGAGTCACGCTCAGTCTTGTCCGATGACAGACGGGGTGTTGGTGTGGAAGACATTTTTTTGTTCCTCGTCTTGTGCCTCCCAGTTGTGGCGTTGAAGAGCTTCAACGAAGAAAAGAAGAAGAGAGGGAACAGAGGCGCCTTGTTCTATTTGTTAGTTCATTATATATAATTAAAGTTGGCCGTCTCGATATCAGCCGGACCCAGCGATGGATCTAGTCACAAAAAAAAATTGAAATCGGCCATTAATGCACCAGGTTTTACGTACTAGCGTCGCGAGTTGGCTGCCTTTTCCGCAGCGTTTAGTTTCTTTTTTCGTTGTTTTTCCCCCCTTTTTTCTTTCGGGCCTTGTTTCCGACTAAGACGATATGAGAAAGAAACTAAAGAAATAGGCTTAAAGACCGTGAAAGGAATAATATTCCAAGGGGCAACAGATGTGGTACACCTTTTCAGCCTTATATCTTGCTCACCTACCTATCGCGTAGTATCTAACCGAAGTCGATCCATCATACCACTCAACAGGCTCACATGCAAGGTTTCGGCATTCACCAACATGTATTCCTAATCACGTACCGCATATTGCACCAAGGCGGCCAAATTAAGGGTCTTTATTATAAATGCTTCGATTGCACGAAAGCCCGCTGCCGCCAACCATCGAGTTTACAGCCTGGCATCAAACTAGAGCGAAACTCCACATTGCGTGGCGAAACTCGCCCTTCGCGATTGCTTCGCTCCCTGGCTCTCTAGCGGCGGCTAATGGACCATGGCACAGCCAGCCAGCTTACAAAAATAACAGGAATCTAGACTTTCCATACAGAACTACCCAGGCACAAGATCACCAATGCTTTACGCGGAGATTAGATTAAGAAGCCCGAGCTTAAAGCCCTTTGACTAACACCGGGACTGCTCCGCCCACGTATTGTATTTAGCGCCAAAAACAAAGAAAAAGAAAGAAAGTGGACTTTGAAAAAATAAGACGAAATAAAATAAAATAAATTAAGGGAGCCAATAGACAGCCGGTAGTTGTTCCCCAGAGGACAGATCCTGCATGAGACGATGAGTCGAGCTACAGAGCAAAAAACGGGTATGACTCAAAAGGCGATGACCACCCTGATGCGGTTTAGTGGACGAGCAAGTTGCGGGTAATATGGCGGGCTTGAGGGATGTCCGATGTCCGAGGGGGAGCTTTTGGTAGGATTTTTGTGGGAGCAGCTATTTATCATATTGGTTAGTTGCTCATATGAGGCAGTCTGAAGAAGAAGAAGAGGCTTAACTGTTAATGGCACTTGTTACTGCCAATACGAGTAAGGACATGTAAATTTTAATATATTCATTCTGTGAGGCTCTCGGGTTTGCTTGTTAGGCATCAAGTAAGTCATCAAGACGTCAAAGGGTGCAAGAGAATACATAGGGCCATCATCAGATAAGATCATGCCTCATAGATTTCATCCTTCTCTATACACGCTCCAAAAAAAATACACGTACTCGTACTTCGTATACAACATAAGCTTTCGTGGCGAACTCACGCAAGTCAGGGGGCCGAGTGGATTCGATTCCCACTTATTCCCAATCCCGAGAAGCTTAGCCCAACTTCATCCATAGTACGGGGATCGAATCCCTTGAAGCTACAAAAAGGGCTCAGGCGCGTTCTTCTTTGCTTCTTTCTGGTTGTTCTCGGGGTTGCCTCCACAGCGAGGCCCGGCAAAATCCGCAACTGTAACTCCATATGAATGAGACACGGCGCAACTAACTCCGCAACCTAACAACACCCCTAGATTCACGACTTTCGTGAAGGAGCAGCTGAGCTGTATGCAACAAGCGCACGTACGGACAATGCCATGCTACTGTAGTATATCGTCCCATTCTCTGCGTTAGATCCAATCCTGCCACGTCTGCGCTGCGTCACGGCTGCTCCGTGGCCTATCAATTCAAGCGCATTAGATAGTATCAGGAAATTAAAGGCAGAAAATGTAAAATGATATCCCTCTATCAAAGTCTAGATGAACCAAATAGTATCATGCTTATTTACGTATTCCTCGGGTACCCATTCCCCCGAGTCCCTAGTTTGACTTCTCTTCAGCTTCTTGCAGCGGAGGGATCCAAACCAGCAAGCCATCTTTGTCAATCTTCATCCCCTCTGTCGGTATAACTCTAAGCACCTTCTGGAAGTACTTGTCTCTTACCACCAAGCCTGGCCGTACATACACGCCTCGTACAAGTGGCATCAGGCGGTAAGTCTGGGTGCGCCTCGACATCGGTAGCAGGTGCATGGTCGTCTGTTTGGATCCGGAGAAAGCAAATGCATCACTTGGTTCCATCGCCAAACCAAATGTCAAGAAATGGCTGGATGGGTTTTCAATCGTAATGTCGAGCCGCACCAAGCCTGTCTTCTCCTGTGAGCTGTGAAGCACCGACGCCAGCACTCTGGGCTCCGTCCCGAGCACCATGTACTGCCCAACTATCATCGTCGTGACGTTAACTGGGCCAGTCTCCCCATCCATAGATCGCCTTCGTCGCCAGCGGACCACGAGTGCCAAATCTATTGCGACTGGATGCTTGTCGTCCAGCGTGACCTTTTCTGCTACCAGATCGAACCGAGCTTCATACATCGTCTTGGGGGCCACAATCATGCCATCTGCGGAGAATTCGGGCTTGCTTATAACACGGCACCGTCCGCCAGGCGTCACCGACGCAACCTGCATGTCGAGACCTAATACGTCTAAATCTTCGGTTGCGAACGATGCATAGTGGCAAACAAGACACCATTGCTGCGTGAGCCCCTTGGCCGGGACAGCATCGCCTTCGGACACGTCTTGTACATCTTCGTAGTCGAAAAGGCTCGGCCAGGAATCCGGATGGAGTCGCGGCATCAAGTCGTAATTGGCTTCAAACGCATTCACGATATTGAGGTGAATAGGCAACACCTGAACAATCGGTGTTGCAGCGTCTGACTCCAAATGATAATCTGCTCGGATCTGCAACTCGTATACCGTAGGCGCTAGTGCAGGTTCGAGGCGAATTGACGCCTCCAACGAGGAGGAACTGGCTATATGGCCAAGAGTAAGGTCCGTAACTTGAGACTCTTCCTCAGTAGCATCCACCTCTCGCTTGTGCTCTCCAGCTTGCACTTGGAACCGAGGAATTCCCTTTCCAATGATCCGAATGTCCAACTTCACGTTGGCAGAATCGTCTTCTTCATTATACAGGCCAATCCGCAATGCAATCGGCTCATTTGCATAGTACTGCTCGAGGGGCTCTATCAACCTCAGCTTCATTTTAGGAGGTCGTGGCTGTATATGTAGAATATGTCCGTTAGGTCTGGACAATCGTGGTTTCGCCGAGCCTTGAGCGAACCATCCCGAGACTTTACCCAATTCTGACAATGATAGCTTATAATCCAGTTCAAAGGTATCGGCTTTATAAGACAAGATTAGCGTAGATGCCGACGCCTCTCCTGGCTCTCGTAGAGGTATGTTCATCTCAAACACTTGTCGGTGGCCCGGCCTCAGTGTTAGATCGCATCTACCAGTCAGTCGATCTTCTTTCTCATCCTTCTTGTCTTCATCTGCATCCTCTTCCTTATCTTCACCTTCATCTTGATTTCCTTCTTCGGCTTCGGTTTCGCTTCCATCTTGGGCCTTCTTTTCATCGCTTCCAAGCTGTTCGGTTAATGGCACAGCCGCCAAGGATATAGGTCCCTCCGCAGAATTCATCTGCAGGGCTGAGTCATGCACGAGCGTGATAGGTTTGAGGTGTCCCTCAAATTCAACTCGAATCGAAGATAAAGTAACTGGAGCGGCTCCACTAAGCGCTTCAGAGTTGAGAGACAGCTGGGCCAAGCACGTTTCGCCAGCCCGGCCCTCTTTGGCGCGAAAAACAAACGATGCTGATAAGAATGATGAAGCCAAATCGTCAGATATACTAATAGATGGCTTCGAGTCCAAGGTTACTCCATCTAGAGATTTGCTCAAATCATAATGCCAGTTTTCTCTTCGTCTAAAGCCTAAATATCAAAGTCAGTATCAGGGCACGAAAGTGTGAAAACCATGGATATGCCACCTACGTTTATCCATTAGTTCCCAATCGGTAGCGATCACAACGTCCGCCCGCCCAGTCTCCGCCGCTGCTCGTCTCACAAGCCATAGGATTTCTTCAGAGATGTCGAGCCACCATTCGGAGCGAAAAGATTTGTCTTCCCAAAGAGGTCTGAGCATTCCAAGTACTTGATTCCATGACCCAATTGTGGCCATCTCCCTTGCACACTCCAAAGATATTTCTGCCGCGATTCGGTGCTGCTTTCTGGCTTGAAATTGACCCCTCGCGTTGAGGAGACAGTCTATTATTAGTTGTGCATGATTGACTCCCTTTCCGTTCAATGGATACTCTTCATGGGGCGGAGGGCACATATATGTATCATAACGGTATGCTTTGCTCGCCACCATCGACGCGGGCGAAGCGTCTGGCGCTCCTCTATCATCGTCGGGGATTCTATGGGCCAATGCTTTGCGAGCTCCGAGATGGCGCGCAGCAATTCGATACCAATAACCAGTATGGTGCAATAGTTCCCACGGATGTAATCGCTCTCCAAGAAGGTTTTTTTCTGGCTGAAGAAAGATGGTCATAGTCGACGGCCCCAGGCCAGGAACCTCAGTCTTCTCAATTAGAACAGCCATCATCATTGCCCACCGGGCTTCCCAAGCTTGCCAGCCATAGTTGTTTGTACCCCTTCCTCGGGCATCAACAAATTCGCTGATGCGGTCACGATGAGCCTGCCATCTCCTGACCGCCATGCTCGTTTGTCCCATCCATAGGTGCATTCGCAAACAGCGGATTGAGATAATGTCTGCCAAAAGCCGTGCCTCGTTCCAGCGAGGGCTCCAACTGGGGATAATATCAAGAACATCTTGACCTAGCAAAATCTCGTATGCCTGCTCAAAAGATCGGATTGCCGCGTCAATCTCTTGGCGGAATTCAGCAAAGATGGCCAACTTGAAATCATAGCGAAAATTCCAGTCGGACAGCGATAACGTTTGCGACGTTCCAGAAGTTGGCGGCACTGTTGGCTGGGGAACGATTCCTCGGGATCTTTTCTTCCTAGCATGCCTCCCAAGGTCTCGGTAATACTCAATGGACGTGGTGTACAGCAAGGAGAGGACACTATCCATCACCCTCTTCAAATCTGACGGCGACTCCTGAGGCGTAACGTAGAAGATTGATTTGGGATCTAAGCCAGTTCCCCTTCGAATATTCTCCAGCCGATCTTGTATGATATCAGCAGTCAGTTTTCTGGCATCTTCATCGCCCAGGATTATCACAACTAAGCGCGTTTTATAACCTGATTCCACCAAGGTCGCCCTTATGTGATTAAGATCTCCCTTTAGCTTGTTGTCTCCCAGCGTAGCAATATTAGGGTCGCTGATCAGTGTTTGGAAGCACACGAATATGCTAGGGATCGCTTCCTGGTGCTTCTTGATCCATTGCGCATTAATCAGCCCGTCTGGGTATAGAGCTGACGAAGGGCTGAGGGGCGAGAAAGGCGAGTGCAGTATCGGGGCCGTGTTCATCGGTTCGATCGTTTCAGGCAGCCGGGCTCGTCGAGATGGAAGTACGTAGGACTATATTCAATCAGAACCGCGCTGCGCAACCTCATTCGCTTTGACTCGGATTCGTCATACCCTACCGACGGTCTTGATGCGAACCCTAAAGGGCTCGTCCCTCGTGATTGCAGTCCATGACGTTCCGCGTTCGTCCACCTCTTGAAAATATGACTGCAGAAAGTTCGCCTCTCTGCTCTCTAGAGGTGGCAGATCGGATCGAAGGAGGATTCCCGGGCCATTGGCCTTGGGAGGTTGCTCTGGCGGATCTGAATTCAGCCCCGACACCACGATAAGCGGCACATTATGATCGAGGCTTCCCAAGGGGTAGCCATCCATGATGATTGGCTCGGCGTCGAGAATACATAAGCCAGGCGTTTACTTTCGCGTAAAGGAGCTTCGCATCCAGATGCGCAGCTGCTCAGGTCTCTTGCTAGAGCTGGCGAAGCAGTGTTGGCATCAAGCTGCCCCTCCGTTATAGCGCAACGCAGCCCACTTTGCCAGCTTCTCTCAAGACGGAGGATATTCGCAGCGATTCTCCAGCAAAAATGCCAGGATCCTCAAGATGTCGAGTTTCGATATGAGCAGCTAAATCGTCAAACAAAGGTGCATTTTGGCTTTGTGGCTCTTCACCGAAATGGACGCTAGCTCATAAGCACAGAAGATGATGTTCGCCAGCTCTCCGCGCTGTGGGCGATAATGCTACAGCAGTTGCGGGACACTTTTAGCTGTGCCAAGTCTCCGACCGGCGTCGGAAGAACGCCGGGTACCGAAAAGCGCATCTCCAAAAATTCAATGCGCAAACCACCATGGCAAACCTACGCCATTCTTTCCAAACCACGATTGCCGAGCAAAAGCCCGCCGAGCGGCGCAAATTGAACTTTCCCTTTCGATTCTAATTCCCTGTGATAAACGGATTCTGCAACCATGAGACCCACACAAATCCTCGGCGTTGGTAAATACCGCCACCTCAAGCTCACAACCAAGGATGTTGGCCGCGGCTTCTACAAGGGAAATCGAACTGGAGCCATGGGTCGACACACAAAGTACGGTGGCTATATCATTGAATGGAGCAAGGTCCGCACCTATGTCGTTCCCCAGAACCTCAGCGAGTCCAAGGTACGATTGCCCGATCCTTGCCACATACAAAACGAGCTTCACATATGGAAAAGAAGAAGAATGAGCCAAAGAAAAAGCAGCTGACACTAAATTTGTGTAGCTCACTCCCTTCGTGAGCCGAGAAGTGCGATCCGAGCCCGGTGACTACAAGGGTCTGGCCAAAGGTCCTCAAGATCCTTACTTTTACGTCGAGCAATGGAAGCGATACAACGGCGTCGACTAAAACTCGAAATCACCCCTCATGAATCAAAATACCCCCACCACATCTACAAACGAAGAACGCACGTATAAATGCACCCTTTTTTGGGCTCTACGAACAAAACCGATAGCAGAAGTCAAGGGTATTCTGCTAGAGTTGTATATAAAACCCCTGCGAACATTGTATCACTACCATGTATGATGAAGTTGGATAGAAACAAAAGAAGGGAAAAGGAGGATAGCATGACGGATATCGTGCAAATAGCCGCAGTATCTACACACGCAATACAAAAAGAAGTAAAAATTTCAATTTCAAATTAAATAAAGGCGCCACTATATACGTGGATTGGTATCGCTAGTCACATGCTTGCTTGCTCTCTTTTCCTTCCTCTCTAGTCTTTCCAACTCTTGCTGAATTATCAAATGCCCATCTCTTCTAAAACTCACATCTCTATCTTGACTTGCGGTAAGTCTTCTGGCGCCGTAACAAAAGTCTCCATTCCAGGACGCTGCACCTCAGCCTTCTCATTTTCATTCTCGCCAACCAATCCATTAGCTGTAGCTGGAGATTTCTCATCGACAAAGTCCCCTTTTGGGCCGATGCTAGCAAATTCCATTCCTGGCTCTGGGCTCATAGCTCGCGAGCCAGGAGTCATTGCGGAGTTCAGTGTAATCATGCTCGCCGTTTCCGCATCATTCTTTATGCTGAACGGCAAAGCAATCCCGTCAAGGAATGGTCTCTTGCCAGCCACGCCAGTCTCGGGGGAGTATTCCGGGCTGAGAAGGCCATCATGAGAAGCCTCCTGCTCTCGGCGCTTAGCGATCAACTGCGCTACGGGAGTTTCCTCGTTGACCTCTTCATTGCTGGTTTGATGCTCATCCCGTACAATCCGTTGACGAGAGGGTCTTCGGCTATGTCCCGGTTTCTCAGAATGCGACGCGCCATTGGTCTCATTGGGAGTAACAGCTACCATCTCAGGCTCATGGTTGGCTCTCTGCTCTCTTTCCACTGTCTGCTCGTCGTGTTTTGATCCCCAAAGCGACCATATCGCCAAACCAAAGCTCTTCCTTCTCTTGCCTGTAGGCAGCTCAGCATCTTTAGGTATTCGTCCCGCCAAGGCACTTGGAGGCGGATTTTCATCGACGCCAAAGTCTTTATATCCAGCAATCATCTCTTTGATGAGCTTTTTGTGTACTTTGGCTTTTGCACTGGCATATCTGTTATCGTACTGGTGTTTAGTTTCTAGCCACTTTCTAACGGGGCCTTGTTTGATAACTCCAATCTCGCTAGGCTTCATTGTACAGCCGGGGAGCTCTTCTTCGAGAGGGAGAGGCAAAATGGTGCCATTGCGAGCTATCCGCTGCCGAATCATGTGGTTCTTAAACGGCGGGAGGGGGTCTCCTGCCCTTCCAACTTCAGCAGGCATCGTATCATTCTTTGGCTGCCTTTCTTGGCTCCCTTCTGATTCGTCTCGCCCAGCTTCCGTATCAGAGCCAGAGCTAGTAATAACGGATATGTCATCGTCATCCATAATCTCAATGTCTCTGTTCTGTGCACGTGCCAAGGCCCAAGCACCGAACTGCGCAATTGATCTATACATGTACTTGGCAGGGCTAGTAAAGCTCAGGGTCGGGGCAACGTGGCACAGGTCGTCCCATACTTGAAGCTGTACATAGGTAGGCTTGTATCTGGCAAGTAACTCTCTTCCACGCTCCGTCAAGACCTCGTCCGCGGGTGCATATTTTGCCGGGTTAGCACACTTATGAGCCAGATAGATCTGCTCATCACGGAGGATCTCGCCGCCACCAACCGTAATCAGCAGAGGCGGTAGCCCGCCCAGCGTCGGTTGCATGACGGGGCTCACCAACGGATGTGCCAGAAGTGAATTTTTGGTATACATCTAGCACATCGTTAGACAAATATTCATCCCATCACCGTTACTCAAGTAGCCAAACCCACCTGAATCTGGTCCTTCATAGTCACCAGTTCTCCATCAATTGTAACAGTCAGAAACTTTTCCGTCTCAGTATGGATACCGCCGCTGTCAATTTGAACATTAACATCTCCATCGCTCAGCGGGGCCACGGGAGCCTGCTGTTTCTGCTCTAGCTCAGCGGTAGGCGGCGCATTCTTCTTTGTATTGCTCTTCTTTCGCTTTTCTACCTCCGCTCTAATCATCTTCTCGTCGTCATCGTTTGGTGGTGGCCAAGCCTTCGATGGCTTATGGTGGAAGCCCGATTGCGGTATGTAGTCTAGCGGCGCATCACCAGCAACACTGGGGAATGAGTGAGTCAAATCACCCCATGGACTAATGAGGATGCCTCCAGCGGGCAGCGGAATGCCTTGATCTCGAATAAGGCATAGCATAGTCAAAACCATGCCTCCACCTGCCGAGTCTCCAGCCAGTATGATCGTGGTGGGGTCTTGGATCGACAGGAGATACAGGTAAGTCGCTATACAATCCTGAAGGCCACACGGGAATGGATATTGAGGAGACAGCCTGTAACGCGGGGCAAGGACTCTAGCCTTTAGCTTTCTCGCGTGGCGTTGCATCTGATATCGGTGCTCGTCGACGCTCCCGAAGTAATAAGCGCCTCCATGCACGTAGAGCATAACACGACGCAGCGGTTCGTTGTTCTTCTTCCGCTCATTAGCGTCTGATCGCATCTCAATCCACTCGGCCTCCATGGGGCCTTTCGGCCCTCGCCAGTGCCACCACTTCCTGCCGCCAACTTGACGGATGCCATCGAGTCCCAGCTCTTCCTCGATCAATTCTGCTGCTCGGCCGAGGTGCTCGTCGGGAATTGTAACAGTCTCAAGCTTGACCCATTGCGGATGCGGAACCCATTGACCCGTGAATCCCTGGATCTCTTCAACGGTGTGGTGGGAGGCGTAATCGAGGAACGACCGAATTAGATGCAATCCCTCATCGTACGACAGATGCGTGGTCGGGTGTTCTTTCAAGCTCTTTTTGTTAAGGTACTACAAGCTCCAAAGAAGTAAGAGTTAGCAATCACACAAATCAACACGACATAGCGCAATGTATCGAAACTGTCCTCGGAGCCAAATCCGGCGCCACTGAGCTTCACCTACGTGTGCAAATAAGGTCGTCACTACTGTTGGCGTCACAGCCAATGATACCGAGGTCGTGTTGAGTCTGTTCATATCGATCTTGTTTGCCCGCCAGGTCCATCGATATGTTCAGATTGCGGGTTTTTGGTTTACGAGGAACCTCCTGAGATTGAGGCCGCCACGCAGGCATTATCGGGCAGCATGGCCAAGAAATAACATTGCCATCAGGGGCCCCATGATGTCATGCCATATGGCAAGGAACAGGCTTGGCCCACGATCCGCGAATATCGGCTAGGGAAAAGCACTGCCGTATTAGTACTAGTTGCACATCTTACCCAGCTACAGGTTAGTGGTCCGTGCGTAACCTAATCTAGCACAGAGACACAGTGGATGAGATTGAAAAGAAAAAAAACACCAAAAAAATTTATGAAGCCTCATAGCCATTTTGAGCCCCTCCATATCCCCGCTTAATACATTCATTATCAGAAATCATGGCATCTACAGACGCGACAGAACTGCCGCCGGCTGGTGAGTGGGATCTAGGATAATGATCAGACTATGGAGTATCCTTTTATTGACTCTGAGTAATTACAGCAACCCGACAGTCCAACTTCGAGCAAGCCGTCGCATGCGCCCTACACCTATGGCCGGCCCTGACCCTCTCGGTACAGAATAACTGGGGAGGACCCGACTCTTCAGACAAACGAGATTGGTTTGCTGGCGCCGTCGTCGACCTCTTCTCTGAGTTTACCGATGCGCAGCCCGGAGAGACCGCCAAAGCCACCAATGCCGCTGACGAACCGGACATGGAAGACGTTGAGACAGTGCTGCTGCAAGTGATGATCGACGAGTTCGAGGTCAACATCGATGATGATTCTGGCCTGGAGGTTGCTAGATCCATCGTCAAAGCGAGATCACAATGTGCTATCGGTGACTTCAGCGACGAGGTCAAGACCCTGAACGAACGATTCGCGAATCGGACGGCCAACAAGGTGGATCAAATGTTCAAGAAAGCCGAGGATCAGGACCAAGATACAGACTGGGAGTCTGGAGACAGCGACGAGGACGATGGAGACAACGGAGGCGATGTGGATATGGACGAGGCACCACCACTGGTATCTGTCCGTAAGGAAAAGCCTGCCCCGGAAGTCGACGAGGATGGCTTTACCATGGTCACCAAGAAGAAGAGGTAGACCTAGGATAGCAGAAAACCTGGGCCAGGAAGCTACCGCCACGGGAGAATATCCCACTCGACATGATCCAAAAACAATAGGTACACCACACGACGCTGTGCTGACTCGACATACCGAATAAGCGATAGCAAAGCCAAACGCCAAATTGCCCAAGTGCTAGGAAACAGATTATGCACACAGATATATGGAGTAGACGCGGCACAGGATTACTCCCAGTCTTCGTCGCTGTCTTCGCCCTCGCTCTCCTCATCGCTATCATCCTCCTCGTCACTGTCAGCGCTCTTTCCCTTTTTCTTGGGGTCTTTGGGACTATTTGGCGTCTGAGTAGGTATCTGGCTCGTCTTTCCTGAGGCCGCGCCGACAACATCATAGCTAGCATCGGTCTCAGCTTCGGATTTTTCATCGTTGGATTTCCTTGACTCATCAGGTTTCGGCGACTGGATTGTGGTTGATGAAGCGATAGAGTCGGGCCTCTTTCCCTTGACATCGGCAATCGGCTTCTTGGTGAGAGCAGGTTTCTCGGATTCTTCATCATCCTCTTCCGAATCATCTTCCTCTTCCTCCGAGTCGTCGTCATCCCAGGCTACTTCATCTTCAGCGGATGCAGCTAGTAGAATGTCAGCAATTATGAGACCAGATAATAGAAGCTACTATAAAGCAAATATATAGCATAGTTTTGTAACACTTTACCTTTGAGGAGATCCCTTCGTCGAGATTCAGCTGTCTCGATTCCATGACGCAGGAAGTAATATCTCTTCCAGAAGTCGGCGTAAGGAATCTGGTCGGGCACAAGTTTCTCCATAGTTGCGCGCAGCTCGGGGTATTTTGCTAGGTCGCCGCTAATGTCCTCCGTCTTCTTATCAATATCAAAGCCCTCCGTCCATTGTTCGTATTCCTCAGCAGATGGGTCTTTGGTAAAGCTCTCTGTCGATGTGTGGATAACGTGAAGCTGTGCGTCGAATCTCGAAGTGTGAATCACCCGCTTTCCCTGGGCATCCTTGCTCTCAAACATGACTTGGCTGTTTTCGGCCGACTCATCTGGAGGTGCAACGCTGATCGCATCTCGCAGGAAATCTCGAATGTTACTTCCAAATTTAAGTAACGCTTCGTCTGCAGCATCCTCAGCGCGCTGAAGATCCTTCAAGCGCTTTCCGGCCTCAGTCCTTAGTCGCGTAAGCACAGTCTCGGACTCTTCCCCAGTCGCCGGGGCCGTTGCGTTGGTTGGTGTCTTCTGGCTTTCTTCGGCATCATTGCCAGCAGACATGTCGGGGATGATGGTAGTTAGGGAGAGCGAGCGAGTCCTATTGACGATGGTTTCTCGCAGGCTAGTAAATCCCTTTTGCGCATCTTCGCCGACCTCTGCGAACTCCTTTGAAGCTTGGGTGTAGACGGATTCGCCCTGCAGCCACATCAGTATCAGTGACAAAGAGCGGTGGTGCGGCTGCGCTCTAGTTGTCATACCTGTTTGATTACATTTCCAAAGAATCCTCCAATCTTGGCACCCCATGGGCTTGCAGATATGGCCTTGTAAGCTTCCTGGATATCATTGTTCAGGGAATTCTCCGACTGGTCCTGCTTCGAGCTTTCCCCCGACTCCTCGGTATTCTTAGTATAGGCCTCTTCCTGGATATGGTCGTACGCGAGATCCATGGTGTGAGCGATCAGGGTCCGGTGATGGCGCAGGAGTCTGGACAAAAATTTGAGCTCTCTGCCCCTTGGTGAAGAGCCAGTATGTGTTTCGGAGCTTGCTCAGCGGTGGATATGGAGGTCAGCACAGCTGCATCGGCGTTGGTTCACGAGGCTAACGGATCTTCTCTCCTGCGTTAGAGGTGGGTGGGCGGGGAGTACATGTATCACGTGACTCTGCAGCCAAGCCGCCAGGCCTCGGAGCAGTACTACCCTATAAAAGTTCAAGCAGATTTCCATATCGAGTGTGTTTGCAGCATTCCTCTGTAAAATCACCGATCTCTACCAGTAATTGGTTCAAGACGTTTTAGCTAGATAGCTGAATAGCTTGTGCTGGGGCCATAATAAGGATAGCGGCAGAGGGCTCCAAGGGGCATTAGTTTCAGCAAACGTTCTGTTATGGAGCTATGTGTATAAGCGTGTGACTGTTACAATGAGGATAATTGTGCTATTAACGGTTTTCTTCCTTTACTTGAACGCGGTGTATGCACTATTTCATTGAGCGTACTTACTCAATATAGGTATGGGAAAACGAGAATGCCTTTTTCATATTACCGCAACCTATTTCATCGACAGTCAAATTATCGCGGTTGGTATAGAGCCACATGCACTTGGCCATGCGCCGAAGACAGATAAGGCTATCTTCCATCTAATTCAACATCATGCCGACACGGCATCGTTTTCTTACCCTACACGCAGTATCTTCTTTCTCGTTCTCATTACTCGTCCTTAACTTGTCTTATCCTTCTTATCTTTCAGCAAAGGTGTGTATTATGTCGCGCCCTTTTTACCCCGAATCTTGGTACCAATGTGTATAGGTACTACCGAGGTAGATAGCACTGACAACCACTCATTGCAACATTGCCATCCAGAGCCCACATCTATTATTTTACGAGTAATTCAAACGAATGAAGTGGCGCAAAGATTTGCATCACCGGCCGCGTGACCCAATGGTTGGATAGGCTCATAGTAAGCTATAAGGCGATGCTATCCGGCTTATTCCAGGGACCCATAGCCGAAGACGTTACTTGGGGAATTGCTTTTGCTGTACGGCTGCCTTGGCATATACCCAGATGTCTTGCCAAGTTTTGGTCTAAACCCAGACAACTGCGGTATGCTAATGCATGTGAAGCTTCGATGTTTAGACCAATCTCGGCCTACTGGGATCGGGTACGATAAACTGCGGCTTTTAAGCGTAGGTCTCTAACAAAGTGTAGGTGTATACGGGATCGGAGATCAACAATGTTTATCTTGCCATACGCATAGACTATAGCTAATAATAGTACCGTCCAATGGCCACAACAGCCCTCGGATTTGGTTTCTGGCATCATTCTGGGCGACGACTTCATAGAATCGCATGTTGTCTACCCATCATTCATTGCACGACTACACTTCAGGGTCCTGTAGGATCCCTTTGACATGACAATCTATGCCGTCATAATGCAAGTTTAGGATTCCTTGAGCTATGACCCTTTTACCCCGTGTTCAACCGGTTGCTGTGCAAGCCCTCATCGTCGATCTCCTTCAAAAACCAAGATGCAGCAGTAATTTTCTTGCGTCATCGCTTCCCAGAGTGGAAATTGTGGAGCTGGATGGATTTAAGCTTTGGCTACCAGATCGTAGAAATGACGTATGTAAGCCACTGCCATTGGCCGACGGCGCCCTTTGGCCCACTTGTCCGTCAGATTCGCTGCCAATTGCATCGCCAGTGTCCCTGAAAGCGACTACCAACGACCACAGGGACCTGTTTCCGTGGCATGGAAAATATCCAGAATGAATCGTAAAGTAGATTTACAGGTGTGATGTCGTGGCTTGGAAGGACCCTGTTCTCATCTATTTAAACCTCGAGATTTCCCCTGATCATCTGGAGTTTCTTTCATCATCACCACAACCACAACCACAACTACAATCTCACACTCAAACAACACAATCAATTACCTCACCTTTTCGGTTTAATACCTACCACAACATTCACAATGGAGACCGCCAAGCAAGCTTTCAACTACGTCTCTGAGTCCGTCCAGGGCGCTGTCTCTGGTGCTAGCAAGGAGACCAACAAGGAGATTGCCAAGAACGACAATGTCAGCGTTGGCTCTCGGTAAGTCGGAGCAAATATTCCGAAAACCCAAGTACAGTGCAGTCCGCTAACAGCTTGCAGCCTGACCGCCGCCAAGGATGCTGTCGGTGACAAGGTCGACGAGTCCGCACACAATGGCAAGGCCGATGCTCACAAGGAGCTGGCTAAGAACCAGTAGATTGGATCGAAGGACCTCGAGGCCTTCAATGGCGTTCGGAACGGATCATAGCGAAAGGGGCCTATAGTCTACTAGGCATGAATTGATATGAATTGATTTTTTTTTTCACACAACTTTTTTCTCTCTCTCTTTTCCAGTGGTCATTGACAACTGTTCGTGAATGTGCTTCGAGATTCGTGAGGGTTGCATCATTTGTAGTTGGCAGGGTAAACTTGCTGCAGTTGTTTTTGTTTTTCTCCGACAATGGAGAATCAACTTCAGCATCGCCAAGAGAAAAGTTCGACGCATTCCAGCCAAGGCAATTCGTAATTGTCGTATCATGCACGTTATGTAACAGGTAATAACTGCCAGCGTGTCTTTGTATCATGTGGTTCGTCGCAATGACTCTATCGTCGCCCGGTTTCTTCGTATCCAACGGTTAGAAAGTTAATTGCGCATATGCTAGCGGCAATAGGCAAATGCTCAACTGCTGATAACAGGCAGTGAAGGCGAGTCCGCATGGATAGGAAGAAATAGCCTTATTCAGCTAGCCATTTGCCAATCCTCGGCTGGCATCGCAGCGGGGTAGCTGTTGGCAGCGACAGTGGCGGTTTTGCGTGTTGCCTGACCTAAACCGTAGTGGCAATGGAACGTGAAGCTTGTTGCTGCCCGATGCTTCGCCCAAGTCCTGCAGCCGCACATCTTGTGATTGCCGTATACTTTGATTCAATATCCCGATCGTTTGCGAAGGATGTGAACACCTTATTCGCAGCGCATGCAGCGTATAGGCAAAAAAGATTTAAAGCTCAAGCCGTTAACGTGTCGCCAATAAGAGACCCACTTTTCGGTGTTATGTTCGGGTCAGGGTCTTTTTTTCCGGAATGGGGTGCAGGACTCGCACCAGCTGCTCCCTTATCTCCACCCAACGCCTCTCACGTTAAGGCGGAGATTGCAGCAAGCGCCGCAACGCCGTCGTCTGGGTGAGCCGTCTTTGACAGGCAAGCAGCTAACAAAGCGGGCGTGGTAAATCCTCGCCGAGGGGCTTCTATCCTGTACAGGGCTTAGCCTGCCGTAAGGGCGCTGCTGCGACCCCCTGCGGTCTGACCAGAGTTGCGAGCCATGCGAGCGAAGAAAAAGGGTCCCGCGTATAAGTGGCAATCGGTGCTTGACCACCAGACCCAGCGTGCGTGCACTGCGGCAAATCACCTCATGGGGGCGACGGGCCGCTGTACTTTTGCGTGTGCAGATTGCTGACGATGGTGTGTATATCGCTGGGTGCTCATAGCTCGCAGGTGAGGGGTGATACAGCCAAACTGTCGAGCAGCGCAAACAGGACACAGTGGCAGTGAGCACTGGGCTATTCGGCACTTTTCTTAGAGGTTTCCGGGCCGGACAATGCGCAAATGCCGAAAGGAGGACAAGCTGACACGGCTGGATTAGCACTGTATCTCGCAGTTAACGGGTAATTCATTTCACGTATATACACGCCGGATACGGAGACACAAGACGCTGCCATGCCTGTTGAGCAGGTAGCAGACATGTATGTGCCGGACTCGTATGCGCCTGTATCCCTGGCCGGTGTCTTTGATTGTACGTAGTAGAAGTGTGAAATCCGTAGCATTGGCTGTATGCGGCAGCAGAGGTAGGTACCTATCAGGGAAGGGCGGTCTTGAGGTCTCAAAAAGATATGCAGAGCCCGGAGATGCAAACGGAAAATGACGAGCCGTCCGAGTCGGCACGGGGATGGGAGCAGCAGGCCATCTATCTATGTATCTGTTCCTGGAGTTGCTCGTCCATCTCCATCGCAGCAACTGCCGCTCGGTCGACTCCCAGCAGCGCATCTCGTAAGCAAGATGCGGACGAGACAGATGCTAGCAAACGAGGCCATCCAGGCACAGCACGGTGCGCGCGGCACGGCGCTCGACAAAGTCTGGCAGGGCCTCTGGACCGACACCGTGCCGTCGGGGCAGCGCGGCGAGCGGTCAGGCCGAGGGGGCCCTCTAGAACGGTCCAATGGCCAGCCCAGGAGGGCGCTAGCCAAACCCCCCATTGGTGGCACGCCAAACGGGCTGAGGAGCCGGAGCAGCCTCTGTAGCGCTCCCCGCCCTCTGGCCGCTTACAAATGCAGCAAGATTCCTCATGGACGAGCAAGCACGCTGGCGATGCGGCCATTTGTCTGCCCATTCGTCCCCTCACGCTGCTTGCACGAGGCCACAGTGCGCAGAGCCCCTCGCGCCGACGTTACAGCCTGTGTCTGCCAGCGCACGGAAGCGCCTAGAAGACCTTTTCTGACTCAGGCAGCAAGAAAAGTCGTCTGTCTTCCCACGCATCCGTGGGGCTCCACACGTGCTGTTACTAGTAGTGCTAGGTAGAGCGATTGATTACCTGACCGTACGGGGAGCGCTACCAGCAAGTTTCTCGCATTCGCCTCCCAGCCATCACCTTCCGCCAACCAGCAACCATCATCAGCACGACATCTGGCCTGGCCGCATCTCCTGCGACGCATATTCCAGGAAGCCTTTTTGCCATCCATCTGCGGTTTCTTTCATCTGATATCTACTCGTGTTTGTCCCCCTTTGCTGCACTGCTCGAGACTCGTTTCTCTCTTTGGATCTGGATCTCTGGCGCCTAGCGTCTAAGCATTTGAAATCACATCCCCGCCACCCGCGGCTACCGACTAGGAACCGAGCGAGAGTGCGCTGAAGACCTGCGAGAGATTGGCGCTCTGGTCTGCGATCCTCGTGGCAGCAACATCATCTAAGCTGGATCCTGCTTTGCTTCTTTTCCCCTTCGATCTTTGTTCTACACCATTGTCGAAATGGCCACAACCGGTACTGGAGCTGGCTCGTCATTGCCACCAAATTTCTTCTTAACCCCGCAGCAACAGAATCTACTGTTCACGGCTCTTAATGCGAACAAGCAGCAGCAATCGAATAGTACCAAGACTGGACTTTCGCTGTCTCCCACTTCTTTCAAGTCAAATCCCCTTCAGAGCCTTGACAACGCTGGATTCCAGGAGAGCCCCTTCCTCGACAACTACGACTACGACTTTGACGACTCCGGTTTTGACTTTTCCTTTGCCAATGACGGCGCCCAGGGCAACATGATTGGCGATGTGCCTGATAGCGCCATGAGCGCCAAGTCTGATTCTACTGAGACTGAGAGCCCGGAGAAGAGAAGCCACCCGGACGACGAAGATGACGACGCCAGCCCTGGCAATGAGTCAAAGAGACACGAGGGCTCTGACAAGGTCCCCAAGAAGCCTGGCCGCAAGCCGCTTACTTCGGAACCAACTTCAGTACGCTCAATCCATGCTCGTTGTTTTTATGATGAACTGAGGAATTCTGTTGACTAACAAAATCCCCACTTGTAGAAGCGCAAGGCTCAAAACCGGGCCGCCCAGCGTGCTTTCAGGGAGAGGAAGGAGAAGCACCTCAAGGATCTTGAGACCAAGGTTGAGGAATTAGAAAAGGCCTCAGAGGCTGCCAACCATGAGAACAGCATGCTTCGCGCTCAAGTCGAGCGCATCACTGCTGAGCTGGGCCACTACAAGCAGAGGATGACGCTTGTGAACAACAAAGCCACTACACAGCAGCAAGCTCGTGCTCAGCCCTTTGGTTCTGCAGCTGTCAACAACATCAATGATGTGAGCTTTCAGTTTGAGTTTCCCAAGTTTGGAACCCTTCCCGGACCGCCTGCCAAATCCCATCAGAAGTCCATGTCACAGCCCATTAGTCCCAGTTCCCAACAGACAGCCAGCCCGGCTGCTAGCCAGAATAAAATAGACCGTGTGGCACAGTTCTCCCAGCAGGCGGCAAGGAATGCGCAGTTCAAGGAAGATCTCGCCAAATTCAGCAGTGGAGGACCATTCAGCTTGCACACTCCCTCAATGAGCAGCTCTACTGCCACAGGATCAAGAGCCAGCGTGGACTCGGTCAACTACAGTGGAAACAACACCACGAGCTCGCCGTCGGCGTCCTCTCACTCCAACGTTGGGGCAAGCTCATCATGCGGCACATCTCCTGAGCCTTTCACCCAGTCTCCCATGGGCTTCAAGCCTGTTGATACCCTGACCACCATCGGCGAGGAGCACCCATCCATGTCTACTACAGATGGACCATTCTCTCAATTCACTGGCCTTGATTTCAACAGCAACAGCTTCGACTGGCTTGTTCAGCAGAACAATGGCGGCCAATTTGATCCCCAGCTGTTTGGCGATTACCGCGAACCTCAAGAAAACGTCATGACTCACTCCACATTTGACGACTTGTTCAATGACTCACTTGAGGCCGACTTCTTCACTCCTTACAACATGGCCAACAGCCCGAACCAAAACCAAAACCACAAGAAGCTGAATCTCATCGATGAGATTGACGCCAAGCAAAATGCGATTGACGATGAGCCGCGAAAGGAGAATATGAGCTGTAATCAACTCTGGTATGTTATACATCATTTTAGCAGTGTTTTCACATATACTAACATGCTTTGTTACAGGGAACGGCTGCAAGCATGCCCCAAGGCGCAGAATGGCGAGTTTGACCTGGATGGCTTGTGCTCAGAACTGACCAAGAAGGCCAAATGCTCTGGAAGCGGGCCCGTTGTTGCCGAAACGGATTTCGACTCCATCCTCAGGAAGTACATGGGCAAAGAGGCGGCCGACTGCTCGGCTGAAAGCCTGGGCATATCTCTGGAGAAGACCAAGCCTGAGACACTAGTGATGCCATAATTGATCAGGAGTTTATATGGCATTTACTGGGCGCATACTTGTACGTTTAAAAACCGTTTTGCGGTTGAATAAAGAGGACACAAAGAATCCTTGGATTTTGGCGTTTTGAGCAATCAGAAGGGCGTAGCTAAGGCAACGACCCCAGGCTTTTCAAGCATTTGGATGGATATAAGACGAAAGGACAATCGTCGATTTTTGAAGCATTAATCTTTTGGTGCATTTACAACTAGTATTTCTATTTTTTTTGACATTTACGATTATGGGCAGGTTGTTTTTATCTCTCTACTATGAATGATTATGCTTGTTTTATTTTGTCCTTTTTCGTGCGTATTGAAATTTAGGTGTTTGGCCTTGCCTTTTCAATTTGCAACTTGTAAATCAATTTCGACATTTCAATCACTCGTTTACACAAGTCATTGGCTTTTGGATTACCGCAGCAACAGTTTTTGTTTCCTTCTTTTCGAGAAGTGTATATACGCCGTGAATATTAGGAAAAATGGCAACAATTTTGATTGTGAAATCATTGGACAGACATCTAATTTGCCTTACGCACATGACACGTACAATCAAGTCGTAAGAATCACGGCAGTTGTGAAACTCGGTTAAACTATTAATCGCTGTGTTTGCGAGAGTTACAGTATGCTGCTTTGCAAGAGGCAATTGGCATAAAGCCATTATCCATTATATAGAAAACAAAACACCAATTCCTAGATCGTCAATCTCTTCGTGCGCTCGTGTAACTTGTGTTCCTTTTTTTTTTTAAAAAAAAACATAATCAGCAATCTCCCCAATACGAAAATGAAAAAATCTCGGAACTCCCCCAACATGGGGCAAAACCGCTTCTCATCATTCAAAGCATGTGGCGAATTTGTAATGACAAAGTTCCCTTCCCCCCTTCCACCGAACTCAGCCGGCTAGACGTTCTAGGCTGAAAACACAGTCTCTCTTATTTTTGCTTTGATAATCAGCTCTTTTCTGGCGCGCGGGATTAGCGGCGTGGCAGTGGCATTGCTGTATGTCCGTTTCATGACTTTTTAGCTATATCAGCCCCCCCCCCCCTTTTTTTTTTACCCCGGAATTTTCCTTTGCTCGGGATTGATATTTTGCTTATACATGATTGTATGAGCAACTTTTTTAGTCTCCCATATGGAGTTGAGTCATGGGATCTCATGAGTTCACTGCCGTCAAGCAAAAAACAAGCCACCTCGTCACCACATGTCGCCAACGCCGTGGGATGTAATTGATTGGGAATCATATTGACACCACACAATATATGCACATGTGTTACAACAAACAATCGTTGGAATCACCTTTGCAGATATGCGTCATCACCAGCTGTACTACCTCCAAGCGCTAGTGTAATTTGTTTGTTTGTTTGTTATGCATATATGTTATTTGTATCATAAATTATGGCCAGCTACATGAAACTACACTCCTGTCCGTCTATATAATATGAGACCGAGTGAGTCCAAAAATAGCAAAGTTTGTTCATGTTGTGTACAACTACTGGATGATGCAGATAAACCATTTGATGTTTCCCGCTAAAAACCGCCTGCTTGTTTCTTCCCTGTTCCACGTCTAAAGATTTGCCAACGCCAAAAAAAAAAAAAGAGCTCGAAGCGATGAAAGAAAATCGAAACAAGAGCTAAACAGTTTGCTCTATCCAAAACAAAAAGAGGATAGTAAAAAAAAAACAAAAGATGAAAAGATGAAAAGGGCGTGAGGACGTGCGTATGTAATTTCCCCTCAGAATGGAGAGTATATAGTACAATGAGATAGGTATCGACGATCGAAAAGGCATGCTGGACGTCAGATATGAAAATGTTAAAAGAGGCGATATAGCATGCCCTCTTGGACGTTTCATATCAGAGTTGGAAATGGAGATGCACGTTCCGCTTGTTTATCATGGCTTGAGTAACTCATTCTCATGCGGTGTCCCAAGCCCAATACCACAAGCCGGCCGTATAGTATTCGAAATATCAGTCTTCCGTAAACTCCGTGTAGAACCCGTTAGCCCGTATCGCGTACTCGTTTTCATCGTGGGTATCGCATCCGATTCGTTGTCCTGGATAGGAAGCTGTTGTGTCGTCGCAATTACGCCGCAATGTCGACCCTTCAGCTAATGACCACTCTGGCGCCTTCCTTGCCCAAGACTCCTCGTTCCTTGGGCCTAGGGCTGTTGTTTCTTCCCTTTTTGCTTTTCAAGAACCCAAACATACCGCCGGAGCTTTCGCTCTTGGATTCTGCCGCGGTATTGGCATCCTTGGGGAGTGTGGCGTCTTGACGAGCGAGCTCAGACCAGCTGCCTCCGCCGTCTAGTGTTAGCTGTACCCCGCCGGTAGGGCTGGTTACTCGCTTGCTCATTTGCGGGGATGGAACGTATTGGGTTTGTCCGGGATAGGCAGAGGACTGTGCTTGATTTGAATTTCCTCGCATATCGTTGCTGACTGTTGGTTCCACGGGAGGGAGGGGGTATGTCACCAGCGGCTCATTTACCAAAGGCATCTGCGTAACGTCGTCTGTGGTAATGGCCTGCGGTTCCATTGAGGACGGATCTCCGTCTTCGCCCTGAGAAGCCGTAATTCTATTTCAGATTGTTAATACGAGGTTGGCTAGTTTGGATGAGGGAAGCAATTGTGCGCTTACTTCTTGTAGGCCGCAATGGTATAGTCGAACGGGCGGAAATCCGTCTCAATCATTCTATACAGCTCATCTTCGCGAATCTCCTGGTCCGTAGCGTCCTCCTTTAACCGCTCTCTGGGTTTCTGTCGCCTTGCGCGAGCCTCCAGCGGCGCCTCTTCGAGCAGCAGCTCTTCCAAGTCGTACGTTGCATCAAAGTTGGTCTTGTCCGAGGAGGGAACGAAAATAGGCTCGATGCGTTTCTGCTCGAGCAAATCGAAGTTGATCGTCTTGAAGAAATCGTTGTGGATGAAGCTCTCCCATGTAGAACCAAGTCGGGCGTTGGGATTAGGCTCAAGCGCGGCACGGATAGCGTAAAGGCATGTCAACGAGACGGGAGGTTGTGTGACTGGATACTTTGGCTGAGAAAACTGAACCTGTTGGCTGAGCGAAGATTCGCTGTTGCCCTCAAAAGGTCGCTGGAGTAAAGTTTAGCTGCACTGCATCTTTCTCTTCTATTCGCGGGGAGACATGGGCGAAGCACCAAGCATACCTTGTTGTAGATACACTCATAGAACAGGACACCTAATGACCACCAATCGGCGCGGATATCGTATCCTTTGCCCGAATACACTTCTGGGGCAAGGTAGGCCAATGTTCCGGACTTGCTAGTCATGATGCGCCCGGGAACAATGTCAGAGGCCACGTTCTAAGCAAAGGGTCAGTCAGCTTATGCCGCCTTTTTGTCTCACGTCTAGGAAGGGCCTACGAAATCGGTCAAATGGACATGTCCCTCGGCGTCGAGAAGGACATTGTCCGGCTTGACGTCTCTGTGGATGATGTTCTGGCTGTGGACATAGCGCAAGGCACAGCCCAGTTCGGCTATCCAGAATCGGACAGCTTCTTCGGTGAAGGTCTTTCTGGAGATGTGGAATCGCAAGTCGCCACCGCTCATGAGATCGACCACGAGGTACCTTGAGGAAATGCTGTCAGTACAAGTCGCGGATCTGGGCAGCGCAGCAGCTTGGCGGGAAAAGCTCACATGTATTCGATATCCTGGAAGCTGTAGCGCAAGTTACAGATGAAGGGATGGTTGACATGCTCGAGCATTCGTCGCTCGCGGATAATATTTCGAACGCTTTCAGATTTGACAACTATTCAAAGGGGTTATTAGTTGGCTGTGCTATTCCCATTCCGCTGCCAGCTTGTGCAGATTCAAGGGACAAGTAGGTTATTGTGCCCAGTAGCACTGTAGAGCGCTTGGCGGTTGTTTCTCGTTTGCGCACCTTCATCTTTACGGATATATTTGAGCGCAAATGTCAAGTTGGTGTCTTTGCGCTCGACAATGCGGACCTTGCCAAAGGCGCCTCGGCCGACAACTCGTAGCAGGCGAAAGTGGTTGAGGTTGGCTATTTGCAAGTTGCTCGGTCAGCTCGGTCGGTCACAAGAATGGAAATGGGAATGCAGCAGCCGTCTCTGGGCCCTCTTGGGGGCGGCCGGCGACCTTTGCACCACGCGCCAGACACGTGGGAGCGGGCAAAAGGAGGGAGGGACGCCGTAGGCCGCGATTCGCTCGGGTGATTTTCTCGACGTACCTTCGCCTGTCAGGTCGACGGGCTTTCCCTGGCCGTTACCCATGATGAGGATCGGGGAGGGGGGATTGGAGGGCGAGAAAGTGCAGCTGGAATCGTCAACGATGGCGAGAGGTCATGCTGTTCGTTGGCGGTTTGCGGGAGATGGCAGTCCAATGCTTGGCTCGCAGTCCTTTTTTCAGCGGTGGCCGAGGAATCGGCTGGCCAGTCCAGTGGGGGGCGTTTTGGAGCACGCAGAGTCGTAAATGGGCGGGCTAGCAGGAGTGGGTAGGCGGCGAATTGACCGGATTCTGATAGTGGTGAAGTTTGGCTGGAGGTCAGCTCTGGGGCCCCAACGCCGGCTTGTTTCGCTGCGGCGTGCGTGCGGGTTCTCGAGGCGCAACGGCGATGGTGCGAGTGATGAGGACGACGAGGACGATGATGCACTTGAAAAGCAGCAGCGGCAGCAGCTGAGATGAAGAAGGAAGAGGATTGGGAGGCAGACGCTGCGTGGGCGATGCGTGAGCATGAGAAGAGAACAAGCCCGGTCTAGCCTAGGAGAAGGCCCATGCGAGGGTACAGGCAGAGGCCGATGATCAATGCTCGCCCCAGACTAGCCAGCGAGCCCGAAAAGATGCGGGAGATTTGATGGAACGGGGGTGGAAGGTTAGTGGGCGAGGGCGCCCTGCAGAGTGGAGCTGCGCCGGCAGTGGAGGCAGCACAGACTACAGTACAGAGCGCGGCCGTGGCGGCAACGGCCAGCGAAGGGCCCTGGAGCCTCAGCAGGCGAGCGCTGTGGCAGCTGCAGCATGCCCTAGAGCAGTGGTGCAGTGGTGCGGTGCAGGGACCCGTCCCCCCCAAAAGGTACTCGACAGGTCTCCATGAAGTGGGCTCAACTCAATGCTGCTGCGTCTGGAACATGAAGGCAATTTGAAGATTACATGTACATGCGTGTGCCATCAATGTCGGTGCTGTTTACGATCGGCCTGGTTCTAGATGGCGTGTCTTGTACTTGGGTATACTGTACACAGATAGGGATGCTGTTCCTATCCAGCATGCGGGTGCCGCGGCAATTGTCATTGGCACAGAAACACTGATCCTGGGGCAGGCTCTTGTTTGTGCCCGCGATAACCTGTGGATCCTCGAGCACGGAGAAGGTACATAGTATCTGCATCCCGCCTGTAACACCTTTGGTGGACATTCGCAGGGAGACTTGACGAGTCAATAAACTGGAGCAAAGGCCGGAGGGTTCTGCTTGATAGCACCAGCAGAGCAGAGTCGATGCTAGGCCCGGATATCATTAGCACCTCCATACCTGTACCTGATAGTCCCAGTGGAAGATGCATGGGTTTCCGAGATGACGCAAGGGAGATGAGTTGCAAAGCCACTGTCTTGTCCTCTTTTCTTTGCTGGAGCGGGTGAGATGGATGAATGGTGATTGCAGGTACGGGACTGCAGGGAATCATACTCATCGGAATTACAAGTAGAGTAGCACAGAGGAATGGAAGCATTCACCAACATGTTGCTAGAACAAGCAGCACATGCAAGAGTAATAGTGGCGGTGTGTCGCATCCAGGGCCTGCTTTGGACGATACAGAGACCGCGGACACGACCAGGGGAGAGCACAAAACAGCAGCTGCGAGAACAAGCGAGGCACACGATTGGCAGCGGGGAGCGCCAGCGAGTGAGATTCCGTCTGGTGCTGCCCATTGACATGTAGGTATACGAGTAGTATTATGTACCATACCATACCAAGCCGGCTGGCTCACCTGCATGGCATGATATGGATGACGGCAGCACTGGGCAAATCCATCCGACGGCGTGGACGCACATTGTTGGCCACGACGACCAGAAATATGGGGGACAGGGGAACAGGGTCTGCTCGGGCTGTTGCTTGTACTGATCGAGCATAGGATCGCGAGTTCAATCCCTTGTGCCAAGAGCCATGTTCCAGAGAAGCTGTGCATACTAGTAGTATATTGCGCCGGTGGCGGATAGCTTGGACACTATTGAGGTGAATTGCATTTAGACCGACCTCAGCTCGGCCTTCCATCCGGGCCAAGCTTCTTAGCTTTATCAGGGCCGTCAAGTGACATGCTGATAAGGTCGCCGAGCTGGATCGTGTTTCGCTGGTTTGAGCTGCAATTGATACCGACAGGGCGTGCATGTGAAAGCAGACGCAGCATTTGCGGTCTATTATGGTGCTCCAAGCGCTGTAGTACCGTATCGCGAACAAAAAACAGCACTGATGCTTGTACTGTATCCCTTTATCTCCTATCATGCCTCGGTCTTCCACCATACTGCACATGCCGTCTCTCTATGGACCATCGATTGCGTGCATCTCAGTGATGGATGGCTGATGCAGGGCTGGTGGGGACAGCATTGAAACTACTGCGCGTACCACGTTGCCAAGTTTGCCAACGGACGTGCTTTCTCGCCTCGACCCGCGAGTTCTGGAACGGCGTTGGAAGCTGCGCTCCAGAATCTGTGCACACCTTTTCGCCCTTTTCTTCTGCATCCCCCGGCAATGTCTCAGTTTCCAATCAACTAGCTTTGCCACCCGCCAACGGCTTGCACAGCGAGAACTGCTTCACGGCTCGACGTCTCTTCCGTCTTTCTCATCGCTACCGCATCCGCATCGGAAACGAGAGACGTCGCGGTGCGCTGTGGAGAGCCAAGCATGGGGCGCCGGTGAAGAAGCGCCTGGGGTCTGGTCGGCGAGTCCGGCGGATTCAGCGAGCTGACCAACGCTCAACTGCCATTGAGCCTTGAATATTCTCTCCATCCCATACTATTAGCGATGGAACCTGGGGCTCTGCCTAGTCGTCTGGAGTGGGCTGGCCCCGGCGACCGGCTAGCAGCAGCAAGCTCGCGGCGCTGCGCATCCATTTGCTGTTCGCTTCGGAGGAGAATTACTCAGAGCATCCTAGTGCCGTTCTCTGTCCATTGTTTCAGCAAGACTCGGGATTGCTTGTATACGTGTCGTTGCTACAAAGACCTACCGTCTGGACACTGATTGCTGACCATTGGCCTGGATACAGAGCATGCACGAGCGCAGTAATCAAGGTGAAACACATGGGTGGGCAGCGGCTGAAGGGCTGAAGGGGGGCCGAAAGCCTTGGCTCTCTTGACGCCGGATCCAGACTCTGACGAGCAGATAGCCTTGTTGGATAGAGATGCAAGCTGCCAATAATTCGGTCAGCCGGACGGCTGGGGCAGAGTGACTGCCGTTACGGCACGACAGGGGAGCTGCATCTGGGTAGGTATTTCGCCACATCTCAAGTGGAGGGAAGCCCGGCCTCTTCAATTTATAAGATGCTAATCGTTTGCCATGTATGGATACAAGACAGCCCAAAGACATCTGGACATGGTGATGGAAACACAACGTCTCAGTTATGCCACCATGAGACAGACGGGTATCAAGTACCAAGTGCCACTAGCAATACAACATCAAAATGCATTGCGCCGCTGGAGCAGCATCTCCGGACAGCTGTGAATTCGTGGCCAATCATGTCTTGATGCTGCTTCCTCTATTTCCTCATTTCCTTCTGGGGGCAAAGTAGCTCTCCCTTGCGCGCGCTGGACAACGCGGCGGACGGGGGCTTGCCACAAGATGTGTGGATTCTAACTTAATCTAGGTAGATGAGAAGCTTGCCAAAGGGCTTGGAGTGTAGCTACGAAGCATATCACATCTTCCGGAACCCTTTCATCTTGCGAATAAGTATTGCTAATGCATGCAGATCAGCCCGATTGGCTAACCATTGCTTTGCACAGGCAGACACGTATTTGCGGCAGCCTGTCAGTCAAACAGCAGTCTATTTCCTCATTCTCTGCTCCATCTGTGATACCTGCAATCTGCCACACAGAGCATCGACCGCCATCCAAGAAGAGACACAAGAGGCATGCAGCAGCCGTATGTTCCATCAGACTACGAGTATGCCGTCAGTCCAAGCCATACGGCAGCTCGCGTGTTGCTAGCACTGATGCAAACGCCTCCGCTGCTTCGTCCGGGCTATTTCCCTAGTTCGGTGCACGAAATCCATAGACTCTTGAACTACATTCTGTCTCCAGACACACTAATCCGCCACAACTCGAGGGCTCTATGGGCAAACATCAACTCCCATTAGCTGGCCTTTGATTCCCATCCCGGCTAGCCCACGTGTCGTGCCGATCCCCGTTACAAACACGCCGCTACCTGGAGCGTCTGAGCGTCACGGGACGTTTTCCCAAGCCCAGGGCCGCACCAAGGTCGGCTTTCTGGCGTTGATTTGCGCCTGCAAATGTGAACCAGAGACGAGTCGCAAAGCCTTAACTGGCAACAGGCCTCTCTGCCCCGTAAACGCCCTCTGGCAGGGCTGATGCTCCGTATTATTTCTTAACAGTACCACGGATGATATTTGGCTGAATCCTCCTCGCAGCTAGGCATATTGTTTTGGCTCCGGATTACTACTCTCACACATATCGATGCCAATAACCTCACTTTCTCTCTGCAGCTTCGATCCGTGATTACTTTAGCTTTCTTATTGTTCAAGATTTTACAGTTTTGATTATTCAGTCTTGCGTGTTGTTTCGGCTGGGCTTGCTGAGGCGAAACCATGTGTCAATCCACGCAGCCGTCGCTTCGTCGCATCCGCACTACGGGCTTCTGAGCCTCGTACAGTAGCGCATATGCTCAGCGCGGCTGAGGAAGCTGATTCGGAGAAGAAAATAGGCAGGAAATAGGATCAGTCACTATCACAAATGACCAATTGACATAGTCGCCCCTTGTCTATGTTCTACTAACTTGTTCCTGTACAAGTTTGGGAACGGCGAGGTCAAAAATGCCACCCTTTTGGTAAAGACGCCGGCACCAAGAAGCGGCGGTCTCCATCCTTTGGACTTACAAGCATTCGACGGCCTCGCTAGCGTTGATCATGATGGGCTTGCCTTTAACGACGGTCAAGAGCACATATTCACTATATCAAGACAGAAGCGCATATTCCGTTTAGCATCAAGGTCTTTAGACGGCACCAACACAAGCCTTCATGTTTTGGATCGTCTGGTCTCATGGCACTGTTTGCACTCTCACAATGTAAAGTTCGCTTGCCCCTATTTCCCCGTACAAAGTTTACGGAGTAATTGTGAAGTGCACCGCTATCAAAGTGCCACTAATCGGCATGACTCGTATATCGCATTCTGTGGGGAGGGCATGGCATTGATATGCCGGAGCCATATAGAACTGCCGCGTTTACACAATGCTGACCTATTAATTCACATGGGATCTCGATGGATATATGATTCTTACAAGGCTCACCGCCAAAACGGGGACATTAGCCGACGACTTGGCAAAAGGCAAGCTCAGAGGAGATGTAGCCGCGTACGCGTGGGCAAATCGGAAAGGCACGCGGTTAAGAGTAGAAGCGAAAGAGATACGATGCTTTCTAGGGGGCTTGAAGAGTTGAACTGTCGTTTTCACTTGTTCTAGCGCCTCAGAAAGGATTCTTTCTCAACGGATCCTATGACTTGATGAATTGAATAGGTAGTAATAACTGCTTCTATACCTGCTAATTTTTCGCCCTCATCTACGTTGCCTATTAACAAATGCCAGGATCAACTTGGTCCTTCTACAATATCACTCGTAGAGCAAGTTACCACTGGAGTTAATTGAAGCAATTACTATGACGATACCTTTCAAAGTCTACTAACCTAACCCTGAGTCTTGACATATTCAATGTGTGTCTGCAGAAGTTGTGTTACATACGCTAAAACCTGCGAAACTCTCAGATTGTCGGATTAACTAGCAAATATACTGTTTGCTCATACAAGAGGGCAAGATTTCACCCTTGACCATCTCCTTAGATGGGCAATGAAAAAAAGGCCTCCATGTCCAGATTCGTGTCTGAACTCGCCTACAGACTCGTGCTGCTTCGCATACCGTTATTGTACGTGTGTCAGCTCGCGCTTGGGGCACCCCGTCGTCGAATTCGCTCGGATAACTCAGTGGTCTGTTCGTCTACAGCTTGTATTATCGTCGGTGCTGCAGCTCCCGGCCATCTGCAGGGTCCGTCCGTATGCGACGCACACACGGGCGCACAGAGGAAAAAGTTGTTTGTCTGTGCTTGGCGGCACCTCCGAAGCCCCCCTATTGCCTATTCAGGGAGCTCCAGTGCGACGGTACGGTGATAGCTTTTCCTGTCTATTTGCCTAAAGGGTTGGCAGTGTAGATGCCGTAGTGAATTGCTAAACTCGGTACCTTTAACGGAAGCAATAGTGGTGCGCTCTATCGCGAAAGCTACCCTATTGCATTATATGTAGGTGGTTGTATAACATTGAATCATTCCAATAATCGCGGGCCTATGTTGTGTGAGGTTTCCTTTGTTACCATGGCTTATGCGAGAAAGTGCTACTAATATTATACCAGGGTTGAGTAACACCTCTTACAACTATAGGAACGTATTAGTTGCTGTTGAGGACTGAAGTTTCTTATCCCTTGCTTCAATTCCTTCTGTGTTAGTTAAGGCAAGATGCGACAGACGTCTTCTATGTGTTCTATTAAGAAGGATCATTTAAGCTAGTTAGCTGGTAAACTATCGCTAAATCTGGCATCTGTATGTGATGAGCCAATACAACGACCTTGTTCTTAAATCTCAAATCTGGTAGGTTATAATCTACTATGACACTTCAAGCAGTAATGCATGTCGATCACCAGTCGTTCCCAAGCATCTTGCGGTACATGCGCTAAACGTCAACGGAAGGTCCATCCAGAATATCAGATAGGAAATAGAGTCGTAGATACAGTTTTATTTTGGAGAATCCTGGTCATATGAATGTCGTTGGACCCTTATCCAGATATTTTGCTGCAGGCTATGGATTTTTCCCAAGCCGTATAATACATCATGACGTCAACCTCAGCACGAGCTTTGCGAAGCGTCACCATGACCTCAAGCATCTAAGCGAAGTGAAAAACAAATAAATATTGAATTGTAGAGAAGTCAATTGAATTACAACTTGTACAACAATATCAATTGAACACACAATTGCAGCAATCATGGCATCTACAGTTCGTCACATCACACACATTTCACGTCGTTGCATACCGGGCATCTCCCCCCGCCTGTACCACACCTCCGCCGCTCTTCGGCTCCCCTACAAGGACTCTCAAGACCGCGAATCCCTCAAGCCGAGATCCAACAACGGCACGAGGTCGGCTCGAGACGACGATGTTGCGGACAACAAGGACGCCGCGTTCAACCCTCGCAAGACGGACCCGGAGGCGGAGCTCGACGCGGCTGGCCGGGGAAATGAGACGAACCCGCTGAACGCGAGCGGCGCGAACCAAGAATTCAACAAGCCCATGGGAGAGGGAAAGGAAGCGCATGATACGGGGCCAGGAAAGGAAACGAGGAAAGGAGGGAGAAGTGGAGGAGGGAGCGCGCCGAAGAAGGGGAAGCCGCCGAAAGGAGGCTTGTGATGAGTTGTAAGGGGGTTTTAGGGTATCACTTAGTGAAGAGGTGTTTGATATGGTCTCACAGAACATTGTTTGAGCTCAGATGAGGCGAATCAAGGCTGGGAAGGGAATCTCACTGACAGATTCAACTCATGTACGGAGTACCGCGAATATGAGTTCCGAGTTCGGTATCATCGTTTCACATTAGCATCATCTCCATAGCAGAAAAGGGCAACTCCGCAGAAGAGGATCATCGTTAAGCTCAATCATCGCGGAAACTCGTTCAACTTTATAAGTCAAAGTCGCATCTGATCAAATCCCGGTAACAACGTTACAGTCGCCTAGTCTCGGATAAAAGCATAGCTGAGAGGGGAGAAGGCGGGGTACTGCGGTAATCGAGCGATCGACATGCTATGTAAGCCCATCATATCGTCCGATCCCGGATATCAATACGAGATATAAATACATGAGTAAAGATTTTGTTGAATAACAAGCTGTCAATATTACTAGTATCAGAAAAAAGAAGAAGAACAGGAAGAGGCTAATCATCATCATGGCGGAAAGTCAAGCCAAGTTCGCCATATATCCCAGCCTTGTCGACCGCACAGTCGTCATCACAGGCGGCGCGCAAGGAATTGGGGCTCAAATGGTCGAATTATTCTGCCTGCAGGGTTCCCAAGTCATCTTTTTGGACGTGGTGGATGACCGTGCTGCGGCCGTGGTCCAAAGGATGCTCGAGTTGAAAGTCAAGCACAAGCCCGTCTACCACCACTGCGATGTCATCAAGATTGACGAAGAGCTCAAGCCCACGGCAGCCAAGATCCTGGCAGAGTTCCCCAAGATTGACGGACTGGTCAACAGTGCCGCGAGGGCCATGATGAAGCCGACAATGGACATTACGACGCAGTGGTGGGACGAGAGCGTCGCGGTGAATCTGCGGCACCAGTTCTTCTTGACGCAGGCCCTGATGCCGGGACTGCTTCTTGCTGCGGGCCATGCCTCCATCATCAACTTTGGGAGCATCAATTGGGCCGTGCCGGGACTGGGCCAGGTGCCTTATACGACGAGCAAGGCCGCGGTGGTGGGACTGACGCGGACGCTGGCGCATGAGTTTGGTCCGCAGGGCATCAGGATAAACAGCATCATGCCGGGGTCGATTGCCACAGAGAGGGAGATTAAGGAGGTTTTGACGCCCGAGTATAAGGAGAACCTCTTCAAGAGCCAGGCTATTGAGAGATTGATCCAGCCGGTGGAAGTGGCGAGATTGGCGCTGTGGTTGATTGCAGATGACAGTGCGGCGGTGGTGAGCCAGAGTATCAGAATCGATGCTGGGTGGACATAGGAAATTTGGTTATAGAGTACATGAACATGTTGGATGGCTAATGACTACAAGCAGGACGACATGTATAGAAGACGTTTATGAGAGTTATGATGCAGAGGAATAAGATGTCATTCAGTTGGCGGGAATGTTATACGTCCGATGTATTCGCTTCCATAACTCATTATGATGTACCGATTCGTCAATATAGAAGAAAAAAAAGAAAGGAGAAGAGAGAAAAAGAAACTGGCTACGCCTTTCCACTGGAGCCAACCGCATCCATTTGCCTTGCCAAAGCTTCTGCTACTTTTTCCACTGCCTCGTCAACTACTTGTGTGAATGGAATCTTGTTCACTTTTTGCTCCAAATGCGCATAGTATCCCGCGAGAATATCCTTGTTTACGTTGATTTTCCGCACGCCAGCCGCAATCAGCTGTTGAAGGAGAGCGTCAGAGTAGCCCGTCACACCATGCAAGGCAATGAGGACGTTGTTGGCTCCTGTGATTTTGTTGACTTGTTCGAGCCTAGCAGAGGTAGTCAGTCATGTAAGTGCTGATTTACTTGAAAAAAAGAAATTAGGTAATAGGAGAAGATACCTTTCGAAATCTAGAACAATGCCTCGTGGGCCATACTCTCCATGAACGTTTCCAAACGCCGGGGCAAGCAAGTCCACTCCCGCATCCACAAACTGCTGCGCCTCCTCAGCACTCGTCATGAGTCCAGCCAAGTCAAGCGTGTCCGACACGCCGTCTTCGCCGCCCTCGATCCTCCCCGGCTCTGCCTCCGTTGCCTTGCCGTGTGCATGGCAGTAAGCAACCAGCTCCTTTGTCTTGGCGAGGTTTTCCTCCTTTGAGTGATGCGACATGTCTACCATGATGGAGTCGAACGGCAGCAGACACGCCTCCTTGACCATTTCTTCATCTTGGCAGTGGTCGAGGTGCACTGCCACGGGGACAGAGGCTTGGCGGGCGGCCTGGGCCGCGGCGTGGACTAGGATGCCGTTGGAGGATGTCATGGCCCAGGGGAAGAGTTGGATGATGAGGGGGGATTTCTGCCTCTCTGCTGCTTTGACGAAGCCGAGCACTTGTTCTAGGTTGTACCTATTAACAAGGAAAATGAGAACGATGTCTCATAAGATTGAGATCTTAGTAACGTATTTTGAGATCTTACCCAACAACGGCGAGGACGCCATACCGGCCTTGGTCAGCCGCTCGCAGAATACGTAGGGTTGCGTTATCCTCTAAGAGGGGCGCCATCGTGGTAATATCAAGAAGCCAAGATTGTATATTTCTTTTTCTCTGTTTTCTCTTCTATTTAGCTAAATGGGAGTTTATATAGGTGCTGGAATCGTAGGTCATTTTTGTGTCTCATGCAGCGTAACCGTCCCCTCACCCATCAACAGCATCGGCGGAGCTCAGTCTCCGCAAATTCGGTCGGGTCCGGATCCGGGTTTCCTAAACAGGAAACTCAGGACGAAACTCAGAAAAACAAAAGACATTTGCTTGTAATACGTGTAGATATGTCAATTGTCATTCTGATCGAGCATCTTTTGCTATAAAAAAGATGCAAGATTGTCGAATCAATCAAGGTAGCCCCCTGTTTTCTTGAGCTGAGGTGTGCCGCCCTTGGCAGACGCGATGCTTCTGTGGCTGACCCACTTGTTCATCCCGGTCTTTATACAGGCTGGCTGCGATTAGTAAATGATGGCCCCTTGTTGTCGAGAGTATGATTCCATTAGAAGTGGCTGGAGCGCAATTTGAGAGGCAGAGTCTGCTGACCATTCAATGCGGCAGTCCAGCTTCTCCTGGGTGTCTTCGTCCTCAGTATGTGCCGCCGTTGTACAATAGTGAACCCTGCGTGATAAGCAATACGAATGATTTGAGTATGACAAAGAGACTTGGAGCCGAGATATCCGAGGCTGTAGCTCCGAAATGCAGCTGAAGATGTGGAGATGGAAATAGCATGCATTGATAGACGTCTAGTTCCACAACCACGTCAACGAGGACCTCGTGATCCGACATGCGTGGTTGGACATCGGCTGTTGTTTAGCCGAAACAAATAGACTACATGGTAGAGGGCGGAGAGGGCGTCAATTTGATACTTTAATAAAAGGTTTAATACCCAGCGTTATGTTTGCAACAGAATCGTGCGTTGGGGCTAGTTACTGGCCAATCAATATCCAGACAGGTGCTAAATTAGAGAGTAAACAATTGTCGACAATATTGCTCCATATTGGCTTAATTATTTTAGAGGATACACTGATGAATTAAAGTCCGTTGGCCTGGAGAAATTGTAGATTGACCGCGGTCGTTATCGATTTGTAGGCAGCTTCAGATCAAGAGCAAGTCATCTCCAAGGAGTTTGATACCGGAGCATTCATACAGCTATTGTGTATCCAAGAGCCGAATCTAAATGCTCTCAAAGCCTCGCTTACGTCGCTCACGTACTATTTATTGACAATTCATTTATTGATTACTGAAACAATCTAACGCAACCAAGTCTCGAAATTGAGACAACTCCAGCACCTGAACTAGCTCCCAAAGCCAGAAGCCACCATTGTTCATTGATATTACGCCCTGCGATCAACAAGTCAAGTCAAAAACGAAGCTATCGATATGAAGCCAAATCCCGTGCTCAAGAGTCAAAAGCCGTCACATAAATACATACTAGCAGATACAAACCAATCACCTAGAGGCTACACATAAACGTGGCGCCATGTTCATCGGTAAATCACCCGCTGCTGACAAAGAGCCAAAAGCCACCCGACGGTTTGCGAACCTGCGCCTAACAAGCACGATCAGCACGAATTCTGGAGCCTGGCGGAATCAAGTTCCGGCCTCTAAACTATGGCAAGCATCGGCAATCTTGCAAAGAGTTTTACAAACGACTTGCTTTGGTGCCCGCCTTTGACGAGCGGAGTCTGGGGCATTGACGGGGAAAGCGGGCCAACCTTGTTTTGGGAGAGGTTGGCAAAGTTGGGGGGCTTCTTGGAGACATGACTCGCAACAGGGATTTTAAAGCGGGTAGCGGTTCTTGGCCTTTCTTACTTTTCTTTTTGGCTTCTAGCGAGGGAAGAGGAACAACTTTAATCAAGCCATTTTTGCTTGGCTTTTTCGCCTGATCAATCCTCTGGAGCGGTAACCGTGCAGCTACATAAAGGATTAGCTGATGATCCTGTGGCACTGATGGGGCCAAGACTGGCTGCATGCGGCTGAGCTTTTTCTGTCTTTTTCTTTCCGAATATGGTCATTATGAAGCATTTGACTCACTGAGGGTATCACTAGCTTTTCGTCCATACAATTTCATGTTGAGTAATAATACGAGAACGCCTTCAGAGCTTGGCTTAAAACCCAATCATTGAACCATACCTCAACCCAGACGCAAGATCCGGGGTAAGCCTGCCAAGAGACTGCATCCCGTTTTCCCCAAACTTGTTACGTTTTTCTTTCATTCTTTTACTCATAGATTCCAGTTCCCCGCGAAGCATCATCTGAGGAGTTCCCTGGCCTTCGTAAAAGCCATGGAAAAAATAAAGCCATCACCATACCAAGTGGGGAGTGGGCATAGAGTCAGAAAAAAAAAGAGTCCACCACAACTCCAGTCCCCTCAGCCACCAATACAAAGCCTGCTTTTTTGAAAAACAGACAAGCGCCGTCCTGTATTAGAAAACTTGTCTCCAGCACCTCAGCAACCCTGTTCTAAGCTTAGCAATTACCTAAGAGCAGCCCACGGACTGGGCCAGCCACACAACTAATAGTGGGCTCTGTCCATGACATGTACTCTGCGCCCTATACAAATCCTGGGATTAGCTACGGTCCATCTGGGTCCTGGATGGGGACCTTGGCCATGGAGCCTCGCGCGGACTGTGCCTTGGCGGGCCAACGAACCTTCGCCAATGGTGGATACAGAGGCCTTTGCCTCTTCATACGAACAGGAACTGGCCTCAGAAACTAAGACGGGCGCCTTGGCTAGCGGCAGTTACATGGCTCGACGCTGTGGTTTATACTGCTTTTGTATGTTATGGGGAGAAGTCGCTCCGTGCTCTGGCCCCATAACCCGGCGCAGGGTCTCACGAAATGGAATCGCTCTTGACACCAGAACATGCTTTCTGGCTCTTGCTCTCTCCGGTCCCGGCTATCGCAAATCTCTTTTCTCAGCCCACTGACTCAAGGTATCCGCTTTGCCTGAGTTTATCAAGCTGTTGGGGCCAGGATGTTGCGTAGCATCGGAGAGGGCTGGTGTTAGTGTTGCAGCATCACCACAGAATTATAAAGTGGTGTTGGGCTCCCTTTATTTTTACCACCCTTTGCTTTGCTCTCCCTTCCTTTTTAGGCTGTATAAACCCCAAGGCTTCTAGAAATCTTCTAGGCTTGACCAACCAAACCCACCCTTGCGCAAACGTACATAACCGTAGCATTAGTACGGGAAAGGCTGTTTGCGGCGCCGAAAGATCCAAGTGCCGCCGCCGCCGATTGCAGCCCACGCTACGGAACTTTTTTTTTGGTGCTTATACCCCAAATTCTCCAAAAAGAAACCAGAAAAAAAAAAGAAGGGAATAGAAACCCAGATACTCAAAAATGTCCCGGCGGGCTAGCTCGGGCGACTCACCACCGTCGGTGGGTGCAGAGGAAAAGGGCAACTATGGCCAGGAATCCAAGGCCGTGCAGGACACGGCTGTGGTGCGCCAGTCAGATTATGTGAATTCCTACGATGAGGAGGATTTCTGGACCAGAAATGGCCTCAACGCAAGGTCGTTCCAGAAGAAGCACTATGGCCTGGGATTGGTGGAGCTGGACCGGGCGATGAAGACTCGACACTTGCAGATGATTGCCATTGGAGGCTCTATCGGTGCCGGTTTCTTTGTTGGTTCTGGTGGTGCGCTGTCCAAAGGTGTAAGTTAATAGCTCGATTTATGGGAATGACAAGTTGGAGATGCTAACATGTTTGTTGTTTAGGGTCCGGCTTCCGTTCTCATCTGCTTCCTCCTCGTCGGTTTCATGGTCTTCAATGTCGGTAAGTCTCATGCCATTATAACCACCACCCTCAACAACAATCTTCACAAACCTGATACTTATAAATGCGAATAGTATATGCTCTTGGTGAACTTGCCATCATGTATCCCGTTTCCGGAGGTTTCTACACCTATGCCACCCGCTTCATCGACCCCTCATTCGGTTTCGCTGTCGGGTGGAATTACTTCTTCCTCTGGTTCGTCGTCTTACCGCTCGAGTTGACAGTATGCTCCCTCGTCATACAATATTGGAACCAGGATATCAGCGTCGGCGTGTGGATCACCATCTTCTGGGTCGCCATCATCATCATCAACGTCTTTGGAAGCATCGGTTATGCCGAAGAAGAGTTCTGGTCCTCGGTCATCAAACTCGCCGCCACCGTCGTCTTCATGATCATCTCCTTTGTTCTCGTGCTCGGCGGCGGTCCTTCACGCGGCAAATACAGCGAATATGTAGGAGCGCATTATTGGCATGACCCTGGCGCGTTCCGCAATGGCTTTCGCGGCTTCTGCTCCGTCTTTGTCACAGCGGCCTTCTCCTTCACTGGTACTGAGCTCGTCGGTCTCGCCGCAGCCGAGAGTCGCAACCCAGTCAAGTCACTTCCCAGCTCCATTAAGCAGGTGTTTTGGCGAATCACCTTGTTCTACGTGCTTGGTCTCTTCTTTGTTGGTCTTTTGGTTCCCTCGGACGACCCTAGACTGCTCTCCAGCGCGGCTTATACCGATGTTAAGGCATCGCCCTTTGTCCTCGTTGGACTCTATGCTGGTCTCACCGGCTTCGACCACTTCATGAACGCAGTCATCCTCATTTCCGTCATTTCCATTGGCGTTTCCAGCGTGTACGGCGGTTCGCGCACTCTAACCGCCATGGCGCAGCAGGGATACGCTCCCAAAGTCTTCACCTACATTGATCGCTCCGGCCGCTGTCTCCCGTCCACCATCGTCATGCTGCTTACTGGAGCCCTTGCCTACATCAACCTCAACGCCTCGGGACCTACTGTGTTCAACTGGCTGCAAGCACTCTCTGGACTTGCTGTTCTCTTCGCCTGGGCCGCCATCTGCCTGGCTCATATCCGTTTCCGCGCCGCGTGGAAGTATCACGGCCACTCTCTCGATGAAATCCCATTCCGAGCAATCTTTGGTGTCGCCGGATCCTGGATTGGGCTGTTCATCTGCTTCATCGTCTTTGCTGCTCAGGTATGTTACAGCCATCTGCTTAGTATATGTTTATTGAAACTAAACAATTTTCTAGTTCTTCACTGCCATTGCTCCTCCTGGACAGCACGGCCTCAACGATGCCGAGGGCTTCTTCCAATCATATCTTGCCCTTCCCATCGTCCTTGCTTTCTGGGTAGCTGGATATATCTGGAAGCGCACTGGTTGGTTGAAGCTTGAGCAGATCGATGTTGATACTGGCCGTCGTGACCTGAACTGGGATGAGATCCGCGCGTATCGCGAGCATGTCGCTGCTATGCCTTCATGGAAACGCATCTACTATCATCTATTCCAGTAATGGATGCCATAATGGCTACGTCTGGAACAGGTGGCCATAGCATGCCTATCAATTTACGTTTGATTATAGTACATTAATATTGAAGTATATATATATAACATGATGTTCATGATATTTCGAGCTCTCATTTGTCCGTTTTCTTTACATTGCGTCAAGGCCTCCGATTGTAGTCACGAAGGTCTCCACAGTAAGGCTACCACTTCAACAAACAAAATCCCCTTCAAAAAGATTCAAAAAAAAAATATCTTCACGAGAAACTCTTGAAGAACGGGTCTGGCCGGGGATTGAACCCGGGACCTCTCGCAAACAAGCTTCAGGGTTGTCCCTAAGCGAGAATCATACCACTAGACCACCAGACCGCTGATGATGCGAGGACCGTGCAGGTGTAATCGGCTCATCAACATTTGCAACCCGGTGACGATGCAAAAAGACAAGATGGAAGCAAGATCGAGGAAAAAGAAGGGTCTGGCCGGGGATTGAACCCGGGACCTCTCGCATATAAGCTGTAGGGTTTTCCCTAAGCGAGAATCATACCACTAGACCACCAGACCAGTTAGAACGACGATGATTCGCTGTTGAGAGGCGCCGTTCATAACTCACTCATGAACGTTGCAGAATGTCAGCCGCAATTGTGGACGGTGGATCGTGGATCTTGATGGTGGATTTAGAGCTCGAGTCAAGCATCGAAAAAATTTTTAAAGAATAGCAACAAGAGCTTTGAAGCGAGATCGGAGCAGACCGCGGTGGGGACCGTGCTCGGAGCACATGCATCACGGCGTCGTCCGCATCGGAAGCTGGTTTGGTTACATTGCTCCGTATTATGCTCCGAAGTGGATGGGATATTTCATTTTTCAAAATCTCTGCCGAATACGACCTTGAGAAGCAGGGAATCAGCAGTTGCGTGAGCTGTCAGCTTGATATGTACAATACGCTGCTCTAATAACTATGTACGAAACCTGTAATAGCTCTGGAAGGTGTGTTCCCGAATTCCATGTACATCATTAGCTGGCAAACGAGTTTGTGGTTCTCAACAATCAGGCGATGGAGTTGATGCCCATGTTCAATTCAATATGCTAAGCAAGCCACTAAACTAGCTGCATGACACATGCTAGCTTCTTGTCTTTTTTTTTTTTTTTAGAAGCCGTTGAAATGGTCCCTGTCTTGTCTAATTTCCACATCGCCTCCATCACCGTACTAGCTACAAGCCGCAGCCGCCTTCGTCTGATACGCTACCCTAGCATGATGGCAATCCCATCAGGCCATTGGATCAAACGAAACTAGTATGTAAATATGAGTCTTAGCACTGTCCTTTACGTTTTGACCAGCTTCTTCCCATAACTTTCATATACTAGCACGAGCGTGGGGGTCTTTCGGATGATGCCGCTATGCACCATGCCAGGGTGACGATCAAATCTTCGGATATGGTAGCCTCATAGAGCGTGGGTTGCCTAATGGCCTAGCTGTGAAGACGTAGACACTTCCATTCTTCTCATGAAGGTAATACTCAGTCCATCATAACCCAGTCTTGTTTTTGACTAGTCGCGCTATTATTGAGGACGCTACATCATGGAATAGAATATTGATCGCTTCCATTGGAGAGTCTGCTTTTATTTCGTCTTTTTGCTTCTATCAGATATAGTTTCGTATAATAAGGTTCCATAAATTTAATAGGAGATATTTTTGCCTTTACTTTATCGAAGCTAGACAGTTAAGAATGAGTTGACACTGAAAGAGGTTCGTGTAGAGCCTGTATCAAGTTTTATCAAGTTTTATCACAATGTTGCAAAACCTACAGTTAAGACGTGGAAAAGTAATGTGATAATATCACAGGCTCAAGTACCCTGCATTACAGCACTGTGAAGTCACATTGTATAGTAGACCAATACGTGCAAAAGACTCCTAGTTGCACAACTCCAATCAAAATACCCTGACGAAGATAGTTATTATGTCGTCACAATCACCTCTCTTTGATGATAATTGTATCGGCAATTGCAAACATATGATATAAGCCACTTCTCCGCTCGCAACGACGCACGATCTCTTTCCTAGGTTGATCCTAGAGAGCATTATAAAGACTATCAGCTGCATCCTAAAAGTAACAGGCATGGAAAGATAATTCGAGGGACTAAATAATGGAAATTTGCCAAGTACACCTCAATTTATGAGTCGCATTCTACAGCGCAGAGTATAGTCGTTGTTATCGCTGCGCAATGAGATGAAGTTGATTAGCGGAACAAGTGATTGAATGGAGCAAGCTGCACAAGGCTACTAATATCTTCTGCTGCATATCCTTGGAGAGTAATACAGTATTATGATGAAAATATAAATAAAAATTTCTTAGCTGCCAATCCAATTCATTTTGGCGCATTTGGCGTATTGAAAGGAGTTCAACTTCTGACACAGCACCGACAGGAGGGATCAAAATGAAGGTAGTCGTCGTTGCCAATTGGCGCGACAAGAGACTTTTATCCTCATTATCTTCCAAAGATCTTAGAGAAATGGCTTCAGTTTATAATAAATTTGACTCTAATATTTAATAATGCGCCAAACTTCAGAAACTTTAAAACTCTCATTCATTCATGCAGCATGAACACCTTGTAGAGCGAATTGCTCTCCGCTGAGCATACATGCGGCCCATACGTGCGGCTACTCAATTTGTCATTTTAATTCTCATTCCAATTGACCAGTTCTCTTAAACTGCATCTCAATTGGTAACGGTAGATTCTGTGTTCGATTTTGGTGGTTGTCTTTTAGGCGCGAGATCGGAAGATGCGGGGCGGACAAAAGTTTCTTATGGTCCGTGACTCACTACAGCTATTGAAGCTCGACTTCACATATTTCAATCGTCATTCCTGGCACCAAAACGCTCATTCATCAAAAATTAGCCAGGTGTAATTGACAATTGACAGATTATCACCAGTTATTAGAAACATGGCGTCCCCAGATCCGACAATTGATCTCCACTGGGGAGATTATCGTGGTGGTAGGATATTGCCATGCGCTTCATTTTCCTCATGTATAACATGTTCTGACTCTGATTTTAATAGCAATTCATGAAATATTTGCAAAGAATGCCAGGGCTTTCCCAGACAGAGAGTGTGTTGTCGAAACCAAGAGCTCACAAAAAAATGAGCGCTCTTTTACATATCGCCAAATCCATGAGGCGTCCAACCTACTAGCTCATCACTTTCTAAGCCATGGATGCAAGGTTGGAGATGTCGTCATGATATACGCTTACCGAGGGTTGGTACTCTCTGACTATCCTTCATTTGCTATTAGTTACTAATTGATCTTTCTGATAGCGTTGAACTCGTGGTGGCCTACATGGGTGCTCTCAAAGCTGGCGCGACTGTCAGTGTGATTGATCCACAGTATCCTCCTGAGCGCCAAACGGTGCTATTAGATGTCGCCAAGCCTAGATTCCTGGTCTGTATCGAAAAGGCAAACGAGGAGTTTGGCCCACCTTCTGACCTCGTCCTGAAATTTGCCTCGGACAACCTGAGCCTAAAGTCTACTATTCCAGCGCTCGAGCTGTTAGACAACGGCGAGCTGAGAGGGGGTTCTGTCAACGGCAAAGATTCTCTCGACCCCTCAGTATACAGCCGAGAGGACCCTGCCAATGTTCTCGTTGGACCCGACTCCATTCCTACTTTGAGTTTCACCAGTGGTTCGGAAGGAAGACCCAAGGTGAGACTCCTCATTCATCTAGGGGCATTATTCTGTCTTGATGATGGCCGCCCTTGGATCAGCAGATTCAACTTTGTAGGAGCGTGCTAATAGCATGAACAGGGTGTTCAAGGTCGCCATTTCTCTTTAACTCACTACTTCCCTTGGATGGCAGAAAGATTTGGCCTCTCAGATCAAGACAGGTTCACGATGCTTTCTGGAATTGCCCACGACCCAATCCAGGTGAGTCACCACTCGGTCTATTGTATCTATAGTCATAAAAATCTAACGACACACCTTGTATAGAGAGATATCTTCACACCACTTTTTCTTGGAGCCAAAATTATCATCCCACCGGTAGATGCGATTGCTTACGAGCTCCTGGCCGAATGGATGAAGGAGAACAGTGTAACTGTTACCCACCTGACCCCCGCGATGGGCCAGATTCTTGTTGGAGGCGCTACCGCTCAGATCCCCTCTCTTCGAAATGCCTTCTTTGTGGGCGATTTATTAACGAAGAAGGACGTGAACAAGCTGCGCAATCTTGCGCCCAACACCAGTGTCATCAATCTTTATGGATCGACAGAATCACAACGGGCGGTATCCTACTTTGAGATTCCAAGCAGGGCACGGGAGCCCCTAATCCTGGATACCTTGCCAGATATCATCCCGGTTGGCCAGGGCATGCAGAATGTTCAGCTATTGGTCGTAGATCGCGACGATCGGTCTCGACTGTGCCAAGTTGGCGAGCAAGGAGAGCTCTTCATTCGAGCAGCCGGTCTTTCAGAGGGATACCTGGGAGATGACGAAAAGACCGCGTCTCTAAACAGCTCCAAGTTCCTTCTCAACTGGTTTGTCGACCCGACCATCTGGGCTCAGCAGGAAAATGGTACGAGTGCCGCCGAGGCTTACAAGCCATGGGGCTACAAGGGACCGCGAGATCGCCTGTACAGAACCGGTGACCTTGGCCGGCGCCGTGAAGATGGAAGTGTAGAGTGCACAGGAAGAATTGATTCTCAGGTCAAGATCCGCGGTTTCCGCATCGAGCTGGGAGAAATCGATACACATCTTTCACAGCATCCCTTTGTTCGCGAAAACGTCACTCTAGTCCGGAGAGACAAGGACGAAGAGCATACACTCGTCACATATTTTGTCCCGGAGACAAAGCGCTGGTTCCAGCACGTTCAAAAGGAAAGTGGTCAACTGGAGCCGGAGTCACAAGATGAGTCGATGGGTCAAATGCTTCGAAAGTTCAAGTCGCTTTCTGAAGACTGCAAGAAGTATCTCGCTACCAAGGTCCCCAAATATGCCGTTCCTAGCCTCTTTATTCCTCTGGCTCGGATGCCATTGAGTAAGTCTTTTCCTCTCTCTTCTTTTCAATCAATAAAGATGCTTTAATCCGTGACTAACAGTACAACTTTTCAAAGATCCTAATGGAAAGATTGATAGACCTGCACTTCCGTTCCCTGACGCTGCGGATCTCAGCTTCCTAGCGAAGCGACGAGCCTCGTCCGTATCTGTCAACTTGACACCTACGCAGACTCGCCTAGCTTTAATCTGGGCATCTGTGCTTCCAAACACCTCAGCAAGAATGTTTAGACCGAGCTCCAACTTTTTTAAAGAAGGAGGACATTCTATTCTTGCACAGCAAATGTTTTTCAGCCTTACCAAGGAATGGAAGGACATCAACCTGCCGATCAAGGTGATATTCCAATCTCAGACTCTCGAGGCTCTTGCTGCAGAGATCGACCGTGCTCAGGATCCCATCGGCCTGCGCCTGGATGCCATGCCCCTTGATGGAGACAAGAATGTCGAGGACGAGGCGTATGCCACCGACGCAAGAGACCTCACAAACAAAATCCCCAAGTCTATTCCCACAGCAGGTGCAGTCACCTCACCTCGTGTTCTTCTAACCGGCGCCACTGGTTTCCTAGGCTCATATATTGTGCGCGAGCTCCTTGAGGGCCCTACCAAGGCCAATGTCATCGCTCTCGTACGAGCCAAGGATCAGGCAGATGGTCTCGTTCGACTGGAAAAGGTAATGAAGGCCTATGGCTTATGGTCTCAGGAGTGGGTTACTTCTTCCAGGCTTGAAGTCGTGGTTGGAGATTTTGGCAGGCCGCAGCTTGGCCTTTCCCAGGACATTTGGGCTCGCCTTTCCACAGAAGTCGATGCTATCATCCACAACGGCGCCCAGGTCAACTGGATGTTGCCATACTCAAGTCTTCGATCAGCCAACGTGCTTAGCACACTGGCCTGCATTCAGCTTTGCGCCACGGGAAAGGCCAAGAGGCTGGCATTTGTCAGCTCAACCTCGACACTGGATAATGACCATTACGTGGAGATCTCCAAGAAGGCCGGTGCCGTAATGGAAGCAGACGACCTTGAGGGAAGCCGCAAGGGCCTTGCCACCGGATACGGACAGTCCAAGTGGGCAAGTGAGCTTCTGGTTCGTGAGGCCGGCCTTCGTGGCCTGGCTGGTGCCGTCATCCGTCCTGGTTATATCACGGCCGATCCAGCATCCGGAATTTCCGTTACAGACGACTTCCTCGTTCGACTATGGAAGGGATCATTGCAAGTCGGTGGACGCCCAGACATTACCAATACGCTCAACGCCGTGCCAGTCACGCAGGTCAGCCGTATCGTGGTGTCATCTGCGTTCCATCTCTCTACGGCGACCGGACAGTCTATAGCTGTGGCCCAAGTCACCAGCCACCCGCGTTTGACGCTCAACGACTGGATTGGCGCCCTGGAGGTCTATGGCTATGAGGCCCCCATTATGCCGTACCCAGAGTGGTCCGCAAGGATCAAGGAGTATGTCAGCGACGATACCAAGGAGGAGCCTCACGCTCTGCTGCCCCTCTTCCACTTTGTCGTTGGAGACTTGCCCGGCAACTCCATTGCGCCAGAGCTGGATGACGCCAATGCCCTGGCGGCGTTGAAGCTCTACGAAGAGGAGTCAAATGTCTCTCATGCTGTGGATGTTGAGTCGCTCGGCACGTATTTGGCGTATCTAGTTGCTATTGGATTTCTACCTCCCCCAACTGGGGGCGGCAAGACTGCATTGCCAAAGCTAGACTTGGCTGCGTCGCAGATCTCAGCTGCCAGTAGCTTTGGAGGCAGATCTGCCAAGCCGTAAAGGTAACTCGGAAACTGAAAAAAAAAAAAAAATAAGAAAAAGAAGAAAGGAAGAAAATACCAGTGTAGGGACAAAAGCATTGTATAACATTTTTGGAGATTGCTATAGAGCAAGAATCCGTGGTGAAGGCATCTTTAATAATTGAGGTATCTTCATGACCAAAACGTCTTCTGTATTGGAAGGTTTGCGCATCTAAAACAATACATGAGGCTAAAATTTTCCCTGTGTCTGTGATAGGTCTTGTGTTTGTTTATCATCAAGACACCCGCAGTGCTTTTGGTGTAAGTGGCCAAGATGTGGTTTTGGTATATCGATAATGCAGTTTCTAGTCGACAGTTCTTACATCATGATAATGACTTGAATCCATTGGGCCCACCCAGATTCGATGCTGAAAATTTTTAATGAAATGTACATTCTCCTCGTATCATTATTATCGGGTTTACAGCTAAGAACTGAATATTCCAGGTTATTCTGAGACGCTTGTTGCATAGGTACTGCCTTCAAAATGTTCTTATCCAGCAACTGATATCGCTTAATTCCCGGCTAAATCTCCAATCTTACGTCACACCTCCCAAAACGACGCCCACAAGCAGCACTCAGCGCGGCATCGGCAAAAGTGAGCCTCCGGGTCTCGGGTTTTCATTGGCCCATGTCGCTCTGGCAGCGCCAGCAGCAGCAGCTCAGGAAAAAAAGTGGGCAGAGCCAGAGCAGAGCAGAGCAGCCTTGCCCGGCGCCTCTGCGCTTCTGCCGGTTCTCCTCGTCGTGGGCCAATTTGCTCCTCCTCCAACGCTTCTGGCGCATGACACAAGCCTCGAAGTCTGCTGTGCGAGGCCCATCTCTATGACGCCGCCTCCTGTGCGCTAGACGACGAACCAGCCGCTGCCACGAATACATCTGCTCCGCCAGACTCTCGCCTCGTCGAATCTCGTGCTCGCCGTCGGCCTTCTCTTTCCTACGCAGCTCTGCCCTCGTCAGCGGCCGGCCGGGCTCGGAATCTGCTCATCATGGCGTCGCAGCAGGTGCTCTTCGCCGAGACCATCGCCGGCATGAAGAAGGCCTTCAAACGGAGGGCTTATGGTGAGCTCCCTGCAGACGTTTGACGCTCGTTGCCGGCTGAATCACGCTAACCCGGTCGCCTCACCCACAGAATCCGATTCTGACTCCGAGATCGAAAGCTTCACCAACCGCGGCAACAAACTTAAGAAGAGGGCGCGTTTCGCACACAAGGGCCAATTGATGCCCACGGCAGGACCCGGCGCTTACAAAGAGGTACCACCTACTGAGTCTCAGCTGGGCGAGGCGCGATGGCTAATCTGACACAGGCCGTGGATTACGCCGGTGTGCGAAGGTCCATCATCCATCGCAATTCTCCCTTGGTCGACGACGACGGCTACGAATTCGATAGCGACGATGACGACGCCCGCGTCGAAGAGGCCATACTCTCAGCCGCCGAGCTGGATCCGTATGCAAACATTCGCCTAGAACGTATGATTCGCGAAAAATCCGCTGGGACAGGGCCGCGCTAACTTTGACAGACATCCTTGCGCCGCTTACTGCCTCAACCGACCTGCCAATCCACCCCGTCTTCTCCAAGCCCTTCACCTCCAATACTCTGACAGAACTAGTCAAGCAGAGTTCTCGCATAATGCAAAAGGAAAACCGGTCGCTATGGCAGGTTCGACACTTGTGGACCTCTCTGTGTGGTGACTCCACTTGGGTGCCGTGTTCAACCATGGTCGGCACGAACGATATCGATTTTTATATTGAAAAAAGCACTGCTCGCCAGTCTCAAGATTCCACAAAGATGGGCGAGGAGGCGTCTTCACCTGCCAATCTAAATGGCGAGACCAGCAAAACCGATACCTCTGGAGTTCGGGCGACAAACGAATCAAAAGCATCGAGTGAACACGGCGCTGCCATCTCGGCAGACGCCGATATGCCCATGGACGATGCTAATGCACCAGAGAAGAGGAAGACACCTCCCAGGCAAGATGTGGATATGATGGAAACAGACGACGGAGCTTCCAAAGAACAACCTAGAGCAATGGACGTGAAGAAGGAAAATGGTAAAGACGCAGCCAATGGAGATGCAGCGAAACTTACAAATGGCGGAGAGTCATCGACTGAAACTGCGAGTCAAGGTCGTAAGAAGGGAAGCCGTCTGCCCAGCGAAGACGTGCATATGCAAGATGGTGGTGAAGCAGCAAACGAAGCCTCCCATAATGGCGTCGAGGCCAACCAGTCCTATATCCACCCAATGTTCATACCTCCCCCAAATGCCGCGCTCGACCGAAACCTTGGCTTACCCGACAACGAAGCCGAAGACATGAGGAAGCTTTTATCCCTATACGTGCAGAAGCAAGAAGAGGTCTGTCGAGGAGCTGCCAGGCTCCACCTGGGCTTGCTAAGAGCTCAAAGGCTTCGCAAAGACGTGCTGCATTGGTCGAAAGCAGAGGCACACTCTGGACCAAACCGAGACATGTCAGATGGCGAAGACTGGTACGACAAGGAAGAATGGGGCCTGACAGAGGACCTCAAGAAGGGCCAAGACGAGGAAGAGGAAGATACTGCCACTACAGGGAAGAAGACGAGAAACAGGCGATAAACATGTCACTATGGGCGGCGTTTTTCAAGGCGTTTATGGGGGGAAGGGAAGGGGTAATACTACCAAACCAGCCACAAACCGTGGATGAGCTGATGATGACGATTTCTATATTGTGAGGGACCCCAAATGGATTTATAGATACCACATACTGGCCCAGTGTACCGACTGGATGAATATAGGGCCTCGTCCTCGATGCTGGGAGCGCGGGAGAGGGGCGAAGGGCAATGGACTTTTTGTTGGATGCTTGGGCACGCGAGCTATTTTTGTTTTCCTATTCTGCTATTATTCAGCCAGTCTCATACATACATACCTGTAGCCCGTGTATTTTCTAGGATTAGCGGCTGCATTCCCCTTGGCTTTCTTCTAGGTTAGTTCTTATACGGAGTAGCGGGATTCTCCTGATGGATTTTTTTTTCTTAGCCAGCCCTATCATTTTCCCGTTGGCAGACGCGGCTGTTGTCGGGGGCTTAGTTGGAGTTGACAATTTGCTTGTGACAGACGCCAATTTTGTTGAGGCCCCATCTAAGAGACCACGCATGAACCAATCCCCGCATCCGAAGGGCTCAAACAGCTGCCAGCCATTCCGAGCAGGGCAATGACGCTATGAGCTTGCAGCTTTCTAATTCTCTGGGATTGGATGGATGCGGAATTCGGAGCAATAGACGCCACGTTTCCTTCTTGTCTCGCCTGTAACTGAGTACGGCTTTCTAACGTCTTTTTCTTTCTGCTTTCCTTTTTTTCCCCCTTTCTCCACGTGTGGTTGTTTACTTTCCCAAAGCTACCTACACACCCAAACTCGCAATGGCGTCATCATTCAGCATCACAGACCTGGTCGACTATGTCGATCTGGACAAGAAGAGTCTGTTGAGTACGTGAACAAAGCTTTTCTGGAGGGTGAATGAATGTGTCTAATACGATGATTCGCGCATCAAAATAGTCTCAGCAGGGTCAATCATTTTTAATCCGCTGTTCTGGAAGTAAGAGGCGACACCCGTCCCAGTCCTCTTTCACATGCAATTGAATTGAGCTTTTGTTTACTGACGCATTCTGTCTGCAGCATTGTTGCCCGTCAAGGTTCGAAATAAATCTCTCGCAATCGGTGAATCGCATAAACAAAAACTGACAATCATGAACCAATTCCCACAGAGTATCATAACAAGATCCTCACACGGCTATTTGGCGGTAACAACTACACCGCCTGCTATGCGCTCGCAATCACAATCTTCTCGCTCGGCCTCGTCCGCGACTCGCTGTTCAAGGCCGCCCTGGAGGACCAGCCGTCGCACCCGCTGCTGACGACGCTCTTCTCGCAAGTAGCCGGATACGCGCTCTTCGCCTCGGGCATGGTCCTCGTCGTCTCGTCGACGTGGCGGCTGGGCATCACGGGAACGTTCCTGGGCGACTACTGCGGCATCCTGATGGACGAGATGGTGACGGGCTTTCCCTTCAACGTGACCTCGGCGCCGATGTACTGGGGCTCGACGATGAGCTTTCTAGGCACTTCGCTTGCGTACGGAAAGCCGGCTGGTATTGCCTTGACGCTTCTTGTGCTGGTTGTGTATGTCGTTGCGCTGCGATATGAGGATCCGTTTACGGCTGGGATTTATGCCAAGCGTGAGCGCGAGCGGGCTGCGGCCAAGGAGGGCAAGAAGCAGAAATGATTTTTGGGTACTGTTCGGATCCAGATTTGACTGCCGGTGTATTCAATTGTACGAGTAGTATTGGAGTGTTGAGCGTTGCGTCGTATTAGAGAGGGGGGGCTAGGACAGGACCGAGGAGAGCAGATTTCTCGGCGGTGGCATCTGACATTTTAGCATGGCGTTTTGGGCAACTACCGAGAGAAGAGGAAACCAAAACAAGTCTTTCAACAGACTCAAATGCAGTTTGTTAGAGGAGGATAAGGGGGAGTTTTATCATTTACATGGAGAAAAAAGATTGGGAATTCCACATATACCACTGGATGGATGGGCCGTCAAGGCCAAGGCTTGAGGGACAAATCATATTCCAAGGCATGTTTTTTATAGCTTGATGAACTTGAACGTTTTATACTGGCATAAAAGTTTTTAATTCAATTAGCCATGACTTTGATGTTTGAGGCTGTAATAGATGGGCATGAATTGGCAGGACGGACCCGAGAGTCGTATTCCGAACCGAACACCGGGATAAGCCCGACGAGCTTTCTTCACCACTGACAGAATTTGAGTTATTATTCAATGTAGCACCGGCTATAGTGTCCTTTAATAGCACTGCATACTTCTTTTGCAAGCATTCACGCATTTTCGTTTACCGTGATTGACAATGGCTGTGATGATGTAACGATCGCTAAATAGTAGCATCTCGGCTTAGCGAACAGCCGGCCAGGCGCGGGTGCCAGCCAAGTCTGGGGAACCGAGACGCCAAAAAGTGCAAAGCCCATCTGACCTGCACCGCCAGAAGAGAATCAAGCTAAGAGGACCCGGATGGCCTCCACCCGCAAAATAGAGCAGATAAACCTTCCGGGGAAACCCGGTGTAAGAGGAGGCGGGGGGCCAAAATTGGGTTCAGGTGGTATATTTTCGTTTTAGCAGGGGCTTGCAAGCGTTTGCATCGTTTATACGGAGGATATGCGTCATGATTGAGGCATTGGTGCCTTTGGTCCGTGATTCTATGTAGAATGGCTCAGCACCGTTTACGAGAATTCGAGAATTCGAGAATTATTGGGCTGCTCAGCTTCAACAGCTGTCCTACTTGCATCCTGTGTAATGAGACATTGACAGCTCGTCGGCTGCAGCACGAAAAAGAGATAAGCTCTTGGCTAGCCTTTTGGTGCTTGGCAGGGCGTTCGTTTTCCGGACCATTTCATGTGATTCACGGGCTGAAGCCACTTTGCCAGCATTCCTTGCGTCGCCGAGGCGGATCACACCGGCCGGGAGCATTTCCATCCACCGTGCACGACAAGTCTTGCATTCTCGGGACTTGGGGTCCAGATATACATGCATCCTCACGAAGACGAAAGAAAAGAGAATATCGGATGAATTTATCCATCAAAGGTGTCTTGGGTGTTTTACTAAACCAGAACTCGGGCCGCGCACCGGATCCAGGTCTATCCGGGCAGAGTCGGGGGGCTTAGAGAACCGATGCCGTAACTGATTCTGTGGCCCTTCCCGAACGGACGGACCTCCTTAGAATTCGTTCTGCTAGTTTCACGAAACTTCTTATAGATCGCCACACGTCTCTCTCAAATCTCACTTCTCTCCACATCCAGGCTTTTCAAACAGAACAAGGCCAAGAAGAAGAAGAAACGGGAAATCAAAATCGGTTTCATGAGGACATGTCTAGGCCACATCCAGCAAACAGCACAAACACGAGCCATCTGTCCCTATCCGGCCAACTTTTGACCTCCGAAAACGCCAAGTCAGCTCAGCCGGGCTCCACTTCTGTCCTTCGAAGAAAAAACTTCCAGGGAGGTTGTTTGAGGCAGTGACCTCTGGATAAAAAGAATTTCAATTCCGTCGACTCCGAATCCTGCATCTCGTATCTCTTGTTTGCCTGTTTTCCTCTGGGGTTATGCTGGGACGCTGCATTGGCGCTGCGCGACTCCGTCACCGCTGTCGTTTGGCTGTCTGATTCATAGGCCAAGACAAGTGGAAAGGCGTTTGTTTCAAGGGAAGAAAAAAAAAAAAGAAAAATTGAGCTTCAAAGGGCGCGTCAGCTGAAAATTGGTCGAAATATTTGGTGCTGCTTTTTTTTTTTTTGCATTTTTTTTTAAATCTGTTTTTTTCGGTCTACTCTGACAGTAGCGAAACACCAACCTGCAGCCACAAGTAAGAGCCATGGACAGGATATCAAACACTCCAGGCGGCGACGCCAGTGCCGCAGACGACTCAATTGGCGCTCAAGCATCGCCGCCAGCAGTTTCGTTCCAAGGAAAGAACGCCGACAGCAAAGATCAGAGCGCGCACATCGCCGCAGGCATCATGCTTGCGTCGGTTGGCGACGACCAGGATCGCAACTCTGTCACGACATCAAACGGGCGGGGTTCGAGGACAGGGGACGGGACGCGGCTCGCGAGGCTGAAGCATGTCTTGATCACGTTTGGCAGGTTCGTGGGGCCTGGGTTCATGGTGTCTGTTGCGTACAGTAAGTTTCATCTCTGGGGAGAGTCATGGGTGACTCAGACTTCCCCTACGATATATCCCCTGATATGAGAACTGCAAGTTGATTTGCTGACTTTGATTCTTATAGTCGATCCTGGAAACTACTCCACCGACATCGCTGCGGGCTCCTCCTACCGCTTCAAGCTCCTGTTCGTCGTCCTGCTGAGCAATCTCTTTGCCATCCTCCTACAGAGCCTCGCCATTCAGCTTGGTACTGTCACTGGTCTGGATCTCGCAGAGGCATGTCGCGCCTATCTGCCGCGATGGCTCAACTACTTCCTCTACGCGCTGGCAGAAGTGGCCATCATCGCTACTGACATTGCCGAGGTATGAAATATTGAATAATCCATTCGTAAATCCTGAGCACTCATATGCTGACACTCCTCCTCTAGGTCATTGGAACGGCCATTGCGCTGAACCTCCTTATCCCCAAACTTCCTCTTGTTGCGGGCTGCGCCCTCTCCATCCTCGACGTCATGGCCATCCTCATCTTTTACCGCCCAGACGGCTCCATGAAAGGCCTCCGCATCTTTGAGTTCTTCGTCCTCTTCTTGGTCATGGGCGTCGTCGTCTGCTTTTGCATCCAGCTCTCGCTGATCAAGCACACCAGCGTCGGGGAGGTCTTCAAGGGCTATCTCCCCTCCAGCGCCATTGTCCAATCCAATGGCTTGTACCAGGCCTGCGGCATTCTCGGGGCCACTGTGATGCCCCACAGCTTATACCTTGGGTCGGGCATCGTCAAGCCCCGGCTGAGGGACTATGATGCGAGACACGGCCTCATGCCCCAGGATCCCGTGTCGGCAGCGTCGTCGACCATTGATGAGAGCTACGATAAGGTCGTGTACATTCCGTCTCTCGCAGCGATCAAGCACTCGCTCAAATATTCCATTGCCGAGCTCTCGCTGTCGCTCTTCACCTTTGCGCTCTTTGTAAACTCGGCCATCCTCATCGTTGCTGGCGCCTCACTATACGGGAATCCCGACGCCCTCACCGCAGACATTTTCGGCATTCATCGTCTGCTCTCCAACAGCATCTCGTCTGGGGCCGGAACCATCTTTGCCCTGGCCCTCTTACTCTCGGGTATTTCAGCCGGCATCGTGTGCACCATTGCGGGCCAGATGGTCAGCGAGGGCGCTCTGCGATGGAAGATGAAGCCTTGGCTGCGACGCCTCATGACGAGGTCCATCAGCATCACCCCTTCCATCATCATCGCCGGAGCAGTTGGACAGGTGGGCCTGGACAAGGCCCTCAACGCCTCGCAGGTGGTTCTCAGCACGGTGCTGCCCTTTGTCACATTCCCGCTCATCTACTTCACTGCGCGATCCCAGTACATGACAGTGCAGCCGGGCCGAGCTCGGCTTCAATTTGAATCAAGGGGAGAAGACGGAGAGGCGGTTCGCGAGCCAGGGATAGACATGTCCAACGGCTGGATTCTCATTATTGTGAGCGCCCTTGTTTGGCTACTGATTGCGGTAATGAATGTCGCAAATTTGGTATTGTTGGGGCTGGGCAATTCATAGTGAATTCGCCCGCAGCTGACGTTTAATTTTCTTTTCTCTTCATTTTCTTCGTCTTTGTCCTTTGAGAGCACATTCCATAGCGAGTTAGAGCTAGACCACGATGCTGCGAGAGCTCAATAGCTCTTGGCAAGATACTTTGTTTATATAGCAAGCAGATGACCTGTATTTACGGATGAGAACATGGCGTGATGGAGGAGGGCTGTCAGCATTCATCGGCGTATAGTAGATATATATATATATATATTGAGAGACTGTTTGACTGTTACTCGTACATTACTCGTGAATACAATATATATATCAATAGCTGATCTCGCCATGATGTGAATAAACTGAGCTAGAAAAGTACCTGCATATTCAGTTAATGCTGACCGCTATCGCCGCCATCACAGCTACTCCGGGCACCGCTATCGCAGCTACTGGAGACTTTGCCTTCCAAATCAAGACATTGATCCGCTGCGAAATTGCAGAATTATGGAAACACGAGCCAGACTACAGTTTAGAATCGGCCGACACAAAGACTACAGTACAAAGAAAAAAGACCCCCTAAAAAAAAGCGACGTCACTTATGCCCCCACCGCGCCTATGGCGAAACAGCAGCAGCCCCGCGTTTGTCCAAAGCGAGCCCAGCAAAAGGGTCGCTTTCTGCATCTCCGTGCTACCAAAAGACGCAGCAACAACGACAGACTGTCTTTCAGCTTGTGCCCGTCTTTGTGGCGATTGAGGCAGTAGATTTTGGATATCACGACGAATCAAGAGGCGCTGTTTGATTGCATTGCGCGAGATATCAGGCGCTGGGAAAGCTTGTCGTCTTTCAGCTGAGCTTCTTTGCGAACGTGGCGCTCAAGATTGGAGCTATCGAGGCTGAGTTGCGAAGCTTGTTCAGCCTCGTACACCGTATTCTCGATCGGCAGAACATTCCTTCTAGAAGCAAAATCTTCACCTCCAAGGCACGGCCAGCGACGAACTTGCCCATCCCTACCTGCGCGGCCAACTGAGCTTCATCTCTGCCGCCCAGCATGTTCCAGCCAGTACGATATACACCTATATCCGCTACGAGAGCTCTCCCTCGCTCTGCTCCTTCAGCCTTTCCAAGATGCTCTGCTAATGCCCCATTTCCAGAAGAAGCCCTACTCCGCCGTCACGGTCACCATCGAGACGCTCACGTCCGAGGCCTACCAAGAGGACGACGTCGGCGGCATCCCCGACCTCGTCGAAGTCATCACCATCCAGGCCTCTGGCCCCACCGAGGCCGCGCGCGCCATCCGCAAGAAGCTCAAGTACGGCAACGTGCACCGCCAGATCCGCGCCCTGGTCCTGCTCGACGGCCTGATCCAGAATGCCGGCCCGCGCTTCCAGCGAACCTTTGCGGACGAGCCCCTGCTGGAGCGCCTGCGAGTCTGCGGCACGTCTGACCTGTCCGACCCGGAGGTGAGGAAGAAGTGCAGGGAGCTGTTCAGCAGCTGGTCCCAGTACTCGAGCACGCCTGGTCTGGAGAGGATCGCTCGACTGCACAAGGAGCTGCCGAAGCGCAAGGTTGGCGTCACGCAGGAGAGGTCAAAGGTGTTGAAGGAGACGGAGAACCCCTTTGGCGACGAAGAGGACGACGAGCCGACTTCGCCCAAGCCTTCCCACGCCGCTGGACCGTCGTCGTCGTCCCATAACCGTTCGGCGCATAGCCGCGAAGGATCGGCAGTCAACTCGCTCAAACACCAACAGGCGTCCTCGCTGTCCCTGTCCAGCGGCGGATCCATATTCGGCAGCAGCTCTTCTAGCTCCGACAAGAAGAAGAAGAGCAGCAGCGGCAAGTCCAAGGGCAAGAAGAAGCCGTTTAATCTAGAAGCAGAAAAGGAGCAGATGAAGTCTGTCATCGCCGAGTCGTCGCTAGCAGCTACAAACCTGGGCAACGTGCTGCAGACCATTAACCGTGAGAAGGAGCGGATTTCTGAAAATAACCTGGCTGTGGAGAGATTTGAATCCTGCAAGCTGCTCCGTAGGAAGGTGTTGCGCTACGTATGTCACCAGATATTCACTTTCAAAAATATGTCATTCCTGCTGGAGAGAGGAGTATACTATTTAAATTGTCTGCTTGCTAACCACCCGTGGATACTAGATTCATCATGTCGATCACGAACAGTGGCTTGGCCCTCTCCTCCATGCCAACGATGAATTGGTTCACGCTCTCATGACATTTGAGCAGCTAGACCAGTCTGTCGACGCTGACAGTGACTCTGACGACGAACTCGCCGAACAAGCTCACTTATACCGAAGTAAGAACTGATTTCTCATCTAACCTAACATATTTTTCCCTTCATTTCATCCTCTCTGGACTGATCTAACCGACTTCATTCGTAAAACAGTGGCCGCCTTGAAAGGAAAAGAAGAACAGGCCGCCAAAGACGGTACCACCTCCCCAACCCGAGCCGAGCACCCTGACATCGCCGGCCTGAGCATCAACTCCTCACCAAGACAGACTCCGCCGCCCCGGCCATCTGCCAAGCCGGCCTTTTCAGCACCCCCTATTCCACCGCCGCTGCCTTCGAACCCGCGACCGGCAGTGCAGGAGAGGCAGGATTCCTACCAGTCAGAGGAAGAGGACGAAGACGATCCGTTTGCGGACAGGAACGCTATGTGAAGGATTATTTTTATCGAGGTGTCTCTTTGCGAAAGAAAGAAAAAAAAAATGTGTGCAAACTTTCATCTATTCGTCGTTCTGATATCCCCTCTGTTGCTTGGGTCCTTGTTTTTCTTCTTCTTCATCTTCTTCTTCTTCTTCTTTTCTTGGATTAATTTTCTTCTTCGTTTTCGATTTGCTCTTTGGAGAACAGATGTTGCTGGTATGAAAGTCTTATGGTTGGCGATTTGATTGAAGCGAGCAAATCGAATGATTCATGAGATCATGATATCAGGTATTTAGATTTTGCGTGTCATTTGGGTTCAGTTGGAAATATTATGATAAATAGTTGGAAATACTACAAAAATATGCTCAACTTTTCCTCTTTAATCTCTTGTCTTTCATGAATCTGATTCACAAACTTACAGTGTTTACGAGTAATGGTAGGTCAAGATGCGTTTCCCCTGACTCAGCATTGAGTGATGGATCTACTCCTCATCCCTCTGCTTCGTGAAATACACATGGCGAACTGCTTTGGAATCAACAACTATCTTCTAAGAAGCATTGTGGTCTACTTTTGTCACGAGGGATATCTACAAGTACAACTAGATCCTTCGAGTTTCACTAAGTGTAGAATGGTATGATGGAGCCAACATCCATTGTAAGATCCCTCTACATCTCGCCCCAAAATCATCTTAGGCATGCAGACTACAAACGTCATACGCGTCCAGAGCTACAAATACGCAAATCTCATTTCGAAATCGCCCCCTTGAGAAAAAAAAGCGTCAAACAGGCTTCAGGGTAGCCCCATCTACTAATGCACTCAACATGTGCTCACCAAAAACCAGCTCAAGCGATAAAAAGCTCATGTGATGCAGTATTTCTTTGACATCAATAAGTTTGCACCGAAAGTGGAACCATGTCTCCAACTCTCAATTCTCTCAGAGACCCAACTCAAACCATTCACCCCCGGCATCGAGAGTATAAAGAGAAACAAGAGGGGATCTACCCTCAAGGTGCATGCCTCTTCGCTATTTGCTAGAAAATGAGCCAATAGAAGACAAAAAGATGGCCCAATCGCGCACGAACCAACAGCCCACCTTTGTTCGGAGACTTTTTCTGATACGTAAACTTGCCATCTTAGAGAGGGGTGTCCATTTGTTTTCCTCTCTCTCTCACTGCGTGCAACACCTTTTTTCTCTTCCTCAATGGGCGGTCTAAATAGGCGCTCCCGGCGTTTGCTCAATGTACTCGGCGTTAGCCTGATCCGCCGCCGTTGGATCTTCCGATGGACTACATTCAACTAGACACAGTCAGCAGCCATGGAGCGATCCCTCATCGTGGCCGTCAGAAGACGCTAGCCAGGTGGCTAAGTGTATATCGTACAAAGAAAAGTACGAGACATCCCTGATGTCCGCTTATTTTTGGAAGTGTCACCATTAGGGCAGCTGGAAGATGGCAACGCCATGGCAGTTTGTCCTACGACTGCTGCTGCTGCTGCTGCTGCTGCTGCCTGTATTGAGTTTGGATGACAGCCGTAGGGCATATTAGGCAGCAACCTCACATGCCCGCTGCCTGTATTGAACAAAGGGCTCCATCAGCAAACAATCAAACATTGCTATTAGGGCCAGCCGAGGGGATTCCAAAAGGCAAACTGTGTACCCCATCGAGGACGAAAGTAGCTCCAATAATACGAGCCATCGTTTCAAAGACATTGAGTACCTACCTACTTGGATGGCGAGAATTGCAACAAGATCTGCCATTCGACGTTGGAAAAAGCAACGCACATCGAGTCTGCAAAGTACCGGGAATATGTGCACGATCTCTGGTAATGCCACGAGGCAAGACGGGTTTTGCCGCTGCTCCCCCCGGACGGGAGATTGAAGCTCAGGACAGAGAAGGGATCAAGCAAGTGTCATCAGCGCCTGGTAAATTGGCTGTCCCGAGTCTTCGTGCCAGACGAAGCGCTGTGAAACATGACACTGCGGTCGAACAAAGCGTCTGCTGCCACATGGTGTCGTGTGCTCTCCAGGGCAGTACCGCATCCAGGTGTCCCCTTTCTGACGTTTCCGGAAGCATGGGGGCCGCACGGAGTTGCCGGGACTCATAGCTGGCTCTGTTTGTTGGGTAACCCGAAATAGACGGTGCAAGGATGCGAGGGTAGTCAGCACTCATCATCCCATCGGGTTCCAAGCTGCTGGATGCTTAGGAAACAGAGAACGAGATGGCGTTCAAGGCACCACTGTCCCTATCTTGTGAGCGATAGAAGCTGTAGCGATTGGAACCTCTTCCTCCCCCCTCCCCCTCCCTCCCTCTTTCTGCTCCATCGACGCCATCATCCATAATGAGCGTTGATTGGGCATTCTAGTTTCATTAAGCGATCAATGCTAGCCTTTGCAGCGAATAGGTGGTGAGGATCTGTGTGTATACTTGGAACTAGGATGAAGCCACCGAATGTACGGAGTACTCCGTGCGCCTTGGACAAAATCCGGACCCAGTTGACAATAGCAACAGCTAGTCACCGGATTGGGCCTAAAGCATTGTTAATATGGCCCTGATCTGCTGCCCCAAGCTTCTCCCCGAGAATTCTCAACGCTAAAGGCGCCTTGCGTGTACAACAAAACGTTGTGTCCTAGCGGTTTTGAGTGACCGGGGTTCACGGCGGTTAGTACGTATTTTAGCTTGCAATTCAACATGCTGCTACCAACAGCATTCTTTTGAACAAACTCAAAGGAAAGCCAAGCCAAGTAGGTGTTGTTGGTGGCGCTTTTGTCAGAAACTCGGCCTGTGGGAATTTCCCTCTCCCTCTGCTTGTTTATTTGCCATGTCCAGTTGAGGGGACAGGTCTTTGGGCTGATTGGTTCACAGTCTGTCGAAATGTCAATGACGCGCCGTCCTGCGCGCTGATGCTAATATTATCCGTCCGCCGAAAAACGGCTGCAACTTACCGTGCAGATCAGCTGTTGAAGTACTTAATATATTATCCTGGCCTCTGATTTGTGGCGACTGGGGGCAGCATGCGTGATGGCCAGTCGTTTGTTTCATCTGCGTGGTTTCAAGATTAAAAGTCTGTAGTGCGACATATTCCTTGCATGCCACCAGCCATTTTGAGCGCGCCATGCGTCCGTGGCTTGCAAGGTTGTGTATAGTGTTAGGAGGCTCATCGGATATCGCGATCCAAAAGCTAAGATGAGCCTTGGAGAGGGGTGTCTGCAAAGTGTGGAACATGCCGTGGTATGCAGGTATTTTTGGTTCATGATCAATTTCCTACACGCTAATGTCGAGGCTGTTGAATGCAATTTCTCGGCGAATCGTCGTTTGCTGTACCAAGTGCCATGAGCTAGAAAGCTGGCGAGCCGCAACGTCCCGATGAAAGAATGAAGTGACGGCATTGTAGGCCTGTTGATCGTCCATCGCGCAGGTGACCTTTTGTGTAGCGATGCCTAGTGCTACGGGCAGCTGTGAGGACTTTTTTCCCTCACGAATGGAGTGGGTGGTCAGCCAGCTGAATTGCTTGGACCGATCTGTCACTTGTGTCCCCTTGAATGTTGATGAATCATTTCGAGTTGGTGCAGCTTTGTTTCTCACCACACGTTTCCCCACGTCAACTTCTTAAATCGTCAAAAGACAAGGACCATTCGGCTGGATGCAGAGCAACTCGAGGAAGAAAGCCACTCCGCTGCGACGTCGTGTGAATTGTTGACGAAAGAAGTTAAATACGCGCTTTGGCCCAGGAGAAGGTTGTGTGGAGGTGTTAATATTGGTTGCTGCCATGTACCAAATGGAAGGGCTATTGCTACTACTAGTACCTAGGTAGTAGTACTACTACTAGTAGCGTTCTTGCGACGGATCACGGAAGCCAGTAGCCGATCATGATGATCATACTCAAGCGCTCACCGGTATTGACAGCAAGGGGTGGAGGATAATTGTACCGTAGCACCTACCAAGGTGTCCGGCTATCCATCCGTAATCTGCTCAGTAGCATTCGGCTCCGTCAGCCATGCGACGCTGCGGTCCATTGGCTGCGGTCCAGAGAGAACTCGAGCTTCTCGAACTCTCAGAGAACAATACCCCAGTGCTGAACCACACACGTAGCGTTATTCAGTTGTGCATATTGCTCCATATTGGTGCGTACTTGCGTGCCGCTAGTGACGGCGGGGCTCGTTGGAAAGCTGGAGTTAGTTAGGGAGATGCACGGGGCTGGGATAAGCCTTGTCTCACTGGGACAATCCCTACACGCCGGCAAGGATGCTGAGGATGCTGCCAGGAGAGTGGAGCCGAGTCGAGGGAGACTGGAGCCGAGAGAATTTCCAGAATCCTGCCACGTACGGCTAGAGCAATTTCCGTCAGGGATGCATGGACCATCGGCCACTCCTTGGCAGCCAACCAGAGGCAGCGACGGCGCTGTCGCGAAAACGAAGCGGCAGTCTCTGCAGCCCACCCCTGGCGCGCAACGGCGACAGCGGCGGCGGCCAGAGAAGAGGGAGACTGAGGAATAGAAAGGGAACAACTGCACGGCCACGTTTGCGTCTGCCATGACGGAGCGGTTGGTCGAAGCCAAGGGCGGTGGGTGGAGTGTTTCATGCAAGCCTTGCGCAAAGCGGTCATTCTCAGCACGCCTGTGGCCGTCTCGTCGCTGCCTGGAGAGCGGCGTGACCCATTTCTGCTGCTGCTGCTTGTATTGTCATGATGATGACGGCGTCCAACAGCACGTTTTTTTTTCCGCCTAGGACTTGCATGTCAAAATGTTTGCTCGAACGACTGATGGGGCCAGCACTAGAGCAACGGTCAGTCGGCTCGTGGCCTGGTGCATATACGAAACGCACTTGCGGTGCTTCTCTCATGTCACGGTGGCAAGATGCCAGCGTGGTCGCCCACTCGGCGGGACATCTGGGTCCAACACTTTCGATCCCGGAGCTGAGTTTGTATATTGCACGGTGCGCACGCACTTATCCGCACGCGCGGGCCGCTCCATCTTATCTCATTTAGGATGAGAGATGTGATCGATTCCGTGTGCCAAACGCCATGGCGGGCGGCCAAGATGAAACGTGCGCCCAGCGGCCGGCGCATGCTGTACCTTTGGGATCGCGTGAGCATCGAGAGTGCGCTGACTCTGGAACAAACGCCCGTTCCGTGGCCCAGGTATATGCACGACAAATCCAGACTTCTGTGATGAAGCGGTCGCGAGAAGGGTCAACTTGCAGATTCTTCTTTGCGTCTCCCTTCAAATGAGGTGGCGCCGCTAGCTCGGCCACTGTGCCTCAGGCAAAGAACTTGTCCGTCTTAGTGCAGGTACTCGTATGTTTCAACGAGAGACAAGGCTGGGCAGCAAGGTACTTGTTCGGTACATCTGGGGTATCCCTCTGCTGCGCCTCTGTCCGGCCGGTAGGATGACCTATTTGCATGAATTGCTCGTAATGGAATCGCAGCAACCGAGGATCAAGTGACGCAGGCCATACTGGCACCTTGCTGGTCTCAATGAAGAACCAAATTTTTTTTGTTTGTAGCGCCTATTTCGCAGCCGCGATTGCCACCGATTCGTTTCAGATGGTCTATCAAAAGAGTAGCTCGTGTATTAGTCGCAAGTACTTTTGTCCTGGCGCTGGCATGTGGCACGTACCACCTCTTATTTCTATTATCATCGCGGCTAACGAAGCGTCAATCTGAATTACATCATTTCCGCAAATGTATCATGTATCCCTATTGTTGGGTCTGCGCCAACAGGTGACAATTGCATTGCTTGAAAGAGGAGACTGCTATAATTGGCATGGATGAGCCTTGGGTCCAAGAGGCGTCGTCTAGCATGTGCGTCTATTGGCTGCGCATGTCTGTCCGCCGGCCGAGGCCTTATAGAACGCGCTACTGATCGCCCGCCATGCGCACCTGAGGGAAATGAAATGCTGCAATGCAGGTTTTCTGCTGCATCTCGAACAGCTGCTAGTTACAGCTAGCAGTATTTGTGTCTAACACCGTCAGGCCAAGTGGCTCATGGCGGGCTGCTAGACAAGCTGCCGCCCCTACCAAGGGAGGAGGGATCCGGCATCATGTTATAGCAGCGGTTTACATTAAAAACAGTAGCACGATGAAACCCCTTTTGACTATCAACGAAGCCAGTCTACTGCAGTAGTTACTAGAGAGAGAAATCCTGTTGTAAACGCAAAGGCTACTAGCCCTACGCATCCGTCGATCGAAGCCTCCAGCTGCCATCACAAAGAGCTGCATGGCTACGGAGCACTGCCTACCTGGCAGCATTCCCGACCATCTGGATGGTGGCTAAAACCACCCCAAGACACACACACACACAAACTCTCTCTCTCACACCTCCCAGCACGCACACGCACTCGTCGGGCTTTGTCTCCGGCTCCCGTCATAAGCCTGACGATGCTCGACCGGGGAATATTGCAACGCACACGCCAGTCTCAGCACTGCGCTGTATGGGTACATACTGTGCAGGTGAGTTGCGCATATGCTTGAGCGCTTCTGCAGGCCAGATGCAACTCTTTGTTGAACCGAAGCCTCGCATGAAGCATGCGCCAGTTAGTACCTCGCAGTATCTACCTCATACTACCTAGTATACCTAGTAGTTGTAATGAAAACGCAATTGTTTGCGCCCTGCAACGTCACATTCATGGATTTGCCCACCAAAAAGATGTGCAAGTCTTCATCTCAGCAGAATGCCGTACACAGGCAGTAGTGGGAGTAATGCCTAATACCTACTCATAACAGTAGTAATATCTACCAGGTATTCTTACCAGTAAGCATGGCCTGGGTGAGACCCAAGCTACAGCCGGAGGCGCCGCGCGCAGCGGGCTATGGATGTGGCCCCAAGATGCTAAGACTTGTGCATACAAGTAAGATGACGGATGGGCTGTCAGTCTCTAGTGGCAGCCGGGGCAGGAAGCGGAGTGGAACACGGCTCGGACGACTCCTGAAAATAACCGTGTGCGAGAGCGGCGCGTATTGGCCGTTTGCCGTTTAATTTCAAGGGAGAGGGAGACTGAGAGAACATGAAGCCAGACGAGCTGAGGCTCTGCATTGCATTGAAACGCAGCGATATTGATTGCAGCCAGTTGGTGTAGTTGACACATACATGGCCTGCTGTTTCACGGCAAACATCCATATGGACGCAGCAGCGGTCTGGGTATCAATCTGGCATGGCAGGCAGGCATACCCGACATGGCCTGGCTCGAGCCAGGGCCCCCAAGCGGCTCTGCCAAACAACTTTGCGTGGCAGAAGATCTCCAGATGCTGCTGCTATTAATATCGGGGGCCAAACATGAGGGCACTAACACACTAACACTCTAACACGCCGAATTCCCAAGCAGACGCACGCGAAAAGGCGCACACGCCCACGGTTCCCAACCACGATGCGCCGTCCAGGCACACACAACGCACGCATGCAAGAGTGCATCGATTGATTCACGCAATGCCTCCCGGAGCCCTTGTGCACACCGCATGTAGCCGCAGCTCCCAGTCCTCGCTCGCCGCAGTGCCCAAAGAGGCATCAATTGGTCTCTGCCAGTCGATCCTTGCTGCGCCGTGGCCCTAGCGCTGGGCTAGGCTGCGCTAACAGGGCCTGGCGGCTCCCCACCGCAATGAATCTTTTCTGGTGTATCGGAGCACTGTGGAGTGAGACTTTTTGGCTCTGGCCAAGTCCCGACACCAGTGCTTGTGTACTCGGTACGGAGCAGGCTGCCCGGACGCAGGGCAACTGCAGGTACCGGCTACCTGTCCGGAGGAGTTGATTTCCACTGGCAAACCAACCTGCCGCTGCTCGTTTCTCAAGGCGAACGAGGTGATCGAGATGCTGCAGGTGTTCCAACCAACTCAGTTTCGCAACAAAAGATGGACATCGTTTGCCAATCGTGCCAGCAAATACATTCATGTCTTTTTTTATCACCATTTTCTCCTCTTTGGCGTGCTGCTGCTTGGCTATAATAGTCTGCGCTGCACTGCTTTGTTTCCCAGGACCTCTTTGTGGCCACAGCATCCAACTTGCTATTCAACTCATTTCATCGCCAATCTGTCCAAGTTCCAGCCTGCTAGACGTTTCAACGATATACCGCCTACACGCAAAACTTGCAGATGAAACACAGCTAAACAGCAGCTGTCAAACACGCACAGAGCGCAACGCGGCGCAATTTCAGGTGCTCTTCATCCTGATACGAGCTGGCAAACCGCAACTGCTTTTGGGAGGCTCGAGCACAGAAGCATACATACCTGTACCTACCGACATACTGTATCTCAGGGCCGCAACAGGTGTCTGCCACCACCAAGCAAACACAACGCAGGTGAGAAAGAGTGTCTTCCAATCTCTCTTCGGTTCTCCTCTCTGCTGCCCTACATACTCGTATACCTGCTTGTCTATTCCGACGCCCATCCAAGTATACCATCCTCCTGCGCACACCCCTCTGTTTGCTTTTTCCTTGGCCCTAGCTAGTCGCTGGCGCGGCGCAAGGGTGAGCCGGTCCAGGAGATTTTTTGTTCCATCTTTCTATACAGGCCCTGCCCCGCCACAAGCCACCCCCCCTTGCAGTCGCTGCCCTGCACGCCGCCAGAGCCTGTCATAAAGGCCTGGGCCCCTAAAAAAGTTACGTCGTTCGCCAGTTCCAGAAGCCACTTGCTTTTTAGAGGACCACATTTTGGCACCGACATTCAATCTATTTTCCCACCCTTTCCGCACTTCATCCTGCAAAGCCTCGCCTGGTTGCACCGCGGCTGGATCTCTGCTTCGGCTCGCCTTTCCTTTTTCCTTCTTTTCCCCTTCTTTTCTTTTTCCTCCATCCTGCATCTGCCACGGCCCTCACTCTGCGCCTTGAGCCAACTCTCCACCATCCCACGACGCGGCTGACCGAACAGACGACCGCAGCCTTGACGACAGCCCAGCATCCAAACACCCTCGACGAAGCGCCCGTTTGCATTGATACGCCCTGGTCTGGCTTATGATCACTCTCGCTCGCTAACTGGTCATTGCCTGCCCCGATTTGCAACCCGACTCGACTCTCAACTCATCCGCCGACGGGCTCCTTTTCTCCCTTCGAATCCCGTGTATCAAGCTTAGCGACTCTTCCTCTGCAAGCTCATCGGTCTATCCGTCTCGCCTGCGAACACGTCTTACGATTTGAAGAAACCTGCCGGATCTCGTTTCTCCCCTGTCCAGATTCTACCTGGCATCTCTTGCGCCTTGGTTTGCCGAGTCCTATTGTTCGCTATCTCGCGGGCCTTTGCATACATATATCCTGCGACTCTGCCCCGCGCTGGCAACTCACCCAAAGTTCATTGTAAAACCTTCCGCGATCAAGTTTGGCTGCCGGCATCGACTCGCATAACCGTGCAGAAAACGTGACAAAACGGTTCGCAAGCCATATAAAAAACGGCCCCCGTTTCAGCCACCCCCAAACTGGAAGCGACGGCCCGAGTGCAACAGCGAAAGACAAGGAAAGAAATCTTTTTCTCTCCTTTTCCCGGAAGACCGAATCATTCCCATTTTTAGCAATACACCTTACAAGGTATGTGGTAAACGTTGCTTTTTTCTCCCTCTTTGCTTTTTCCTCTCCGGGTCATCATTGCCAAACAGATTAAACGTCGCCCAGGAGTCTTGGTGGGTGGCCCAAGCTTTGGGAAACCCGCAACTCCTGCCCAAGTTGATCTGGTGGCGGATAAAGTCTCCGCGATGGCTTCACATGGCTGGTCGGCGATGATACCATGCATTCGCATATTTAGCTATATTTGTCATTCTGCTGCGCCCGCCACTAACTGAAAACATGACAGTACTTCAAGCTGGCTCTACTACAGCGCCCGTTGGCCCTCTACACGATGTTACCCCATACACTCTCTTCGTCCGCAAGGCCGAACACCGTCATGTCTTCGGCATCGCCCGAGGTCATGGATATTACAAACATGCTGAACAACAAAGGAGGTGCCATGGCACATGGACTTGGTGGAAGCATGCCCGATCACCACCAACAGCATCATCACCTCGGCCTCGTCAAACATGAGTCTGCGCTGGACCGGTCAGGATCACCGCACATGTCTGAGCATTCTTCTTACTCGGCGCACAGCATGCCTCGCGCCTATCCTTCGCCAACCGCCATGCAGACTCCTATGCAGATGCAAAACCACATGCACAATGCTATGCAGATGGGAGGCTTCACAGACATGTCCGGCATGGGAAGTGTACCAAGCATGGCTATGCATCACATGCCTCAGCAGCCCCAGCAACAGCAGGCTCCCACAGCACCTGTCAAAGCATACCCCTGCAGTACCTGCGGTAAAGGTTTTGCCAGAAGAAGTGACCTGGCGCGCCATGGTAAGTCTAGCCAGGATTGCAATGAAAATGTACGTGGCCGTTTTTCTAACAAAAAGCATGTTCATAGAGCGTATTCACACCGGAGTCAGACCTCACGTTTGTGACTACCCCAAGTGCCACAAGGGATTCATCCAAAGATCTGCTCTTACTGTTCACCAGAGAGTGCACACTGGTGAGAAGCCGCATCGTTGTGAGACTTGCGCCAAGGTAAGCTATTCAGTTCATGCACTTTGTCTCAGGAGAGAGAAAACTAACTTGCGATAATGTAGCTTTTCAGCGACAGCAGCTCCCTGGCTCGACACCGAAGAACTCATTCGGGAACTCGTCCTTACAAGTGCCCCTACGCCGATTGCCAAAAGACTTTTACGAGGCGCACCACCCTCACACGTCATCAGAACCAGCACACCGGTACTATCGAAGAGGCTGCGGCGGCTACCGCGGCAGCACTTGCAGCTTCCAGGGTCAAAAACGGAAGCCAGGCTCGCTCCGACGGCGACCACATGTCTAATCAAGGCTCTCCCCTGACAACACCATCGCCCAACCATCACGCCATGATGTCTCCGGCCATGGACCTCTCTGGAGCCAACGGCCTCGGCCGACACCAGGCGGACTTTACTCAGTACATGACACAGGGCGGCACTCTTCCTCCTCATTTGCGCGTGGGCAGCCCGACTTCGACCAACTCGGCCGCCAGCTACAACAGCGGTATCCGACCGACCTCGCACCCTACCGGCTACGGCCCTCCCCCCACCCTGGAGCCCAGCTTGGAGCAACACACGGGTGCCACTGGAAGCGCGGTTGGCAGTCCTCACATGGCGTCGCAACTTGGCTGGCAATCTCCTCATTCTTCTTCCCCATCTCAACACGGTGGAAGCTACGTCTATCCCGACCCCGATGGCTATCCTCCTAATCCCTCAATGAGCCAGATGTACTACGGCGCACCGCAACAGATGCGACGACCACAAAGTGCCGAGCCTGGCATGGTACACATGTAGTTGAAGCGGTACCACTGAGGGCACGAAGATCTTTGGTCTCACGTTGTTCGCGCTCATGACATTGACACAGTCATACCTCTTGTCTTTTCATTGTTACTCTCTGCTAGCTCTGGGGCAGAAAAAGACTCATCTCGAAGCTCGATTGCCATCGAGAAAATATGGTGCATATCGATTGCACATCGCCAGAACCACTGCCTTAATTTCGATATCAAACACACGTACGACTCGTTATCTTTTCTTGACTTCTTCGAGCAGACACCAGCTTTGCGTTACGCCATGGGTCTGCTCTACATGACCCTTGCCATATTTTCCGTCACACTTTGCATTTCTCGTTTTCTTTTTCTCTTTTTTTTTTCTCTTCTTCTGTTTTTTTTCTATTTCTTTGTTCTCTCATATAGACCTTGGGCGATAGACAGGCGGACCGGAAACTTGATGATTATGGACCGAGCGTTTTCATTAACACGACGCAAAGGGAGGTTAAGGGAAGAATGGCTGGAGTTTATATAAAGGGGGGTAGGAAAGGACACCGACTCGCTCGCCCACCCCTGTTTTTTGGGACGGCATTTCAGCACTGGGCTGGGAAACGGAATAACCTATAGACGGTGGGAGGGCTCTACACCACTCCTCGATGACACACATTTTTTTCCTTTGGCTGTTGGCACATTATTTAGACCAGGGCGCATAACACAGGCGCACCCTTTCGCGAGAAATTGTACGGATATACATTTACGAATACGCAATTGATTCACTGTGACGATGTGTGTGGAACCTTTTTCTTTTTTCTTTTGTGATCAGATGCAGTAGGCTTTCGAATTTGTCGTGGTGACATGCATCGGCCAAACACCGGGCAGGCGTGAGTGGTTTTGGAAGAGTGAAAGTCCCCAATAAATAAAGATGATTGAAACAAGAGGCAAAAAGAAGAGGGAAATATTGGCGGAGTGTGAAAGTGTCATTTTGCCGTTGAGAATTTTCTGATTAGTAGTCGTCACAGAGGAACTAATATAATACGACTATGAGCAAAGAGTACTATCCCTATCCACTCTCTTTAATCTTTCCTCAAGTGGCAGTATCATCCGGTCTAGGTCCCGATTCTATGGAGGCAGATAATGAGACTTCTTTACCTGGAGAAATAGACGGGGGTCCCTACCTGGGGCTCTCCTCTTCCATGGTACTATGTATATAAGAACGGCACTGGCATCATTTGGGGTGACAATAGCGAACGCGGGAAAGAGTCTCGGTACCGACTGCCGAAGAACCGTTTTGGGCAAGTATTGATTACTCCTTCGTGTGCACTTTAAAATTTTTGTTAGTGGCGGAGATCGGGGAGTGTCGCGGGTGAGATTATTTTTATTACATACATATACATGACATGAAAAGAGAGGCCTTTTTCAAATAACGGCCGAGGGGTTTGGTAATTTTTCCGTAAATCGGATGAGCTGAATTGTGATTACGTCAAAACATCCGGGGTTGAAGATGCTGGGCACTGCGTGGGTATATGTAGATGGGCGAGCAGGTGCTAAACAAACACGAAATCAGAGTAATTTGCGATACAAACATGTGCACTCGAATACTGCAAGATGGCCAACGTAAATGTATACGACCCGCGGCCTCTGATCTTTTGATCTCCGCTTTAGTAAGTATCTGCATTCAAAACAGAGTGACAGTCTATACTTTGACAAATGTTGAATCCGAGCATCTGTCAGGTCCGCCCCCCAGATTGTTTTGAAGACTAGGGCCACAGTCTAGCCCTTCTCTATTGTCATTCTTATTTTACTTTTACTTTGATTTGTCTGTCCCTGGCAAACTACGTGCATTGCCCAGGTAGTATCGCCTAGCTGCATGCATTGGCCAATGACAGCTGGACAAGGGGTGGAAGGGCTTAAATCAGAGAACAGAATGAAAACGGTAAGCAGGACATGTAAGTAGGTAGACTCAATACCAGGTCCTATGTCGTATCCAAAGGAACAAAGTTGCCGAGAATTATGTAAGCTTATCAAATAGTAACAAACTTTTTTTTTCTATACGGAGTACTGGCTAAAGATATTGAAAATAGGTATCCCCGTTGTGGTAATTCTGATTACCGTGATTACAATATACGGAAATGCCTGGGGTGCGGAACCTCCCGCCAAAACACCGGGGCCGGGGAATCTATAAAGTTCGATCTGAACGGATAACAGTGCAACTATCAGTAACAACGTATTGTAGTTTTTTTTTTCGAATCAACGGCGGCTCGGAGCCCATAAAAGCAAAAAAAAAAAGATTCCACTAGGTCACCTAGTGCCCGTTACGGCCGCATCACGCACCGATTTGTGCGAATAGGAATTGCTAGCACTGAAGCAGAAGACGGCGGCGATCCGATCAGTAATCCAGGATTACTATTCAGGAAGCCGTACAGTAGTCTGCTTCCAAACTCCGCAACATTCACGTCCTCCTTGATCCTTTTATCTTTTCTTCTTCTCGTTGCTTCGAAACAGATGAAGTAGGATTTTTTTTTGCTGTTCGTGTTGGTCTATTGGCGCGGATATCGCATTATTCGGCTGCCTAGAGGAAAAGTAGCCCCGAGCCCCGAGGTGACATTCGGCAATCTGGTTCCCCTTTTCCCGGCTTATCATGGGCTTTCGAGAGCGCCGATGAAACGAAGATTGAAGAATAGATGGAGCCCTGGTAAGAATGCAAGAATACGACGGGCTGCTAGTTGGTTTGTAGTGAATACGCAATAGTCGTGCTGTCAAAAAAAGTCACTGCAGGCGTCTGTTTGGGCGGAGAGATTCTAATCAATTAATCAAATCAAGGCTAGTGCCGCGATTCAGCTGGAATAGAGCAACAGGCTCGGCCAAATCCCTCCCGGCCTGGGGGCGCCCGAGTTGCGCTTCCTCGTCCTCTCGTTCTTTTTTAACTTACATTTCCTCTTTCTACACTTTTTTTTTTTTTTTTTTACTTCTCCAACTCTGCTGGTGTTACCTTATTCCCATCTGTGCATCAATTATCGGGGAATTGTCGATTTACAACGTTCTCTTCGGTTATTTCGCCGAAATAAAGAATACGCCAGGCATATTCTCCGCGCGCTTTCGCCCTACCTTATACGAGGGGGGGGGAAAACATATAAGCAGTGCCGCTCCAGCTTAAAGGCACCCGTCCTCCCGGTACTACTGTTTAGGCTTGGTCTCATTTCCTTGTTTAGGGAATCCTAGTTGGGGAATCCAATCCTTTGGACCAACCCGCCAGGGAGCCTCGCTTCCACCGGCTGCTTGGGGCTATTTGAAATCTTTTGACGGATTGTGTCCGTTGCTCTGTTATTCTTCGACTTTTGGAATACGCCTTTACAACAATTCCAAACAAGAACAAAAGATTTGCCCCAAGAGAATCAAGCGGGCGAGCCGAGGCTTGCGGGCCGTGTCAGCGTGTCGCATACAAATACAAAAGAGGGAAATAGTATAAGAATCAACCGTCGAGCCCAGAACGTTACTTGTTACGAGTGGCGGGACCAAAGGAACGAAGGAGTTGTTGGATTTCTAATTCACTCCTTTTTCTTCTCGCTTCTACTTCTCAGCGCTCCTTTGGACTTTTTGGCTCCTTCTTCTTCTCTTTCTCTTCTTTCACAGCACATCTATTATACCCAGAGGAGAAGAGTGCAAATGTCTTTTATTGCTTATTAGTTTACCGAGCTTGACAAGCAGCATCACTACCGAGGAAGCGATTCGGAAAGAGGAACTAAAATCCGGGGACCTCAAAAACAGCAAACACCAAAAAAAAAACTTTGGCCTTTTTTTTTCTTTCTATTTTTGACCAATTGTCGTTTTTCTCTTGTCAAATTCTACAATGAGTGCTGCAGCATCACCACTCATTGGCCTCCCTCCACAGCAGCAGCAGCAACGCCCGCAACTCACCGACGACTCTCGGCACCACCACCACCAACATCATCGCTATAACCACCGCCATCACCACCACCACGAGCGACAGCCGCTGCCGCCAACCAGCAGGAAACCGACCGCGGCGGCGCTGCGACGCGAGAAGATGGCGGCGGGCCTGGCCACGAGCCGCGGCGCCGGAGGGCTGATCCGGCTGGAGATTTACATGGATCTGCTGTGCCCGTGGTGCTTTGTCGAGAAGCACAGCCTGGAGGCGCTGATGCAGCGCTACCGAGACGAGCATCCCGAGGTGCGCTTCGAGGCCGTGTTTAGGCCGTATTACATTGCGCCGACCATGGCCAAGCGTATGTTGATCTTTTTTTCTCTTCTTTATTCTCAGATCTTGTCTCTCTCCGATGAGTGGATGCGCATCAGTCTCACTCTCATTCACCATGAGGCATCATGACCTCATCCCGCCACTCCACCACAAGCAACCATCACATGCCATGCAGCACACACCCGCATATGCATTTCATCTAGCCCAATCCCACACTCCCTCCAATAAGAAACAACAACAGCTGCAAAACGAATGCGTACTAACCATTCCCAGACGGCGTCGAAAAGCGCGGCATCTACGACCGCCTCGACTCGCTCAACCCAAACTTCCTCTCCCGCATCCAAGTCGCCGGCGCAAAGCACGACATCGCCTTCTCCATCCGCGGCGTCACCGGCAACACCCGCCCCGCGCACCGCCTCAGCGCCGTGGCCCTGCGCGAGCTCGGCCCCGCGGGCCAGTCCGCCGTCGTCGAGCAGCTGTTCCAGGGCCACTTTGAGGACGGCCGCGACCTCAGCGACGCCGCCTGGCTGGTGACGGTGGGCGTGGCCGCGGGCATCCCGGAGGCGGCGGTGCGCGCCGGGCTGGACGACGACGAGGCCGGCATGAGGCTCGACGCCGTGGCCCAGGCGGCGAGGGACGTCATGGGCGTCGAGGCCGTGCCGTGCGTCATGGTGCAGGACCGGTACAAGGTGGGAGGCTATCAGGAGGGCCATGTCTTTGAGAGCTTGTTTGAGAAGATACGGCTGGCGGGCGAGGTTCTGTGAATCTTGTTTGTTTTTCTGTTTCTGTTTCTCTTGTATTTTCTGGTACATATGTCTGCTTGATATCCTTTTCTTTTCGTTTTTTTTCTTGTACAAGGTGCCATGGTTTTTGGGTGGCTTTTTGACGTTTTCAAGGGCGATATATACAAATAGGTATTCACATGCAGGATGGAGTTTTAGGGCATATTCTATCCCACGGCGTGGCAGCGGCTTGGAAATTCGTTAATCTTGGTCAATCTAGGAATGATTTATAAATGCACTTCAATAGTGAAGACTCTCAGTAAAAAGGCATGGCCTGTAAAGCGAATTTGTAAAGAAAAGAATAATCTGTATTTCATTGCTCTATCGTAAACAACCAAAAAGAAAAAAAAAAGGTATGTATATAAATCTGTATGTATGTATTATTCCCAGCGCCTTCTCATGCATTCTCAAAAGGCGTTTTTCGAGTCCAACTCGGGTTTGTTTCGTTTGTCTTTTGTTTTTTCGTTAAAAATTAGCAAAACAGCAGACGCAAAAAAAAAAGGGGGGGGGGGGCAGAAAAACAAGAAAAAAAGCCCAGCGCAATAAAACTCCTTGAAAAACTCCGTCGTCTAATGATCCCAATGCCCGGCAGTCCAGCCAGCCGTTTGCGAATTAAAGTGCCAAATTTTCTGCAATCTTTCTTTTTTTGTCCTCCTCCCTCCCCTTCCCCCCTTTTCATTCTCCAAAGTAATCGGGTAAATCAAATGGCCAAAGAAGAAAAAAACATTTCGCCGAGGGTCCCGTAATTATGTTCTTTTTTTGCTGATTCCCCCCAGACACATCATGTACACCCACACAGACTGCTTCCTACTCATCAGCCAAGCCGGAAATGGAAATCACCGCCTCATTCCGCTGTAATCGTTGAGCAGATGCGTCATGTGCGTATTCGTCGCCTTTCCGATACGCTTGCCGGCCCTCTTCTTCTGCTGCTTCGGCTTCGTCGTCACCGCCGCCTTGCGCGGGTCGTCGCTCGTCGGCTTCTGTCCCACGCTCACCAGCTTGCGGTGCATATCGTCCAGGCTGGGCAGCTGCACGCGGCGCCACATGGCCTGGAACTCGGGCTCGACCGGGTTGTGCAGCGACGCGTCGTCGGCCCAGACGTAGCGCGGGAAATTATCCTTTTTGGTGCGCACCACCAGCACCTTGTGCTCTCTCTCCAGCTTCGCCAGCGTATCCTCGCAGTCGGGCCAGCCGTCCTTGAGGTCCTTGACAGACACGCCCGAGGCGTCCGTCTTGCGCTGCAGATGCGCCAGCAGCGACGTGCCGTCCCTGACGCCCGGGATGATGGGCCGGTGCTTGTACGTGCCCGTCTTCCACGTCTGCTCGCTCAGACTGGCATCGGGCTTCCAGTCCACCCGCGGATGCCCCCTCAGCCCTTCCATCAGCTCCTTCTTGTGCTCCTCCGTGTAGTTCCTCAGACTCAAATGGTCGATGATGTCCGTAATGGTCTTGGCATCGCCCTTCTTCTTCAGGTAGTCCACCGCAAACGTCATCTGCGTCTTGACCTCGGCGCCGTAGCCCGTCAGCTGCGGCTGCGAAAACGGCACGTCCGGCGCGACATCTCGTTTCCGCTTCGACGTCGGCGTGTTACTGTCTGAGGCGGCCGAGGGCGATGGCGATGGCGGAGCGAGCGATGCGGCGGTCGCGGCCTTGATGCTGGACGGGTTCGAGATCTTGGACGCGGCCGAGGCGAGGCTGCCTCTGAAGACGGAGGACTGCTTCTCTAGATACGACGACATTGTGTGTTTTGGCAGAAATGAGCCCAAGCAGCGACTGCGGTATCGTAGGGAACTGAGAAAGAGAACAGAGGGAGTGTGATGGCTGATGGACAAGGTTTGGAAAGCGTTCAAGGTTGTTCCGGCACGAGGCTGGAGGGAAAGCCGGCATAGTGTGGCGCATTGTGGCTAGTGCTTCTGGAAAGTATGAGTAAGATGCAAACGGCCTGGCCTCTTTCGCGCCAAAAGTGTTGAGAATGCCACGCAAGCACAGACACAAGACCAGGGGGGTTTCATCCGATGCTCGTACTCGGCACAAGGCAGGCTTGTCACTGCAGTATCGACGCCTTTATATGACGTACATTTCCAACGCCAATGCCAATCCCGAGGCATGTCGACGTGCCTCATCTTGCTATCTCCCCCCGCATTTCGCCAATCTGCCTAAAGGATGGATATCCATGTGACTGTGATCGTAAAAGGTGCGCGCATTGGCAATCGAAAATTGATTATCATAGATATCTAGCCCCGTATATTTCCCGTAAAAGGCATCATCTATTTCCCGTAACAATGACTCCTGATTGTCTAGTGCCTGAAAATAGTAGGCACCGCGCCATCTATACTTGCCACGCTTATTAAAAAATCCCAGATCCCTTCTCCGCAAGACAATTGCGTGGTTGAAAATAAACTCCAAGATGACACAAATTATCTCCTTCCCCAGCGGTATCATTTCTTGTCCCCCTTTTAGCATATGCACTGAAGCGCTAGCCCGTACATTTATCATCAATTTTTTTTGCATCTCCCCTCCGCTTAATCTATATCCTGTAAACGTGGGTTGAAATTCTTATGTATAGTGTTGTGATGCGATTAGGCGGACTGGCCCTTAGCCTCGGCCTCAGCCTTGAAGTACTGGAAGGCGAGATAGCCGATGAGGCCACCAATAGCGACAACACTGTAGATGCCGAATCCGCCGCCAGTGGTGGTGGAGCCGTTGTTGGCAGAGTAGGTGTTGGTGTGGGCTTTGGGGACAGGGTCGCCGGGCTGGAGAGCAAATGTTAGTGGGCGTTTTTTTTTTCACATGTGTCGCGAATAGGAGTAGTATTGGGTAGCGCATACCTGGCGCTTCAGATCGCCAACGTGCAGCTGCTCCAGAGTCTCGCGGGCCTCGTCGCTGTGGCCGACATCCTCGAAAGCCTCGGTGGCATCCTGGCCGGCGACATCAAGCAGAACCTCCTCGCCACCACTAGAAAGCGAACACAAAGTCAGCAATTGGTTATTTCTCCGAGATTCGCTTCCCTATTCCCCCTCCTGTCTGAGGGGCCCAAGAAAAAAAAAAGGAGGGGTATAGCGGTCGACGCATTGGCAGGAAAGGCAGGCAGAACGTACGGGTGCTCGTCGATGAACTTGCTGCAGTTGTAGACCTTGTCGTGGATCACGACGAAGATGTCCTTCTTGGTGTTGTGCTCGGCAACATCCTGGTAGGTGTACTCCTTGGACATGATGGGCGAATTGGAAGCAAACGTGCTTTTTTTATTCTAATTTCTGGTATTAGGAGAGAGATAAAGAGAAAAAGAATGCGCTTGCAACGAGAATCGACTGTGCAAGAGGGAAAAGGAAGGAAAGGAAAAAAGCACCTCGAAGGAGACTTGAATCAGCAAAGTCGGTCAAAGAAAAAGGGACGGTGGGAAAAAGAAAGAGGAAGAAAAGCGCCGATGCGAGTACGAAAAAGGTACCACGACAAATTGGCTGCCATGGCGTCGCTCCCAAAATGCCAGCTAGCCTTCTAACTTCTGGTCCTGCTAGCCTGGCGCCATCGGAAGCAGCAAATCCGTTGGGTCCGCAGGGGTCTGGCGGCCAATCAGCGCCCGCAAAATTACCGCCTGGGCTGCTCTGATTCGCCTCGTGCGAGGGCCGTCGACTGATTTTCCTCGCGGCTAGCCCAACGGTTCAGCGCGGGTCAGCTTCAATTGTGATTCTGCCGAGTACAGCTTCCTTTTTTCATCCATCGTAGCAAATGTCACTTGATAAGCCACGCGGGGCAAATAGCTGAACCAAATCGGACTCTCTGTGAGTGTGTGTGGTGCGAGCCTTTTGATCTCCAACACCTGCAAAATTCGGGCGGTACTAGAACTATGGCTTCTATTGGCAGTGGATGCATGTACTCTACAGTATGTGATTCCACTTACACGACCCTGTTTCCATGTTGTCTACTGAGATGATACAATATTCCCACTCTCCCAGCCAATACTACAATGATTTATAGGGGTAACGACTTCTGTCTAAGACACGCCTATACTACCGGGAAATGACTGCAACCAAGACAAGTCTGCTCCAATTTAAGGTCTTCCGCCCACAGCAAGGACCTCTACGGCGTCCAAGCACTGAACAACTTTTATTTCCACCTCGGCTCACGTATGTATTGTCACAGAGAGGCACATGATAAGCCAGAATAACAACAATACTATACAGAATTAGCAACGCCTCGCCGGTCTAATCTGATCCAGTCACACCCATCCCATACTGTACACAACCCCCAAAGCCGCAAGTGGGCTCATCTTAGCGTCCGGCCTTTCCCACTTCCCCCTCTCCCGCCTCCGGGACTTGTTCACGGCTAGCGACTCTCCTTTCAAGCCAATTTTTTTTCTGCTGCCTTCTTTGTTATATCCCTCTATTTTTTCTATATAGATCTGCAGTATTTTCTTCTAGTCATTTCTACATATATGCCGATTCCTGATTCCGATAACCTCGGAAATGGAGCCGCTATCTACCCCAGAAACTACCTCCAGTCCCCCAATATGTAGTGTTTTGTCTAGGATAATAGTCCGGATTCAACATTGTCTTGTGCTTACCAATTAGGGAATATTTGTAGTTCCGAGTTGACAAAAGGCACACTCCATGGACACTCCATGCAGTCAGACGGAAGAGAAAGGAAGCACAGGGGGGGAAGTGGCAGCATGTGCAAGGTAAGATAGCCAGATACAGCTAGCAAAGGACACTCTCAGTTCATTGCTCATAACATTCCTGCATCTCTATTAATCAATCAATCAATGCTACATATTTATCTTGGAGCTTCGTCTTCTTTAAATGGCCTTGAAAATGGCTAGAAAAAACACTTGAAACAATCAACCACTGTATTATCGCTTTGAGCTGCCACCTCCAATATCCTGTCCCAAGCGGTAACCGGTCACGCGGTCCCACTCAATCTTTTGTCTCGTCACTGGCAGTTGTCGTCGCAGGCCCTTGAAGGCGCCTTCACTCAGGCTCACAAAGCTCTTGTTGAGATCTTCTTGGTACTTCTTCTCCGTCGATGCAATTTCCTTGGCGATGCCCGCACCGGTGCCAGAGCTGATGGATGCGTGTGTGGGCTTGTTGGAGAGCAGTCGAACGTTGCCGTCTTCGTAGTAGTGCACGTCGACCTTGATCGAGCCCTCGAGGCTTCCGGAGCTGGGGTCAAAGATGTATAGTGATCTCCATCGGCCATTCCTGCGAGACAGCTGTTAGTATCCATACTTGTGCGTAGATGCTGTGACGTTATTGAGGCTGTCCCCGTACCAGAAGTTGTTAGGGCTGTACTTGTTTGCAACAACGATAATGGCGAGCTTGGAGTCGGATTCAATGGGGTACACGCCAAGAGAGGCGTTGGGGAAGTGCTCCTTGACATAAGATCCTAAGCTTTTCAGCGTCGATTTGCTGCCATACCGTTAGCTGACTTTGGAACCTGCTTTTGTCGATTCGTCTCCGAGAACTCACGCCAGGTCTGCTTGTGGTCCTTCCAGGACATGGCTCTGCACCGCACTGGCTTTCTATAATTACAATTAGTCCATGCCCCTCTTTCTATATCGTTGTTCGTCTTTCAACATGCCTGGGACACATGGTCAACCTCAAAGCTAGAGGAGCTCTCGACATCGTAGTATCGTCCACCGCCCAGAGAATTGTGTGAGCTGATCAAGACCTTTCCCAGCAAGTTAGCCACTTGATATCCATAAAACGCATTTCCCTTTGTTTGTTCTCGGTCGTACCGGCTCACTGCTTCCCGGCAGCTTCAATGTGATAAATTGCTCTTCGTTGTACTTCTCGAATGCCGGCGTCAGCTCCGCAACAATGTTGGGCTCGGAGGTCAGGGCCTTGATGTCTGTAGGTTCGCGCGTTAACGATGGATTCGGTATCTCTCAACTAGAATCGGTGTGCTTCGTACCGGCAATGACATCTGCGAGCTATGGGACAGCATCAGAAGTTAGCTATGACGCGTGGATAGATAGACGGAGATAGGGCGCAGCTTTACCTCTCCAGGAGGGGCTCCCTCCACAAAGGCGGAAACAGTCTCGATGTGTGACATGTTGTATTTCTTAGCTCTGGTATCTGATCTGAAGCGATCTCGGGAAACAGCCAGCGCTTTCTTTCGGGGAGCGTTGACGTACACCGCATACAGGGGGAGGTCTATTAGGAGTTGAGGCAGCTTTGGGCGGGGCGCCAAAGCAGAGGGGCAGTTGTCTCCATTCAAGTCGCTAGCGGGGTACGTGGCCGCCGCCGGAGTCGTTTACTGGATGGAACGTACCATGTTATCAATATTGCTGTTTCGGTGGTAGGTGACCAAGGAAACAAATAAACGATTGTGGGAGATTTAATGGAATAGATATTAATATATCTAAGCTGTGCACAAGCTTTGTCTGTTCGCAATGGTGAACATTGAGACGAGCTGTCAGTCTTTGGGCACAACGCAAAGCTCAAGGGATGGCCTTCACAGCAGCTTAATAACTTGGTCAATTTGATCTACTCACAATATCTGGGATATTTTCATTGTATAAAGCTTTATTTCTATTATTCACACTATGCTAGGAAGAAATCTCTAAGCCATTCATACACAAATATACGTTGCTCGCTCTTCTCGCCCTTAGTACTGCACTGTCTTTTTAATACTATCATAAATTCCTAGAAACATCCTGTTAGTAATCGACCATGCCTCAATTTAAAGACGATAATACTCACTTGCAATATCCGGAACGTGAAATTTCTCAAACATCAACGGGTTGTGGATACTCCATCCAGCAACGCGGGCCACGGGAGCTTCCAGCCTGTTGAATGTATCCGGGTTCTCCTGGATGGCCGCAGCCACCTCGGCACCAACACCGGCATTCACCATGGACTCGTGGACCACCAAGACTCTTCCAGTCTTTTGCACGCTCTCAAAGACAGTCTTCTTGTCCCAGGGGTAGATGGTCCGCAGATCAATCAGCTCGACAGAGACGCCCAGATCCTGCTCGATCTGCTTGATTGCTGACATGCAGTTGTATAGCGGTTGGCCGTATGAGATTATTGTGACGTCCTTGCCCTCCTTCAGGACTTCTGCTTTGGATAGAGGCAGTTCGTAGGCCGCTACGGGGACCTCCTCCACTGCTGCTCGGTACAAGATCTTGGGCTCCATGAAAATGCAAGGGTCGTTGCTTCGGATGGCAGCTAATAACAATCCCTTTGCTTGTAAGGGTGATCGAGGCATGATTACTCTGAATCCAGGAACATGAGTGAACAGGGCCTCTGGGGACTGAGAGTGGTACAATCCACCGTGGCCGACGGTTCCGCAGGGCATGCGCACCGTCATGCCTCCAGCGCTCCGTCCATTGGTACCCTCGTAGTATCGCTTCTTTGCCGCCTCATTGACAATCTGGTCAAAGGCAGGGAAGACGTAGTCGGCGAATTGGATCTCGGCAACAGGCCGCATTCCTTCAACAGCCATGCCAACGGCAAAGCCCAGAATGCCCTGCTCCGTCAGCGGCGTGTTAAATACTCTGTCGGCTCCGTGTGTTTCTGCTAGCTTCATGGTACACCGAAAGACACCGCCAAAAGCAACATCCTCGCCAAATACGGAGACCGTCTCGTCCTCTAATAAGGCGGTGTTCAAGGCGTCATTGATGGCCTGGAAGAGGTTCATCTTCTTGGTCGCGCCATGGAGGACATCGGACGGAATCTCCTTGTTCCTCTTCGCGGCTTCGGATGTGTGGGCCAGCAGGGGAGTTGTCGCGTAGTCAATCGGCAGATTCAGCTTCGCATTCGGCGGGTGTGTGGAATAGCATCTTGCGAGGTTCAAAGGTATTGATCGCGCAGCTCGGGGATGCGCCAGCGCTCCCTTCAAGTGACGAACGGCCTGATGCTTCATGGCTGGCCTGGGCATTGCGTTTTCTGCTGCTCTACACGGCAATTAGAGAAGAGTGAAGGGATACGGGACAGAAGGCATTGCGCTGCCCGGGAGCAAGCAATTATCATCGGTCGTCGTCGGTTTAGACGGACAATGGAAAGGCGCTCGGTTTGCTGCGGCCTGTCGCGGGGTTGGAGCCGGCAGAAATGCCAGTAGCGGCGAAGTCCAGGGCAAGCATGGGGTAAGTATGGAGTATCGGCATTATGTAATCCAGCTGAGCAGGGCTGTTGCTCAAATCTGCTCCAATCTCTCTCCCGATTCACTTCACAGCATTTTTAATCTCTCCCGAAGCTCACTTCTCTTCCAGGGCAAGTATGGGGTACTAGTAGGTATGACATATCGGCATTATGTACTCTAGCTGAGCTGCTAGGGCTGCTTTCTTGAACCTCAGGAAGTGTCAAATACCAGCGCCTCTCGCCGTCACCTTCACAGCATTTTCAATCCCCCGGAGGCACACTTCTATTCTCCATAAATCGCAAGAGAATGGGTGTAGTGCGACAGATCCCTGTTCGTGAATTTAGATGTTTATAGCATTTTATCTAATAATTCCATCAACTAAAAGTGGCTCCCGTATGTGACTCTTCACAGCATTTTAAAGCTCCCCCGATGCTCTTTTCTCCTTGCACTTTCGACTACGTGTATCCTAACATAAGCGGCAGCACAAGAGCCGTCTTAGCGCCTTTTCACAGCATTTTTTGTCTCCTTAGAAGCTTACTCCTGTTTAAACATACACTCCCTTACCGAATTATTCTTGTTCAGCGCCTTATTCACAGCATTTTTAATCTCCCTAGAAGCTTCCTCCTGTTCGAATATACACTCCCTTACCGAATTATTCTTGTTCAGCGCCTTATTCACAGCATTTTTGATCTCTCCAGAGGCTCACTGTCATTCTGACACTTCTAGCGTCCCTTTCACAGCATTTCTAATCTCTCCTTGAAGCTCACTTCTTAATGCACCTTAGGTTCAAGAGCAGCGTTCTCAAACCCTCACTCATTTCACAGCATTATTAGTCCCCAAAATGCCTACTTCTATTTTACCATAAGTGGCAATACAAGATTAACTGGTCGTCCTAGCGCCTCTTCACCTCCCGAAGCTCACTTCTTATTCCAACATAACTACGTGTGGCCACCTGTGAAATGGCTGTTTACATCGTTGTTCGTCCCCTCAGAAGCTCATTTCTATTTCAACATGAGCTGCGTTCTCAAACCCTTACACCTAAATGCAAATTAAGTAACCACCCATACATACTAAGGGGTCACACGTGTGGCGACTCAAATGAAAGGGAAATAGCAACACAACGTCATCTTTCTCAGCCGCCAGAACGCGACCTCGTCGTTAGTCCAACCTTTCCTAAACGCTTTCAACGCCCAGCCGACTATGTAGTAATGTAATATCTTCAAGAAGCCACAGCGGCTGGACTATCAGATATCTAAAATGAGCAGGGTTTGAAGAATCTATCCCATGGCTGAAACACACCTGAGACTCGAGAAATGCAGTTCAACATCGCAATCCAAGCTGCTTCTTCATACATTTCTTCTCCGCGGCCTTCTAGTCATCTAGTCTCTTATAATGGTGCTGCCGAGGAATGTTCTTGGCAGACAGAAAATGTTGAAACTGAAAGATGTCCTTAAATTGCCATACTAGTAGCTCCTTTTAAACAGTAGGGCGGTCTCTGATGGTCCTAATCTCAGGATTTCGTCGTAAGAACCTTTCAATCCATCGTTTCCCAAGCGGTTGATCATTCCCGCCTGCCTTGACGATCCTTACTGCAAATTCTTTAACCTGTTGACGCGTTGGGGGGGACCCTAGGTTACTCTGGACTAGAATCCATTCAACTAGATGAGATTCCTGCTGCCTAGAAAGGCGTTGGAGATATTCATTTGCGTCAGACCTCGACTGGCTGCCGTTCAATCGCTTCTGCAGCGTTGATCGGGGAATTCCCCACTGTTTTGCCGCTTTTCGTTGCGATACGCCGTTTTGGATGGCTTCCAACGCAGAAGAAATTGATTTTTCAATAGATTCAGTCATTGCCATGGAAGAAAGCTATTAGCTAGAATTTGGATACGAAATCACAGTTGCAATATCAAGGTTGTTGGTGTTGAAGGAAAAAGGTGCTGGCCACTTCGCGGGGTGGCCACTTAGTGGTGGCCTGACTTACCAATTTCACTGGGGCATTTTCGATCCCGCCAGAGACTCACTTTCATTCTAAGCTGCGATGATACATCCACTTTTCTATCATTGGATATAAGCGAGCGATAAAAAAGGATCAAAGAAAAATTAACTGCAGTGTCAGAGAAGGTAATTAGAAGTTGGCGTTATGAGAGTAGTACCAAAGATGAACTCGTCGTTACACGAAGCACGCTTACCCTCGTTTTTCTAGTGACAACTTGTTCTCTAGCGGCTCCGATTATGAGAGCATTTACAAATTTTCTTTTCTGCTGCGAGCCTGTTTAAAGTGCAAAAAGGGCGCCAAATTCGCGAGAGGAGTTATGGGAAGAAATTTCTTGTAGAAATTTCACGCGTTCTATACAGAGTATAGAACAAGAATAAATACTAGTAGTTACTTAAATTTATCTCCTCCGAAAAATCTTCAACACATATTGTCCACTCTTGTCGTAGAAGATAGAAACTAATATGATTTATAGAAAACTAGCCTGCAGGTTAGGAAGCCTATTTATATCAGTGGCTATGCTAGCGCTTAATTGCTTTGTTTTGGCGGATACTCGTATCTTTGTTTTGCCAAGACTGTTCCTTGCAAAGCCAAGGCAATAGTGGGCTTCTCCATCGTCAACACAATCAACAGTATTCATCGCAGCACCAGAAGACTATGATTGGCCTCCAATATTGCGCACACGCGTAAAGGTAACCGTATGGCGTTTTTGAATTACTCTTCAGAGTTAGAAGCAGCCACTCACTGCACTCAATTAACGCTGCAGATGTTTATTTATAACCTTTGCAGCTCCTCGCTCCGGCGCGCCGCTTCCGTGCCTGGTGCCGCCCTCCCGGCCGAGTCTCCGTCCTGTGGGCCGTTGCCCTGCCAACAAACCGCTAAACTTGGCGAGCTGACCGCGAACCAGAAATCAGTGACGTGGATATCGGTTAACACGGGTCATGATGGCGGCGTTTTGTGGCCTGTAGAGCGTTTAAATGTTTTTCTTGTTATTTATCTAATTCTGCCAGAGCGCTTAATCCTTACCAATTCATGTTTCTCATATCCTGCAAACTCGCGAGCCGTAGCTCGATCAAACCATCACGATGAGCGACACCGACATACCACGTGCGCACCGCAGTCGCAACCGCAGCGCGCGCGGCGAATCGTCCAGAAGAGACCGACCGCGGAAAAAAGAATCGCGAACGAGGAGAGGGGCGAGCAGCGCTGATGAAGGAAGAGCCGACAGACGCAGCAGATCACAGTCGCTCTCGGCGAATGCGCTGGCGCAACTAAACCAGGATAATGTGAGACAACAAAGACATGCCGATCGAGAGCGGAGAAAACGGGACCGAGAGCGTGGGGAAGGGCACGATGAGAGAGCCCGGGAGCGCTTGGAGAGACAGCAGCGGCGGGAGCGGGAACGGCGGCGAGAGAGAGAGGCTGAAAGAGACCGAGACAGGGAACGGGAGATGGAATGGGAACGAGACAGACAACGAGAGAGAGAACGAGAACAGCGGCGGACAAGAGGAAGAGACAGGTCGCCGAGCCCAGATCCAGAGACCGAGCCCGTGATAATACCAAAGAAATACCAGAAACCCGGCCGGCAAAAGAAGAAATCCAGAGTTGTCAGCGGAGCGGTAATGGAGGAGGGGAGGTCCAAAGGATGGGGATTTGGCTTTGGCGGCTGGGGAAACCATTCTCGAGACGGCAGCTATGACAGCCTAAGAAAGGAGGACTTATACAGCCAACCAGAGAAGAAGAAGAAGAAGACAACTTGGTCCAAGAGAAAGAAATGTAAGTGGCGAACCCGCACAGCTCTTGACTCCTAAAATCATGGCAAGCGTTCACTAACAGCATGTTATAGGGATCGTCGGCGGCATCTGTGCCGTTATTCTTCTCATCATCATCGTCGTTGCAGCGGTGGTTGGCTCGAAACACAAGTCTGGAAGTAGCAGCGACTCGTCTAGTCCTAAGGCGAGCAACAGCGACGTACCGGCCAAGTGGATAAACACCGATCTAGACCCCACCACTTGGGCGAGCACAGAGGATTTCAACACTACATTTACGGATGTGATGGTTGGAGGCCTTCCCATCATGGGCCTTGACTCAGATTGGGATGATTCTGCACAGGCAAACGACAAGGTGCCTGCTCTGAACAAGCCCTGGGGAAACTACTCAAAGACTCCTGCCAGGGGTGTGAATTTGGGAGGATGGCTATCCATTGAGCCTTTCATCACACCCTCCCTCTTCAACTATCCCCTGAGCGCTGGAGTGGTTGACGAGTGGACGCTCTGCATTCATCTCGGATCCCAGGCTGCGAGCACAATAGAAAACCACTATAACACTTTTGTTACGGAGAGCACGTTCCAAGACATTGCCAATGCTGGCTTGGACCACGTCCGGATCCCGTTCTCATATTGGGCCGTCAAAGTCTACGACGGCGACCAGTACATCTACCGAAACTCGTGGCGATATCTTCTACGCGGCATCGAATGGGCCAGAAAGTACGGTCTTCGAGTCAATCTCGACATGCATGGCTTGCCCGGGAGCCAAAACGGATGGAATCATAGCGGCAGGCAGGGCGCGATTGGCTGGCTCAATGGCACGAACGGCGACCTAAACGCAGAGCGATCGCTTGATATCCACAACAGCCTCTCCCAGTTCTTCGCGCAAGACAGATATAAGAACATCATCACGCACTATGGCCTGGCCAACGAGCCGCGCATGACCTTTCTCAAGGCTAGTACCGTCGTCAACTGGACGGAGACGGCGTACAAAATGGTCCGCAAAAACGGTTTCAACGGGTTGG